TCGAGTTAGAGGCCGGTAGACTCGCGAAGGAACTTGAGAAGGCGCATCTGCAGACTACAAAGTATCAGGAAGCCGCCGAAGCTGCGAAGAAGGAGCTCGAGCGTCTCGCCGCGGACGTTCAGCTGTTGCGGGATGAACGCGAGGCGTTGCGTCAAGAATTGCGTCGGGTGCAGCAGCAACAGCAGCAGCACAGCAGCAACAGCAGATCGCCGGAGGCGAAGAGGTTGCCCGAATGCAGTACGAGTTGCAGCTGGCGCAGCGCGAACGCGACAAGATGGCGGCGATTCTGGAGAACCGGGAAAGCACGCGGAGAAGATGAAGGAGAAGCTAGAGGCGGACTCGAAGCAGCTGCAGGTTGAGCGCGATCAGTTGGTGATACAGCTGGAGAAGTCGCAGGAGATGTTGCTGAACTTCCAGCAGGAGTTGAGCGCGAACGAGGCCGAGCTCGAGCGTCAGCGCGAGGAGGTCCGTCGTCTTCAGCAACGGGCCCACGCGCAGACGCCCGATCGCGCCGCCAAGGATGCGCTCGACGCACAGATGCGCGAGGTACAGCGGCTGCAGCAACAACATGCAGAACGTTCAGCAGGCGCAGCAGAAGGAACGACAGCGTGCCGAACAGGCGGAGAGCGGGTCCAGGAGCTGCAGAAGCAGTTGACGTCTCGCGGACCTGAAACGGCCCAGACCGACGTCGCTCAGCTGGAACAGTGGAGAAAAACTCTGCGAGACGGAACGTCAACGAGCTGACACGGCTGAGCGCGAGGCTGGCGACCTGCAGAAGCGGATACAGACGACGGAGCGGCAGCTGCACGCGCATCAGCAGCAGATCCAACAGATGCAGGTCACCATGCAGCAGCAGCAACAGCAGCTCCAGCAACAGCAACAGCTGCCGCCTTCGCAGCAGAACGGCCAGGAGGTTGCCAGGATGAAGAGGGAGCTAGAACGCGCGCACGAGGAGGTTAAGCAGGCGACAGTGGAACGCGATCGGTTCCAGGAGCAGCTCGAGGTGCTCTGTAGGGAACTGGAGAAGAACCAGGTTAGCGGCCGCGGTGCCGATCTCACGCCGCGCTCGCTCGCGCTGCTGACGACAGTCCGCATCTCACTCGCCATTCACACCATCACCATAAGCACCATCATCATCTCCATCAGTACCTCAACCACTATCCCGCGCATTCTGTAAAAAAAAAAAAAAAAAAAAAAAGATCACTCCGATGCACTTCGAGTCGAAAAAGAGCGGAGAGAAAAAAAAATACACGTCTCGCCTCTTCTCTCTTTTCTTCCTTCTCTTCTTCTCCGAAGACAGACGCGGCCGATGGACTCTCACACACGACGGAAAAGATATATTTATATATATATAAAACAAAGAAATATATATGTGTGTAAATATATGAGTAATTCGTGTGTATGTATGAGAAGCAACCGGATGTATGCTGCATTATTCGCGCGCACATCTCTCTTATCTTACGTCTTACGTTATTGACGACGACGTCGCAGCACAGCGCAACGTCCCTTAGCTAAGGAGTTCGTCAATCCTTATTCCGATATAATAATTTTTCCCTTTTTTGATTTCCCTCTCTTCTCGGCGAGAACCTTCCTTTCTTCCAAGCACCGCTATTTGTCGCTCATTGCTATCGAAATATGTTCGAAATTTTCATTGTTATGATTATATTATCCTCTTTGTTGTTACATTGTTATTGTTATTGTCATTATATTCTCTTGGCATTAATACATTATTATTATTATTATATTATTATTATTATTATATTATCGTTATGGTTGTATTTTTGATTGCCTACATCGGCACCGTAATTATTATTATTATACGTTAAGAGAGCGAGCGCATAAGAAAATAAAAAATAGATGATGAAAATTTTAAATAAAAAATTGATAAGATTGAATGAAAAAAATTTAAGTAACAATAACTTATCCGCTCGCTTTTTCAATTATTATTGTTACTAAGTATATCTAATCGTATTATTATTACTGCTGCGTTTATGTCGCGTATTAAATATGACAGCAAAAAGTAATCGTGAATACTTTTTGTTGGATAGCATGCGCTGCATCGATGAGATGAGGAAATACAGCTTTCACTCTCGAGATTTTTTTCGTCAAATTCTTAAATTTTCGTATATACATATTTTTTATGTAAGAAAAACGTCTCGAGGTTAACTATATTTATGGTATTTTAAAATGAACTAATTTTATAAATAAACGATATCCTCTTCTCATTCTGATTGGTGCACACCTTGGGCAATTTTGCTCTCTCTTATGTACATATATTTCTCATCGTAGATATATACGTTGTTTTGTATTCGCCACGTTCTTTATCACGATATATCTCTCTTTGTATGTATATACATCTTGCCGTAATCATTAGACATGGAAGAGTGTTTGTGTGATGTCGCGTTTGATTCGTTTTATTATTATTATTATTATTATCATTGTTGTTGTCGTTATTATTATTATTTATTATTATTATAATTCACGTATTATGCATTCATAATTTTGTCACATGGATCAGTTGGTCGGTAAAGCGCAACACTTTCGATTTTCCCCAAAATTTACTCTCTTTTCTCACATCTTTACCATAAATCTGATATTCAAATCACTTGAGAGGATTGAAGCACCGATCAATTTTCAATCTGCGAAAGTGGGAAGATCGGGGGTTGGCGTATAGTATTTTGCGATCTAATTGCACTTGGAAATTGAAATTTACACGTAAAGGAGATAAGGAAAGCACGTTGAACCAAAGCGCAAGTAGATGGTCGTCGATTTTGCATTTTGGAATGGTCATTATCATAGCTCTTACAACGCACTTATCAGCTTCTCTTTTTCTCTTTGTCTCGCAGTTGATTTTTAATTAATTAAAGAAAAAAAGAAAAATAAAACGTGCATGCGACAAAAGTGCGAGGAGTCCGCTACAGTCAATCTCTTCCTAAATGCAGGTGGACTTGCACGAGGCGAACAAGAAACTCCAAGCTGGCGCCGCGAAAGCTGGCGTCGATACTATGCAACTGAAACAACTGGAGGATCAAAGACGACAAGTGGAAGAGCAAGAAGACAGATAGAGGACCGGCGAAGTCTATAGATCAGAAAGCTAGAGCAACGGAGGAGAAGGAAGGACGCTCCAAAGTCTCGATCAGGATCTGAAGAAGAGAAAGGCGAGAATGGACCAACTGGAACAACAACTTCAGAAGGTGATTGCATTCTGGTTGTTGTTTACCGCCGTTCTAATTCCAGTTGTAGTTATATAGTTATTTTACAATATATCATCTCGAATAAAATTTTGGAAAATTTGCAAAAGCTAATGACAATAAAAGAGCACAAAGAGATAATTTAATAATTTAAATTTTATATAATTACAGGATTTTTATATTTCAGATTTGAGAAAATATGGTATTCAAGTGTTAATAAGTGTTCAAATGCATTGTTATTAAAATATATAAAATTATTACTATATATATAATAATGTAGATTTTTCGTAAAATCTAATGAGAAATTTCTTCTTAATTCTTATTGTTAGACAATTTCTCTCTAACAAATAAGTGTGCTTTAACGTACACAGAGTGGTGGAGCGCCGGACAAGAGATTAGCGGAAATGCAAAAAGCTCTCGAAATTGCCGAGAAGGAGATGGAAAAGGCGAAGGAAGAATCGAGCAGGAGCTCTGCCGAAACCGAAAGGTTACTGCAGCTCGTGCAGATGACTCAGGAGGAACAAAACTCCAAGGAGAAACAGATCAGAGATCTTCAAGAGTGAGTACCATCTAAAATATATAATAAACGATAATTATTTTTTTATGATTTAGTCATATTTTACTTTTATACATATATTGCAAATAAATAAATAAATAAATAATAAATAAATAATATATTGCAAACATAAAATAATTGTATTTTAAATATGTACAATTTTATAATTTTTTCATTCAAATATATTTATCGATTTAAATGATATATATCTCGAGAGATAAAAATAATGTAATGTTATTAATGATCCACGTTATTAATGATCTCGATTTTTTTATCGCAGTGCACTCAAAACCGCACAAGCCAAGTTAAAACAAGCTACAGCTGCACAGCAAGAGGTCAGTATTGCTTCACATTTATTTTTTTCCATAATATACGATCAGAAATGATATAAAAATTAATTAACTTATGTATTAACATATTCTCTTCTTCCATCTACTAATCTACTAATTATTTGTCTTTCCTCATTTTTTCATGCTGCTTTCGGATACATACACGACAATCGCACACGCTTTTTGTATGCTCATCGCTGCTTATTTCTTATGCGTATCTCTATTCGGCTTTCCTTCGATATTAAAATACACAATAAACAAAACAAAATAAAAATGTACTGCGTCTTTGAAAAAATGGTGAACGCAGGCGGGACCCGCCGGTTTCCTAAAAGCTTGTCTAAGGTCGATTTTTGTTGGAGACGCCTTCTCCTCCGTTCTTTTTAGTACAATTTGCATATTATTAAGCAAGACTATACGAGTATAGATATACGAGAGACTTAAACGAAGGATCGACGTAGATCCGCCGATGGACAAAATCCACGTCGAGACATAATAATTATTTTACGTAAAATGCTGCGACCATTGTTAACGTATTTAATAATTATAGCGAAAGGATAATAACGATAATAACACAACAATAACTTGACATATAAATATATAAATATAAATATTGAAATATAAATATTGAAGATATAAATATAAATACAAATATAAATATATATACGCAGAGGATAAATTATAAATATAAATATTAAAACGAGATGACGCGAGAGAGAAGACGACAACGGCAACAATAACGTTAATTAATTATTATTATTATATCGAAGAAAGACCGAAGTATATAAATACACATATGCGTACACACAAGAAATACGGATACACGCGCATCTACCTGTATATACAAATATTATTATCTACACGGCCGCGAAAAAATATACGTATGTAGATGTATATATGTATGCACACACGTAAATATAAATATAAAATACGAGTTTAAATTAATATTCGAGAGAGAAAGAGAAAGAGAGGAAAAATAATCAGGTGGCAAACGGCAGACGCGAAGAAAAAGAAGAAACCAACGAAAAAAAAAGATAATGAATAATAATTAAAATATATCGAGACGCGCAAGATAAACAGATTGATGACAAGGATCGAGGATTTATCTTGAAATTATTTGAAGACGCAGACTTCTGCATCCTTCGATGCATAGACACACACCACATATATAATATACACAAAAGCCTGAATTCAAATACTACGCATTCACCTTTCTCTATTACCTCCTGTGTGTGTCCTTATTCTTTATTTTCGTTATCTCCATCCCGTATATTTCGTCATTTTGCCAACAAACGTTCGCTTCGGCACACATATACCGCACGCTAGTCCCAGGATAACAAGGATGAGTCCTCCTCTTGGAGAGAAGCACTAGAGACGAAGGATCATACCATATCCAAATTAGAAAGGAGAATAGAGAGCCTCCAAATGGATTACGACAGATGCAAGGATCTGTTGAACGACGCGAGCAATCATGATTCCTGGAAGAAAGAGGTGGAGGAGAAGAATCAACGTATCGTCCAGCTGGAACAGCAGCTAAAATGCTGCGAGAACCTGAAGGATAATAGAATGAGCAAAAACGTCGAAACGCAGACGAAAGCGTACAAGAATTTTTGCAATCCGGATATGAAGAATCGGCGAATCGTCGCGCTGAAGCGGCAGGTGATAGCCTTGAGCAATTCCTTGAAAAATCACGCCAAGAAACCGACAGAATCCTCCGAGAAGGATAACGATGACAGAACGAATGAGAAAGCTGAGGAAACCTGGAAGCAGGAAATGGAGATGAAGAATCGACGTATCGTCGAGCTCGAGCAGAAATGACGTTGCTGGAAAATCTACTGCGAGAGAACGTGGATGTGCAGGTGCTACGCGATCTCGAGAAGATGATGGACGGAAAGTCCAGACGGATCGAAGAGTTGGAGGACGCCGTAAAGGAGCTCGAGGGCTTTCTCAAGGAGGACATGAAGGAGATACGTGATCTGCGTTATCAGATGTCGCTCGATAAAGAGCGCACTGTGGCGCTGGAAAGGTGCGTTCAGAAGTACGGTCTCACAAACTCGGGGATCGACAAAACGAGGATCATAGAGCTGGAGGAGATGGTGACGAGTCTGGAAGTACGTCAGAGAACACGACGTCGACGGTCTTAAACGGAAGCTGCAGGATCGGGAATGCAGGATCGATCAGTTTTGGAGAATCAGATCGTCGACCTGAATAAAAGCTGTCGAGATTCGAGGAAACTCAATCGAGTAAGTATATACAATTTTTGCATTTTTTTTCAATTTTGAACTACGTTATTTTTTTATTCCTTAGTCGGAGATGTATTGAAAGAAAGTAACGATAGAGCGACCTGGGAGCTGGAAGAAAAAGAACAAAGGATGAAGAATACGGCGCACAGTATTTCTAAAGAAAATAAAATAATCCGAGAATGCGAGCTGCAGATTGTCGAGCAGCAGGATGAGAATCAAAAATGGAGCTGCGAGAGAAGAACGAAAGATGAAGGAAATGGGATACGATATTTCGGAGAAGGATAACAGGATACAGAGATACGAGCAGCAGATCGTCGAGCAACAAACAAGCTTTTGAAAATGGAGAAAGAAATGGCCGAGTTGGAAAAGGAATTGTACACGGTAGAAGACATCGATGTATTAAGGAAGCGATCAGGATAAAAACGAGAGAGTGGAAGAGCTGGAGATGGAGGTCAATTCTTTGGAGACTTCGCTCGGCGAGAGGATCGACGTCGCGATCGAAGAACTGATTGCCGTTCTGAAAGAGAAGGAGGAGATAGAAGTTCGACTGAAGGACGATCTCGAGGACAAAGAGCGCAAGACAGAGGAGTTGGACGCGGCTCTTCGCCAGAGCATCGCAATTACGGACGAGACTGAGAGGAAATTCAAACACGAGAAGAAGCTTAGGAAAGAGGCAGATCAAAGAGTGAGTTGAAAACTTTTATACAATACATTCAGTTTCTTTACATTTTTTAGACACACGAGTTTGAAAACAAAGTATAATAAAACATCATTTCAATCAAATGTATTTATCTCTTAGAAGATATTAATAATATAAATAATAATTATTTTTTAATTTCTAATTAATTTCTTAGAGTGTGACGCAATCGTAGAATGTTTCCCAAAAATTGTTTGTCGTTTAGGTCGACGATTTGGAGAAGAAGATTGCTGTTATGCATGCTGCCTCGGCCATGAAATGCATCACGTGTAAACCGCTCCTTTACAAGATATTCACAACCGAAGAGAAACTTCTACAGTCGAATCAAGAAAAGACCGGTCAACTGCAAGAGCTACATCAGACAAAGTACGTTTTCTTTTTTTTTAATTAATTTAGGCCAACAGTTTGTCTCGAATGCACTTTGTATTAGTTAAATATAATAATACATTTCTAATTATTTGTTTTATTATTGTCTGTTTATATCGCAGGCGCGAAGCTTTAAAACTTGCCCTTTCTGAGAAGGACGCTCATTTAGCTCTGCTGGAACATTCAGGTATTAAGACTCCGTCGCAAGCGAATCAGGCGGAGAAACTAAAAGCTGATAAGAAGATACTACTCGATAGATTAAGGAAAGAGGTGATTTGGAAAATCTAATTCTTCATGTTCATAATATTGTTTATATTAATCGTGGATAATATTAATCATTAATTAATATTTTTAGGATGAAAAAAGTATCAATTTGGAAACAATACCGCAATTAATTGAGAAAATACCTGACAACAATGATAACAATAATATAGTAATTCCTTTGACGATCATCCTAGCAAAATCAATTCACCCAGATCAGCTATTATGAATGGCCACAGCTCACCGATATCAGTACCTACTACAAGTTGCGAGCAATCGTAAGTTGACAGTAATTTTCTTTTTAATTGAAAGATTCCTAATAAGATATAATTAAATATAAATCAATAAGTAAGTTTTAATGAAAATTTCTTGAAAGAAAAGCGTATGATGATAATATTTTGAATTTTATTCTAATATTTATGATACGAGATTATTATTTTTATATCATTTACAAAAATTGTTATATATAGTTTTTCAAATATTTATATTGATATTTAGTTGATGAAAGAACCGCGACATTTTGCAGAACGAAGGCGTCGATGGTGCTTGACATGACAGACGGGAAAGATCAGTCGCCTACTCAGGATCAACAGGATGCCAGATAAGTACTCGAGGCCTCTTCTACGGTATTTCCAAGTATCGGTCTCTTCGTTACCTCGATGTTGTCATACGCACACGCATTCGCGAAAGTAGAGACAGTCTATAGAGCATCTTTAGAAAACATAGCGGAAAAGAAACCGAAACGAACAACAACTACACACCCTTCAACAGCAAAACTACAATATACCATCTAAATAACAACTACAGCAACAGTCAACACGCCTGCCTGTATATTGCATCATTACTCATCATGAATCTATTCTTATCATCATCATCGTCTCATCATCGTCATCTTCTTTGTCATAATTCATCATTAATCGACATATCATCATCCATGTGGCACATCGTCCTTGAAGGAGTTGGCAAGATCAAGAAGTCAGAAGCTTCTTCACAAACTGTTGGTAATTAAAATTAATAACATTCAATGATTTACAATGGATAAAATACGATAATAACAGATGACGTACGATGATTTTGGATGGATTTGCTCGAAGATGTGTTATAAGCGTTATCTTCTCCCTCTTCAACAGCTTCAGCGATGTCTAGATCGTCGTAGACGTCATAATTTATTATTGTTGCAATAATGTATTAAAACATACGTATTTGTGCGACTTGTTGTTTATTATATAATTCTTTGCAGCGTAACGTATAATATCGTTAAAAATTGACGATTTGTTAGAAGAGTTTGTTTCATATTTATTTCTCCGCTATTCTTTTATAATTCTAAGTAGATATATAATTGAATTAGGACGCTGCAAAGAAATAGATTAGATTGACGATTGAAAGAAACAATAAAAATTCGCATAAATTACGATTCAATTTTTTTGATTTTGATATTTAAAGTATTCAAATATTTATTAGATACATAAGAAGGTTAAAAATTGTGAAACAGATATATGAGTTTATATATCTATCGGCATTTGTTGGTAAATAAAATTACATTTTTTCTTTAATTACTTTGATCCTAGAAAAACATTAAAAGAAAGTTAATAAGAATTTATATCATATTGTGCATTCCTAATTAGAAATTAGCATTCATTATAATTATTTTATATATATTCTTTCCATTTTTATTTATTTCTCTTAATTTTTTTGTGAATTAATTAGAAAATAATTAATTTTAGAACCTTACCTTTTCATTCTTAATACTTTTAATATTCATAATTTTAAAAGTTTTCAATTTAAAAGATCAAACATTTTTTAAAATATATTTTTCAATACATTATCTAGAATGTTGCATTATAAATATTGCAACTGGTTCGTTAATCGCAAAAAAGTGAAAATATAGAAAAAGATATGCCGCTGTAAATATTACTGCGATCTACAGAATCGAAATGCGTTTCGCAAATGATCGTGAGGAGCCAAGAGAACGTGGCCGAGGCACTAAAAAGTCTGTTGTAAATACTATTTACGTTTCTTCTTTCACCTGTGCGATTGTTCCGGTCGTCGAGAATTCCTCTTTGAACCTTCACTTTTAAAGATCTATATCCGTTTCCAGGATGCACCGCTGTAGCATATATAAATATATCTCGTGTACATGCATATCTGACTGAACGAAATTTGCATGTACTTGAGACTGTTTCAGAGAGTGTACGATTATTATATATGTATATATGTATCGTACGAGGACAGCAGATCGTAATAAGATATCGCAGAAAATGATTCATATTCTAAATCTCGATTTTGGATAATCCGTCAAAAGAATTGACAGAAATTTACAATAATAAAAATGTAAATTATCTAATAACGAAAGCTACTCCTCTATATTACATTAAATTACAACAGGATATATGTATGTTTTCGTAAATTGTAATAAATTTGCGACAAGTACATTTAAGGAGTAATGTATCTGTAACGACGACATAATTGAATATGAACGATGCGATATTTTATAACGTATTCTTTCTTCTCCTTATACGAGTAATCGATTGATTACCGTCGAAACTTGACACGCAAGATGTTTAAGGAAATGTTTAAGGACAAACTGGCGAGCGATCTGAAATGATGCAACGTCCGAAATGCAATTAAGGTACCACGGCAAGCGCGTTGCAACATTTTCGAGTATCGAATAAATAGTTGCCCTTTTTGTGGAAACTCTAAAGCGATAATGTAATCGCATAATAGAGATGACTGATGAACGAAGAGAAATTTCGCCGGATGACACGTTCCACGTTCGATCTCGCTCGTCGATTAGTATCGTCGCGTCTGCCATTGCGGTGAGTTAATTGCGAAATGTTGAAAGTGTAAAATTTTATCGTTAATACTTGAGGATACCTCTTGTGTGAATTCCGCGGGTATACGATAGCACTTCTCTCGTTGCTATTTTACCCATTTCCCGTTTCATTCGTTTAACTCCGACGCCTCTTCGCATCTCGACGAAATGTCTACGAACCACTATAGATCCAAAAAAAAAAAAAGAAAAAGACTTATTAACTCGACTCTAATATATTTAAACGTTAGGACAACTATAAGCTGGAATCAAAGTGCGTGTTGTGCGCGGCGTGGATATTTATTGGAGCGAAGTGTCACGAGCTGTAAAATATCCCAAAAAATTTATTTTATCAATAATTCAAATCAATAATTATGAAAAGATGTATCGATTTCTCATCATTTTTTATTAATAATGATATTTAATTTTTAAATGCCTAATTTTTTTAAATTAATTTAATTTATATTTTCTAAAAATATATAATACTATAATAATATATAATAATAATATTTATTGTGACACTTGGCTGCAATTTATATCCGATGGCATACGTCGCCGCGAATGAAACTACTTCCTCTCTTACTTCCGACCTCTAATCTCAAATAGATACACGTACAGATGAAATAATCTCAATATCATTAGAGCAATGAGGAAATAAAGAATCACGTGAAAGAAATATATTTACGTTAAATTTGTGAATATTCTACAAGAGAATCAAAGATACAGACAATCTAATAATTGACATATTATTAATAATATATTGCTTGGACCATCTAAATATTATTTATCTGGAATTTTTTATATTTTTATATAAAAATGTTAGACACATATAGTAAAATTTTATTAGTGGCATATGCGAGGCATTATTGAAGAGTTAATTTTTACAAATAAGGTAGCGCTGTCGTTGTTTAATTTTTGCTACCTCCAACTGTTCACGTTTTGTAATTTTCGAATTGAATTGCGGTTATTGCTGACGTAAAAAATGAAGAGCATAATACGATTGTTAATATCTTTTTCGCAACAAACGAAACAAGAGATCGAAGGTGAGGTGGAGAGGAAGGAAGACGGGAGAGTAATAAAAGAAACAATTAGTTAATGTGTGCCACCGTCATATCAAGCCTATATCATCGTGTTACATCATATATAGCTAAGCAAAAATTAATATTATCGTTAATTGACACAATTGTTAACACGGAATGACTGTTTAATGCATGAATGTGTTACGTGCGCGTGATGAATCTTTATTTTTTTTTTAAACTAAAGACACTTTATTTTTTTTTAAAGCAAAATTGTCTCTTAACAAATTACAATATAATTCCAAATATTTATCTCACTTTTACGATTGTGTATATCGAATATTTTTCAAATTTTTCAGTTTTATTTAATTTCGACCAGTCTAGTAATCGTCTAGTTTTAATCGTTAATTCTGTATGATTTAATTTGATGGTAATTTGAAAGAATTTTGCAATTTACGTTTCGCAAAAAACCGCGGTGAATGCGTGAATGATTGTATATGCATACGAACGAATGAATGACAGACACAGACAAAGTATCAGATCGAATTTCTTGTTGACTTATTAGATTCTATACTAACGTAATATAATATAATAGCAATCTATTATCCGGTCACACACGCTCCACGTTTCTTTCGATACAGTCGATGTCGTAGAACTTTTGTCGTCCGCATCCAAAGGATGAAAAGAGCAGAGGGTGAGAGAAAGAACGAGAGGGAGGATGCGATTGAATTTTCGCAACAGATCGCGCCTAAAATCGTTAGAAGCGTAATAAGCGGTAGCGTAATAAGCACTCGTTAAACTTTAGGCCCGATTTTACTTAGCAACAATCGTCGTCGCTTGATTCTCTCGTCCACAATCTAGAGACATCGCGCTGTCATTTCCGTCAACGAATTATATACCTGTAAATAAAATGTGATTTGTTCGGAGAAACGCGTTTATGTTAAATATTAATAATAATTGATAACTTACTTTTCTCTAGAATATGCTCTCTCACGCCTAAAATCGTTTTCCAAAAAACAATCACTCGAGAAGATATACTGAACCGCGTAAATCACGATAGATCTTTCGCTGTGTGACTCATCTCCATCGACAATTATCGAGATCCTCCTCCCCTCGAGCCTCACCGTTTTTACGGCACTCAAGGTGATCCTAAAGCGAGACTGCAAAGTGAGACGAGAGTGAGAGGTCGAGTGAAAGAGAGCGAAAGAAAAGCGGTCTTGACATTATTTTTTGACTCGTGATTGTTAAGTGTCCACGATAAGAAAATACTTAAAAAAAAAAATACGATTTTTATGTGAATATTGTAAAGAAAACCGTACCGGCGTTATCGCAATCCTTATTGGATGCTGCTTCGAGATGAAACAAAATTTCGGAACACAGCATAAATAAAGAGAAATTGAGATTCTACGTGATAAATCAAAAGAAAATTATCAAAATGTTTAATTTTTTTTTTTTTAATTATATTTATAACTATTGTCGAAGCTTTTTTCAGTTTTATATTTTTTTATTATTTCCATGATGCCTCTGGAATTAACATCGTTTTACATTGAAAGTAGATTTTCCTCACTGACCGAGAGTAATCAGCATCAGCATCCAACGCATCCGATAAGGCTCGACATCGGTACGACATGGTTCCAAGCCACTCCTTTTCTATTCTCCAATTTCTACGTGTTTAATCGCTAAGTGAACAATTAATAAGAAATTTAACGAAGAAGAAACGCGCGAGGGAGAACGCTTCGATTATATAAATTATTGTGTAACGTTTATCGTTAATAATCTCGAAGAAAAGTCGACGCAATACAACTTTCGATCGCGTGTATATATCTAAGCGAATGATAATAATGTGTAACAAGTGCGCGTTAAGCAGAGAGTGAGAGAGAGGGAGAGAAAGAGATCAAGAATACGAGTGAGATAGATCCTGTTTCGCCTAGTCCTTGCGACGCTTTAATTAATTAAGCGTCGCGTATATCTGGAGCGAGTGTTTTGCGCTTAATCCGCCGAAAATCGCCGAAAATCGCCCTAAGAAGTTACTCTCGCGTTCATTTTTTTCATGTTTTCTTTCTTCGCAATTCGGTGATTTCCGGCCACGGGCAGAAGAGTTGATGATTATAAACAAGAGAGAGAGAGAGAGAGAGAGAGAAAAGGAATTATGGTAAAGAGTGCGACGAAGTTAAAAATAAGATTTATCGAAGTAAGTTAAGAAATAAGCTAATTAAAGTAACAGTTTATTAAAGTACATTGTTGCAACTGCCATGCTGTGTGCCATTATATAACGAGTCACGTTTGTCGTAAAAAGCAAAAAGAACAAAAAAAAAGATGAGAAAGATGAAGCGAAATACTTGTGTGCGCGTTCTCGTCTGAAACTCTTTTTTTAGTTACACCGCTTCGAAAATCCTGGATTTACATCGTCGTCCTCGCGCTAAATTTCTCTTGATGTCACACATTTATCATACAATTTCTCGAAATTAATTACAATTTTAATAAATAATAATATATAAGTACCAAAAGAAGTAATAGAGTTTAAGTAACGAGGAAAAACGGAGCTTTTGTAATACATATATCAATTTAGCTTTGCAGATATAATTTTACAAAATATAAAAAATACAGGAAAGACTAAAAGACATATATTGAAGGACGAGGGTGTAAAATCCCGGCAGCAGATATCGCGAACGAATTCGCTCGAACTCGCGATATTTGCGTGCATCTACTTGCGCGAATTGACGTGCATTAGATAACATTTAATTAATAAGTATCGTAATTAAATGTACGTCAATACGTACGCAGGCACGTGCACGATACGCTTCGCACTTTTGCGTTCTTCTTCACGGTCCATGAACGAAAGAAGTCCTGAAATGACATTTAAGACGGAAGTTGCTGCGACGATCCGTTTCTACGATGGCGGAAAAACGATCGCCGACGAAAGCAAGAATTTTGCTTTAAAAAATGCATCCTGCGAACATCCCTCCTCGGGATACAAATATTTTGATTGACGTGACGATTACGATAAATCGTTGAATCGCATATTTTCTCTTGTATAGATATAAATAAATATTATATATACGTACATATATATAACATACATATAATATCTGTTAATAAATAATAATTTATTGCGCGCGCTATAGAAAGTCGTTTCGTTATTGCATCGTGTTGTGTAGAAAATTTATCGATGTTGTTATTATATAATAGTTATCTTCTTTTGATAATCGATAGTTTTATGTAATTGTCTCGTCCGTCGTTCTTAATATAAATTCGCAGGATACTGATATCTTATAGTGCAAGTAAGTATCCAATGAGATGCTGTTTTATCATTTTTACAGTTCGTTTATTTTGTTTGTTAAATTATCTCATGTTTTGAAAAAATTTAATATAAATTGTTGGTATACATATTTGATAAGATATATTTAAGATATATATATTTTTTTAAATGTAAATTTTGAAATTTGCATCTTGATATACATATGAAATGTTTTATTTTTAAATAAATTTAAATTTATATATATAAATTAGAGAAAATGTATATATTTTACAGATTATAGAGAATATTAATTTTATTGTTACAATGCACAAATGCAGATGATTAAAAATATAAAGATATTTTGTGTCTCGCAAATTTTCATGAATTAATGTGGCAATTCGTGAATGACCACGTAGCAACGGATCATCATAACAACACGAGCCGATTTCGTGTAACGCGATGTCTTACAATAGCGAGTATAATCCACTCTCGCTCTTAGTTGACGATCGTTGGTTTGAGGAAAAAAAGAAAGGATTACTAGTAAACCATGCGAGTAAACCAAATGAGATGACGTCGACCCATCATAGATTCAAGCACAATAAGGACTAGTAGGGCCAGGCACAATAAAATTCGGCCGTCACGTTGTAGGCAGCGATCTGTTAGAGCGGACAAGTCGTATAAGTATCTATATATAGCGAGACTATTAAATAAACACATATTGTCTATTGTCCGACGAGTGTATTTATTGTTGACGCTGATCGTTCCCTTCTGCAAGCCTCTGAGCAATCCGATACTGAATTAAATAAATATCTCACAGAGGAAAGACAAATCTTTACTTTATTAATGTTCCTCAGTGTTTTTTATTCCTGAAAAAATCTATTTAGGTTTTATACCATGTATTATATACTATATATACAATATATAATATGCATTATTATACACATATATAATCCATAAAATTTATATAAACTATAGAACAACATAAGCGCACGCTATTTCTCAATTTTATATTAAAAATATTGATAATTGAAACTTCATTAATCTTTTATGACAGAAATAAGCTGATTAAAACATTAATAAACTAATTAAATTTTAAAATAATAATACCTGTTAAATTAAAATAATATGTTTTAAACAAAATATAATTATTTAAACTCGGATAATATTTTTTGACAGAAATCAGCACTGATAAATTGTAATTTTTTAAAATTAAAAACTCGTTTATTTATTAAAAAAAATTTCCTAATTAATATTATTTCAATACATGCATATAAATACATTAATTAATTATGCAATGCATAAAAATTCAATATTTAAATCTTTAATAGAAAATGCTAAAAAAAAATGTATACTCCCCACGTCCATCACGGTGCGCGTCTCACGCGATACTGATTTTCATTGCGAGCTATCGCGAGTGCGAGACTGATGATCACGTGATTAGTTTCGCGCGTGCGCGAGCCGTGCACCGTGGCGGACCCGTACAGATACGCGAATCTAATGCTAATAAAAGCGCAGATATTTTAATCGAGATTCTTGTAAATAATTTTATTTTTTTTTTTGTTAAAAATTTATATATTAAATTTTTATGAATCACGTAATTAATAAATATTTTTTTACATATGCATTGCAATAATGATTTTATACATGCGTTGCAATTTTTAAGGTTTTATTTATTAAAGAATAACATAACTTTGCTTGGCACATGTAATTATATTTGATTAAATTAAACAAAATGAGAAAAAATATATAAAGAGATACATATATATAAATAAACTAATATCAATATAAAATTAATAAGAGTTATAATGATTGAAGATATCTCGCTTTTTTAAAAATGGAGGATCTGAAGTTTTCTCTTCTAACTTGCATCTAAATAGAGCTTCCTTTATTTTAATTGTGAATAGATAGATAAGACTTACTATAAGGATTTATATAAGAGATTAACTTATTGATTTAGTAATTTAAAGATTTTAAATTATATGATATAATAGAAAAAAGGAATGACAAGAAAAACATGAATTCTTTAGTAATAGAAGGTAAGTTGTTTAACAGGTTGAAAAAATATTACATCTGAGTTAACGTAACCTAATTTACATTTTACAAAGAAACATAGTTTATCAATTTTATAACTTGATTACTATAGTTTCGATATTATATTATAAAGATCGCGTGAAATATTATAACGCAAAGTAAAATAAAAATATGTACATATTAGTACGCTAATAACAAGGTATAATAAGATATAATTTTTAAAAATTTATAAATATTGAGATGTGTTATTTAATCGACAGTCTATAATACAGAGCGATCTTCGCGTATGCGATTGGAGCACCATACTAAAATATTCGCGTCTATGTGTCCCGACGAGATTCTTGATCATTATGACGATTACGAAACCAGAGAATATTATGCAACGTTATTGCTCGGTGACGTTTCAGGTTGGGAACCATCCAGCTATTCGATCATTATTTTATATACTAATTGTGCATAAATAAATTCTCATTGTCACATATTATTACGTGTAATTTTAATTCTATGCGTGCAGGCTTTACAGATCTTACGGAAAAATATACGAAAACCGGTGTCGGCGGTCCGTCGAAATTGTCGGAAACCTTAAACAGCTACATCGGTGCGATGGTGCAGGAAATTCTTTCGCATAACGGTGACGTAGTGAAATTTTCCGGCGACGCGTTTATAGTAATGTGGAAGCTCCAAGACGGAATGCTTATGCGCGATATCGCGACGGAAGCGATGCAAACCGCGTGTGTCATACAGAAACATTTCGGAACTTACGACACGGACGTCGGCGTAACGCTCAAAGGTTCAAATGCGTTAAAAGTTCGGCAAAAGTGCCGAATTTTAGCGTTTTAAAAAGTCGATTGTTATAAAAATTACGAATAAAAAATTATATTTAATTATCATACAATTAAAGAATTTATTTTTTGTTATATAAAAACATTTAATGATAAAATACATATATATAACAAAGCCGAATATTTCCAAAGTATGTTATATTTATGATAGTAAAACTTGCCATTGCTTCTGGAAAGACGTACTTCACATCTATTGGTGATCCAGAAACGATATCGTATTACGTTATCACTGGGAAACCTGTCTGGGATGTAAAACACGCCGAAGGATTATGTCGGTAAGATTATAAAGTTTAAATTTTTTATACATTGTGAAAATAAATCAAAATTATTTTATTTATTTCAATCTTTATTTTTAAAATACGATCAATAAATATCAAGAATATATAAAGCGCTTTTTTAATTTATCTATTTAATTGTTTTTATGGAAATAATAATAAGAAAAGAATGTCAAATTAATAATTAAAACTTGTATTCAGAGGTGGCGATATTCTCGTGGCACCCAGTAGCTGGCAATGGGCAAATCCTAATGAGTATATTCACGAAAAATTAGCAGATGGCATACATACCTTAATTATAGCCTGTTCGGCAATGTGGTATCAATCTAAAACTCATGACGTGCATAATGACGTTGAAGATGGCACGTTATTTTATATTTTAAACATGGGAACGTATTAAATCTTTTAAGTGATAACGCGCACAATTTCAATCATTAGATGAGAGAGATATCGAAGAATTTCGTCGCAGAGGCTTTTTAACATCATTAGAGTCCGATGCCAGTAGCATAATATCCTTAACGGATCGAATAGAAGATAGTTGGAAGGAACATAATTTTGAACAAATCGATTACAGTCGTGAGTTTATAATAAAAACTTGTACTTTTTTCCGTATGTCGTGCAAATAAATAAAAATTATTTATTTATTTTTATTTCTATCTTTAAATTTTCTTTTAATTTATCTACACTTTATTATTTTTATGGAAATGAATGGAAACATCCGTGTCGCCTTACTTTTTTCTTCTTTCTTTATTTCAATAAATTATAAAAACGTCTGGTAATTACGAACAGTGAGGCCGAAGGTTATCAAGGCAGCTAAAGCGCAATTGAAGAATTCGTTAAGAAGTTACATACCCAGACCAGTGATACGATCCGTGGAATTGGACGAGCCGTTGGAGCATCTTACAGAGATGAGACAAGTAGTCATACTCTTCATCAATGTCATCACAGCGGATGTATACAAGGGAAGATTAATCACGCTCGTTAACACAGCTTATAAATTAATTTGCGGGTAAGCGCAATTAAAAAATGAATCTTCTTGATTATTTGCTAGAAGCAGCCGTTTATAGCCGTTATAGTTTTGTTCATATGTAAATGCGACAAAAGGCTAATTAATGAAATGAACGGATGCGTAAACAAGACGTCCCTCTTCGACAAGGACTTGATATTTCTCTGCATATTCGGTTTGCGAGGCGACAAACACGAGTTGGAATCGCAGATTGGATTGAGATGCGCCAGCAAACTGCGACAGGATCTTCTAGCGATGAAGAATATCAAATCCGTGACAATTGCTGTTACTACAGGGATGACGTACTGCGGTGTAATCGGTCACGTTTTACGGAGAGAATATACTGTGATCGGAATGTCGGTGAATAAAGCGGCGCGTTTGATGGTCGCGTATAACAACAAAGTAATTAGGAACTATTATAGGAACATAATTAGATAATTATTCCTAATGTGAATGTGTGTGCATTCTATTAATTTTATTTACGCTAAATAGATAAATATTTAGTTTATGATTAAAAGTTAAATTAAAAATTGGAAAACTGAGATGATGAGTTAAGATATATTTTTTTAGCAGAGTACATAAATTTTAACATTGCGATTAAAAATGACAAAAATATTTGATTTAATTTTTATATACTAATGTAATCTTTATTTTTTTAGGTGGTGTGCGATCGTGAGAGTTTCTTACACTCTCGTCTCGAAGCGAGACATTTTATATTGCAAGAACCGAGGCATTTGAAAGGGATCACGAACATCGGTCCTGTTTACGAATTTCAGGAACAAATGAAGTGATTTTCTAGTAATTATTATTTATTTTTATTATTTCTCATTAATGCGATAAGTCGACGGATCGTTGTAGATTCAGTACGCCTGAATTAACATGGAGCAATTATCCTTTGCTCGGCCGAGAAGCAGAGATCGAAATTTTCCAACAAATACTGACGAATCTGTTAGAATATTCCACCAGGGACAAAACAATACAGCATTTAAAACCCGAATACAACACGCTAGTTATAAAGTAAGTCTCTTTCTTAATTTAATCTTTTTAAACATCTTTAATTTTTATAAATATTAATTTCCAATAGTGCTAAGAATCTTTAATTTATTCTTAATTATCAGAGGCGAGCCGAGAATCGGCAAGACAAGATTATTGGATGAAATCGCGCAGAATATTCCCATAGATGTACCATATCATTATATTTCTCTGGTGATGAGCGACGCTAAGGTTGAAACGATTATTCTGCTTTGATTAGACTTAATTTAATATTTTAAGAACACATAAAAATATTCCTGTTTTATATTCCCTTTAAAAATCGCTAGTATATCGCTCTTTATTTATATAATATTTAATTTTCATTAATTCTTTCCATCAAACTTTGAAGATCGGTGTTGAACTAGATGGAAATTAATGGTTTCTCTCTAAACACAGGCTCCTTACAATTTGATCCACATGATTTTTTCCAAGCCTCTGAATTTTGACATCGCCACGACGTCGAGAGAACGCGAAGACAGATTGACATCACAACTAGGTCCGGTACGCGAACCCGACTTTCTCTGCTCCCTCAATCAGCTGTTCAACGTTCATTTCACGATAAGTCCGCGTTACAAGGAGCTATCCGTGGAACAGAAGCGCAAGGTGTTGAACAAGTTTCTGCTTAAGCTGCTGAGACGCTGCTTCAAGGAACTATGGGTGATGATTATCGATGATGCTCAGTACGGGGACAATGAATCTATGCTATTGTTTCGCACGTTGACCAAGCGGAACATGATCTTTTTTGTTCTCACAATTGGGCACAAGCTCAGCGGCGAATACGAAGTCCATCCCGCTATTTTGGAAAGAGCACGAGTATGATAAATATCAATTAAAAATGTTTGAAAAAAGACTGTATTTAGAAATCATATACTCTACAATCCTGTGAAAAAAACATATACATAAAATATATAAATGTAAATTGTCTTTTTGTTATTAACAGATTATCGAATTGAGTCATATAGATAAGTGGTATCACGCAGCACTCGCGTGTCAGATTCTTCATGTGTACGGAATTCCTCCTGAACTCGAAAAGTTAGTCATTTTAAACATACAAATAATATTTATCAAAAAATGAAAGCTATATGGATTTTTGCATTTATGATTTGTGCATCCACATATGTATATCTCATCGTGTTCCATCCAGAGTGATCCAAGAAAAAGTTTTGGCAATCCAGGATGGATAGAAAGTTACTTGGTAAGCCTTACCCAATCTGGTAGCCTTTTAACAGTGTATGTCCGCAAAACAATAGCCGAAGAAATGGGTTATGTGCTCCCTTCCATTATTTCACTGAAAAGGTCTAATTTTAATTTTAGATTCTTATTATTTTATCTAAAAATATATTTTTTAATATAAAATTAAACTTTTTTATTGCAATGTAAAATAAAATCACATAAAAAAAAATTTTTTAATTTAATAATGCGAAATACGGGAACTATAAATATAATATTTTTTATAAAATCCTTTTATTGTAGATGACACTTTAACAAATATTTTCATTTTAATAATATATTTATAAATGTAATTGATATATTAAATTAACAGTAATTATAATAATAGAAAATTACTACAAAGACACAATTAATAATTATTTAGATTTGTCTCAGAGGATATTGTGAGAAAAAACGATAAAAACGAAAAAGATCGTTCAGATAAATGGAAGATGTATCAGACAAGTTATCGAGTAAGAAAGAAGAGATTTTCCTTTTGTATTCTGAAAATAATTAACAAATGATAATGTAAGTTTTAATTTCAGAACGGTCTAATATCTCCGCTGCATTTGAAAACTGCAATCCATAAAGCAGAAACAATTAATGATGAAGAAAAGATCGCCGTTTGCAAGTTTGCGAAAGGTTTTGTACCGGAAGAGGGAAATGCTGAGATGACAATGGATGGTAAAACAAAATTAATAATTTTATTTATACGCATTTATATATTTATTTCAATATAACATTTTTGTCTTATTTTCTTGTAAATAGAATATATTTAATGTTTTATTATATGTATAATTTTTTAGACATATTGTTTACAATTGTGTGATTTTTCCATATAAAGCAATTAAATTTGATTATAATATATTTATATGTTATGTGATATCAGTAATGATCTTGAAGCTCTTCGACTCATTAACACCATTGGATCAATTACTACTAAAATGCGCGTCAGTGTTGGGAGAAATTATTAATAGAGACATGTTACGATACCTAATGGAAGATAAATCTGCGAGAGAAATTGGACTCGGTAAACAGCATCAAGAAAATGCAACTATTACATAATGATTTTTTAAATTACAGTATATTTAAAAATATGTGTATGTCATCTTTTATAGTAATAATTACGCAATTTCGCTGTGTGTGTGCGTATTCAATTAAATGGAAACAACAAAAATCTTTTAAAGTAACTATTTGAGGTAATATTTATTTTTGTCACAGCCGCTCAGAAACTCTTCGAAATTCGAATTTTTGGATGCGCACGAGGTGATTTCACTACGAGTGGTAGACCGCTTGTATTTTACAGAAATGTAAAAAGAATTAGCGTCGAAGCAGAAATTGCGTGCGATTGTATAGGTCTCATAATACCAGGTATATATATATATATATTAAAAAGTTTATATAAAAGGATCATATGTTTCGTTAAAATTATTTATGATAATGAAAATAAAATTTATCCAGATGAACTAGCTGATTTGCCGCGATATGCATCTTGCGGTTTGATGCGTTTTAAAATGTCAATGTTTCGCGAAACTACTTACAGGTATAGTTTTATTATTGTTGTATAACAATCAATTCTTTATCGACTAAAATAATGGTGTAATATTGAAACATTTTATAAATTACTGTTTTTAAATTTTATTGAATCTAATATACCTTAAATATTATATATATAATATTAAAAACTATATATATTAATAACATTGTATTATTTTATGTACGAAGATCACTCACAGAAAATCATAAGATAGAATTACATAACAAAGCATTAAAATTTCTTCAACGACATACCAGACGATGTATGGCATGTGGCGAGTTACAATTTGCAAAATTATTAGGCAAAGTAACCGCACAAGATATTAAAAGGAGGAGACCAACTATTGAGCTTCCCGAAACATATCAACTTGAAGAAGTACCTTACACTCTCAAAGAAGAAGCAGACGACGGTACTATATTATATTATATATTATATAAAATATATTATATACTATATAAAATCAGTCTAACTAGCTGGATCTATATATATGTATATATTTTGATTCATAATAAGATAATCTTAAAATTAATAAAAATTATTTATCATATTGTAATATATCAACTGTGTGTGAATTGATATAAAACTATCTTCTAATAACATATAAACCTATTGTCTGCAAGATATTCGACAAGAGAAGAAAGCAGCGATTTGTCTCAATATTTTCCGAAAAATCAGAAAACCACTCAAAACTTTTTCTAATGTTGATTTCGCCAATTGTCAATGCCATCTTATATTAATAACCGTCTACTCACAAATGTTGGATCATTGTCAAGGAATTGGTGAGATATGACAATGTAACAAAAAAAAAAGAAAAAAATATCTCTTTTTTCTTATTTTGTTAATTATTATAATTAATTATATATTTTTTATTTGTTTAAAAAATTACACAAATTTAACTGTTTTATCCTCATTAGGAAAGCCAGACATGATCTTGATGGCAATTCTGGAGTTCGTAGAGGTTTGTTTGGCAGAAAACAATATACCTCAAGCTCGCAGACTTTTGAATGATGCTGAAGTTGTGCTTCAGCAAGTAAGACAGAATAAAAAATATCATAGAATAAAGATAAAAAAGTTAAACAAGTAAGCTCTACTGATGATTTAATGACAGATGTTTGAAGCTCACGAAGAAGAATCAATATTCTTGTCTTATCTCACTGCAAAAATCCGAACGCTTCAAGGTAGGTGTCATTTGGAAAGTGGTTTACTTTCCGAAGCGAAGAAAAAATTAAACGAAGCAATGAATAGTTTGGGTTATCATTTTCCACGACACAAATTCTCGATTAACTTGAAGTCGACGATGCAACTCGAGTCATTAAGATGGAAACTGATTTGTCCCAAGCCTTGGAAAATCGACGTCGCCGATGAACTGACCATGAATTATATCGAACAATTGGCTATTTGTTTAGCACTAATGTTTGAAGTTTTTAGAGTAAAGATTGTTTTGCTCCGCAATAATATTTAATAAATTAATAAAATTTTAATAGATTATTTTTGATAACAAAAATCAAATTATAATCACTTCTCGTATTTATCGCTTTTACTGCTTGCAATATTAAAACTTCTTTTTTTACAACGTCAAATTTGTGGAATTTGATAAAATTATTTAGCAATAAATATTTACAGGGAACAATGGACATGAAGACGCATGCACGATTAGCAGCCTTATGGAGCTTGAATGCTGCGCTAAATTCGTCGAGAGATTTTATCACACTCTGCACTTCGCTCACGAACATGATGCTTACCGCACATGTCTATCAAAAAAGGTTCCACAACATATAGCATAATCAGAGCAAATCCATTTAATTTCATATAAAATTAGTGGAGTGATAATCCGCCGCAGATAACAGAAAATCATTATGTGTGATTCACATTTCCAACTTTATTAAATCTAATCTAATTTTTTTCTATAAAAATAATAGTATAAATTGTCTTAATTAATTTAGTATAAAAAATCAATTCGCCAGTATAAAATTAAAACCAAAAATAAAAATATGTAATATTAAAGAAGCGACCAATACTGGACTAAAAAGGCTTTATTTTAATTAAAATATGATGACGTTTCGATCTGTGATTAAAATTTGCGCACTGCTGTACTTATGTGGTCATCTCCAATATTATGTAAGAATTCTGTGTAATTTTTTATTGCTGCTTTTTATCTTAATTTATTGTAATAATACATAACTACATATAATTTTTCAGCTCATTTGAAAAGGACCTAAATCACAGGTTGAAACGTCATGACATTTTAATTAAAATAAAGCCTTTTTAGTCCAGTATCGGTCGTTTCTTTAATATTACATACTTTTATTTTTGGTAAAAATAATAGTGTTAAATTAGTTTAATATTTTTGAACAGGTCAGTTATTTCTCATTTGGAAAAACAGGCTATCAATGTATGTGCAAGAAAAGGGGACTTCCTCGAATTCCAAGAGCTCAAGAGCGTCGCTGAACTTTACGCGGGAATATTTTTCTCGCGATGGTTGAGAGGAGAGATTAGCAAAGCGATCAGAATCGGCTTTATCGTGACGAGGATGGCGCAAACCATGAATTCCATATTTCTCAAATTGCTCGTACTACCAAGATTAGCGCATTTGCTCATGATTTCACGTCGTCATTCGGAAGTCGTAGTTTTGCTGAGAGAACTGGGTAGGCGTCAAATCATCACAAAAAAATACAAAGGTTAAAAATGAACAATTATAAACAAAAATCTCGTACAAATACGATAAACTATAGAACAGATGAAGTAAAAATGCATAAAGTTTATTAAATGCAGAAACTATCCAAATTATCCATAAAAATTTAATATAGAATTCGCGTCGCAAAACGACTTGGAAAAATCGGGTCGCACATGGTACTATGCTATTTGCGCCGATGTACAACTCGATACTGGCATCACGATCCTCTCATTTCGAAATTGCGAGCAATATTATCTTACAGAAGGGGAGTCCATAATCAGCCTGCACGATCCCGAAGCGGAGAGACGATATTTCACCTCCATGTGGCTGTGGTAAATGCGAAAATCTTTATTTTGCGAATTATAATTGATAAATATTAATCGCACAAGTAAATTATATATTATTATTTTTATTAAACTCTTTAAAAGCTTTTTCAATTTATGTTATAAAAGGTGTATCAGAACGCAGCAGTGGGAAGCTGTCAAAGTTTGGAACAGCAGAAACGTAACAGCCGAAAGCGTGGTGGATGAGCACAAGGTGGCAGCAACAATTACTGCGTTGAAAAAACTCGAGGGACTGCTACTTTTGTACGGTAATAAAAAAAAATATAGGAATACTCAATCGTTAGACAATATTCGTTTTTATCAAGATAAAATCACAAATTTGCAGTGCGGGAAATTTCTAATAGAAACATCAACGCGCTAAGCACAATGGCAGAAATTAAAGATAAATTTAAACATATCGAGAAAATGATAAAGGTTGTAAAAATCGCAATTCCCAGGTATTGAAAAAAATTAATTTTATCTATTTGTCTTTATTGAGAATATTATAAAACTTTATCTTTCAAATAATTTTTAAAAATACATTATTTGAAATTATGTGTTTTAGAACATTATAATATTTCAAATCATTTTTTTAATTAAAATAACTGTGCTGCCAAAATGTTCGTAGATATATGTTAATGAAAGCCTATTATTATATGGTTCAATCTCGAAAAAATGCTGCGGTAAATATGCTACGACAAACGAAGAAGTTATCTATGAAGGTAGATAACAGAATGATTTATACATGGGCGAATCATTGTCAACAGGTATGACATAATTTTTAATGTAATTTACGCGATTTCGATAGTTCAATTTTATTATATTATTTACTCAGGATTGGTTGGGTGCCATGTCTTCCCTACATGAAGATTTGTGGAAAGAAAAAACTATTGAGTTAGATTATGAGCGGGATGAAGTTAATGCAAATGATTCGACAATGATACCTTTTACATTTCCATTGCCAAAATATGTTTTGTAAATATTAATAATCGTATTGTGTTATGTATGTGAATATCTTCATGTTAATGTGGATTATATATATACACATATAATGTAATATATGTAATTGTGAAGTAAATTTTTAATTAATACACTTTGAAAAACATATATATTGTCTTTCTTTATATGATATCGCGTATTTAGCTCCACAATTATATTCATTATTAAAAAAGGCATGTAAAGTCGATTAATATTAAATGACACGGCTAAACGAGAATATCGAAAAAAATCATCATTTATTATAATTTTTCAATTTTAAATATATATTTTTTGTATAAGCAATAAACTTTAAATTAAAATATTATTAAATTCCATTTGTGCAATTATTAAAAAATATATGGTTTTATTAGCTATTTGTTTCTCTAAAATTTAATTCACAAAAAACCTTTTTTATTTAATTATTTATATTAATAGTGTTGCAGTAATTTTCAAAGAAAATATATGGATTTTACAAAGAAACCTACATACTGCGTACATATATTAGTGCTACATCGAAGCAAAATTGCAAAATCAATTTTAAGAAATCCATATTTAACTATTCAGAAATAATCATTAAGTTTTATTTTAAATTAAAGAAAAACTTTTGAGATAATGGAAAGAAATTTATTCTGAACACTCTATATGTGTGTATCATAAATAAACACACAAAGGAAAAGAGTGAAAGTTTCAAATTAATTTTACAAAAAATATTCGTATATCGACAAAATATTATTACCTACCTATACTTATATCCACGACCTATATAAGAAAGTTGTTATGTTTTTGCCACACTCATGGTCAATTTCGTTGTCAGTTCTCGGCGATCCTTTTAAGTGAGAAGAACGAGTGAGCAGTGAGAATTAAATATATTTCTAACAGTAATAACGTGCGGCGATAATATGATACTTAGGTAATTATTATAAAAATCTATATCTTTGATACACAATTTAATTATATCGCGTATAATTTGATTTGCATCAAACCGCAGAATATTTATATACCTATACATTTTTGTTTGCAAGTAAAAGACATATATAGAATATAATTTAAATAATTTTAAAGCACAATTAGATATATTTTTTTAAACATATTTTACTCAAAATTGAGATCAATAATAGACAACATTATACATAATATACAAATATGCCAATATAATATATTAAACTATCTATCATTAAATTACCCATTTTAAATTAAAAGAAACATAATCTAAAAAAGAGATTTACGTTTAAAGTTATATCACATTTACTTTATATTAAATATTATATATAATATGTATTAAAAGTAATGTTATATATATGCCATATATTTTATTTTATAATATTTAGTTAACAAATCATGAATAAATGTTAATCTTCGTTGTTATAGACAATATGCATGTCATAATAGTCATAGAACAGAAGATTAGTTAGTTCAATTAAATCAGTTCACCGATCAGTTTTTGCTCATATATATATGTATTTGCATACATACGACGATACATTAAAAAAGACTTAAATTTTAATTTTGTATTTGTTGTTTTTTCCGTTTAGTATAAATACATTTTAAGAAAAGACATCTAAAAATCTTGAGAAAATAAGAAACTGAACAGACGTTGAGAAAATACATTTGTTTAAATTCTGAAACTTTCTGTAAAAAATTATATACATATTTCAATTAAACTTGATATCCGTTTAGATATACCAATTTTACAAGACATAGAATGACATATATGGTTTTTCAAAAACTATTTAAATGTTATTCTCTACGCATTTTATTTTCGAAAAAATATTTAAGTATTTTTTTTTTATAAAATTCTTTTTGTGATTTTGTCTATATTCAAACAAACGCTATTTTTTAATAAAAATTTACTTTGTTAAAATGCTCTAAAAAAATTAATTCATTTTTATGCGAAATTAGTAAAAATTAATAAAATTATTGTAATTTTTTGTACCCGTTTCTTTCTCTCTTATAAAACATATATGACAGATATAATTTTTCGCTCTCTTGTATCTTATTATTTATTCTTTTCTTAATGAAGAATATATTTTACAGATATTGGAGATCTGACATAACATTCTTAATACTATTATTAAATAGCTGCCTAATATCGATAGCTAATTTTTACCAACTTACTCCGTCTTACTCCAAGGTTTTGATTGATCATAATTGTATAATACCGAAGCATTATGACATCCAATTAGATCCGATTGTCGTTCCAAATATAATGAAATTTGAAGGCAACATCAGTATTGAAATCGAGATTATTCAACCAATACAAATGATAAAGTTGCATGCATTACAACCTTATATTATAAACACAAAAAATTTTGAATTGCTAATAAATGTAACAAACGAGATAGAAAACAATAATGAATCAAAAACGTTTTATCCGATATTACGTGAATATCAACATACAACGCAAATTATGAGTCTTTATTTTATGGAAATAATACCAATAGGAATTCACACATTGAAAATGAGATTTGAAAGTATGATAGATAATAACGTAGAAAAAGGCTCTTTTTTACATAAACTGTTGCACATAAACAAGAGCGGGAACAACATGTAAGTAATTGAAAGCGCAATATTGTTTAAAGTATAAAAAATATTTTTATTGATATTTATATGTTACTATTTCTCTCACAAATTATTTCCAATCATTTTTATCAACTTAAATATGATAGTAGAATGTAGCTGTATCATAATATGCAAAAAATTTTTCAATATTTAAATATTATTACACAGTTAAAATATATTAATATTTCAAAGAAAAAACCTGCTTTTATCGTATTTATTTTGCGTTGCAAATGTACTTTTAATATTTTAAAGAGAATTTAAATGAGTTAGTTAAAAGTTTTTAAATATTATAAAAAATATTAATAAATATAATATATAATAAAAAATTTTACAATTTTGCAAATTGATGGTATATATAGTAATAAATTACGCTATATGTTTTTCTGCAATAATATACTTATAAATTACATGTATATATATTTTATATTTTTGATATTTTTGATATTTTTGATATTTTTGATATTTTTGATATTTTTGATATTTTTACGCGAATAATAGTTGAAAATTTATCATAATCTCAGGCATGTGTTGTTTAAATTCTAACAGGTTGATCGCAACGCGTTTCGAGGCAATGAATGCTCGACGAGTAATACCATGTTGGGACAAACCACACTTAAGAGCTACCTTTCAAATTTCTATAAAGCATCATAAAAACTACACAGTTCTTTCGAATATGCAGATACAAATGCAGAAACCTCTAAATGAAATTGACATGATACTGACGACATTCAACGTTACTCCTGCAATGCCCACTTATCTCGTGGCATTTATGGTGTCTACAGATCATCTTATTTGCAATCATCCGGTATTTAATGAGGAAAATACATATATAGAATGGCAACGGATGTATTGGAAGTTTATCATGGGATACCATGTGAAACCTGATTTTTTTGACAAAAATCCGATTACCAACGATTGGTACACAGAGGATTTGTATTCGGCAGACACGGAACTAAAATTTGCACAGATAATTGCTGAGTATGTCTCACAGCTTTTTGGAATTGAATGGTCGGCCACGCAATTTAATATCACGAAAATCACAAAACTTGATCATATTGTAGTTCCGGATCTACAAGTCGATAGCATACAAAATTGGGGCATCATTTTGTATAGGTAATACATATAATTCGATAGCATACTAGAATTGAGACCTCATTTTTTATAGGAAATACATGTAATTTGAAAGAGAAATTAATCCATTAAAAATTTTTTTAATAATGTTTAAATTATTTAGCACACATTTATAAAGTTAGAAAATTTAAAAATACATATACATATATTTATATAATTAGAGATTGAGATTTTAATAGATCACTATAACCATGTATGATGCATACATTAATAACTTATAAGATAAACATTTAAAAAAGTAACACTCTTCTCTCGACCGTACTACCAAATATTATTTATTAAATCACGACGTTTCGACCCTTCTTTGAATCCTTATCAAGTGATCTAGATATACATAGAGAAGAAATACAGTACAGAGATTAATACAATAAAAAATTAGTTCACTTAACAATATTATAAAATAATAAAAAACGAAACATACTTGTGAAAATATAAACATTTAAATTTTATATTCCATTACTTACATATAAGACATTAAAACTATATTTCTATTTTTACATTGATGCAAGAATAAAAATTTTTTTATACGAGTTTATATTTTAATTTTAAAGACGTGCAAACATTTTTTTATTCTTTATTTTGTTTATTGTATAACTGATACGATTGCTGTAAAGTGTATTTTATCAAATTGAGAAAAGAGAGATTAACTCAAATAGTGTCGTCAAAATTATACCAATTTAAATCTTTATGTCAAATTATTGTGAAAAACACTTTCTTTTTAAATAAGCATATATAGAACATAATTAATTTTATCTACATAATAAAAATATTGATATGCATACAGTTTCAATATATGTAATTTTTAATACAGCAGAAATATAAGAAGTAAGCGATTATTTCCGTTAACAAAATTTATGAATTATTTACAAATGATTTTTAGGAAACAAGATGTTATCTATAGAATTGACAAAGATCCTGTAATTCACAAAATTAACGTGGCGCGCTTAGTGGCAAGTGGAATAGTACATCAATGGTTTGGTAATATAGTTAGTCCATCTTTGTGGTCTTACATTTGGCTGAATGATGGTATTGCTACATTATTTGGAATGGACGCCGTTGACAAGGTTTCTTAAAATAACACTTTTATAATAATATTTTAATAATTTATTTACACAATTAAAGATATATAAATGTTCATTAATGTCATAAAATATAAAATATTCTTATTAAATGTGTATAAATATATATTATTTCTTTTGATCAAAATGCTCAATTTTTCTTTTCAATTCTTAAAAATTATATAAAAGATTTATGAGATTTGAGATTTAAAATAATAAAAAAATAAGATAGACATTTAAAAATAATTTTATTAATTTTGAAGTTTTGCCAATATCTCTAAATTTAATAATACATGTGGAAAATAGCATGCAATTATTTTCAATAGTCATTACGAACAAAAGCACTGATACATATTTAATATTAACATTCATTTATATTGAGTATTCACTTAATTACATCAAAATTTTTATTCCCAGATTTTTCCAAATGTTCGAATAATGGATTTGTTTGTTGTTCAAACTCAACATGAATCTCTTCATTTGGATACTAACTCCTTTATGAAACCGCTTATATCAGAGATAAATGATCCTTCGGAAATTGATTCATGGTCCTTTTCTCGTTATATTAAAGGTAAGACAAAGTAAATATAATTATACAAGTTTATAAATTCGTAAACGTGAGTGCCATAAAAAGTAGAAAAGACTAGTCTTAAACAATCTTATCTATACAGTTTATTGGTACTTTAAGCTTAACTCTATAAAGAAGTAAGAAAAAAATATAATTATAGAATTTTTATCAAATTTTTTTACCAAATTAATTATATTCACAAACTTTGGACTGAAATAAATTAATTTTAAACATAATTTATTATATAAATATTTTATATGTAACTTATAGCACCTGCAATATTACGCATGATGCATATGTTTTATGATGATGCATTTCGGAGGGGTCTCCAGAGATATGTTAATAAGCAGTGAGTATTAATTATAATATAAAATAATTATGCATTATTGTAATAATAAAAGAAGATAACACATATGTAATAATTATATATATATTCTTTGATACAATTCATTTTTTACTGTCAACGATGTAAAATTTTATAAATTTAGTGCTCTTAAATCGGCTACTCTCGACGATTTGTGGACTGCTATACAAATTGAACTACCTGATTCGCCGCATGTTAGCAAATCACCTGTTAACATACCACATATTCGCATATCGCAAATAATGGGTGCCTGGACAAAGCAAATGCATTATCCTATACTGAATGTAAAACGAAATTATCACAATGCATCATGTGTGACAATATCAGCAGAAAATAATCTATCGGCTGAAGATAATTGGTTTATATTAGTGACCGTTACTACTGAAACTGAACTCAATTTTGTCAATATTTATAATAATTATACTAGTTATTGGCTAATACTTACACCTCAACTTTATCCATATTACGAAATTTTCTTGCCACGTATGACAGAAGGTTGGATAATAGCCAATTTACAACAAATGGGTAAATATTAATCAATAAAATTATATATGACATTATCTATATTATATAATCAAAATTATTTTACATTAATTTATATTTGTGTTCATATTATATAATATATATGATATATATATATATATATATATATAAATTAAATTAATTTTTGTTACATAAATAATATGCTAATAAATAATTCGATCAAATTACATGCAAAGAAAAAATTAATTGCAGATAGCAATATAGAGTTTAAAACACACTTTCTCTATATATTTTTATTGACAATGAATATTATGTAATGTGTGATATATTAATATTATTATAAAATATACATATAATATGATATATATATATATATATATATATATATATATGTATATATATATATATATATAATATTATATTATATGTATATTTTATAATAATATTAATATATCACACATTACATAATATTCATTGTCAATAAAAATATATAGAGAAAGTGTGTTTTAAACTCTATATTGCTATCTGCAATTAATTTTTTCTTTGCATGTAATTTGATCGAATTATTTATTAGCATATTATTTATGTAACAAAAATTAATTTAATTTTATACAAAATTTTCTACGTAGCTTCTTTTAAATAATAGTTTATTATCTAAATAAAATAATTTTAAAATTAATAATTCGCAAGTCATACAATTCTTTTTATAATGTGCGCAATGTGCATTAAACTTTATGCATTCCTAATATGAACAAAAAACAAAAGTAAAATTTTTTTATATCTAAAAATATTTTTAATAAATCAAAGAATGACCTCATGTAATCAGTAAAATTTATTTATTTTACAACAGGATATTATCGCGTAAATTATGATATTAAAAATTGGCAAAGGATCGCAAGTTATTTAAATTCTGATCAATATTTGAACATACATGTCCTCAATCGTGCTCAAATTATCGATGACGCATTTCATCTTACAATAGCAGGAAAACTTGATTCCTCTATATTCTGGGATCTCACGAGCTATTTAAAACAAGAAAAAGATTACATAGCATGGTATCCTATGATCAAAATTTTCGAATATATGTCGAGTATCTTTAAACTTCCACTACAAAAAGTTACAGAAATTAAGGTAAATAGTAAATGGATCTCTCGTTAATATAAAAAATATGTTATGGATAAAATCATATAAAGTATAACTTTCGTATTAATTGTTGTTAGAACTTGAAAGAAAATATAATATATATGTATAGCTATATATAAAGTAATTTAATTTTAATTATTTTATAATCACTTATTTAAATTACAATTAAATTAATAAGGATAGAAACGATAATTTTTTTTATAAATAACAAAACTCTAAAACTAAAAATATTATTTATTGATTTTGTAGGTATACTTTAGCAATATATTAAGTAAACTTCTTGCTACAATAGGATATTACGACATTTCTGCAAACATTAATGACACTACTAAATATTTAATACAAGAAGCCACAAGATGGGCTTGTACATTCGAGCTTCCGGAGTGCCTAAATATAGCAAATAATGAATTGAAAAAACAACTCAAATATGCTTATGGAGCGTCTATGTAATTTTTTTGTTAAAATTATGATTTATTTTATCAGTCATTCATTTTTCTTGTATATTGCATAATAATTAATATTTTATGAATTATTTTTAATTAAGAGAGAACTATAAACTTTTGTGTAATTATAAAATGAATGTTTTTTCTATGTATCTTAAATTATATATTAGACTTTATCCATGGTGGAAAGAATGGACATATTGTAAGGGTATGGTGACAGCGGACAATAAGACTTGGTCAGCAACGTTAAATTTATTGAAGAAAAATGCTGATGATAATAAAATTTTCGAATATTTGACTTGTGCTAAAGATTTTGATATAATCGTTCAATATTTGTCGCAAATAAAGAATGAAAATGACTTTAAAAAGAAAACATTTCCAACTATTGAACGTATTAATATCTTTTATTCTATTATAACAAAGCATGTAAAGAACAACAAAATACTTGAACACATATTATTTAATTTTGAAGTATTAAAACCTAGGTAATGATATTTTTTATTATAAATATATTTTAACTTGTAATCACAAAAGTTTGTTATATGCATTAATTATGAAACTGCTGTTTTATTTATCTAGAGAAATTAGTACAATTGCAGCATTAACTCATATCATTAATCATGTGTATTCTAAGAACCAACTTAAGAAGGTAAATTATATAATATAAAACTCGGTAACTTATATATTTATTAGATTTTGATAATCAAATTGAATTATCTTTATATAAATTATAAGTACTTTTGTCTTAGATATATTACAATTATAAAAAGTATAAAAATTTATGCCGCGGAAAAATGTTACAATACATGTTATATTTTAATGCGATGATGAATTACTTATTAATGATGAATATCCAATTAATTTGTTTCAGATAAGCAAATTTGTTAAAGAGTACCTAAACCGACAAAATTCAAACATTCACCATAAGCTAGACCTACGCTGGTCTCAAATCAGGAATCTGACAAATTATCTTTTAATATTTTAAAATTTGACGATATTCACAAAAGTAAATGATCAATCAAGCAAAGATAATAACTATAATTAAATCTTTTGAATAAAATCCATAATGCTCTTATATTTGTATTTACCTATATAATTATATATTAAATTTCTCTATTCTCTTCTCTCTTATTAATTATATGTATTATATATCTATTTAATGAATACAGTTTTAATGATTTTGTAATTATATTTAATATTTCTTTAATATTATTTGGTCATTATATATTAATATAATATATATTACTAATTATATGCTATCATTATTAATTTGTTGAAGTTAAATAAAGTTTATATTAAGATTATTATAAAAATTATTACTTAAAAATAAAAATTGTAATAAAAATGTTAATATAAATTTAAAATTTTAAATAAATTTTAAATATTATTATTAACATGTTAATATTTTTAATAAATATTAATTTCAATATGTCTACACCCAGCTAGTGGAAGACATATTCATATAAAATGATCATAGAACATCTCTCTAAAGGATGTAATTATATATACAATTACATATACACAATATGCTTTTAAAAAAAGCATTTTAAATTTAACGGTAATGTTATTTGTTTTATTACTTATTATTGATTTGTCAAAACATTATGTGTAAGACCTTGTCAAAATTGCTTACATACAATTGTGAGGATTATAAGTTATTTATTACGACTAAAGCAACGAGACAGCATAGTCAGTTTTCGGTGTTCTCTGAGAATGGTAAGAAGTTATATATATATACATATTATTGATGTAATAGTTGGTAATAATATAAAAATGTCTACTGTAATTATAATTGTTACAAAGAGAAATACATTTTAATCGTCACATAATTTCAAATACGCAGATACAGGATACATTACAGATGCATTCAAAAAATTTAACCTTCTCAAAAATTATTAAAATGATTCTTATTTATTCTTATTTTGTTAATTTCTTTTAATTATATAATCCTGTCGCTTGTATACTATTACTACTATATTACTTTTTTTTATTTCTTGAGTTGCCATTGCAGTGTTTAAATTATATTTTTTACGCTTACTGAAAAAAATGTGTTTATCTAATATAACTTATTGTTGCTTATAATGTGCGAAACAGAAATTTATTATAAATTTTGTTTAAATTGTTTAAAATAGCAATAAATGCAATTCAAATTAAATATTAATCGCTTTTACATAAAACATTAGTTTTAAATATTATAAATAAAATAGAATATTTTATTTTATTTTATAAATACAGATACACCCCATACACGCACATAACATATTCTCTTTCTCCCTCTCATTACAGTAGTAATATAAGTAGTAATATATATTTATGTTAGAGTAAATAAGTGATTCTCTATTTTATTTTATTTTATCTTATTTCATTTTAAGTTTTAGTATATGTGCAAAGAGCAAACGTAGAGAGATTAAAAATAATAAATAATTAGCATGTAATTCTTAATGTATTAATATTATATTATATTTTGATCGTTTCTCTCTAATAGCATAATTACAGAAGACTAGTAAAATTTTATCGATAAAGCATTTGATATTATTCTTGAAAATAGACGCTATTATATATATATATATATATATATATATATATATATATATATATTATCAGATTAAATTAAATATAAAAACCATTAATAACCATATATTGTATCACATATATAATAAATTGTCAAATTATTGTTTAGTAGATCTTATATCCTTTATATAAAATAATTGCTGTAATTTTTTTTCTTATGTTTATTCCTCCTTTTTCTTGTATAAAAACGATAGGAAAAACACAAAATATTTTGTTCTACGATTTGTATTTATAATTTTTTCTAACAAAAGAACTGTTCTTATAGGTGTCTGGAATAGAAACAAGAACGTTATTTTTATTACTATTATTGAACAGCGGCTTATTATTTATTGGCGCTTCTACTGTCAACGAAAATTTGAGAAATGATTGCAGCATTGGACTTAATTATCGTTTGCCGAACCATGTAATACCGAAGCTTTATTACGTTAAATTATGGAGACCTAACGAAATAGGCAATCGAATCCGTTCTTTCTCCAACGAGATTAAGATTAAGATAAATATTCTTGAGCCAACGCAAAATATAAGTTTACATGCGCATCACTACTTAAAAATTCATCAATCCATGCTGACGAAGAAAAGTGATATGAACGTTTACAAACCATTAAAATATAAATATTGCAATAAAACGGAAATTATGACTTTATATTTTGAATCTACATTGTCAAGAGGGAATTATACTTTGGATATAAATTTTAATAATGATTTAATGATGGATGCTTTCTATTTCTCGACTGATATAAAGGAAGGAGAAATAAATGAGGGGTGAGTAAATATTAAAATATTTAAACAAAGAACGGTATCTTTATATAATACTGTATAAACATCGATTATTTTTTACAAATTATTAACGAATGACATATCCCTATCTCATAAATTTCTTAACAAAGAAAAAATTTTGATCGTATTTCTTTCGCAATGTACTTTAAATTTTATTAAACTTAAATTAGTTATATGTTTCAGCTGTTAATATAAATATTAAACAATAGCGTTCAATTTTCATATTCGAAAATTAACACCATAAACGCATTATGCAGATTGTATTACGAATGTTATTCTTAAGAAATGGGAATATTTATCTTATAAGATAAATAGATTTATTTAATGTACACACATAATATATCTTTTTCTGTAAAGTTTAATAATATTAGAATTATATTTTTTTCGGTCTGAATAAGCTGAATCGGAATTTAAAAAATTTGAACCTTGTTCATATAAATCACATATTATATATGATAGCTTCTAGTACTTTTAAATTTCTTAATCTAGTACTTTTGTACAAAAGAAATTATTGAAAACTTATCGCATTAAAAGCATTTTATTACATGTGTTGATAGGCCGTTGTTTGTCTCATCTTTCAACGCAGTTGGAGCACGACGAATGTTTCCATGTTGGGACGAGCCAAAATTTACGGCCGCATTTCACATTTCAGTATGCCATGGTAGCAATTATATGGTTGCATCGAATACGCTGCTACACAAACGATATCCAGATAAAAATAATACAGAATGGTTATGGTCAGTCTTCGAAACTACTCCTAAAATGCCCACTTATCTCCTAGCAGTTATGTATTATCCCGACAATGGCGAAAGGGATATAAGGAAGAGTCCCTATATATGGGGTAGAGAACATCTAGACCCATACGTACAATTTGCGGTAGATGTTAAGTCGAAGGTCAATGAACATTTTACAGGTTACAGTTTGAATGTTTTTTACCCACCTGGCAATTTGGAGATGATATTATACGCATTAGACACACTGAATGTTCTAATCCCGGGTTATCTATACGATGACATAGACAATAATTGGTGGCTCGTTTTTTATAGGTAATATATGTAACTAACAAGAATATATTAATTTATTCATTGATAAAATTACTTTATTAAGTAAAATTACGTTATTAAGTCCTTATAAAAATTTATCACTAGTAAGTCTAAATACATAATCACTTATTTCGAGTACTTAAATTACTGCATATCAGTAATTTAAATACAACCCAGCCAGAAATAATAGTTAAATCGACGTCGATTTGACATTGAATCGATGTCAAATTGGTCGAATTGATATCGATTTGATGTCTTTTCTACCGATAATTTCAGACTGGGTAAAAATAAGTGATTATTTGGACTTACTAGTGACTTTGTGAAAATAAATATAAAAGATGCACGTTAATTTAGTTATATAAAATACAATAATAAAAATATAGAAATTTATATATATATATATATATATATATATATATATATATATATGCATAATTTGTCCACATATCTTTTTTTAAATAGCTGATAGCTAATAAAAATAATGAGAAAATTGTTTTAACATTTAATATATCAAATCTACGTTTCGAAATTACGAGCATAATATATTTTGAAAATTTTACATTTCTGGTTCAATAAAGAAATCTTGTTTGCTAAAAATCAAAATTATTAAACTTTGTGTTTTCATTTACTGAAGAAAAAGTATAAAAATATATATACATACATATATATACATATATATATATATATATATATATATGCATGTATATATATTTATATGTATGTATGTATGTATGTATATATATACATATTTGTTTGACTAATATTTCTGAACTAATATATACATATATATATATAATGTAATAAACATATTAAATTATATATGCATGCGTTTAAAAAATACTTTGCAGAAAAATTATATTATTATTAACTATATAAATAATTTTTAGAGAAATAGATTTCATATATGATGAAGAAATAGATCCTGTTGCTCACAAAACAAAAGTAGCGTATTTAATAGCACGTAAATTGGCGCACCAATGGTTTTGTAATCTGGTCAGTCCATCTTGGTGGTCTGACCTCTGGCTGAATGAAGGTGTTGCTATATTATTCGCAATAGATGCTGTCGATAAGGTTGTTTTTTAATATCTTCTATTATCTTTTAGCAATAATTTGCTTATGTACTTAAAAATATGCACGTATCATTGCATCGAGTATTATATGCAAATTAATAAATATGTTTTATTTGTTAAAGTTAAAATGCTAATTAAAGATATATATATCAAAATAATACTTTACAATTTTTATAAACCCTTATTACATTATATCAAAATTGAAAAATTCTCCATTTTTTTTATTAAATCTAAATTTAATCTCTATTATCTGTAATTTTAATCTTAACTAATTTTTAATTAAATTTATAAATCCTATTAATCATACAATGATATACATGTATATAAAATAGTAAAATTATATTTTTAGCAGTAAGATGCAATATCGCACGTTATACTCACAACTCACGATAATTGGCTATCATAATGTGCAATATTGCAAATGCGATCATTTCTTCTAAATGAGCATTTAATTGATTATAAATCAACATTTTCATTTCTAGATTCTCATAAATTCCCAGATGTTGGATTTATTCGTGGTGCAAGTCCAACATGATTCTCTTTATTTGGATAGTTCTCAATTTAGCTATCAATTTATGCTGCCTCTTATATCACGAATTAATAATATGTCAGAAATTAATTCACTTTCTTTTTCCCGTTACATTAAAGGTAAGGCTAAGTAAATATAATTACAAGAGTTTATAATTCGTGAATGTGCTTGTCATAAAGGAACAAAGCTTTAAATAAATGTATCTACAATTTATTGGTACATTAAGTATGTTTCATAAAAAGTGAGAAAAAAATAATTAAAAAACTTCTATCAAATTAATTTTTGTGCATCAAATCATGATATATACACTCACAAACTTTGGTCTCTAAAATTAATTTTAAACATGATTACATTTTATAATGTAAATTATTATAGCACCTGCAATAATGCGCATGTTACAACTTATAATAACAAAAGAAGTATTTCAACATGGTATCAGCATATATCTACGTAGAAAGTAAGTAATAATTGTAATATATAATATATATGTACACATTATTAAAGAATTAAGCACGATAAAATGTAATAGATTATACTTGAAATGAATAATTAATTTAAATTGCTTTTTGAAAAAGAATCTCTCGATGAAAATATAGCTACACTTTCATGAGACTCGCGCGAGACTCCATACCCTATACATCCTTCACTCTGCGCGGCTCGCGCGAGACTGATTGACGTGGGAGATATCGTGAGCGGGAGACCGTGGTCACATGATCAGTGGATCCTCTGGCCATGTGACCACTGATCATGTGACCACCGGTGCCGCGGCCGCGGTCGCGATATCTCGCACGAGAATCAGTCTCGCGCGAACCGCGCAGCGTGATGGATGCATGGGTTATGGAGTCTCGCGCGAGTCTAATGAAAGCGTAAATATATTTTGATCGAAAAATTCTATTTCAAAAAAGATTTAAAATATTTTTTTATTTTAAGTACACATATAATTTATTACTTATAGTGCTTAATTCACTAATGATATGTACATATCATCAAGCAACTGTGATCGTGCAAATATTAATAACTTGACAGTTGTAAAATTAATAATATAAATAATAATAGAGGCGCGCGCAAAGAGCGCTCTTATCTCTTACAGAAATTTAGCACTAGTAAGTCCAATTAATCACTTATTTCAAATACATAAATTACTGTATATCAGTAATTTTAGTACTCGAAATAAGTGATTAATTGGACTTACTAGTGATAAATTTTATTAAGAGATGTAATCTAGTTTTAATTAAATTTTAAATTATTATATAAAAGTTACGTCATCAATTAATACACTGATAAATTGCAAATTATAATGGTAATATTATATTTTCTAATATGATCTTTATTATGATGTTTACACTGTCAACAACATTATTTTTTATAAATTTACAGCATGCTTAAATCGGCAACTCTGGACGATTTCTGGACCGCCATGCAAACTGCATTAGATGAATCATTAGTAAAAGATTATTCATTTAATGTATCAGAAAAAATGGATGCTTGGTTAAAATATCGACATTATCCTGTTATAAATGTAAAACAAGATAATTCTACACATGTAACAGTATCGCTAACAAAATCCTCTATGAATTCTTGGTGGATACCTGTAACCATTACCACTGAGACTATACCCTATTTTGAAGACGCTTTTATTCTTGACGGAAAGTGGATAAATCCACACAATTTTAATTGCACATTTTCCTTGCTGTATGAAGAATATGGTTGGATCATAGCCAATATAAAACAATTTGGTAAATATATTATTAACTGATAAATACATTATACTTACTACTCATCAGACATTATATCTCAAACGAACGCACGTAATTTTGACGTTAAATAATATCATTTCGATGACAAATAATATGTTTATTAGCGTTAGTTTTTATAAAAGCATAAAATGTGACATAAATATATTCGATAAAATTATTACATAAAGTTACATAATATATATATTGCTATTTAATCTAAATTATTCTTAAATATAATTCATTATTTTTAGAGGAAAAAAAATAATTTCGTACAAAATTCTCAGTGCAGCTCTATATTCCGGAGCAGCATTATATAATTATAAAAATAATATTTTTTTAAATATTGTACAAATAATAATCTTTTTTATGTTAGCAGCAATTTGTACTTTTGTATTGTTTGAATATAAAACAAAAAGAATATGCAATTATATATCCAGAAATAATATATTTTAATCCATCAGAATTTAAATCTAATCAGAAGAATCTTATATTGAAAGAAATTTATTTATTTTACAACAGGATATTATCGCGTCAATTATGATTATGAGAATTGGCAAAAAATTGCGAATTATCTAAGTTCTCCAAAATATTCAGAGATACATGTTCTAAATCGTGCTCAAATTATCGATGATGCATTTTATTTTGTCACAATAAAAAAGCTTAGACCCGCTATGTTTTGGAAACTCGCGTACTATCTATCGCAAGAAAAAGAATACATAGCATGGTATCCTATGATAAAAGCGATTGAACGTATGTCGTGTATCTTCCCACTTGCAGATATACATAACATCAAGGTAAATAGGGACAGATCTCTTTATCAATAAAAATAATACATAAATTGTTACATACAAAATATAAAATTTTATATTAACAGTTTTATATTAATTTCAATAAAAATTGTAATTATACAATATATATATATATTGTATAATTATACAATATATTGTATAATTACAATTTTTATGCATATGTATTATAAATATATACATCCCAAAAATGATATTGAATCAACGTCAAATCGTCGTTGAATCGACGTCAATCAGGTAAATCGCCGTCGAATTGATGTTGATTCGACGTCGATTTGATCATTTATTTTGAGCTGGGATTTATGTATATACATATATATATATATATATTTGATTGACGTCGAATCAACATCAATTGGACGGCGATTTACCCGATTGACATCGATTCAACGACGATTTGACGTTGATTCAATATCATTTTTGGAATGTATATATTGTATTTATGATACATGTGCATGCATATATTTTGCCAACTATTTCTAAGCAACAACACAAACTATAAATACAAATATAAATTTCATATTATTTTATGATTTTAGAGAAAAATAATGTATATATTGGATGCTCTTCTTAAAGAAATAACTTACGTGGAAGATTCTAACGATAGTGATAATATAAAAACTTTAAGACAAGAAAGTGTCAAATGGGCATGCATTCTCGGTCTTAATGATTGTATCTCTATGGCCAAACAGACATTTTATCGGCATCTGTTAAATCCTAAAGAGCATAAGTAATTTTTCTCATAAAAGATATTACAGCTTTTTATAATCCGATATTTTATAACTCGCGCAGTACTTCGTATTATTTGATAAAGATATATCAGACTATAAATTTTTGTAACACTACTTTCTGATTTTGTTTCTAAATATTAGAATTTTGCCATCATGGAAAGAATGGACATACTGTAATGGTCTTAAAGGGGCAAAAAGTCATGTATTTTGGTCAAAAGTAATTAATTTATGGAAAACTACACATGATAATAATATTTTGAAATCCTTAACTTGCATTAAACAGAAAGAAGTGTCTAATATGCTTATCTACTTGGCATTACATAAAAAACATGAAATTTTCGCATTAAGTGTTAAAGACCGTATTAATCTTTATTTTATTATTATTGCAAAACATATAAAGAATAATAAAATGTTATTAGAGAACATATTAAAGAAGTTTGAAATTTTGAAACCGAGGTAATAACATTTTTCTATAAAAAGAAATATTATATTCATAATTATATGAGTTTGTTAAATATACTATTTACAATTCTGCTATTCTATTTATATAGGGAAGTCAGTACAACTACAGCATTAACTCACATAATTAATCATGTGTATTCTAAGGATCAACTTGAGAAGGTAAATTATGTAAAACTCGATACCTTATATATATTTACTAGCTTTTAGTAACCAAACTGTATTATATATTTACATATATCATAACTACATACACATACACACACACTTTTATCTCACTTACATTAAAATTATAAAGCGTTAGAACATTTTTGTCGCGGAGAAATATTACATGTTATAGGTTTTAATGCAATGAGCAATTATTTATTAACGATGAACATAAAAATAATCTATTTCAGATAAAAAAATTTGTGGACAAGATCATAAAACAACAAAGTTCAGACTTTCACCATAAGCTAGAACTACGCAGGTCTCAAATCAAGCAGCTGAAAAACTATTTTTCGTATTTTAAAATTTGACAATATTCACAAAAATGAATGATCAATCAAGCAAAGATAATAACTACAATGCTCTTATGTTTGTATTTATCTATATAATTATATAGAAGATTTATATATAGAAGATTTATATAGATTTATATAATTATATAATTTATATAATTATTTATATAATTTTATTCCCTTATTAATTGTATATTATATATCTATTTAATGTGAATATTGTTTTAATATTTTTGTAATTATTTTTAATATCTCTCTAATATTATTTATATATATATATATATATATATATTAATGTAATAATATGTTACTAATTATATATTATCACTATTAATTTGTATGGAGTTATATAAAGTTAATATCAAGATTGTAATGTAATAATATGTTACTATTTATATATTATCACTATTAATTTGTATGGAGTTATATAAAGTTAATATCAAGATTTATTATAAATTTTTTTAACAATAAAAATTGTAATAAAGATGTTAATATAAACTTTAAATTTTAAATAAATTTTAAATATTATTATAATTTGTTAGTATTTATATATATAATAAATATTAATTTCAATATGTTTATATCCTGCTAGTGGAATACATATATATATAAGATGTTCATAAAAAATCTCTCTAGAGGATGTAATTATATACAATTACACACACACAATATGTCCTTTTAAAAAAAAATATTTTAAATTCAACGGGAATGTTATTTGTCGTATTTTTTATTGACTTGCCAGCAAAACATTATATATAAGATCTTGTCAAAATTGTTTACATAAAATTGTGGGGATTATAAGTTATTTATTACGACTGAAGTATCGAGACAGCATAGTCAGTTTTCGGTGTTCTCTGAGAATGGTAAGAAGTTATACATATATACATATTATTGATGTAATAGTTGGTAATAATATAAAAATGTCAACTGTAATTATAATTGTACAAAGAGGAATATATTCTAATCGGCACGTAATTTCAATTACGCAGATATAAGATACATTACAAATGTATTCAAAAAATTTAACCCTTCTCAAAAATCATAAAAATGATTCTTATTTATTCTCATTGTGTTAATTTCTTTTAATTATATATTCCTGTCGCTTGTGTACTATTACTACTATATTACTTTTCTTTATTTCTTGTGTTGCCATTGCAGGGTTTAAATTATATTTTTTGCGCTTACTGAAAAAAATGTGTTTATCTACTAATATAACTTATTGTTGCTTCTCTAATGTGCTAAACATTAATTAATCATAAATTTTGTTTAAATTGTTTGAAATGGCAATAAATGCAATTCAATTTAAATATTAATCGGTTTTATATAAAACATTAGTTTTAAATTCCATAAGTAAAATAAAATAATTCTATTTTATAAATACAAATACACCCCATACACGCACATAACATATTCTCTCTCTCCCTCTCAATACATTAGTAATATAACATTTATGTTAGAGTAAAGTGGTTCTCTATCTTATTCTATTTCGTCTGATTTTATTTTAAATTTAAGTATAGGTGCAAAGAGCAAATGTAAAAAGATTAGAAATAATAAATAATAAGCATGTAATTCTTAACGTATTAATATTTCTATTAATATTATATTGTATTTTAATCGTTTCTCTCTAATAGCATAATTACACGAGACTAGTAAAATTGTATCGATAAAGCATTTGATATTATTCTTGAACATAGACGAGTGCCATTATATATATATATATATATATATCAGATTAAATTAAACATAAAAACCATTAATAACCATATATTGTATCACATATATAATAAATTGTCAAATTATTGTTTAGTAGATCTTATATCCTTTATATAAAATAATTGCTGTAATTTTTCTTATGTTTATTCCCTTTTTTTCATGTACAAAAACGATTGGAAAGACATGATGTATTTTGTTGTACAATTTCTATTTATTTTCTTTTTTAACAAAAGAATTATTCTTATAGGTATCTGAAATAGAAACAGGAATGTTTTTCTTAACACTATTGTTGAACAGCGGCTTATTATTTATTGACGCTTCTGCTGCCAACAAAAATTTGAGAAATGATTGCGGCATTGAACCTAATTATCGTTTGCCAAACCATGTAATACCGGAGATGTATTACGTTAAATTATGGAGACCTAACGAAATAGGCAATCGAATCTTTTTTTACTCCAACGAAATTAAGATTAAGATAAATATCCTTGAGCCAACGCAAAATATAAGTTTACATGCGCATCACTACTTAAAAATTCGTTATTTCGCACTGACGAAAAAAAGTAATAGGAACGTTTACAAACTATTAAAATATGAATATTGCAATAAAACGGAAATTATGACTTTTTATTTGGAAATTACATTGAGAGAAGGGAAATATTTTTTGGATTTAAATTTCAATAATAATTTAATGATGGATGATGTCTTCTTCTCGTCTTATATAAAAGAAGGAGGAAAAAATGGGTGAGTAAATATTAAAATATTTGAAAAAAAAGCAGTAGCTTTATATAATACTCTATAAACATCAATAACTATAATTTTATAAAAATTATTAACAAAAACATATCCCTGTCTCGTAAATTTCTTAACGAAGAAAAAATTTTAATCGTATTTCTTTCGTAAAGTACTTTAAATTTTATTAGATTTAATTAGTTATATGTTTCAGCTGTTAATATATATAAATATTAAACAATAGCGTTCGATTTTCATATTCGAGAGTTAACACCATAAACATTATATAGAATGTATTACGAATGTTATTCTTAAGAAATGGGAATATTTACTTATTAAGATAAATAGTTTATTTATTGTACACACATACTATATATATTTTTCTGTAAAGTTTAATAGTATTAGAATTAAATTTCTTTCGGTCTGAATGAGCTGAATTGGAATTAAAATAATTTGAACCTTGTTCACATAAATCACATATTATATATGATAGCTTCTAGTACTTTTAAATTTCTTAATCTAGTACTTTTGTATAAAAGCAATAATTGAAAACTTATCGCATTAAAAGCATTTTATTAATTGTGTTGTTAGGACGTTGCTTGTCTCATATTTCAAGACAATTGGAGCTCGACGAATATTTCCATGTTGGGACGAGCCAAAATTTACGGCCGCCTTTCGCATTTCAGTATGCCATGATAAAAATTATTTGGTTGAATCGAATATAATGCTACGCAGACAGTATTCAGAGGATAATAACACAAGATGGTTATGGTCAGTCTTCGAAACTACTCCTAAAATACCCACTTATCTCCTAGCAGTTATGTATTCCGATCTTGGCGAAACGTATATAAGGAATACTCCCTATGTATGGCGTAGAAAACTTTTAGACCAATACATACAATTTGGACGAGATGTTATTACGAAGGTCACAGAACATTTTTTTTCCCATATGATGTTTTTTTGCCAACAATTCGATATAAATTGCGATATGGAACCAACCGTACGGCATATTCTAATCCCGGGTTATCAATACGATGACATAGACAGTAATAGGAGGCTCGTTTTTTATAGGTAATATATATAACTAACAAGAATATATTAATTTATTCATTGATAAAATTACTTTATTAAGTAAAATTACTTTATTAAGTTCTTATTGAAATTTATCACTAGTAAGTCTAAATACATAATCACTTGTTTCGAGTACTTAAATTACGAATCGATGTCGATTTGATGTCTTTTCTACCGATTGTTTCTGACTGGGTAGAAATAAGTGATTATTTGGCCTTACTAGTGACAAATTTCCATAACGGAGTGCAAAATTGAGGAAATCAAAAATATTTTCATAACTACGATATGACTATTTCAGCAAACAGGTTTAATGTGCGCATAATATTTTAATGGATCAATCTATCGAACACAACGAACATTTATATTAATATATATTACACATTTATTTATATAATACAATTTAAATGTATCATGTTATTTACAAGAAATTTTTAAAAAATAAATATAAAAAGCAATTTAATTTAGGTACATAAAATACAATAATAGAAAAATAGAAATTTATATATATATATATATATATATATATATATATATATGTTATATATATATGCATAATTTGTTCACATATCTTTTTTAAATAGCTGATATATAACTAATAAAGATAATGAGAAAATTGTTTTAATATTTAATATATCAAATGTTCGTTTAGAAGTTATGAGCATAATATATTTTTAAAATTTTACATTTCTGGTTCAATGAAGAAATCTTGTTTGCTGAAAATCAAAATTATCAAACTTTGTGTTTTTATTTATTGAAGAAAAAAGTGTATATATATTTGTTTGACTTAATATTTCTGAACTAATATATATGTATGTATAATAACAATGTAATAAAAATATTAAAATATGCATTTAATAAGAACTTTGCAGAAAATTATATTATTATTAACTATGATATATAAATAATTTTTAGAGAAATAGATTTCATATATGATGAAGAAATAGATCCTGTTGCTCATAAAACAAAAGTAGCGTATTTAATAGCACGTAAATTGGCGCACCAATGGTTTTGTAATCTGGTCAGTCCATCTTGGTGGTCTGACCTCTGGCTGAATGAAGGTGTTGCTACAATATTCGCAATAGATGCTGTCGACAAGGTTGTTTTTTAATATCTTTTATTATCTTTTAGCAGTAATTTGCTTCTGCAGTTAAAAATATGCATGTATCATTGCATTCCGTATTATATGCAAATTAATAAACATGTTTTATTTGTTAAAGTTAAAATATTAATTAAATATATATATATATATATATATATATCAAAATAATTCTTTTCCACTTTTATAAACCTTTATTACATTATATTAAAATTAAAAAATTCTCCATTTTTTGATTACATCTATTTAATCTCAATTATCTGTCATCTTAATCTTATCTAATTTTTAATTAAATTTATAAATCTTATTAATTATACAATGATATATACAAAATAGTAAAATTATATTTTTCAGCAGTAAGGTGCAATATCGCACGTTATATTCACAACTTACAATAATTTTCTATCATAATGTGCAATATTGCAAATAAAATCATTTTTTCTAAATGAGCATTTATTTAATTATAAATCAACATTTTCATTTCTAGATTCTCATAAATTCCCAGATGTTGGATTTATTCGTGGTACAAATCCAACATGATTCTCTTTATTTGGATAGTTCTCACTATCAGTTTATGCTGCCTCTTATATCACGGATTAATAATATGTCAGAAATTAAATCACTTTCTTTTTCCCGTTACATTAAAGGTAAGGCTAAATAAATGTAACTACAAGCGTTTATAATTCGTGAATGTAAATGCCATAAAGACATAAAGCTTTAAATAAGTGCATCTACAATTTATTGGTACATTAAGTTTGTCTTATAAAAAAGTGAGAAAATGATAATTAAATAACTTTTATGAAAATAATTTGCATCAAATCATGATATATACAGTTACAAACTTTAATCGCTGAAATTAATTTTAAACATGATTGCATTTTATAATGTAAATTATTATAGCACCTGCAATAATGCGCATGTTACAACATATACTAACAACGGAGGTATTTCAAAAAGGTTTCAACATATATCTACGTAGAAAGTAAGTAATAATTGCAATATATAATAAATATGTACACAATATTAGAGAATTAAGCATGATAAAATGTAATAGATTATACTTGAAATAAATAATTAATTTAAATTGCTTTTTGAAAAAGAATCTTTCGATGAAAATATACTTACACTTTCATAAGACTCGCGCGAGACTCCATACCCCATCCATTCTTCACACTGCGCGGCTCCCGCGAGACTGATTGTCGTGTGAGGTATCGTGACTATCATGAGCAGGAGACCGTACTCTCGTGATTAGTGGATCCTCTGGCCATGTGACCACTGGTCATGTGACCATCGGTACCGCGCTCCCGATATCTCGCACGAGAGTCAGTCTCGCACGAACCGCACAGCGTGGTAGATGTGTCGGTTATAGAGTCTCGCGCGAGTCTAATGAAAGCGCAAATATATTTTGATTGAAAGATTCTATTTTAGAAAGGGATTTAAATTAATTTTTCATTTTAAGCATTATTTATTACACTTATAGTACTTAATTCTCTAATGATATGTACATATATCATTAAACAACTGTCATCGCGCGAATCCCAGTGAGAAATGATTCGACATCGATTCGACAACGAATTGACGTCGACTCGACCATCATTTCTCACTGGGATATTAACAACTTGGCAGTCGTAAAATGATTAATAGGAGTAGAAATAATATCAAAGACACGCGCAAAAAGCGCGCGTATCCCTTACAGAAATATAGCGCTAGTAGGTCCAATTAATCACTTATTTCAATTACATAAATTACTGTATATCAGTAATTTTAGTACTTGAAATAAGTGATTAATTGGACTTACTAGTGATAAATTTTTATAAGAGATGTAGTATAGTTTTAAATTAAATTTTAAATTATTATATAAAAATTATGTCATCAATTAATACACTGATAAATTGTTAATTATAATGGTAATGTTATATTTTCTAATATGATCTCTATTATGATGTTTACACTGTCAACAACATTATTTTTTATAAATTTACAGCATGCATAAATCGGCAACTCTCGACGATTTCTGGACCGCCATGCAAACTGCATTAAATGCATCATCATTTAAAAGACATGTTTCATTTAATGTATCAGAAAGAATGGATGCTTGGTTAAAATGTCGACATTATCCTGTTATAAATGTAACACAAGAAAGTCCTACAAATATAACAGTATCGCTAACAGAATCTTCTATGAGTTCTTGGTGGATACCTGTAAGCATTACTACTGAGACTAAATCCAATTTTGACGAAGCTCTTGGCGAACAGTGGATACCTCCGCACAATTTTAATTGCACATTTTCCTTGCCATATGAGGAAAATGGTTGGATCATAGCCAATTTAAAACAAGCTGGTAAATATATTAGTAACTGATAAATACATTATATTGCTATCTCAAGCAAGCGCACGTGAAACGATGTCATTTCAATGTAAAATAACGTACGTTTGTTAGCACTTTTATACTATATTATATACTTATTAACGTTAGTAGTTTTTATAAACGTATAAAATGTGTCATAAACATATTCGATAAAATTATAACATGAAGAAATCTACGCCATATATATATATATATATATATATATATATATATATTAAATTATATACATATATTGCTGTTTAATCTAAATTATTCTTAAATATAATTTATTACTATTAGAGGAAAAATAAATAATTTTCTGCAAAATTTTCTATGTGTGCAGCTCTATATTTCGGAACAGCATTATATAATTTTAACAATAATAATTTTACAAATAATGTACAAATTATAATCTTTTTTATGATAGGACCAATCTCTATTTTTGTGTTCTTTGAATATAAAACAAAAAAAATATGCAACTATATCTAGAAATAATATATTTAATCTAATCAGAAGAATTTTATAATGAAGGAAATTTATTTATTTTACAACAGGATATTATCGCGTCTATTATGATTATGAGAATTGGCAAAAAATTGCGAATTATCTGAATTCTTCAAACTATTCAAATATACATGTTCTAAATCGTGCTCAAATTATCGATGATGCATTTTATTTTATCACAATAAAAAAGCTTAGACCCGCTATATTTTGGGAACTCGCGAACTATCTATCGCGAGAAAAAGAATACATAGCATGGTATCCTATGATCAAAGCGATTGAACGTATGTCGAGTATCTTCCCATTTCCAAGATTACGTAACATCAAGGTAAATAGGAACAGATTTCTTTATCAATAAAAAGTAGTACATACATAAGTAGTAGTACATAAGTTGTTACGTACAAAACATAAAATTTTATATCAAAGATTTTGTGTTAATTTTAATAAAAACTGTAATTATTTATATCATATATATATGCATACATATATTGTCATAAGCAACAACACAAACTATAAATACAAATATAAATTTCATATTGTTTTACTATTTTAGATGAAATTGAGGAATATACTGAGTAAGCTTCTTACGGAAATAAAATACGTCGAAAGTTCTGATGATAGTGATAATATGAAATCTTTAAGGCAAGAAAGTGTCAAATGGGCATGCATTCTCGATCTTGACGAATGTATCTCTATGGCCGAACAGACATTTGATCGGCATCTGTTAAATCCTAAAGAGCATAAGTAATTTTTCTCATAAACAATATTACAGCTTTTGATAACCCGATATTTTATAACTCGCGCAATACTCCGTATTATTTGATCAAGATATTTCAGACTATAAACTTTTGTAACACTACTTTTTGATTTTGTTTCTAAATATTAGAATTTTGCCATCATGGAAAGAATGGACATACTGTAATTGTCTTAAGGGGGCAAAAAGTAATGTACTTTGGCCAAAAGTATTTCATTTATGGCAAACTACACATGATAATAATATTTTGAAATTCTTAACTTGCACTGAAATGAAAACAGTGATTGAACTGCTTCTTTCGACAATCAAGGAAGAACATATAATTCTCAAATTTAGTGTTAAAGACCGTATTAATCTTTATTTTATTTTTATTGCAAAACATATAAAGAATAATGAAATATTAGAGACGTTTGAAACTTTCAAACCGAGGTAATGATACTTTTCTGCAAAAAATATTATATTCATAATTATATAAGTTTGTTAAATATACTATTTATAATTCTGCTATTTTATTTATATAGGGAAATCAGTACGACTGCAGCATTAATTCACATCATTAATCATGTGTATTTTAAGGGTCAACTTGAGAAGGTAAATTATATAAAACTCAGTACCTTATTTATATTTATTAGCTTTTGATAACCAAACTGAATTATATCTTTACGTATATCATATAACTACACACACACAATTTTATCTCACTTACATTAAAATTATAAAACGTTAGAACATTTATGTCGCAAAAATTGTTATATGTTATAGTTTTTAATGCGATGAGTAATTATTTATTAACAATGAGCATAAAAATAATTTATTTCAGATAAGGACATTTGTGAACAAGAACATAAAACAAAATTCAAATTTTCAACATAAGTTAGAACTACGCTTGTCTCAAATCAAGCATCTGAAAAACTATTTTAAAATTTCAAAATTTGACGATATTCACAAAAGTGAATAATCAATCAAGCAAAAATAATATTCTACAATGCTCTTATGGTTAGATTTACCTATATAATTATATTTAAGATTTCTATATTTGTTCCCCTTATTAAATATATATATTATATATTTATTTAATGAATATTGTTTCAATATTTTTGTAATTATTTTTCATATCTCTCTAATATTATTTTTATTACTATATATATATTAATATAATAATATGTTACTAATTATAAATTATCACTATTAATTTGTATGGAGTTATATAAAGTATATATATTAAGATTTATTATCAATTTTATAACAATAAAAAAATTGTAATATAAACTTTAAATAAATAAATTTTAAATATTATTATATGTTAGTACTTATATATATATGATAAATATTAGTTTCAATAAGTTTATATCCTGCTAATGAAATACATATTCAAATAAGATGTTTATAGAACATCTCTCTCTCTCTCTTCTCTCTCTCTCTCTCTCTCTATATATATATATATATATATATATATAGAGAGAATATAATTTTATATAATTACACATACATAATATGTTCCCTTTGAAAAATATTTTAAATTTAACGGGAATGTTATTTGTCTTATTTTTTATTGACTTGCCAGCAAAACATTATATATGCTATGTTGACTTAGTCAACATTGCTTACCTGGAATTGTGGGGATTATAGGTTTATTACAACTAAAGTATCGACAGCGGCGTCAGTTTCCGGTGTTCGCTGAGAGTGGTAAGAAATTATGTAAACATATATGTATTATTGATTTAATAGTTTGTGATAATACAAATGTGTCAATTGTAATTGTAATTGTTATAAAGAGAAATGTATTTTAATTCGCACGTAATTACAATTACAGACACAGGATGTATTACCGATACATTTAAAAAATTTTACCTTCTCAAAAATTATTAAAATAATTCTTATTTATTCTCATTTTGTTAATTTTATTTAATTATATTCCTGTCGCTTGTGTACTATTACTACTATATTACTTTATTTTATTTCTTAGTTTTTATTTCTTGAGCTGCCATTGCAATGTTTAAATTATATTTTTTGCTTATTGAAAAAAGAATATATTTATGTTATATAACTTGAGCTTCTAATGTGCAAAGCATAAATTAATCATGAATTTTGTTTAAATCGTTTGAAATAGCAAAAAATGCTATCAAACTATATATTTTTGTTTTTGTATAAGACATTAGTTTTAAATACCATAAATAAAATAAAATAATTCTATTTTATAAATACAAATACACCCCATACACGCACATAACATATTCTCTCTCTCCCTCTCAATACATTAGTAATATAACATTTATGTTAGAGTAAAGTGGTTCTCTATCTTATTTTATTTCGTCTGATTTTATTTTAAATTTAAGTGTACGTGCAAAGCGCAAACGTAAAAAAATTAGAAATAAAAAATAGTTAGCACGTAATTCTTAACGTATTAATATTTCTATTAATATTATAATGTATTGACAGTTTCTCTTTAATAGCATAATTAGGAGACCGGTAAAATTTTATCGCTACAACATTTAACATTATTTTCACAAATAAACGAGTGGCATTATATTTAAATATATTATCAGTTTAAATTAACCATTGTATCATATACATATAATAAATGGTCAAATTTTTGTTAAATACATCTTATATCCTTTATATAAAATAATTGCTGTAATTTTTCTTATGTTTATTCCTTTTTTTTCATGTATAAAAACGATTTGAAAGACATGATGTATTTTGATGTACAATTTGTATTTATATTCTTTACTAACAAAAGAATTGTTCTTATAGGTACCTGAAATAGAAACAGAAATGTTATTCTTAGCACTATTGTTGAACAGCGGCTTATTATTTATTGACGCTTCTGCTGTCAACGAAAATTTGAGAAATGATTGCAGCATTGGACTTAATTATCGTTTGCCGAACCATGTAATACCGAAGCTTTATTACGTTAAATTATGGAGACCTAACAAAATAGGCAATATAATCCTTTCTTCCTCCAACGAGATTAAGATTAAGATAAATATCCTTCAGCCAACGCAAAATATAAGTTTACATGCGCATCACGACATAAAAATACTTCAATCCACGCTGATGAAAGAAAATGATATGAACGTTTACAAACCATTAAAATATAAATATTGCAATAAAATGGAAATTATGACTTTTTATTTTGAATCTACATTGTCAACAGGGAATTATACTTTAGCCATAAATTTCAATAATGATTTAAAGAAGGATGTTACCTACTTATCATCTTATATAAACGAAGGAGGAAAGAATGGGTGAGTAAATATTAAAATATTTAAAAAATAACAGCATTTTTATATAATACTGTAAACACCCACCACACACACACCACATCGATCATTATAATTTTTTTTAGAAATTATTGACAAATAACATATTCTTCTATATCATAAATTTTTTAACGAAAAAGAAATTGTGATCGTATTTCTTTCGTAATGTACTTTAAATTTTATTAGACTTATATTAGTTATATTTCTTTCGTAATGTACTTTAAATTTTATTAGACTTAAATTAGTTAAATTTTTTAAGCTGTTAATATAGATATTAAACAATTGCGTTCAATTTTTACATTCGAGAGTTAACACCATAAAAACTACACAGAACGTACACATTATGAAAGTTATTCTTAAGAAATGGATATATTTACCTATTGAGATAAATAGATTTATATTTATTATACATACATAATATATATGTATATATATATATTTTTTTTTCTGTAAAGTTTAGTAATATTGAAATGTTACGAAATATTTTTTCGCTGTGAATAAGCTGAATAGGAATTAAAATAATTTGAACCTTGTCTATAAATCAAATTTTATATGGCAGCTTTTACCTTTATGGAAATTTATCACTAGTAAGTCTGAATAATCACTTATTTCAAGTACTATATATACAGTAATTTTAGTACTCGAAATAAATGATTATTTGGACTAACTAGTATGATAAATTTCCATAAGAGTAGTACTTTTAAATTTCTTAATCTACTACTTTTGTATAAAAGCAATAATTGAAAACTTATCGCATCTAAAACATTTTATTAAATGTGTTGTTAGGATGTTGCTTGTCTCATATTTCAAGGCAATTGGGGCTCGACGAATATTTCCATGCTGGGACGAGCCGAAATTTACGGCTGTCTTCCGCATTTCAATATGTTTCGATAAAAATTACACGATTGAATCGAATATGCCGCTACGCAAACAGTATCTAGATAAAAATAACACGAGGTGGTCATGGTCAATCTACCAAAAGACTCCTAAAATACCTACTTATCTCATAGCTTTTATGTTTTCCGAATACCATGGCGGATCGTATGCAAGAAAGATTCCTTATGTATGGTGTAGAAAACCTTCAGAACAATATGTACAATTTGCACGAGATGTTGCTACAAATGTCAGAGATCATTTTCACCATCAAATCAATATGAAGAGCGAAATATACGAACCAAGCGTACTGCACGTTTTAATCCCGGGTTATCAATACGATGCCATAGACAATAATTGGTGGCTCGTTTTTTACAGGTAATATATATAACTAACTAGAATATATTAATTTATTAACTGATAAAATTACTTTATTTAGTAAAATTACTTTATTAAAAAAAGTGTAAAATTGAGGAAATCAAAAATATTTTCATAACTACGTTATGACTATTTCAATAAACTTTAATGAGCATATATAGAACGTAACGTACATTTATATATAATACACATTTATTTATATAATACAATATAATTTTATCATGTAGTTTTATTTAACAAAAAATGATTTTAAGAATAAATATAAGATACTATTTAATTTAGTTATATAAAATACTCCAGATAGCCACAGTAATTATTATGACATCATTTTAATCAAAATGATGTTATAATAATTACTGTGGCTATCTGGGACAATAATAAAAATATAGAAATTTATATATATACATATATGCATAATTTGTCAACATATCTTTTTTTAAATAGCTAATAAAGATAATAAGAAGATTATTTTAATATTTAATATATCAGATGTTTGTCTCAAAATTACGAACATTATATTATATATATTTAAAATTTAAATTTCTTGTTTAATTTTTAGAGAAATAGACTTCATATATGATGAAAAAATAGATCCTGTTGCTCACAAAATAAAAATAGCGTATTTAATAGCACGTAAATTGGCGCACCAATGGTTTTGTAATCTGGTCAGTCCATTGTGGTGGTCTGACCTCTGGCTGAATGAAGGTGTTGCTACAATATTCGCAATAGATGTTGTCGATAAGGTTGTTTCTTAAAAATGCACATTAATAAATGCACATTAATAAATGCGAATTAATAAATAGTTTTTCTTCGTTAAAGTTAAAATGTTAATTAAATATATATAGTATCAAAATAATTCTTTTCAATTTTATAAACCCTTATTACATTATATTAAAATCAAAAAAGTCTCTATTTTCTGATTAAATCTATTTAAACTCTATTATCTTTAATCTTAATCTTATCTAATTTTATATTAAATTTAAAAATCTTATTTTGATATATATAAAATAGTAAAATTATATTTTTCAGCATTAACGTGCAATATTGCACGTTATACTCACATCTCACAATAATTTCCTGTCATAACGTGCAATATTGCAAATGCGATCATTTTTTTCTAATTGAGCATTTATATTTGATTATAAAATCAACATTTTTATTTCTAGATTCTCATAAATTCTCAGATGTTGGATTTATTCGTGGTGCAAGTCCAACATGATTCTCTTTATTTTGATAGTTCTCGGTATCAATTTATGCTGCCTCTTATATCACGGATTAATAATCTATCAGAAATTAATTCACTTTCTTTTTCCCGTTACATTAAAGGTAAAACTAAGTAAATATAATTACAAGAGTTTATAATTCGTGAATGTCATAAAGGAACAAAGCTTTAAATAAATGTATCTACAATTTATTGGTACATTAAGTATGTTTCATAAAAAAGTAAGAAAAAGATAATTAAATAACTTTTATAAAATTAATTTTTGTGCATCAAATCATGATATATAGTCATAAACTTTGGACGCTAACATTAATTTTAAACATGATTACATTTTATAATGTAAATTATTATAGCACCTGCAATAATGCGCATGTTACAACATATACTAACCACGGAAGTATTTCAAAAAGGTTTCAACATATATCTACGTAAACAGTAAGTAATAATTGTAATATATAATAAATATGTAACACATCATTAGACAATTAAACACGATAAAATGTAATAGATTATACTTGAAATGAATCGGTCCCGCGCTCACACACATAATATCTCGCACGAGAATCAGTTTCGCGCGAACCGCGCAGCGTGATGGATGCATGGGTTATGGAGACTCGCACGAGTCTAATGAAAGCGTAAATATATTTTGATCGAAAGATTCTATTTCAAAAGAGGATTTAAATTATTTTTTTATTTTAAGTATAATTTATTACTTATAGTGCTTAATTCACTAATGATATGTACATATCATCAAGCAACTGTAATCGTGCGAATATTAATAACTTGACAGTTGTAAAATTAATAATAAAAATAATAATAGAGGCATGCGCAAAGAGCGCGCTTATCTCTTATAGAAATTTAGCACTAGTATGTCCAATTAATCATATATTTCAAATACATAAATTACTATATATCAGTAGTTTAAGTACTCGAAATAAGTTATTAGTTGGGCTTACAAGTGATAAATTTCTGTAAAAGATGTAGTCTAGTTTTAAATTAAATTTTAAATTATTATAAGTATATAAAAGTTATGTCATCAATTAATACACTGATAAATTGTAAATCATATGATAGTAATGTTATATTTTCTAATATAATCTCTATTTTAATGTTTATACTGTCAACAACATTAATTTTTATAAATTTATAGCATGTTTCAATCGGCAACTCTGGACGATTTCTGGACCGCCATGCAAACTGCATTAGATAAATCATCATTTATAAAATATTCATTTAATGTATCAGAAAGAATGGATGCTTGGTTAAAATATCGACATTATCCTATTATAAGTGTAACACAAAATAGTCCTACTTATATAACAGTATCGCTAGCAAAATCCTCTACGAGTTATTGGTGGATACCTGTAAGCATTACTACTGAGACTAAATCCAATTTTGACGAAACATTTTTACTTGGCGGACAGTGGATAAATCCACACAATTTTAATTGCACATTTTCCTTGCCGTATGAAGAATATGGTTGGATCATAGCCAATTTAAAACAATTTGGTAAATATAATATTAACTGATAAATACATTATACTTACTGCTTATTAGACATTATATCATACAAGCGCACGTAATTTTGACGTTAAATAATACCATTTTGTTGACAAAGAACGTGCATTTCTTAGGACGTTTGTACTATTAATATGTTTATTAGCGTTGGTTTTTATAAAAGCATAAAATATGTCATAAATATATTCGATAGAATTATTACATTAAGTAATTTACGAGATATATATATATATATATATATATATATATATATATATATATATATATCGTAATAATTTAGCAATATATATATATATATATATATATATATATATATATATATATATATATATATATATATATATATATATATATATATATATATATATGCTATTTAATCTAAATTATTCTTCAATATAATTTATTACATATAGAGAAAAAATAAATAATTTTCTACAAAACTCTCAGCGCAGCTCTATATTCCGAAACAGCATTATATAATTATAAGAATAATAATTTTACAAATAATGTACAAGATATAATCTTTTTTATGATATGAGCAATCTCTATTTTTGTGTTCTTTGAATATAAAACAAAAAAATATGCAACTATATCTAGAAATAATATATTTTAATCTAATCAGAAGAATTTTATAATGAAGGAAATTTACTTATTTTACAACAGGATATTATCGCGTTAATTATGATTATGAGAATTGGCAAAAATTGCGAATTATCTGAATTCTCCAAACTATTCAAATATACATGTTCTAAATCGTGCTCAAATTATCGATGATGCATTTTATTTTATTACAATAAAAAAGCTTAGACCCGCTATGTTTTGGGAACTCGCGAACTATCTATCGCGAGAAAAAGAATACATAGCATGGTATCCTATGATCAAAGCGATTGAACGTATGTCGAGTATCTTCCCACATCCAATATTACGTAACATCAAGGTAAATAGGGACAGATTTCTTTATCAATAAAAAGTAGTACATAAGTTGTTACGTACAAAACATAAAATTTTATATTAACGATTTTGTGTTAACTTCAATAAAAATTGTAATTATATATATCATATACATATGCATACATATATTGTGCCTTTTTTCATAAGCAACAACACAAACTATAAATATAGATATAAATTTCATATTATTTTACGATTTTAGGAAAAAATAATGTATATATTGGATGCTCTTCTTAAGGAAATAACATACGTGGAAAATTCTGACGATAGTGATAATATGAAATCTTTAAGACAAGAAAGTGTCAAATGGGCATGCATTCTCGATCTTGACGAATGTATCTCTATGGCCGAACAGACATTTGATCGGCATCTGTTAAATCCTAAAGAGCATAAGTAATTTTTCTCATAAAAGATATTACAGCTTTTTATAATCCGATATTTTATAACTCGCGCAATACTTCGTATTATTCGATCAAGATACCTCAGACTATAAACTTTTGTAACACTACTTTCTGATTTTGTTTCTAAATATTAGAATTTTGCCATCATGGAAAGAATGGATATACTGTAATGGTATTAAGGGGAAAAAGGCTTATAAAATTTGGACAAAAGCATTTGATTTATGGCAAACTACACATGATAATAGTATTTTGAAATTTTTAACTTGCATTGCAAAGAAAGATGTGCCTAACATACTTCTTTTCGCATTAAATAAGAAAGAACGTGATATTTTCAAATTAAGTGTTAAAGACAGTATTAATTTTTATTTTATTATTATTGAAAAACATATAAAGAATAATAAAAGGTTATTAGAGAATATAATAAAGAATTTTGAAAATTTAAAACCGAGGTAATAATACTTTTCTATAAAAATAAATATTATATTTATAATTATATGAGTTTGTTAAATATACTAATTATAATTCTGCTATTTAATTTATATAGGAAAATCAGTACGATAGCAGCATTAACTCACATCATTAATCATATATGTCATAACAACCATCTTGAGAAGGTAAATATTATATAAAACTCGATACCTTATATATATATATTTATTTATTTATTAGATTTTGGTAAAAAAACTGAATTATATCTTTACATATATCATGATTACACACACACACACACACACACACACACACATACACACATACACATTCTCTTTTACCTTACTTACATTAAAATTATAAAGCGTTAGATTATGTATGCCGCGGAAAAATATTACATGTTATAGTTTTTAATGCGATGAGCAAATATAAACAATGAACATAAAAATAATTTATTTCAGATAAGAACATTTGTGAACAAGAACATAAAACAACAAAGTTTAGACTTTCACCGTAAGCTAGAACTACGCAGGTCTCAAATCAAGCAGCTGAGAAACTATTTTTCGTATTTTGAAATTTGACAATATTCACAAAAATGAATGATCAATCAAGCAAAAATAATAACTATAATGCTCTTATATTTGTATTTATCTATATAATTATATAGAAAGTTTCTATATTCTCTTCCCTTATTAATTGTATATTATATATCTATTTAATGTGAATATTGTTTTAATATTTTTATAGATATTTCTAATATTTCTCTAATATTATTTTTATCACTATATATATATATATATATATATATATATATTAATGTAATAATATGTTACTTATTATATATTATCACTATTAATTTGTATGGAGTTATATAAAGTTTATATCAATATTTATTATAAATTTTTTTAACAATAAAAATTGTAATAAAGATGTTAATATAAACTTTAAATTTTAAATAAATTTTAAATATTATTATAATTTGTTAGTATTTATATATATATATATATATATATATATATATATATGATAAATATTAGTTTCAATGTGTTTAAATCCTGCAAGTGGTATACATATTCGTATAAGATGTTCATAGAGTATCTCTCTAGAGGATGTAATTATATACAATTACATATACACAATATGTGCTTTTTAAACATATTTTAAATTTAACGGGAATGTTATTTGTTTTATTTTTTATTGATTTGCCAGCAAAACATTATATGTAAGACCTTATCAAAATTGTTTACATACAATTGTGGGGATTATAAGTTATTTATTATATATACGACTGAAGCACCGAGACAGTATAGTCAGGTTTCGGTGTTCTCTGAGAATGGTAAGAAGTTATATACACATATTAATTTAATAGTTTGTGATAATATAAAAATGTCAACTGTAATGTAATTGTTACAAAGAGAAATATATTTTAATCGGCACATAATTTCAATTACAGATACATGATACATTACCGTTACATTCAAAAATTTAATCTTCTCAAAAATTATTAAAATAATTCTTATTTAGTCTCATTTTGTTAATTTCTTTTAATTACGTTCCCGTCGCTTGTGTACTTCCCAGCCAGAAATAATAGTTAAATCGACGTCAAATCGACATGGAATCGACCGATTATTTCTGACTGGGTATTACTATTATATTACTTCTTTTTATTTCTTATTTTTTATTTCTTACTTTTTATTTCTTGTGCTGCCATTGCAGTGTTTAAATTATATTTTAAGTTATATTTTTTACGCTTATTAAAAAAGGAATGTGTTTACCTAGTATAACTTATTGTTGCTTCAAATGTGCGAAACATAAATTAATCATGAACTTTGCTTAAATCGTTTGAAATTGCAATAAATGCAATTCAAACTAAATATTAATCGTTATTATATAAGACATTAATTTTCAATATCATAAAAAAAATAGAATAACTTTATTTTATAAATACAGATACACCCCATACATGGACATATACATATTCTCTCTCTTTCTCTCTTATTATAGTAGTAAAATAATATTTATGTTAGAGTAAAAAAAAGTGATTCTCTATTTTATTTTATTTCGTATAATTTTATATTTTAAGTTTAAGTATTTGTGCAAAGTGTAAATATAGAAAGATTAGAAATAATAAATAATTAACATATAATTCTTAACGTATTAATGTTTCTATTAATATTATGTAATGATAGCTTCTCTCTATATAATAGCATAGTTACAGGAGTAATAAAAAGAGAGAGATTTTTATGCATATATAAAATATTTTTCGCTAAAGCATTTAATATTATTCTCAAAAATAGTTAAGAATGTTATTATAATTAAATACATTATCAGGTTAAATTAAGCATTAATATATTGTACCATATATAATAAATAGATCTTGTATCCTTTAGATAAAAGAATTGCTGTAATTTTTCTTATGTTTATTTCTTCTTTTTTTTGTATAAAAACGATAGGAAAAACACGATGTATTTTGTTGGACGATTAATTTGTATTTATAGTTTTTTTCTAACGAAAGTATTGTTCTTATAGGTGTCTGAAATAGAAACAAGAATGTTATTTTTAGCACTGTTGTTGAACAGCGGCTTATTATTTATTGACGCTTCTGCTGTCAACGAAAATTTGAGAAATGATTGCAGCATTGGACTTAATTATCGTTTGCCGAACCATGTAATACCGAAGCTTTATAACATTAAATTATGGAGACCTAACAAAATAGGCAATATAATCCTTTCTTCCTCCAACGAGATTAAGATTAAGATAAATATCCTTCAGCCAACGCAAAATATAAGTTTACATGCGCATCACGACATAAAAATACTTCAATCCACGCTGATGAAAGAAAATGATATGAACGTTTACAAACCATTAAAATATAAATATTGCAATAAAATGGAAATTATGACTTTTTATTTTGAATCTACATTGTCAACAGGGAATTATACTTTAGCCATAAATTTCAATAATGATTTAAAGAAGGATGTTACCTACTTATCATCTTATATAAACGAAGGAGGAAAGAATGGGTGAGTAAATATTAAAATATTTAAAAAATAACAGCATTTTTATATAATACTGTAAACATCGATCATTATAATTTTTTTTAGAAATTATTGACAAATAACATATTCTTCTATATCATAAATTTTTAACGAAAAAGAAATTGTGATCGTATTTCTTTCGTAATGTACTTTAAATTTTATTAGACTTATATTAGTTATATTTCTTTCGTAATGTACTTTAAATTTTATTAGACTTAAATTAGTTAAATTTTTTAAGCTGTTAATATAGATATTAAACAATTGCGTTCAATTTTTACATTCGAGAGTTAACACCATAAAAACTACACAGAACGTACACATTATGAAAGTTATTCTTAAGAAATGGATATATTTACCTATTGAGATAAATAGATTTATATTTATCATACATACATAATATATATGTATATATATATATTTTTTTTCTGTAAAGTTTAGTAATATTGAAATGTTACGAAATATATTTTTTCGCTGTGAATAAGCTGAATAGGAATTAAAATAATTTGAACCTTGTCTATAAATCAAATTTTATATGGCAGCTTTTACCTTTATGGAAATTTATCACTAGTAAGTCTGAATAATCACTTATTTCAAGTACTATATATACAGTAATTTTAGTACTCGAAATAAATGATTATTTGGACTAACTAGTATGATAAATTTCCATAAGAGTAGTACTTTTAAATTTCTTAATCTACTACTTTTGTATAAAAGCAATAATTGAAAACTTATCGCATCTAAAACATTTTATTAAATGTGTTGTTAGGATGTTGCTTGTCTCATATTTCAAGGCAATTGGGGCTCGACGAATATTTCCATGCTGGGACGAGCCGAAATTTACGGCTGTCTTCCGCATTTCAATATGTTTCGATAAAAATTACACGATTGAATCGAATATGCCGCTACGCAAACAGTATCTAGATAAAAATAACACGAGGTGGTCATGGTCAATCTACCAAAAGACTCCTAAAATACCTACTTATCTCATAGCTTTTATGTTTTCCGAATACCATGGCGGATCGTATGCAAGAAAGATTCCTTATGTATGGTGTAGAAAACCTTCAGAACAATATGTACAATTTGCACGAGATGTTGCTACAAATGTCAGAGATCATTTTCAAATCAATATGAAGGACGAAATATACAAACCAAGCATACTGCATGTTTTAATACCGGGTTATCAATACGATGCCATAGACAATAATTGGTGGCTCGTTTTTTACAGGTAATATATACAACTAACTAGAATATATTAATTTATTAACTGATAAAATTACTTTATTTAGTAAAATTACTTTATTAAAAAAGTGTAAAATTGAGGAAATCAAAAATATTTTCATAACTACGTTATGACTATTTCAATAAACTTTAATGAGCATATATATAGAACGCAACGTACATTTATATATATTACACATTTATTTATATAATACAATATAATTTTATCATGTTGTTCCAATTAACAAAAATGTTTTTAAAAATAAATATAAGATGCTATTTAATTTAGTTATATAAAATACAATAATAAAAGTATAGAAATTTATATATATACCATACATATATGCATAATTTGTCAACATATCTTTCTTTAAATAGCTAATAAAGATAATGAGAAGATTATTTTAACATTTAATATATCAGATGTTCGTCTCAAAATTACTAGCATAATATAATTTTAAAATTTACATTTCTTGTTTAATAAAGAAATTTTGTTTGCTGAAAATCATAATTATCAAATTTCTTGTTTTTATTTATTGAAGAAAAGAAAGTATATATTGTATATATATATATAAATATATACATATGTGTTTGACTTAATATTTTTGAACTAATATATATGTGTATATAATAACAATGTACTAAAAATATTAAATTGCATACCTTTAATAAGAACTTTGCAAAAAAATTATATTATTATTAACTATATAAATAATTTTTAGAGAAATAGATTTCATATATGATGAAGAAATAGATCCTGTTGCTCACAAAACAAAAGTAGCGTATTTAATAGCACGTAAATTGGCGCACCAATGGTTTTGTAATCTGGTCAGTCCATCTTGGTGGTCTGACCTCTGGCTGAATGAAGGTGTTGCTACAATATTCGCAATAGATGCTGTCGACAAGGTTGTTTTTTAATATCTTTTATTATCTTTTAGCAGTAATTTGCAGTTTAAAAAGTGCATGTATCATTGCATCGAGTATTATATGCAAATTAATAAGTATTTTTTATTTGTTAAAGCTAAAATTCTAATTAAATAGTATCAAAATAATTCTTTTCAATTTTTATAAACCCTTATTACATTATATTAAAATAAAAAAATTCTCCATTTTCTGATTAAATCTATTTAATCTCAATTATATTTAATCTTAATCTTATCTAATTTTTAATTAAATGTATAAATCTTATTAATTATACAATGATATATAAAATAGTAAAATTATATTTTTCAGCATTAACGTGCAATATCGCACGTTATACTCACAACTCACAATAATTTGCTATCATAACGTGCAATATTGCAAATGCGATCATCTTTTTTAATTGAGCATTTATTTGATTATAAATCAACATTTTCATTTCTAGATTCTCATAAATTCCCAGATGTTGGATTTATTTGTAGTGCAGGTCCAACATGACTCTCTTTATTTAGATAGTTCTCGCCATCAATTTATGCTGCCTCTTATATCACGGATTAATAATCTATCAGAAATTAATTCACTGTCTTTTTCCCGTTACATTAAAGGTAAGGCTAACAATAAGTAAATATAATTACATGAGTTCATAATTCGTGATTGTGAATGTCATAAAGAAGTATAACTTTAAATAAATTTATCTACAATTTATTGATACATTAATTTTGTCTTATAAAGACGTGAGAAAAAGATGTAATTATAGAACTATTATGAAATTAATTCTTGTTCATCAAATCATGACATATACAGTCAGTTCGTGTTTATTTTCCACGTATATCCTTTAACTAATTTGTGACTCGATGATTATGAAGAGATATGAGAGCACGAGTCCGAGAGAATGATCCTGTGACGCAACGATTTGCATCGAATCTGAATCCAGCGATCCAGATTTAATGATGCGAAATTGATGACATTATATCGATGATTATAAATGCTTTCGTACATTATGACATTGATTTATCATTGAGTCGAAAACTGATGATTTTGCTGAATTTTGTAGCATTCTAACGTAAGATGACGAGATGAGACAAAGAAATATGTAATGAATACTTAATGAATCCTTCATCCTTCATGATCGATTATTTTTTTTGTCGCATGGCGAATATTATATCGATAATTATGAATCAATGTTAAATGAAATTGGATGCGTCGTTCTTTTAAACGAGGCAGGAAATAGTGAGTAAAGAAATGCTGAAGGAAAAAATGTAAAGAGTATTACACGTGGAAAATGTACACGAAAGTAATCACGAACTTTGGACGCTGAAATTAATTTTAAACATATTGATTATATTTTATGAATAGCACCTGCAATAATGCGCATGTTGCAACATATACTTACCAAGGAAGTATTTCGAAAAGGTTTGGACATATATCGACATGATCAGTAAGTAATGATTGTAATATAATAATTATGTACACACATTATTAAAAATTAAGCACGATAAGTATAATAGATTTTCAACTTGAAATGAATAATTAATTAAATCCCTTTTGAAAAAGAATCCTTCGATGAAAATATAGCTACACTTTCATGAGACTCACGCGAGACTCTATACCCCATATATCCTTTACCCTGCGCGGCTCGCGCGAGACTGATTGTCGTGCGAGGTATCGTGAGCGGGAAACCGTGGTCACGTGATCAGTGTATCCACTGCCCATGTGACCACTGGTCATGTGACCAACGGTGCCGCGCTCACGATACCTCCTACGAGAATCAGTCTCGCGCGAACCGCGCAACGTGATAGGTGTGTGGGTTATAGAGTCTCGCGCGAGTCTAATGAAAGCGTAAATATATTTTCATCGAAAGATTCTATTTTAAAAAGGCATTTAAATTAATTTTTTATTTTAAGTATAATTTATTACACTTATCGTGCTTAATTCTCTAATGATGTATACATACATAATCATCAAGCAACTATCATCGCGCGAAGATTAACAATTTGACAATTGTAAAATAAATAATAGAAATAATATCAAAAGCGCGCACTTAAGCGAGACAGTCTATATTAAATTAAATATTCAATATAGACTATATTAAATTAAACAGTCTATATTTAATTAAATATTTATATTAAATTATATATTATTATAGATATATACAAATTATGTAATCAATTAATACACTCTGTTAAATTACAAATTATAATAATATGTTATATTTTCTATGATCTCTATTATGTTTACACTATCAACAATAATTTTTATAAATTTATAGTATGTTTCAATCGGCAACTCTCGACGATTTCTGGACCGCCATGCAAACTGCATTAGATAAATCATTATTTAAAGAATATTCATTTAATGTATCAGAAAGAATGGATGCTTGGTTAAAATATCGACGTTATCCTGTTATAAATGTAACACACGATAGTCTTACACATGTAACAGTATCGCTAGCAAAATCCTCTATGAATTCTTGGTGGATACCTGTAAGCATTACTACTGAGACTAAATCCAATTTTGAAGACACTTTTATTCTTGACGGAAAGTGGATAAATCCACACAATTTTAATTGCACATTTTCCTTGCCGTTTGAAGAATATGGTTGGATTATAGCCAATTTAAAACAATTTGGTAAATATATTAGTAACTGATAAATACATTATGTTGCTATCTCAAGCAAGCGCACGTAATTTTGACATTAAATGATGTCATTTCAATGTAAAATAACGTACATTTGTTAGCACGTTTATACTATATTGTATAATATGCTTATTAGCGTTAGTAGTTTTTATAAACGTGTAAAATGTTTCACACACACACACATAAACAAATTCGATAAAATTAATAATATTCGATAAAATTATAACATGAAGTAATCTAAGCTATATATATTGCTATTTAATCTAATTATTCTTAAAATATAATTTATTACTTTAAAAAAAAATAAATATTTTGTACAAAATTCTCTGTGCAGCTCTATATTCCGGAGCAACATTATATACTTATAAGAATAATAATTTTACAAATAATGTACACGTTATAATCTTTTTTATGATATGAGCAATTTCTACTTTTGTGTTCTTTCAATATAAAACAAAGAATATGCAATTATATCCAGAAATAATATATTTTAATCTAATCAAAAGAATTTTATAATGAAGGAAATTTACTTATTTTACAACAGGATATTATCGCGTCTATTATGATTATGAGAATTGGCAAAAAATTGCGAATTATCTGAATTCTCCAAACTATTCAAATATACATGTTCTAAATCGTGCTCAAATTATCGATGATGCATTTTATTTTATGATAAGAAAAGAGCCTCCCAAACTTAGCCCCGCTATATTTTGGAACCTCACAAACTATTTATCGCAAGAAAAAGAATATATAGCATGGTATCCTATGATCAAAGCCATTGAACGTATGTCGAGTACCTTCTTACTTCTAGAAACAGAGAACATCCTAATCAGGGTAAATATAGGGACATATTTCTTCATCAATAAAAAGTATTACATAGATTGTTACATACAAAACATAAAATTTTATATCAATGATTTTGTGTTAATTTCAATAAATATTATAATTATATATGTATATCATATACATACAGGTATGCATACATATATTGTGCCTTTTTTTATAAGCATCAATATCAAACTATAAATATAAATATAAATTTCATATTGTTTTACTATTTTAGATGAAATTGAGGAATATACTGAGTAAGCTTCTTACGGAAATAAAATACGTCGAAAGTTCTGACGATAGTGATAATATGAAATCTTTAAGGCAAGAAAGTGTCAAATGGGCATGCATTCTCGGTCTTGACGAATGTATCTCTATGGCCGAACAGACATTGGAACGGCATCTATTAAATCCTAAAGAGCATAAGTAATTTTTCTGAAAGATATTACAGCTTCTTATAATCTGAAATTTTATAACTCGCGCAATACTTTGTTTTATTTGATCAAGATACCTCAGACTATAAACTTTGTAACTCTACTTTCTCTTTTTGATTTTGTTTCTAAATATTAGAATTTTACCATCATGGAAAGAATGGGTATATTGTAATGGTATAAAGAGGGCAACTAGTGAAATTTGGATAAAAGCATTTAGTTTGTGGCAAACTACACATGATAACAATATTTTAAAATCCTTAACTTGCATTGAAAGTTATGATAAACTTTACATACTTTTAACGCTTTCGGGATTAAAAGTACAAACTGAAGATCTCGTATTAAGTATTAAAGACCGTATTCATCTTTATTTAATATTATTGCAATGCATATAAGGAATAATGAAATATTACCATTAGAAGACATGATAAAGAAGTTAAAACCGAGGTAATGAATACTTTTTTGTAAAAAAATATTCATAATTATATGAGTTTGTTAATATACTAATTATACTTCTGCTATTTTATTTATACAGTGGAGTCAGTACGATTGCAGCATTAACTCACGTAATAATCATATAAATTGTGAAAAACACCTTGACATGGTAATTATATATAAATTTATAAAATAAATATATAATTTATATCATTTATTATTTTCGAATTTATTATTTTGTATCAGTAAATATCAAATAATTTGTTCTAGCTAAAAAAAAGTGAGCGGCTATGAAAAACTATACTATATTCAACGCAAGATTGATATACGTCTGTTTCAAATCAACAAGCAGATAAACAATCTTCGGAAAATGACCTTTTAAGTGAATTAACAGAATTTATTTAATTCGTAGGACAACATATGTACTTATCTACGTTGTGAATGCTTCTACTTTATTTATCTACTACTTATATATTTTTTCATTACTCAGTATTAATTTATTTACTCTTTCGCTTTTTAATTTTTATAAATAATGTTTTTTTAATATTTTAATAAAATTATAATATTAAAATATATAGAATATAATATACTAACGTGTAAAGATTTTAAAATATTAATTTAAATGTTTTTAAGATTTGAGATTATATATCTATATGTATTGTATATATATTATATTATATTTTTACTTTATAAATATCATTGTTTACAAATACTATAAACGTTAATAATGTGTGAACATCCTAAATTTAGACTTTATTATTTTATACGTATATTGCATAATTATACTTTATAAATTATTTTTAATTAAGAGAAAATTATAACTCTAATGTAATTGTAAAATAAATTTTTATTTTTTTTCTATGTATCTTAATTATATATATCCAGACTTTAGACTTTATCCATGGCAAAGAGAATAGACATATTATAAGGACATATTGTATGGTAGTGGTCAATACGACTTATTGTTAGTCATTTTTATGGGAGACAAATGTTAATAATAAAATTATCGAATATTTAACTAGTGCTAAAAATGTTGATATAAACGTTCAATATTTGTTGCAAACAAATAATGAAAATGACTAAAAATACAACATTTCAAACCATTAAACATTCAAATAAGATGCAAGGTACAAATACGTTAATTGTATAGATTTGATACAAATATATTATAATTTGCTTTTTATCAGTCCTATCATTAAATAATAGTAACAAAATAACTCTATTAAAGTATAATTATTTTATATTATCTCGAAAATTATGAAATTATAGTGACAGAAATATTGATAAAAGTAATTTTTATTATACAAATTAATTTCATATCCATAAGTAGTGAGAAAAAATTTGAATTGGTAATATTATTATTTTAGGCAAATATTCATACATTACATACTTGGAAATATTAATATTTTATTTGTTCTGTACACATTGATATTTAATTTCAAAATTTCAAGACTGTTATTTTATTTCAATCTATATATCTATCACTACCAGCCTCTTCTTGGGCTTTGCGAAGCTGATGTTAGAATCCATGTTTTGTAATCCCTCTTTTTAATCTTTACTTGTTTGTGCCTCGGATGTGTCTTACACATTACATACCATCTCTCTTCTCTACATACAAAATAACAGTCTTTGCAACGAAGTTGCAAACGACCTTTCGCTTTTAAGCCACATACAGAATTATACATAGGTAATCCTGGTTGCAGAAGAGAAGGTGTATTGCGATTAAAACCACTGTTTGGTGAATAATTTAACTTCTGCTTGTCACATATGTAATGAATTCTATGAACCAATACATTTTGAACAGTTCCAATTGTTAGAATTTTTGGAACAATAGATTCTATCGCTTGATGTGCTGATCTAAGAATTAAGCCAATGTTCATTTTTGCTGTAAAAAAAAAAATTATTAACACAGTTGTACAAATTTTTCAATTGCATATTTTTAGTAAGCAAAAATATACAAATGTGTAGAGAAAAATCATCTTTTTACAGAGGAATAAAACTCAATTAGCAAAGATTTACTAACCAATTTCAACAATCCAAAATTTTAAATACAGTTCAAATTATTCTTCAATATTAGTGTAAACTTGAAATACTAAGAATTTAATTACTTATAGCGAAATATGCACGTTTATTTATGCAAAACAGTACAAGAATGTGCATTAGGAAGTCGAGGTTAATGTTTACATTAATTGATTCAACTTACTTGCTGGAAAATAGCAGTTGTTGATATCAATTTATCACTTCAGCAAATTTTATATATACAAAAATAAACAATTTTGCTGCATAATACATTAAATCATTTTTAATTATATATTTTACGAAAAAACAAGGTTATATAAATTCTTAATTTTTAGAAGCGATGTAAACGATAATAGGGTGATGACATATTCTGATTGGCCGACAGAAAAATACCTATCATGGCGATTCTATATCTTTGCGCAACGGCTATGGCTTAACAAACGTTGTAAGTTGGCAGCAATGACAGACGGATAATCGGAAGGACAGCTTAAGTAACGATTTTTAGAGGTTATTTAGCGTACTCCGAAAGATAGTGTTGGTCGGGAAAAGCCTTCTTCGAGCTGCGTCCAGAGGAATATCGACAGGATGTCCAGGAGAAACCCCGGGGACGATTATAGAAAAGGTTTTGTTCATTTTATCTATTACGCGTTACACTCGATCTAAATGACGCTCGTTAAGCGCAAATTATCTCGATGAAGATATTTAGGCCAATTATTTATTAATATAATTGTGTTAGATTAATGTACAATCCTAAAATATTAATTGCAGAATTGCTCTTGAAAAGTAATCTTTAATTTAATATTTTTAAGGAAGATCATTAACAACATTAATTATACTCAAAATGTATTATCATATGATAATGCGTTTACCTTATTTAATCAACAATATTCCCTTATGCGGGCTGCCTTTTGCACTTGAAAAATGCGATGATTATTACTTTTCCTTGAACGATAAATTCAAGTACTTAATTTCTAATTTACACATTTTCATTAAAAAAGTATGTCGCAACACAGTAACTTTATAAGAATACTTAATGATTTTAACATCTTCTATGAATAATAATTATTACTTTACAGTAATGATTTTGTAAAACTAATTTTTTTATTGAATTTATAGGAGATGAATATTGTACTAAGCATAACCCGCTTAAAGATTTCCGGTTAAAAAGTCAACTTTGTTTAACTTGATCTGAACTTTGCCAGTGTTTGACGTTGTCAGGGTCAAGTGTCTACAGAGCCGAGGACAGGAGAGGGGATGATAGGGATAGGGACCGTTCGCCACTCAGATCCGAGGAGCACTGCGACTCAGATGACAGCAATCAGTCCGACTCCAAGAAACAAAAGTTAGCATTCGGTTTTGGGAAGAAGGCTGGCAACGAACAGAAGAAAGGAATTCAGATTAAATTAGGTTCTGCTTCCGTAAGTAAAACATTTATACAGATTGATACTCTACACATCTTTTTATATATCTTCTTTTTTCTTCAAATTCGTTTGTTTTATTTTGTACAAAATTGTCTTTCTTCTCAATCAGAAACCAACTCCAAAAGCAACGACAGTACAAAAACCGACAGTGGCCGCGGTGTTTAATACGGATGAAGATGATGAGCCAGAGGAGATGCCGGCGGAAGCGAGGATGAGGATGCGAAATATCGGTCGCGAAACACCGACATCAGCTGGGCCGAATTCATTCGGCAAAACGAAGCAAGGATTTTGCGATTCAAAAAAAATATTTGAAAAAACGCTGAAAAAAGCAATGGAAGATGCAAACAAATGATTTTTTTCCATTGCAGCATATCTAAATATGTATATATATATATGTATATATACATATATATATAGGTATATATATACATACATATATGTATATTCGAGAATTATTACTTGTACATTAATTTTACATAATAACTAGAAGTTTGTTCTTGCTAAAGTAAAAAATGCACGTATTTTTATGAAATTAATTCATTGGCAGAACTCAAATTAAAAATTGTGCTTTAAAACTTATAATTAGAAAGATATTAGCATAGTACAGTTCATAGATTATCTCTACGCATATAATAAATATATACCTAAAATTTTCATGTTCTGAAGAATTCGACTACTACTTTCCCATATAATAGATTGACAGATACTATATTAATTTCTGATAAAGCAATGCATGTAATTTATCTCTTTCTTGAAATAATAAAAGTAATATCATGTTCTGTAATTTATATTATATGAAATAAATAAAGTCTTAAATAATAGTTTTTTGAATTTTTATTTATAATGTTAATTTTACATAATAAAATTATTTCCTGTTCTGCTGGCCTTGACGCAAATCCTGAAAACAAAAAGTATCATATATAAATGTACGTAACATATTGTGGATTTTATAATTGTATATAATAGCTTAAATTCTTAAATTTTAATTTTCTCTCGTGTATTCTTGACATTAAATTATTTTGTTATACATATATAAACAAAATCTTTAAAAATTTGTATAAAAAAATTACTTTCATCAATATTCTTATATCTTACTCTCCATTGTTAATTTAAAATATCAAATTTATTTGTATTAATATATTAATTAATTAAAGTTTTAATTACTCTGGGGAAATTGCGGACAGGAGGTGTTCTGATACGACGATCAGCCTTTGACCTGTTGCGCACTACTTTGGAGTGAATAGCGCAGGAAACACAATAGTGGAGCTTAGCATACAACTTCGGCAGCTGATAAGACTGATAAAAGCTGGCCTCCGTTATGTCTCTAACAGCAGCCGCCTCGACGATGTTTCTTATAACAAATTTTTTAATTGCTTTGTCCTTGGGGACACAGCGAGCACAGTTGGTGCAGCGAACTGGATTTACATGACCACGGCCATGCTTGGCACGTCCACCATTCCTACGTTTGCAAGTCTATGAAAAATATACAGAATTAAATCAAGTATATTAATGGACTTGTAAAATATATTACAAGTATATACAATAATATTGAACATCAATATATTCATTACATATATAAAGTTAGGTTATAGGATATACTAGATTATAATTCGTTCTCGAGATTTCGTTTAGCAATAAATAAACGCAATTTTGACAAGAAATATTACTTTTTCGTAAAATTTATACATTTGCAAAATACGTGCTGCGTTTGGTTTCATTCCATACTGAGAATATTTTGAGAACGCGAAATACGCGATGTACCAAATTAAGTGAACTAATTACAATAATTAACTATTAATGATAAATAATAAATTACCATTTTATATATATCGAGATTTTCTCCTTCTTTCCTTGTTGATTTAGGTCCGCTAATAGGTAAAAACCACGTTGTGTATCGAGAATTACACAGAAAAGAGGTTCAAAACGGAAACGGCCTATAATCACACAGTAATATAGAAGGGCAACTCTTTAAATCTGATGGCATCAGATCGCACAGCGAACCACTGCACTTCCGGTTTGCGTTAAATTGGAATTTCGTCTTTATTTTTTACATTTACAACAAATGAGATAATTTTTTTTGTCAACTAAATCTCGAAAAATAAAAAACTTTAATTTATTGATATTCTCATCTTTCAATTTAAAATACAATTACTGCTTTACAGAAATGTTTACATAATATTATTATTAAAATAATTTTATGTCAAAAATATACAAAAAAATAAAAATTTATATAAGATTATTTAACATATATATTATTATTGTAATTATAATTATATTATATGTAATTACAAAATCTAAATATATTATATATATATAAATAATATTTCTGGCTTGTAACTTGTAAGATTTAAAAAATAGAAGTAATTTTGTTATTAAATAATTTAAAAATAATAAAAATTCATAAAATTAATATATTATTAAAATTAAAAACTTTATTTACTTTTATATATGATACATTAAAAAAACTTATTATTTTTGATAATCATGAATAAGAAGGCCTATTATTATTATTTTTAAAAATAATTGAACTCTCTTATAAATCTTAAATCACATATTTAAAAAAAATTAATTATTATAATTATAAATTAATATATAATTGAATCAGTATATATATAGTGATCATCCTCTTTATGTCTCTAAAAGTATAGGAAAACTTTATAGAATGCGAGCATTTTCGAATAATAATTTATAATACTATACTTATAATCAAGTGATATGTTAATTTGTCATGCATTGGAAATGTAATTTTGCAATATTTGCAATACTTGTTGATCATTTCACACTAATCTTTATGTCTTACTCAATACCAAACATCTTATATGTTATCAACTCGCTAGATTGATAAAAGTTGCTATCACAAAGCACTTTCTGCATTTTCCACTTAGAAAAATAGGATTATTCCATATATTTTTCTGGAATAGAATTCTTTTCTCAAAAATTCAAACATGTCTACTGATTTTTTCACACAGACTACATATATTGTTTTTCCTCATCTTCAATTTCATTAGATTTTAATCTTTTGTCTCCATAATCAATCTTTAGCCAAGGACCGTAAATTCTCTTTGTTGATAAGACAAACTGCATTGTATTAGAAAATAAAAATGCATACATACGTATGTAAATACATACAATGTTGAGTTTCATTTTTTTATTCTTATAAGTCATGTTAAATAGACTGCACATTTTTACATAAAAAATACATTACAAAATGCATTTATTAAAAATAAACATTACATATAAAAATATAACTGTAAGATATAATATAAAAATTTTGCATGCAAGTTTAATCAAAGTTCATATTATTGCGTCGTTCAATATCTCTAATCTCTAGCATATCTGTTTTGAGATGCAATTTCATAATTTCTCTCCATATGTCCATCCTGTGCTGTTCATTTTCAACACCAAGTCGTAGCAAAATATGTTCGTTTATTCTTAACAATACTCTTCCTGTAATGTCATGCTAAAAAAAAAAAAAAAAACAGAAATGCTATCATTAAATGTTTCATTAATTTTGTTCTAAAATGGGTTATCGCCAATTCAGTGGATCTTGCAAAAATAAATTTAAAGAAGAAAGTAATGTAAAGAATTTGGAAAAGATATAGAGATTGAATAAACAAATTTTACAAAAAAAAATGCTCACGTGCAAAAACTTCTCGTGATACAGCTGATAATAATCACTGCAATGTCGTCTCAACCACTTTTGCACGTCTAATACATTCCACAAATATACCGGACGTGGTCGAGCCGTTTTAGTCTGTAATATAAATAATTAGTGTTAAAGAAGAAAAAATTGTATTTCGCAGATTTAGGAACAGGTATTTCATTGTCATCAAAGATATTCTTACTTTCGGCTTGTTGCTAGAATTAATGATCTCCTCTACCATCGTATTTCTAATCTCTCGACATTGAAAATTATTGCAACAAGAAGCAATAATAAATAATCACACAATCAATAATCACAATTCATGAATTATAGAGGTTGTGTGAAAGAGAGACGCAAAAATGCTCGATCAAAATAAAACAAATAAAAATTTCTTCGAGTCATTTCACAATAGATCGCCCATCGACCAATCAGCTGACAAGTGTCAATCCTTAACTGTCAACTAGGAGCAGAGCATTTGCGACCAATCGCGAAACAATCTCTCGTCTCCTGATTGGTTGATGCAGAAACATTTTTTCACCCGATACGTCCTAGGGAAAATTCGTGTTATCCGTCATTTTCGTTGGCGGTACTGAACGAGAGAGACCGTTTGAAAGAGACGTGCGTTGCGAGCGAATTCGCGCTGTGATAAACCGAATAGCCGAACGAACGAGAATAGTGCCAAGTTAGCGAGTGTCGTAGGAAGAGGAGCGAAGCCGGCCGGGTGTCGAGCCAGCTGACAGCATGTTTCGTTCCAAGAAGGACGTTGATCGTCATGTGCAGAGTATCTTCAGCAAACTGCGAAGCGAGAGCGAGGTGAGTGAGGTTACTTTCGTCGGTTGCGCGAAACCTGTTTTTTTTCTTCTCTCTTTCTCTTTTCCACGCGCGTGTTTTACGTCCGAACGGATTATTTCTCGTCAATTTTTGGCTACAACGAGGCCGATCCCGAACAAAGGCGTATTCGGCATCTTGTCCTGGTGATATATTCGTCCACCACGGCAGGTACGGTGCACCGGAGACCTTGAATCTCGTCTCAAAGCCAGACGAGGGTAGACACGCGAGCGAGACGTCGTAACGTAACGATGATGGCGAATTTTCGCGGGAAACTGTCGTCCCGAAACTATCACCGCGAAACGATAGCTAATTCTGAACTAGATTTATTCACCGTCTTAATAAAGTCCAGAGGCTTCAATTTTATTTCGTATGGCTCGAGTGACAAGCACCGTTGTACATAATTATATTTCACGCAGTCATTTTTATACATCTTATGACACAAAAACAACATATGTCGTTAAGGCAATGTGTTTACTATTTTTTTTTATGTTAAACCAGATTCTCAATTTCATAATGAAAAATAGAATGTAATTTTTAGAAAATCTCAGAAATTAATTAATAAACGAATTTATTTTATTCAAAATTCTTACATTATTAATTTAGTTAATAAAATACAAATTTTTTGAAGATAAAAATATATAAAGAAGTAAAATATATATATATTTTTTTTTCTATATGCATATTAAATAAATAAAGTATTAAATGAAATAATGTAATTATTTAATATTATGATAATATATCTGAATTTTTTAAATATACATTTTAATAAATTTTAATGTAAAAAATTCCTTTGATTATTTCAATTATATTATAACCTATTATAAAAAATATTTTTGAATTTCTAACTTATTTCTAGATTTTAATAATATTAATAATAAATTTTTAATAATATTTATAAGATTTTAATAATATTTAATTTTCTTTACAGAAAAACCTTCGCTGTTACAATGTTGCCAAACTGTATTATCAAGTAGGTGATTATGAATCTACTAAAAGATATGTATCCAGTTATTTAGAAATACGAGATGGTTCTGCCAGTGCACACAAATTGTTGGGTCAGGCATATGAAGCTCTTGGCCAAAAAGAAGCAGCTTTTAACGAGTACAAAATTTCTCTTGAACTTGAAGGAAGACAAGATGATCTTGTCTTAAAAGGTAACAAATAAGCATCAGTGTGTATTATCTCACATACTTAAATATTTTTGCAACAGTGTAATGGATTTATTATATAATTGTTTATTTTTATTTTACAGTATGTGAATTATTGGTTGACATGAATCTAGGAATGGATATCAATAAAATAAAATATTGGATAGAAAGAGCTGACAAACAATTTCCACATCATCCAGTAGTTTTTCAGTTGAAAGAAAAAATGTTGACTGTAGAAAAACCAAACAATAGCAGTGATGATCTCGAAGCACTTATCAAATGTAAATAAATATAATCTATTTGCATAATGAAGAGTGATTACAGTCAAAAACTAATATTTATATAAATATTTTTTTAGCTGAATTGACTGCAAGACCAAATGATGTCCAGCTTCGCATCAAATTGTTAAATCATTATATGTTGGAAAACAAATTGGATAAAGCTTATGAATATGCTGCTTGTGTGGAAGCTACTGTTTGTCACAGAAGTAGCATTGTGTGGTATCAGCTACTATACGAATTACTAACAAAGTGTAAAGAAACTAAATCCTTTGATTGGTCCTTCTGGTTTTTTTATATATCTGTATCGGATAGATATACAGCACTGTGTCTCAAGGAACAAGGCAGTGATATAAAGAAAAGCATTTCAGAGGCCACACAAGCAGTATTCAAGTATGTACATTGAATGATACACATCTTTCATTTAAATTGTGCATTATACAACTTGAGAAGTTGTAGAATAATAATAAAATTTAAGCTTATATAAATAATTATTATATAAATATGTTCTCTTTTTATATATATATATATATTTTTTTTTTAAGGTTTTTAAAAAGTTATAAATTATGTTTTAGTTTTGATCAAAATCTGCGCGAAATGGAGCTAAAAAACTTTTCTAAGCAGCACGCTTTTACGGAGCACTTGTTTACACACATGTGGGGTCAGTTACACTTCCATTTAGCATGCTTATTATTGCGCAAAACGAAACGCGAACAAGGTAGCTGGAGCGAAACAGGAAGACTATGCGCACCTTTGTTGTTAGTTGCTTTACATATGGCTCCACTGGAAACCCGTACAGGCATGCATCTAGAGGATGACGCATTTAAGAATCAATTAAATATATGGATCAAAGAAGCTGCGTATCGGTGCTGTCAAGCTGGTAAGAATAAAATTTATAGACGTTAAATATTCATTGCTATTAATAATATATTCTAAATATTCTATATTTTTTTCCCTAGGTTACATTCTTCAAAACTATGCTAAAGATGATGCAAAGAAATTATTGGATAGAATTGATAAATTTTGCACAGGACTTTGGAGGGAGCGTATCTATCAGGTGCAAATCTAATTAATTTTATGCGAATTTTCTAGATGTATATTATCCTAAATTTACATTTAGTACTATATATTATATTACCTTAAATGTACATTTGCTTTTTTAGAGAATTTTTGTAATCAGAGTGCATCTTGATCATGTGCAAAGTTCATTTTTTTGCCATCATTCTGCTTCTGATCCACCTCTACGTTTCTGTACTTCAAGTCAACTGAAACATTACAGTCAAAGTATGTATAAGAACTTTTCTTTAACATTAAAAATATAATAAATATTTCATAATTGGATGTGTACTAAATAATTATATTTTATATTATTTTACACAACATATACTATATCTGCATTATATATTTATTGTAAGACTTCTATCGATAATAATGAATTATATATAAAGTTATAATTTTAAATTAATAATTAAAAAATATCGCAATAAATAATCATATAAATCATTAAAATACATCATATAAATTATTAAAATAATAACTTAAAAACAATCTTCAAATTCAATAAGCTTACAATTGTTTATTTGCAGCTGCACAAGAAGTGTGGCCCGCTTCTTTGCATCATCAAATCTGGCTCGGAATGGAGAATCGACCTCAACAGAAAGACGCTCCATATCCAGATCAATATTCACGTGTATTTCCATCGTTGCAGTTTTCGGTATTCAATACAAGCCAGGCAGCACCCGACAGTTTATGTCTCCTCGACATTGACGCGTTTCTTAACGCGGCTATACTCTGCTCATCTGCCGTTCTGGAGGAACAACAACTCGGTAGTTTCATCAATCCCGAAAGACTGCCAACACTACCGATCGATTTAACTGCGACGTTGTCTACCAGCAATCAGGAAAAATGGTGGTCTGCGGCGTACAAGATGTGTTCTAAGCGACAGGACGTAGAAGGCGATATCGGCGAATTGCGACAGGAATTGCAACAAGGTTTGGAAGTCGTTCGTTGCATCGGCAACCACGGTATGCATCCGGTGTTGTTGGTGCATCTGGCACGCATGTTTCACTATCGCGCAAAGACGACGAAAGAGAAGGATGCGAAGAACGGCTACATTCCCAGATGGGAGACACGTTCCGAGCTGTATTGGACCGCCGCTATACCGCTGTTGGAAAGACTGCAGAATAATCAAACTTTACGTATGTCATCGTCAAAACTGTTCAACTATCAGGGCAAGGAGATGAATAACTTCGAGTTGACAACCGCTCTCGAAGAAGGCAAGTTGTTGCTGGCGCAGCGGCTCGTGCGCGACAAGCAATACGAGCAAGCGATCGACGCTCTTCAGGCACTCAAATGTCCGGAGGCGTCGTTCCAACAAGCGCAGATCTACAAGATGTTCGCGGACGAAATAGTAAACTCCACGCCCCGCGAGAGCCTGACATCAGAGATGCGATCTCAACACGTCATAATGTTGTCGAAGGCAAGAAACTGTTTCTACCTTACGTTGGACCGACTTCGTAGTCCCGGCACGAATCCCAAACACCCGCTGAATGCCGAGCTCGGCACTCATATCACCGATATCGAGAACGAGTTGAAAAGAATAGATCCGGATCTGGGTAGAGGCGATTTGAGTAGGAACGATCTCGACAATATATCCGACGAGAGTTACTCGCCCACTCACAGCGCCGCGGATCAAACAGTCGCGAATCCGGCATTGCTGACAGCACTGACCGGCAATAACTCGAACATGCTGAGCACTCCTCAAAGGAACGCTCATCGCACGCCGCGTCACGCCAGCACACCATGCAGACTGCAATATCAGGATTATTTGAATCTGTCGAAGAATCGTACAGAAGCGCGTCCGAGTCCGGAGCGTCTCGACGCCCAGATACGTCAAATCATGCAATCTTGGGACAACGAGATGCAGGAACTGATGGAACAGATGAAAAGCATGACAACACAGATGAAGACGTTAAATGACAAAGTGGACACTCTGACGAAGGAGGTGATGGAGTCACGTAAAGAGAATCAGAAGCAGCAACAGCAGCAGCAGCAGCAGCGAATCCAGCAGAATGTCGTCAATCCCCCTGTCGATCCCGACGATTTCTACGTCTTCGACGACGACGAGTACGCCGATTTGGGCTACCAGAATCAACCAACCGGACCGGCGTCTTCGATCTCCGGTAACATATTCGCGTCCCAGCACGCTCGACATCCTTATTCGTCATTGGTGTATCCTTCCGCGGCGGCCGCCTTCCAAGGATATTATCAGGGCGGAATACCATTTACTGATCCAAATACTCAAGCGGCTATATCATCCTTGTATCCGCACACTGTCTATCCGATGCCAGTACTGTATCCCAATCAGTCAAAGGTACCGGATAATCCATTGCAGCAGGGTCTTTTCGCATCGACGCTTTCCTCGCAGTTACCCGATCTTATGCCGGCAGCAGCTGCAGCGAATGCAACGTCGTTGCAGATACCACTGAAACAAAAAATCGAAACACCACGGACGAAACCTGAGACGACTATGACATTGACAACTACTACAACGACGACGATTATCAAAGACGCGCCAGTGAACAAGGCGCCGCCCGTGAACGTTGTTATCACGACGTCTGATATACTACCGACCACGACGCCGTCGATTCAACCTACCTTGAGCGTCACCATACCACCGCAGTATCGCCTGGGAGGAGGAGCAGTTGTCACATTTTCCACACCTATGACGACAGCAGCGACGGCGACGACGGCTGTAGCGCCAACGACGATGACAACGAAACCGTCGAACGCACCACATTGTTATCAAATTGCCATGCCTTCGCAGGCTACTATACCAACGACTGTCAATTTACCGCCAACTACCATCTACGTAACACCACCTAGCATCAACGCACCACCAATCTATGCGAATCTAACAACAACCAATACGTCGTCTACGATTACTCACACGACTCCTAGCAGTACTCTGTTAAACACTCAGATTAATGCTACCAAGGGACTCGATAAAACTGTTAATATTACCAAGACTATCTACGAACCAATTGACTCGCCGAACACGTCTACTGAAATATGCGAACAGGAGCACGATCCGATACCGGACTTCGTGCCGGTCATACCTTTGCCCGCAAAGGTGAAGGTTACTACTGGTGAAGAGGACGAGGATATTCTGTATTGCGGCCGGGCTAAGCTATTCCGCTTTGTCGATAAGGAATGGAAGGAACGTGGTGTCGGTTATGTGAAACTGCTACGTAACATCGAAGGTAAGGTACGCCTACTGATGCGTCGCGATCAAATTCTAAAGATCTGCGCGAATCATATGCTAAGACCAGATATGGAATTGACCCCTATGACGAACAACAACAAGGCTTTATTCTGGGTCGCTAACGACTTCGCCGATGAAGAAATGAAACTGGAGAAACTCTGCATCAGGTTTAAAACTGCTGAAGACGCAATGGCGTTCAAAGAGGCTTTTGATCAAGCGAAACTCAGCCTAAATGCAACATCTCCGGAAAAGACCACTGATAAAACTTCTTTTTTCTGCGATACGTCTAAGAGTCAGAAAGCACAACCGACGCAACAAGCTAAGATAAGTTCGACGACGGAAACAGTTTTGTCGGAAAAATCGAAATCGGGCACGACGACGCTAGGAGGATTTTCCTTCAGCTCGAAACCTATCATTCAGGAAGTTAAAGATGTCGAGGCGAGTGATTCCAAGAAGTCCGAAGAAACGCCGAAAGTCAGTCCGTTCAGCGGATTTACGTTCAAGTCGCAAAGTAAGCTCGAAGCTGCGAAAAACACTATGACCACCGCAACAAGCGCCACGACGCAATCTGCAAAGTTTCTTTTCTCCTCGACTTCGGTAACAATTCCGTCTGATTCGAATGCGACGTCCAACACATCGTCGATATTCACCTCACCCGCACAATTATCCAGCCAAAATTCTACGGGACTGAGAAGACCTCGTTTGCCGCCACCTTCTGCTATGAAATCAGGATCTAAGGATGAGGAAGTGCAGTTGCAGACTGAAAGCGAGTACAAGTTATTCGACGGAACAGCAAGTCTCCAATATACCAGCGGTGTAAACACTAAGTCGAAAAACAAAGGAACAGGACCAGTAGTGCTATTATTGGACGTGAAATCCGGCAAAATTCGTTTGCTACTGACAGACAACAAGAACTCCAAGGTTTACAGTCACGAAATATCCCCGAATACAACGTTTGCTTATAAGAACGGCGCTACAGTCGTCACTTTGACCGGGAATAAAGAATCCAATAAGATGGGATTGTTACACAACGTGAGCTTCAACACCTCGGAATTAGCCTCGCAGTTCTATGGTGTCGTGACGAGCTGCCAACAGAAGTTAATCAGGGGCTGCAGCCCAAGTGAAGTCGCAAAGGAGCTCGAAAAGAAGGTGTCGTCTAGTGACAACAAGAGCCAAAACGCACAGACAAAATCTCAACCCCTACCATCGTTGTCGGAACTGTACAAGCCGCCGCCCGGTTCCTGGGAATGCAGTGAATGTTACACTAGAAACAACGCTACGGATCTGAAGTGCATGGCCTGCGAGGCTCCATCACCATCTTTGACGGCAAATAACAAGAGCAGCTCCGTTAACAACAAGCCTGTCGACAAACCACCATTGTCGGAGTTATATAAACCGCCTGCCGGCTCCTGGTCCTGTCCAGACTGTTACCTCGTCAATTCTGGCACAAACATCTACTGCGTCGCTTGTGACAAACCTAAGGATCCGTCACAACCGCCCAAGCCGCCGCAGGTTAACATATTCCAGCTGCCATCTTCCTTAACGACGCCAATTACTACGTTTTCCTTTGGCATTCCTAAGGACGCCGGTACCGGTTTCAGTTTCCGGATGCCAAAGGCAGAAGATAAAAATGTGATTGATAGTACGAAGACTATTCCGCCTAAATCCGAGGAGGGTCCAAGGAGCTTTGTGTTTGGTATGCCGGTGAAATCCACCACTAATTCGGATGATACACCGTTTACCTTCGATTCTCCCGCCAAGTCGTTCGGTTTTAATTTCGCAGCAAAGTCGCCGGCTAAATCACCTGGTGGTGGCGGTGGTGGCGAGACCAGCGAGGATGAGGTGGTGGAAAGTGAAGACGTTCAATTCTCGCCGGTTATACCATTGCCGGACAAGATCGAAGTGAAAACCGGCGAGGAGGACGAGGAGGTGTTGTATAGTCATCGAGCGAAGCTTTACAGGTTTGACACCGCCGTGAAGGAGTGGAAGGAACGTGGATTAGGTGATATCAAGTTGCTACGCCACAAAGAGACCGGCAAGCTGCGTCTGATCATGCGACGAGATCATGTGCTGAAACTGTGTCTGAATCATCATTTATCCAGCGAGCTAGAGTTTACGTCTAAGGACGAGAAAACGTGGTTGTGGACCACAGGAGATTATAGCGACGGCGAGCTCGAGTATATGCAGTTTGCCTGTCGCTTCAAGACGTCCGACATCGCGACAGATTTCAAGAAAGCAATCGACGACGCGAGAAAGAATATTGGATCGTTTCCTAGCAGCAGCAGCGAGAAAGTGAACAAGTCCGCGACAATAAAAACACCGACACAGACGGTCGAGGAAATCGAGATCGTCTACGAGGCGAAGGTCACTCCGGAGGAGAAGGCGGCTGCCTTAAAACTGCAGTTACCAGAGAACTTCTACGCCTATAAACAAAAGGAAGATTGTCCCGGCTGTAGGGGATGTAGAAAACCGAGCGTAGTCCTATATCCGGATAATTCTACTCAAGACTCAACACAATGGAAATCGTTCGTAGCGGAAGAGAAGCCGCTAAATCTATCAAAACTCGTTTCTAATGTGACTACGTCGAGCGACCCCAAAAGTACTGATCCTGTTCAGAACATAACGCAATCCTCGTCTGTGAAAAATGGATTCTCCTTCACTACACTTCCTCCAACGACGTTTATGTCATCCTCGGATACATCGAACATTTTTGACAGTTCCACGATGAGCTTTGGCACCGGCGATCTAAAGCTGTTCAACGACAAGAAGACTACAACCTTCTCATTCGGCATGAACTCGCCGCAGTTCAGCAGCAACGAAACGACGAACACCACGCTTGAAAATGTCAAGATCTGCAGTCCTTCCAATGCTGAAACCGCGCAAACCACTGCTTCCAATCTAATAAGCACAGCCATGCAATCGACGTTGTTTAGTCAGGGGACGTCGCCCGTGTCTATATTCAAAGCTCCTACCTTCACGATTGATTCTAGTAAGAATATTTTCGGCGGTGCCACTAAAACCACAAACGCGACTTTGCCGAAGACGTCTATGTTTGGGGGTAGCCTCGATGGAGGTAACAACTCCTTCAACACCATGAAGACGACCTCCACTGCCGTCCCTGCGACGAGTTCCATTCCGAAGATACCCACGTCGACTATAACTTCCACCATGGGATCTAGTTCGTCGTTCCTGTTCGGTTCGACGATCGCGCAGTCGACTTCCAAGGCCAACGACAACGCCGCTGTCGCGTCAACGATTTCTAATCAGTCAACTAACTCGGTGTTCAACACCAGTTCTACGCCCTTTTCTAAATTGACGTTTGGTGCTCCGACGTTCGGTAATTCTACAACGACGACGATGACGACGACGACGGGCATCTTTAGCGCAACGCCGGCAACGATGACGACGAACATCTTCGACGCGGAACCGTCTGAGAGTATCCAGAAGAATGAAGGGGACAATCCCAATTTTTTCATCACGAATAATATATCGTTCTCGGCACTTGCTGCAGCGGCGGCGCAACCGGAAGCCTTCAAAGTTGGTACGTTCATCGAAATCGCACAAACGAAACTGTATAACTATTGCTAGAGATCAATAGAATCGTTTAAAAAAAAATCGCTTATTAATGAAAACTTGTCGCTTCAACTTCATTAAAAATGTTATTCGGTTTGTATAAATATTTTTATTATAATAAAATTGTTAAATAATACTTCTTTCAGATCCCAACTTTTCATTCGCTGGTGCGGGATCGTCAGTATTTGGTTCGAAACCTACCACATCCTCTTCATCTCTGAACAGCTTAGCAGCTGTCCAGAACAAATCGCATGACGATTCCGTACAAAAGGAGGATAATGAAGAGGATGATGGTGAAGTGGATAATGAACAGGAGCACGATCCTCACTTTGAACCCATTATACCTTTACCAGATGCCATCGAAGTTCGAACCGGCGAAGAAGATGAAGAAAAAGGTGTGTTGCTTTATAAACATTCTTGAATATTATATAATTTTTAAATATATATATACATATTCTATATTACAATATATTATACATGTTTTTACATCATTACTTTTTCTCTTACTTAACATGGAAAATTATTTAGCTGATTAAAAAATTAAATATGTTAATCATAGGATCAAACTTGTCAATCAGCTGATAATAATATAACTATAATAATAATAAAATCATAGTTAAGAGCGCAATTCGCAATGACAAGATCATCGAGATATTAATTGAATTTCGTTTGGTTCGTAGTGTTCTGCCACAGAGCCAAGTTATACAGATACGACAACACCACGAAGGAATGGAAAGAACGCGGAATCGGCGAGATGAAGATTCTTTATCACGCGGATCACGGCAGTTATCGGTTACTGCTGCGCCGCGAGCAAGTTTACAAGGTCGTTTGCAACTTTCTTCTCACCCCCGACGTGGAGTTCCATCCGCTCGCCACATCGGATCAAGCTTGGATGTGGGCTGGTATGAATTATGCCGAGCAGGAACCCTGCGCCGAGCAATTAGCGATTAAATTTAAATCACCCGATCTGGCTCGACAGTTTAAAGCGCACATAGATAGGATTCAGCAAGAATTGCACGAAAAGAGAAATATTCAAGGTAATAATAACAATAATCTATTATCTTTCCATTTCACGTTAATAATTACTTCTTTAAGAGTGTTCTTTTATATATCATTTACTTTCCAATGTATACATATATGCTTCTTATGTAAATCTAATGTGTATGTTTTGAAAATTATTCAAGAGCATTTATATAAACCTATGTTTTTACGCTGATGTATATCTTCTAGGTGAGAGATGCATTGGCGAAGTGGAGGAGAGCGAAGAACATGATCGAAACGACGTAGATGAAGAAGAGGATGATGAAGAAAATGATGAAGATGTAGAAGAGGACGACGAGGACGATCAGGAATTAGTTCCGATAATTGAGAAACGTGCCACTGTATTCGCGAGATGGCCGAACGAAGCTAAGTGGGAGATTGTAGGTTTGGGAAATCTGGCAATCATTTACGATTCTGATATCTACGCAGAAAGAATCGCGCTAAAGCTTGATGACTCGGATGAATATGCGAGTAATACTATTATTGCCATGGATGCAGTGATGGAGGTAAAAATATTTATGAATATATGTGATATATTGTGATATCTGCTTTTTTCTTCTACTAATCTTATACAGTGAAGTCATAATATGCAGCAATCGATTTAAATGTCATGTTCCTAAACTATAATGCGAATAAAATCCATTCTTTTCCTCTGATGATAGTGTAGAGAAAAAGAAACTTTAAAATATTTTTATATTGAAAATACATAGACGCGATTTTTTATAAGTAACTTTTTCGAAAAGATATGTGAGATCTTAAGCTATATTTAACTTAATTTATATATTCAAAAATGTATACCTTGAATTTTTCTAAATTGAAATGCATTGTCTTGATATAAATCAATTATTAAAAAATTATATAATTTTTGCTTATTTGGTTTTTTTACTTATTCTTAAATTATTGCAAAGGTGGAAGGCAAAGAATGTATTTGGAGTGGGATCGATTACGCTTTAGAGCCTCCAATGAAGAGAATTTTAAAAGCAATCTTCTCATCAGTACAAGCAGCGCAAGAGATACATACGTTTTTCGAAGATGTAAGTATGGCTCGACACAAAAATATTTACATATATACATTATGTTATATTAAGTGTATACACGGTAAGATTGAAAATGTAAGATGAAAAATGCTATATTATTTTGCAGGGAGTGGACAGCGCGAAACAATCCGGTGTCGTCGAGTACCAAGAAGAAGATTTAGGATCTTGAGCTAATATAAGTAGTTGATTTACACGTTATTATTATTATAATTCACTCTCAACCTTCCTATTTTTAGTTTATATTAAATTTTAAAAAGAAAAAAGAAGTTATACATAAGAATTTTATATGTTTTCTTTTCTTTTAATTTTGTTGATACAATAATTTTGCAATCTAATTAAATATAAGTTTTGAGATTTTTGCGACTTAACGTGATTATTATGAATATTAAAAATAATTAGTATGTTATCTTACTGTGAGCATTCAAACATATATTTGTTGTCGATGTAATTTTTATATAGTTTTGAGTTATACCGATATTATAACAGTAGTTTTAATATAGTTTGATATAATTAAATGCTTTCAATAAAATGTTTTGTTTGGGCACATTTTATTAAAAAGAAAATAATGACTCAAAGATTTATATAGATTAGAACAAAGTAAAAACAATTGTTTTAAATGAAATGTTTGGTATCATATACAAGTAATTATTATTGCATTTGTTAAATCTGTGTTTTATATTCTAAAAAGAAAAAAAAAAGCTATATGTAAAACTCAGCATGTATGTTTTCCCTTACTTATTATTGTTATAACTTAAGTTATAAACGATAAGTAAAGGAAAACACATGTTAGAGTTTTATGTATAGTTTCTTTTCTTTCTTTTTAGAATGACACAGATTTTACAAATAGTATGTAAGGTTTTAATTGTTATGTAGAGTTTTACATATAGCTTTTTAAAATGAAAGATAGAATAAGAAATAGAAAAGATTAAACATCACATTTAATTTCTTTTTAAGGAAATGTGCCAAAATAAAACGCTTTATTAAAAGCACTTAATTATATCAAACTATATTAAAATTATTGAATAACTATCTTAAGAATATTTTTAAATCTTTATTGCATTGGCTACAAATACCTATTGAATGCTCACAGTAAAATATAACAGCATTATTTTTTAATAATTATTATAATCACGTTAATCACAAAAAGCTCAAAATTTATATTTTATTTAATTGCAAAGTTATTGTATCATCAAAATTATTGTAAATATTGAAATCTTACGGTTATATCTAGTAATATAAGATGTGTATTATTTTTTTGGACTGAAATAGAAATTGACAAATGAAGGACATTATTAATATAGTATACAATATATAAGCATACAATGTAAAATATTTGATTAAAGTATTTCTTCTAGAAACTCTGTATTTTTTGTTCATCAGATAAAGATAAGTGTATTATTTTCACAATTACAAACTTGTTAAGCATATATATTGAAGAGAAAAAAAAATTGCTGTAAGATTTTGATTAAATAAATCCACATATCTGTCACTAAAAAATTTGTAATTGTATCAAAAACTATGTAATAAAAAGTCTTATAGTGAAATATATGTTTCAAAGTCAACAAAATTGCATAATTTAATAAAACGTAATATTGAAAGAGAAATGTAATATATAACTGCACTTTTATAATTTGATTCTAAGCTTCAATAATCTATAAAATTAGTATAATTCAATATTTATAAAATAAAATAAATTTAGAAATTGTCGAGAAAAAATCTTATATATTAACTGTTAGCAGAATATAAACGTAAAAAAACCTTGAAAACATTCCAAACCAGCAAAACACTTAATCACTTGTTATATACAGCGTTCAATAAATCGTAATATAATAGAAAAAAGCGATATTTTATACGTAAAGAAAAAAAATTAATTTAATATTTTTGTTAAATTGAAAAAGATTTTGAAAGAGAATAATTTTCAATATAAAAAGTAACATATATATTTGACTATGCATTTGATTATTGTATCATGATTTATTAAACACCTCGTCTATTACACGCATACAAAACATGTATAAACATGTTTATAAGATTGTATATGATAAAGAAGCGATATGAAGAAAAGGAGCAAGAGAGAGAACGTCAGAGTTAAAGTAACGTGGCAATATATCTGCCCCCTCCCGACACACTCATGATGCAGCATATATATTTCGATAAACAGCATTATTAATACTCGAGTGTACTTTGATCCTCCTCAAGTTAATATATCACCATTTTCATCAGATTCCAGCTAAAATAGTTCCAAGAGTGTCTCACTAACCTGGTGATACTACATCTTATTGTTAGAGATTTGTAAAAAAGAAGTCCACAATGTCCATCGTAACGAAAGGTATATGCATATTATTTTATAATATATATATATATATAAATTATTTTAATATATATCATTAAAAGTATTTTTTCATAGAAAATTGTGAGATTTAAACATATGCAATTTAGAAATAGAACTGTCTTTTAGTTAATATTTTATATGTTGATCGCATTTTGTTAACACTTTATGTGTTATTTAAAAAAACAAGTAAATTCATATAAGTATTTTAGATAAGAGAAAATTCTAGATATATTACAAATATATATATATATATATATATATATATATATATATATATATATAATGCAAGCAGTTTTTTCAATAGTCAAATAATTCATAATTCTTTTTATAAAAGAAGAAAGAAAAATATATATAGACTCTTCTGCTGTCATTTTTAATTAATAGAATATTGAAATTTTTCATAGGTGTTTTTATTGTTGCTGCGAAGCGTACCCCATTTGGTACAATGGGTGGCATGTTTGTGAATAAAAGTGCCACTGATTTGTCAGTTGTTGCATCAACCGCTGCAATTCAAGCAGGAGGTCTAAAGCCAGAGCAAATAGATAGTGTTGTATTTGGACATGTCTTAGTAGTAAGTGTTGCAGTTTACAATGATTGACGATTATGAATTCTTTGGCAATTCTTGTGATTTAATATACTTTTCTTTCAACAATTTTTCAGTCACAGTCATCATCTTTGATGGAGCTTTTCTAGCAAGGCATGTTTTATTGAAAGCAGGAATTCCATTGCAAAAGCCAGCATTTGCTGTAAATAGATTATGCGGTTCTGGTTTTCAAGCAATTGTTAGCGGAGCTCAGGTTGGTTCAAAATTTTATAAGAATTTTTTAAAAATATTAAAACTGTAAAAGTTGAATAATAAAATTTTACAGAGAAGTTAATATATAATTTTTCCGAAAATATATGAAATAAAGATTACAATTATAAGTATTAATAAATAAATCTACATAAATATAGGAAAATAATGCAGAAATTAAATGAATTTAAATTAAAAGTTTTGGCTCGTATGAATTCAATAAATTGATAAATCTCGTTTAGGCTCGTTTAAGTTGGCCTTTCGTTTATCTTTTATCAATTTTTACAGCAGTATATAACTTTTTACAGAACATTTTAACAGGAGAATCAAAGATTGTCTTAACGGGTGGTGCAGAAAACATGAGCCAAGCGCCTTTTGTTGTGAGAAACGTTCGTTATGGAACTGCTTTAGGACAGAAATATGATTTTGAAGACTCACTCTGGGTTGGGTTAGCAGATAGCTATTGTAATTTGCCCATGGGTATGACTGCGGAGAAACTCGGTGCCCAATACAAGATAAAGAGAGAGGAGGTTGATCAGTTTGCCCTGAGCAGTCAACAACGCTGGAAAGCTGGTGAATATCAATAATATTCTATTTAATATAGAGAGTTTTATTTATTATACCTGCTAAGGAAATAAGTGGAATGAAATTTAATTCATTATCAAACCAGTCTTTTTACTAAATTAAAATTCTAGAGTTTCTTTTAACTTAACTCAAGGATGTTTAATAAAAAGATAAATAAACGTTACAGCACAGGATGCTGGACGTTTTAATGAAGAAATAACGCCTGTGCAAGTAAAAATTAAAAAGCAGGATACAAATGTCAGTGTGGACGAGCATCCACGACCGCAAACAACAATAGAAACCCTGAGTAAATTAAAACCTGTTTTCCAAAAAGATGGACTAGTTACAGCTGGTTCCGCATCGGTATGATATATTTTCTTTTAATTTATAGATGCAAAGCAATATTAATAAATAAATAAATGTATATATATATATATATTTATTTATTTATTACATAATAGATTATATATATAAATATATATATATATATATATTATATATATAAAATATTATGTAATAAATAAATATATATATATATATATATATATATAATATATATATAATATTATATATATAATATTATGTTCTTTCAAATTTTAATTAATTTAATTATACTCTCATTTTTTCTTAGGGTATCTGCGACGGGCTGGTGTTGTTATTTTAGCAAGCGAAGAAGCTGTGAAGACAGAAGGCTTAAAACCATTGGCGCGTTTAGTTGGATACAGCATTGTTGGTGTAGAGCCGAGTATTATGGGAATTGGTCCTGCACCAGCAATCAAGAACTTACTCAAACTCACAGGCAAAACACTTGATGACATGGAACTGATTGAGGTAATATTTTTAATTTCAATTTTGTCTCAATAAATTATATCCTTTAACATGAAAGTGCAAAGATAAATATAACGCAAGAAATAATAAACAATATAGTATTAAGATTTCTATTTACCTTTGCATTATTTATGTCATTTTTCTTAGATCAATGAGGCGTTTGGAGCACAGACGTTGGCATGTGCAAAGGATCTTAATCTCGATTTGAATAAATTGAACGTGAATGGTGGTGCTATCGCTCTGGGCCATCCATTGGCGGCTTCCGGTAGTAGGATCACCGCTCATTTAGTGCACGAACTCAGGTACATTTATTTAATTTAATACATACATTTTTGATAATATGAGTATTTCTTTATATGACTATTTGTTTGTAGGAGACGGAAAGCTGGAAAGTTTGCTATCGGTTCCGCTTGTATTGGCGGTGGCCAAGGCATTGCTGTGATGATCGAAGCTCTATAATCAACCGAGAAGACTGATCTACTAAATTTTTTCGAGACGTTTAACGGTGAACAGAATAAATACTACAAAATAATAAAAAAATAATAGGTATATGCAGTAAATTTATCAATACTAAACTAACAAGATTAATAATTTTTTATCGTTTACTGTGGTGATAGTGATTTATAATATACAAACAGATCATGAAACGTATTTTTATATACAACGTTTTTACATATTTTGTACATAGTGATATAATGTTGAATAAAACTAAAATATTAATAATTCTTTTGAAGTCATGTAAACTCGAGGAAATATAATATAGCTACAAAATTCAATCTTAACGATAAGTTCATAGTTAGATAGTAGAACCTTGAAGTACTGTAAAAATTGAATAGGACATCCGTAATATCTAAAATACATAAAAATTATTAACTTTGTTACAAACATTTCAAAATTTAGGGCAATCTCGAAATTATTGATATAGGTTTATTTAAAATCAGTCTAATAAAAATTTCAATCAATATTGCTTCAAATATTTTACTAAAGATCTTTAACAAATCGCGAACCTGTACAAAAGTATCTAACGATAGTATCATAATATTGCCGGCAATCAAAGTGAAGGGCCGATGAGATCTTATCATCATGATTTGTAGACTGTGGGTGAATCCTTTAGTAGCGGAGAACCAATTGCACGAATATGCGGCTGTCACTATACGTAAACTCTAAAAATAATATATGCTTCTTTTGCACTTAATCAAGAAAATTGATTTAAATACTTACGTGGAGATGTAGCTCATTACCATGCCAGCAAAAAATGAATATCTGATACGTCATGCAACACATGTATGTCACCAAGCCAATTAGCACTGCTGGGATATAAACTTTCATCTGCAGCACAACGGATCATGTTGAAATCAAAGCACATATACAGGCCGATCGAAACAAATCAGATCTACCTGCGTTACATTGAAAGCAATCAGGCAAATGATCATACAATTCGAGAGCAATTGGAAAAAGATGATAGTACTAAAAATGTTTTGAATCTCCATCGTGAAACTACAAATCAATGTAATTCATTACTTGGAACAAGTTAAATTGTGCTATTTTCTTATAATTTTTTTATATCTTAACTTACAGAAATATCATATTACTGTGCATAGCACATCGTTTGAGTTGCAGATAAGACAAGATCTTCTCTTCGGCTAGAAACGATAAGTTGTTATCATTCTGTAGGTTTTTTTCATTATCTATCGACATGATATTTCGCTCCAAGATTGCTAATTGGCAACAGGCAACCGTGATTAAACCTGTCATCAGGGTGTCCAATGCCACATTGTGGAAGCAAGCAATTATGATTGCGATACCCTGATGCGCTGCGGTAATCTCGAACACCGGTGTCCTCGTTACGTTGTAAGGGTACCATCCTTCCATAGGCAATTGCCGTGAACGACCAGCAATCAGATCAGTGATTGGAGTGATACCCCAGCAAAATACCGCTATCGCGCCAAAGCTCTGATATGTCGCGTGGTGAAAGAGGCCTTTCCACGTATATTTTATAAGGAGATCCTGATGCTTCTTGTCATAACGACTGAATGCGGAACTATTGGCTAAATCCAGGAGAGCCTGTATTCGCTTTTGACGACTAAGAAGAATAAACACCTGGAGATATCAATATTTTATTTATCTTCTTTTATGCTGAGTACACATACATAAATAAATATGTATAATAGTAATTTATGATATAAAATACATATATATTTATGAAAAATAATAGTTTATTAATATAAATCAATAGAAATTAATAATTTTAAAATATTTATAAACATATTTTTACAAATTTAATATTATCAAAATGCGTAGTAGATTATAATTACAATAATAAAATTGTATGTTATAAGTAATCACAAGAATCTCTGTAATAATGGAAGAGAATGTTGAGAGTTTATACAAATTATGAAGAAAAAATGAATATATGATAGATTAATTGTTATCACTTAAAAATTGTATAAAATATTAGAAAGTATTTAAAAAAAAAGGTGTGCGATGGCCGGGAATCGAACCCGGATCAACTGCTTGGAAGGCAACTATGCTAACCATTACACCACCATCGCACCTTGATTCCATTCTAAATTTAGTGTCAGATATTATATTTAAAATCAATTTAAATAATTTGTTTTTAAATATTAAATATTGAAAAACTATAATTCACAATTATTATTATTTAATAACGAGAACATATAATAAAGCTATAAAAAAATATTTTATACATATAATTAAGATAAAATTAATAAAAGATATATTTATTATATATTATTATTTCTTAGATAAATTAATGTCTTCTAATTTAATTGCAAGTTTCACTTTTCTGAAATTAAAAATACAATGCAAAAATTATTTTTCTACTTATTTTTTTCTTTTATAAACAAAGCTAAAAGAAAAAAGAGCATATATGTATATGGGCTACCGCATCTTCATAATTTAAAAGAAAATCAATCAAAATGTATGAATAATTTATATTAATTTTTAGATTGTTATTTTTTAAATTCATTGATAATGAGTCCATATATATTATATATATATATATATATATATATATATATATATATATATATATATATATGTGATTGAGTTCTTTATAATTCTATGCATTCTACTAGGCATAATATCCTAATTAAAGATTGCGTTACCTTGGAAGCGTGAATAAAATTCGTCATTAGTATGGTCGCAAATGCAAGGATTTTTGACATATCTCCCCAGTTGGCGAATACATTTGCTATCTCGGCGGTGAGCAAGATTCCCAAAAGAAAAATGAAACTACAGACAGTATAGAGCAAATATAAAATTCGGTATTTGCTCGCACGTGGTGGCCAGGTGCCCAAAAAATAAATGATCGATAGGCTCACTTTTAAGTGAAAATTTGGTTCAATTGTTCCTTGATCTTTTGCCATTTTCTACTTGAATAACAAAGAGTCATGAATACCTGTATAATTTAATTTGTATATCATTCTCGATGACAATGTTTTATTTGCTCATGCTTACGAACATAAAGTTAAATTCTCTAAATATATCGACAATTTTGTTTTATTGTTTCAATCTTTAATTTAATTTAATCTTAATTAATTTATGTTTCTATATATTAAATAAGTTCAGACAAAACTTAACATTTCGACAGGAATTTCGCGTTCGAATAGTTTTGCTTTTAAATTAAAAATATATAATTTATAAATTAATTAAAAGTAACATAAAATTAGTAAAAAATATATAGTGCATGTGTTTTATATTTGTGTAACGTTAAATACATTTTCAAAAAAATGTATTTAATTAAGAGAAGTAATAAAGTTACCTATATATAAGACCAGGACTATCTCTTATATCGCTTCGTAGCAGTTTACAGAGACAAAGAGATAATATAACACATGATGGTCAATCGAAAATACCATTGTACCTTCCATTATACCTTCGAATTAATTAAATTGGAAAGTTCTTGTAATAGTTGGACAGAATCCTCTAATTTGACAGAGACAATCCTTTAATTTGAAATTCTACAGACTATTCGTAACAAAATTATTCATGACAAATTATAGTGTGTGATGTAACACTGGCTTTGTAATCAATCGGAGGCTCTGTTTTCATCATACACACATTTGTAAATTGTACCTATATCTTGTCAGGGTTACTATTATGCATAATTACGAAAGCAATCTATCTATAGGTATATATATACAGCAATAAGTTTCCCTTTGTAATTTAATGGAATGAGATAACGTGAAGCAACGTGAAACAATAACATTTCCTCTTGTATGGTGATCTATTGTGTGATGTGACAGTTGTGATATTGACAGTTCAACAGTAGTATATGTGTAATATAGTGTATTTAAATTATAGAAAAACTAAAAAAAAATTTATTTGATTTTAGTAATTTTAATTTAATTATATTTTTTAAATTATTTTATTGTGATTATATACATAAAAATAAATTGATAATCGAAGCAACTGAAATTTATATCTGTTAATAATATATAAATTATGTATTGTGCGTGTAATTTATATTAAAAATTTAAATTATATATTTATATATTTATAGAAATATTATAAACACTTTATTATACTTTATAATATCTATTAATTTTTGTGTGATATATTTTTTAAATATTATTTATTATATACTATATATATATATCAACGTAGATGATTTTGTTTTACAGATTTATTTATAAAAAAAATTAATAAATTTTTACATTTTGTTTTATAAAAAAGTATCATAAATTAAATTTTTGAGCAAAATAAATTTCTTATAACTACATAATACTAATTACTATGGTTTTGATTAAAATTTCGAAAATTTAATCAGCATTGTTTTTAAAATAAATTGTTTTGACAAATATGAGTGAAATAATATATTTATGTGTAAATGTATTCCTACAAGAAAAATCAGTTTTATATTTTAGAAACACGGACATAAAAATGTTTAATAATAAATAATAAATAACATAAAAAATATTATATTATAAGATAAAATAAAAGGTTTATAAAAGTGTATATAATACTTTACGATGTGAAACGTTATAGGCGCATTTCTTTTAAAGAGATTCTCGAGTTATCTCGAGTTATCATTTATGCAGCAGTGCAGTGAGAGAATGTGAACTACTTCAACCATGGGCGTCCGCAGGAATTTTTCAAGGAGAGGGGGCTTATCACTCAGTTTGATAGAAAATAATGTATGCTTTGATATTTTCACATCTTTTATTAGTATTAAAGCTTTCTCACCGCGACAAGCTATAGATGTAAATTCAGAAAGATTTTTGTTTTCTTTCTTTAATATTCAATAAATTCTTTTAATTTTCCATTTTCCAGGGAGGCGGGACAAGTGCTCGATTTGCCCCTTCCTGCGGACGCCTATGACTCCAACTTATTAACTTAGCTCGTCAGTATAAATGTAAATGCCGAAAGGAACTGTCACGTAACTAAGTATCTCGATATTTGTAGCAGGTAAACTCGAAGTGAGTTACTTCAGTTACCTGTCATTTTGCAATTCTTGTTCCAAATCAGCTCTTTACCGGTTTTTCTGCTATTGATTCGCTTCATAAAGCTTATAATACTGTGTAAATTCATTCATATAATAATTATAGGCTCCTAAATATGGCATCGTTATCATCATCGATCATGTTGAGTAAAGATGTTCCTGATATCGAAGTAAGTACATATTTTTGACGTGAATAATAATGATTGTAAGTCATTTCTAATTATATAATAATTGATAATTACTTCTAAAGCCTAAAATAAAAAAAAAGATTGATCGAAAAGATATTCGAATCTCTGAATGATCAAGATATTATAAAACCAATGTTGGAATAATTTGTTTTAAGAAATTTAGTTTAAAAAATTTTTTTCTTTCTTCACAAATAAATTATATATAATTTCTTATTCTTATTTTTATTTATTATACATACCTGATAGAATAAACTTATTATGATAATAACAAAATATGATTATATAATAAATACATTGTTGGTATTTTATTTCTATTGATTATAATATAGCGACTTACATCTTTTAGAATATACTAAGCCTCAATCCAAAGTCCAAATACCATGCGAATCTTATGCCATCAACGTTGACCAAACAGAACAAACAGCACTGGAAAAGAAACATCCACGAGAAATGTGATGTAAGTCGTTTAAATTGGGCCAATTACTTGAATAAAATTCATTCTCGCTTCAGAGAAAACGATGAATTCTATATTATATATCAAGTATTACATAATATATTTTGAAGATCTATCCGAAACAATAATTGATAAGATTACAATCTCACGTACATTTCCTTATACATATATATATCTTTAACAATTATATTATTGTATAAATTTATCAGATTCTCATTGTATTATTTAATTATCGAATAATTTTTGCGTAATAAAATTAAATATATATAAAAATAAATCATAAAAATTGATTTAATACAATAGCTGAATAGATATAAATCAATAAGTGCATTTTTTGTTATTTTGAGCAAGAATAAAAAAGTGTTTATTGCAGATATTTTATAAAGAATTATAGTTAAAAAACTAATATATTGATCGATTCTCATATACATGAGAATATTATATATATTTATTACATAATAAATATATACATATAATAAATAAATATAACATAAATTTGTATAACAAAGAGAAAATCTTAATATTCAAGTATATAAGAAAATGTTAATTTTTTTTCTTACAAATTCTCAATTAAAATTCTTAATAATATTCTATAAGATAACATAATTATCTCATCTATTGTTATGAGCCATTTTTAATGTAAAATATGTTGTAAAGAATATTTTATTGTTTCTAAATTTCTCTTTTTCCTTGATTTATTTACCTTATATTTTTTATAACAAAATAATATAGGTCATGTAGCTTGTTTTATATAGTCAGTTATCGACGAAGTTTTATACCGTTCTATCTCTTTTTAATTTCAGTTTGTATTTAATAAGAACCACAACCATATGGTCAAAACGTCGTAATTTTAAATAAACAAATTGTGGCTAGTTTGGTCGATTATTTTAAAATTGATCTTGTTATATTTTTTTCTTTCTTTCTTCAGAGTTGCATGCCTTTGACAAAGAATTTCGACGATATCAAGCATACTACTTTGAGCGAACGTGGTGCATTAAGGGAAGCTGCGCGTTGTTTGAAGTGCGCTGACGCACCTTGTCAAAAATCCTGTCCTACACAATTGGACATTAAGTCTTTTATCACTTCTATCTCCAACAAGAATTACTATGGTGCCGCCAAAGCGATTTTATCAGATAATCCTCTTGGTCTCACCTGCGGCATGGTTTGTCCGACCAGTGACCTTTGCGTGGGTGGATGCAATCTGTATGCGACCGAGGAGGGACCCATCAACATCGGTGGGCTGCAACACTTTGCAATGGATGTATGTAATATTATTTAGTATTTAGCAATTAATATTTAATTCGGTAACTTATGTAAAGTAACGATAAAACGTGAAAATAATTTATTAATGCTTATAATATTTATTAAAATATCTATACATTAATTAAAATATAGAACAAATAGATATCTTATATATATATTCTGCATATAAAATTTATAAATTTTAGCATTATCAAATTTATCAAGCGACTTTAAATACATAAAATCAATTGTTGCCTATGTACAGGGATGTCGCCTCCCTATCAAGTAATTCTATATTTTATGGAAATTTGATTTAATATCTTTTTAATCTTTGACTTAAGATATACATATAGTAATAAAATAATATATACTATATATATTATTTAATTTTTTACATATGTGTATTTCAAATATAACACAGTAAAAAAATTTATGTTAAATTTAACACATTTCACATGTCTCAATTTATCTACTCTAATTTTAATGTCATTTAACAGAAGACAAATATGTAAATAAATAACACACGTAATATGTGAAAAATAACACAAAAATATAAAAATAAAAATATAATATAAGCAAAAATTCGTACATTTTCATTTAATTGTGTTGTTTTAACACTTAAAAATAGTGAATATTAACTCAACAGACAAATGTCAAAATAACATAACGACAATATGTTATATTAACATAAGAGTATGTTAAAAATTTAACACAAAAATTTCTACACAAGATAATTTCAACAGAAATACGAAATGTTTTTTACCGTGAATATAATATTCAGCTTTAAATGCGATGAATGTACTTTATATGTTACATTTCTTCTTTCAGGTTTTCAAACAGATGAATATTCCTCAAATCAGAATATCTAATCAAACAGTACCTTATGCAAACACGAAGATCGCTTTACTCGGTTGTGGACCAGCCTCTCTTTCATGTGCGACATTTCTTGCCCGACTCGGTTACGATGATATTACGATCTTCGAGAAAGAGAATTATATAGGCGGATTAAGTTCCTCCGAAATACCACAATATAGACTTCCATATGACGTTGTTAATTTCGAAGTTGATCTTATTAGAGATCTAGGAGTGAAGATCGAATTAGGAAGATCGCTATCCGAAGATGATTTGACGATACGGGTAAAATTAATTTAAAAATCTAGATTTGTCATCTATCTATTATATTTTTTAAATCTTTTTATCAATATAATTATCTAACTTAAAATTTTGAAAAATATTTATTCTGTAATTAATTTTAACAAATTTAAAAAATTAAAAAATAATAACTGTGAGACGACCCAACTGGCTTAAATTTATTATTATTATTAATTCGATGTCATATACAATAAAAGACGACGTTTCGACCTTAAGTTTAGGTCCTTATCAAGTCTTACGAAATCTTTAATACAAAATATAATTGAGTTCGCCTTTACCATCCATACGGAACGTTTTACTTGACACAGTACTTATATAGAAATGTGTATAATGTAAAAACTCAATTATATTTTGTATTAAAGATTTCGTAAGACTTGATAAGGACCTAAACTTAAGGTCGAAACGTCGCCTTTTATTGTATATGACATCGAATTAATAATAATAATAAATTTAAGCCAGTTGGGTCGTCTCACAGTTATTATTTTTTAATTTTATTCATCACTGGCGATACAAGATTACCTGCTATATAAATTTAAAAATGTTTCAGACCCTTCAAGGTGCTGGATATAAAGCAATCTTTTTAGGAATCGGATTACCTGAGCCGAAGAATATACCGATCTTCGAAAATCTCACGTCGGAAATGGGCTTTTTCACTTCGAAGAGCTTCCTGCCCATGGTCGCAAAAGGTAGCAAGCCGGGAATGTGCGCTTGCAAGAACAACCAGGAACTTCCATCTCTTCACGGCAACGTAATCGTCCTCGGTGCGGGAGATACCGCTTTCGATTGCGCAACTTCCGCTCTCCGGTGTGGAGCCAGAAAGGTCTTCGTCGTCTTTCGGAAAGGCTTCACCAACGTACGAGCTGTCCCAGAAGAGGTAATCCCTCTACCGTCTACATCTTTGCATTTAAATTCTAATCTGAAAATATAAAAATTATAATTAAATTTTTTTATTTAAAGTTTAGATATTTAGAACGCACAAATATTTGATAAAGGAAAATTTAAGACTTTAAAATTGTTTTCAGATGGATCTGGCGAAGGAAGAAAAGTGCGAATTTATACCTTTCCAATCGCCGAAACGTGTCATTGTTCGCAACGGAAGAATTTTCGCAATCGAGTTTTACAGAACTGAACAAAACGAGAAAAATGAATGGATAGAAGATGAAGAACAAAAGTTTGTTTTAAAAGCGGACTTCGTGATTTCGGCTTTTGGGTCAGAATTGTATAATCCTGCTGGTGAGTATAATAATATTATGCCTACTAGAACAAACATCAATTTAATATATCATAAAATTTAAAGTAGTATATATAATAATAAAAATATATATCATATAAGTCAATATATCACAAATTAAATAAATAATGAAACAAAGAAAATTGTAACAAATAAAAAATTATCTTGATGGTGAGAACAGTGAAGAATGCCATAGCGCCAATTAAGATGAACAAATGGAATTTACCGGAAGTTGACCAGAATACGATGATGACTTCGGTGCCAGGTGTGTTTTGCGGAGGAGACCTTGCTGGTGTCGCTCAAACGACTGTGGAATCTGTGAATGATGGAAAAACAGCTGCATGGTATATTCACAAATACATACAGGTACGTCATCTGATGTCTCTTTTTATGAATTATAAGTCTAAATTTTTCAGGAAATATCTACAGCAATGTTTTTCGATAAACTCTCAATAAATGTAGCTTTATTATTATTAATGTAATAATATAACAATAATTTAAAATAATAAAAAAATTCATTTATAATGATTTTATCTTATAATAAATTTTATAAGAAATAAAATTAGCTAAATAAAATTTTATTTGCCTACATTTTTTGAAATTTAAATTGACGATGTAATTTGTGTTCTGGACTTGATTGCATTTTTGTATTTTGATTATCGTGTAGGAATCTTACGGTTTGACTGTACCAGAAACTCCGCAATTGCCGAAGTTTTACACAGCTATCGATGACGTTGATTTAAGCATCGAAATATGTGGATTAAAATTCGAGAATCCTTTTGGTCTGGCTTCCGCACCACCTTGCACCACCAGCGCGATGATCCGACGTGCTTTCGAAGCCGGGTGGGCCTTCGCTATCACGAAAACCTTCTCCTTAGATAAAGTATCTCATTAAAGAGTATTAATTAAATTACAAATGACATGTATATATTTGTGTTTTCAATATTTTTTTTTCCCAGGATCTCGTCACCAACGTGTCACCGCGCATCATCAAAGGCACAACGTCCCGTCATCATTATGGACCCGAACAAGGTAGCTTCTTGAATATCGAATTGATATCTGAGAAAACTGCCGATTATTGGTGTGGCAGTATTACAGAATTGAAACAAGACTTTCCTTCAAAGGTATAACTTTCAGTTATTTTTACTGGATTCACAATTCTAATTTAATGTTATTATAATTATATTAATAAAATAAAAATAATCCTAATTAAAATATTTTACAAACCTTTTAATTATCAGAATTTAATATATATATATATATATATATATATATATATATATATTTTTTACATAGATTGTCATCGCAAGCATTATGTGCACGTATAATAAATCCGATTGGACAGAACTAGCGAGAAAAGCGGAAGCAGCTGGTTCTGACGGCTTGGAATTAAATCTATCGTGTCCTCATGGTATGGGCGAGTCCGGAATGGGTCTGGCCTGTGGACAGGTTTGTGTGTCCTTTCTTATGTTGAGATTTGAAGCATAAAAAAGAATAAAAAAAAGAACTAAATTTTTTAGGATCCCGAATTAGTTAGAAACATCTCCAGATGGGTTCGCGAAGCTGTCAAGATACCGATCTTCGTAAAATTGACACCCAACATCACCGATATTCTTTCCATCGCCAAAGCAGCTTACGAAGGTAATAAAAATTATTCTAAAATTTATACAAAATTATATCGATGTGTGCGCACTGTGCAGAAAAATAAAATAAATCATAGCAATAATTATGTTATAAAATTATTTAAATATTTTATCTTCTCACAATAAGCAATTTATATATATGACTAAGAAGCTTTTATAAAAATTTGATATTTATAGAAAATTAATTATTATTAATAATTAATTTCGTTAATAATTAATATTTAATTTAATTTTTGTTGGAGATGTACGCAAGAAACATCCGCGTATATGGCTCTTAGCCTTTCTTATTTGAATTAATTAATTAATATTTAATATAGGCAAAGCCGACGGCGTTACCGCTATTAATACGGTGTCAGGATTAATGGGACTTCACGCTGATGCGATTCCATGGCCAGCGGTAGGTCTTAACAAATCCACGACATACGGCGGGATGTCAGGAAACGCTACCAGACCTCAAGCTCTGAGGGCCATTTCAACGATCGCGAAACATCTTCCGGGATTTCCAATACTTGGTACCGGCGGCGTCGACTCGGCCGACGTCGCTCTGCAATTCTTGCATTGCGGTGCATCCGCCATCCAGGTATAATCAAGAATCTCCATGTTTCTCATTCTTTTTCTCTTATGCTATTCTTCACTGTATCTTCCACTACTTTCTAATCAATTCAAAATAATTAGCAACGCAAGAACAAACAAATCTAGATGGTAAAAAAATACAATAGAAAATTTAATGATAATAAAATTTTGTTCTTCTCAATTAATAATAATTTGTTAAAAATCGAGAGAATATACATTTCTGGGTGTAAAAAATACTTGAAGAAATCCGATAAAAATTTCAAACTAGATTGAAATTGTAAATTGAAATTTCGAGAGAGCACTCGATAATTAAGCATTAATCTCTAGAAATAAACAGCATTAAAATATAATTTTTTCGCTTTACATTATGTGATTTTGTAATTAAATATTTATTTAATACATAGATTTGCAGTGCCATTCAAAACCAAGACTTTACCTTGATAGATGACTACATAACCGGTTTAAAAGCGTTGTTATACTTGAAGAGTCTAGCACAGGTGAAAGATTGGGATGGTCAGAGCCCACCGACATTCAAACATCAGAAAGGCAAACCTGTTTCCCTGCAATATGCTCTTGGCAAAGTAAGTTTTAATTATTAATCCTTCGTTAATGTTTCGATAAATTTCTACATAAGCACAAAAATTAACTACAAGTTTGATTTAAGTTACAGATTATTAAATTTTAAACGTAAAGTGTTGATGAAGAACTTATAACTATATCTCTCTTTCCTTCACTTCATTATTACATATTTTTAAAACTTGTACTTTTAAACAATACTTATATATTCTAAGCCAAGACTAAAATTTTCTATAGATTGCACCGGCGCAGTTTGGCGAATATCAAAAACTGCGCGAACGAAAGATAGCCGAATTGAAAGCTAATTCGAATCCCTTGGATGAAGACGTGACGATAACTCGACCTGCTCCAAGGCCGATCGCGCCGATACCTACTGTCAAGGACATAATTGGCAAAGCATTAGTACACATTGGTAGTTACAAAGAATTGGATAACAAGAAGCAAGTAATTGCTTTAATCGACGATGTACGTGAAAAATAAATTGTATAGAGTAATTTGCCTAATATTAAGACCTATTCCATATGTATCAAATTGCTCTCTCTCTCTCTTTCTTTCAGGATATGTGCATAAATTGTGGCAAATGCTACATGGCTTGCTCGGATTCCGGATATCAAGCAATCACCTTCCATCCTGACACCCACCTCCCCAAGGTAACGGACGATTGCACCGGATGTACACTTTGTCTGTCTGTGTGTCCAATTATCGACTGCATCACGTAAGTTTCAAATATAATAAAATATATTAATAATTTGTGTTTATTTTCTATTTGAATTTTATTTTTCAACTTATTTTATCATTTTTGTATATCTGTTCTTTTTCAGTATGGTTCCAAAAACGATTCCCCATGTAATTAAAAGAGGCGTACCGCCGAAAAATACAATTGAAATTTATTAAACGATAGTTTATCCGAAATTATTATCCAAAAATTTTTATGTTTTACACAATTTTTTTACGTATACAAGCTCTTAATTATTGAATAACTATTAACAAATTACAAAAATATATATTATATGTACAATAGAATCACTATCGGATCCTGACACCGATAATGGGAAAGGAGGGTTCTGCAAAAAGAATAATTGTTATATGACTTATACATCAAAAGTAACGAACTGCAAAATTGCGAGAATTATGTACATTTTCAAAAATCTTACCTACGATTAAATAGGAGATCTTCCTTTTGCCAAAATTGAATCTGCTGTTATTAATTAAAATTTGGCATTGTTTTTCCAACTCCACCTTTCGCAATTTTCATTCCAATCCGTTTTATTGTTAAGGCTGAAAAATTTGTAATTTTATATAAAACTTATTGTTAGTCTAAATTTATATTATATTTTAAGATATCTGATGTGGTCATTAAAAAATTGAAAGTATCTCCATAATATATTCTACATAGATTATAATATTTCTATTATTATTGTATAGAGATTATTTCTAATATTATTATTATTATATTATCTGTCCAATTTGTTTTACTCGTAACTATCTGTTAGGCATAAACAATTGAAGCACTGCGGATCCAATATATTGAAATACGTTTTTCCGATACTTTGAACTTTGAGCTATATAATTCATGGTCCCATATCCCTTCAGACCGCACCATTTTGTTTCTACAAGTATCAGCATTGCAAGATAAAGAAACACAAAATTTAAATCAATAATAATAACATAATTGATCCTTCTCCTTCTTTGGATTTAATGTGTGCATCTTATATTATATATTTTATACGTTTTCAACGATTAGTACATTTATGATTAAGGAAAAGAACTATATCTCTTATATTAAGTAAAAAGCAATTAAATTATATTAATATATTACAAGAAGTAGGTATATGCAACAAATAAAATAAAATAAGTATTTTTATAACTTATACCTCGTATAATTATATGACTGTGTTATATAAATTGTGGTTACAGCAACTTTTAAGAATTCACTCAAATACAGCTTCTACAAGTAAAAGCAAATATATGTAGAATTCTCTGCGATAAAATCGAATATTATTATATAACTCTTGAGCAAATGTCAAAAATAATCTCAAAAAGAATTTTATTAACATGCAAATATACGCCGCACTATGTAAGCAAGTATGAAAAGTAGGAAAAGTATAAACGCTCGAGTAGATAATTACCAATAATACTGTTAAGATATAATAGCAAGTATGCGATGTATTAGTAAATCAAAAGCTCGCGAGAAGAATAAATCACAGATTAAAATAAGGGCTAGGAGCTGAAGGCGGTTGTTGTGGCTAAACATATTATTTAATAAAATAACGTTGTACGACGAAAGCAACTCTCTCTTTCTATCTTTTCCATTAGATTAATGCATCCCATACATCGTCACGCTGCGCGACTCGCGCGAAACTGATACTCGTGCGTCGTGCCGCACGAAGAAATAAAATTTTCTACAAGAATCTTTATTTGTGATTAAATATCTACACTTTCATTAGACTTGCACGAGACTATACCCCACACTTCCGTCACGCTGCGCGACTCGCGCGAAACTGATACTCGTGCGTCGTGCCGCACGAGTCGTGCGAGGTATCGCGAGCGCGGGCCTGATAGTCACATGACCAGTGGTCACGTGATTACTGGTCCGCGCTCGCGATATCTCGCACGACGCACGAGTATCAGTTTCGCGCAAGTCGCGCAGCGTGACGGAAGTATGGGGTATAGTCTCGCGCGAGTCTAATGAAAGTGTAGATATTTAATCACAAATAAAGATTCTTGTAGAAAAAATTGTATTTCTTCGTTCATATTTCCTGTAAAAGATTTAAATATTGAATTTTTATACGTTACATAATTAATTAATATATTTTTTATGCATTGATTGCAATAATAATTTTAGTATGCATGCGTTGTAATTTTTGACATTTTATTATTAAAAAATAATATAATTTCGCTTTGCGTGCGTAATTATATTCGGTTATATTAAACGAAATGAGGAATATATGCTACATAAATTCAGCATTTAAATAAGAAAATTGTACTCCGACGAAAAATGTATCCCGATAAACGTACCCTTGTTGAGAGATATATATATTTATCAAAAACATATAAATTTACAAAAAATATAAATTGACAAGATGTTTTGGTGATGTTTCGAAGCTATAAACTAATTATAATATTCGAATTTTTAGAATTGGTTTTCGGATTAGAACTGCTTAAACGTTTTGTTTGATTCCAGCGTTTCGTGAATTTCAGCTCATTTCATCAGGGAGGAACAACTGATATACAGTATATATCAAAGTATCAAGTTGTTTTATTTTGATGAAAATTAGTCTTGAATAAACTCTTCGAGACTCAAGTCTTGAAAAGTCTTAAAGTTTTTTTGATATTTATTAATCTATTATATTTACAAAAATTTGTATGTTGTAACAGTATACATATAGCATTCGCTTACTCTTAATTACTGCTATATGTAATGAATTGGTTCCAGCAACTTTTGACACTTTACTTAAATACATCTTTTTATCAGCAAAAGCAGATGACATATGTAGAATTCACTGCTGATAATGGAATATTTGTCATTTAACACTATAGTGCAAATGTAAAAAAATTATTCCAAGGAGAATTTACTAATATACATATATCATGTCTCATTATGTAAGCGCAAGTATATAAACAAGTAACAAAAATGTGAACGTAGATAATTGTGGATATTACTCGAAATACGAATATTAATAATTGATGAATTTAACGTGTACTCTGCTCGTATCTTTCTTTTTCTTTGTTTATTCTTTAGATAATTATGCGATAAAATAGTATGCATTATATACATTTATACAATGCGTCTGATTTATTATCAGCATTCTGCTCTGCGCAGAAACTAGAAATGTAATTAACCATTATTCGCAGTGTTTAATGAACGATTTTATTTATGATTTGTGTACATAAAATACATTTTTCACACTTTGCACATTGCACATTTAAAGAATGAAAAAATAAACAATCTGTCCATTTTATGAACTTTATTTTTTCAGTATGGTTTAAAAAGCGATTCCATATTTAATTAAAGGAGGCATCCCTAATAGCAAAACATATCCGAAAGATATATTCAGAGGATATCGAGAGAACATTCGAACATCCTCAGGATGTTCTCTAAACATATGTCTTCGGGATATGTGTGCTGTTAGGAATATCATCAAAAAATGCAATCGAAATTTGTTAACCAATAGTTCATCCTAAACTATTATCCAAAGATTTTTACGTTTAACATAATTTTTTATGTATAAGCTATTGATTATTAAATAAAATTATTACCATAAACATGTAATAAAAATATACTATATATAATAGAATAAATTATATTTAGCAATTGTAAGCGAAGTATGTCATGCAATTATTACTAATAAATAATATAATCTTTTTAAATTAAATATATAATTAGTGTTAAAATAAAAGATTTAATTAAAATAGTAGAATAAAGAATTTATATAGCGCTAATAAAATTCTATTTTATTTACAATACATATGTATCTACATTAAGCACTTATGTGTATTATGATGAATATACACTATTGCGTACAAAACATAGTTTTAGAATAAAGCATATGTACAGTATAATATATATAACTTCTCAAAAAAAATTAGTCAAATCTCTCTTATCAATTTTAATCGTTATTTAAAATGGTTCAAATTGATAAAATTGATATTTATTTAAAAAATTATAAATTTTTTAAAATATAATAATGTACTTGAAAAGTCTCTTAAGAGGGAAGCTGTTAAAAAAAACCATATTATACATCAAAAGTAACGAACTGCAAAATTGCGAGGATTACGTACATTTTCAAAAATCTTACCTACAATTAAAATTAATAGAAGATCTTCCTTTTGCCAAAATCGAATCCGCTGTTATTAATTAAAATTTATTATTTTTTCTCCATCGATACTTATCGCAATGACCCTCGCAATCCGTTTTATCGTTAAGGCTGAAAAATTTATATTTTTATATAAAAATTAGTCAGTATTTTTATATCATATTTTAAGATATCTGATGCAGACATAAAATATTGAGAGTATCTTGTAATATATTATATACATAGTTTATATTATTATTATTTCTATTATTATTGTATAGAGATTATTTCTAATATTATTATTATATTATCTGTCTAATTTGTCTTACTTGCAATCGTTTGTTGGGCATATACATTCAAAGCACTGCGGTCCCAATGTATTGAAATACATTTTTCCGACAGTTTTAGAAGGTATGCTGGAGGTCGTTTTCAAACAGTGAAAGAATTCATCGTCGCAAGCGCAAGATGACCTGTAACAATAAAATTGTAAAATCTTAATATAAACAATAAGAAATAAACGAAAATTGATCAATAAAGCTAACGAAAATAGATCTATTATTTCGCAGAAAAGAATGTAAAATTTGATAACAAGATTTACATATTAGAAGATATCATACATCAATATACATACATATCATAAGATTTACATATTAGAAGATATCATACATCAATATACATATATATCATAAGATTTACATATTAGAAGATATCATACATCAATATACATATATATCATAAGATTTACATATTAGAAGTTATCATACATCAATATACATATATATCATAAATCAAATCATATAAAACTTCTTTCAGAATGATAAATATAAATTTTCAATATAAGTGTTAAAAGCGCGATGTTTCAATTATCTTGTTTGTTCAATTACCTTGTGAAAAGACCATTATTTATGAGATTGAGCTTTATTTCACCGGCTATAATATTGTTTCGGCAATTATCATGCGCCCTGCAACAGGCATCCGTATCGTTGTAACGGCCGAGATCATCCTCGCTTTTGGCGTTATCTCCATTGCCGCACCATCGTGTTCCTACAGACATCAGCATTGCAAGATAAAGAAAAACAAATTTTAAATCAACAATAATAAACATAATTGATTTTTCTTCTCTTTCTTCGGATTCAAAATGTGCATATTACTATATATTTTCAACGTGATAAGTGATAAATCTTTGATGAAGCAAGAGAACTATTTAAATTATCGATATATTACGCTGGAAATATATCCAACACATAAAAAAACAAGGTTTATATAGTTTATTATTATCACAAAGTTTCTAAAAGGTATCTATAAATTAATGCGATAGTAAGAAAAAAGATTTAACATTATTTTTTTTTAATATTCTTTTTTTAATTTTTTAATATTTTAATTTTAAACCAATTTTAATCATTTAATTTTGCCTTTAACCGAAATAATTCTTTGTATAAAAAATATATTGCGAAAAAGTTATACAGTTTGGAAAATTATATATATACGTTTGATTGTGTTTACAATAATATTTGATCGCAATAAAGAAATAAGATTTTTTATAGAATAAAATCTTTGAATATGTATATACATCATGCATATCAACTGCGACCGATATTATTCTATTTGTTTTCTTATTATTATCATGTAATTTTCCAACAAGTCTCTGCAATAACTTGCAGTGCAATAACTCATCCTTTTCAATGTTAGCGACGATCAAAACATATCTTTCAAATTTAAACTAAAATAAAAAATTTAACACTTATTTGTGAATTATGAAATACGAGCATTTGTCTCACCCCTCCTCTTTCTTTATCTCTCTTTTTATCTCTGTTTTTCATAATTTATTTTAGCAAGCTAATTATATACGAATAATTAAATACATGAATATATTTTTTCATTTGTTAAATTTTCCTAGAAATCAGAGATTAAGCCAGTAATTGCAATAAATAAAGTTAATAATTCTGTCTTTCGAAATTATTCGAATAAAATTCTTAAGTCGTCAATAAAGCATATGTTGTAGTTTTTTATCGCAATGATGATGATGTTTATTGTACTTACAATATGTTGCGCAAGATAATACATGCACCTGTGAAAATAGCAATACGACTTTGAATTGAACAAATTCAAGGTAATCTCATGCGTGATCGAATCGATTCGATCGATTAACGTCAATCCATAATCTTCAGGTAAATTTAGTTAATTATATGAATTATAAAATAATTATAAAATATATATTTTATCGAATACAATTAATCTAAATTTAATCAATGTAAATAATGAAAGCAGATCTTCGTAATGCGTAATTTACAATTAAATATTTTGTTTTATTTTTATATTTCAATATCGTTATTTTAATTGTAAAATTATTAATTATAGTAAAAAAAAGCATACGAGGAATTTATTTTTAAAAGAATTTTAATATTAATTTTTTGTAAATATTGAAAACATTACATATTTTTGTTCCTGATTGTCTCATTTACTTTAACTATCTGCTTCAATAGTGTTTTTCTTTCTCTCAATGCGATATTTAACAAAAACGCTCATATTTACATATTTCAAATTAAATTTTATAAGATCGTCAAAGTAAAGGTTTTGTAATATTTTGTAATTAAATCTTGTAAAATAATTTTTGTGTTATTTATTATAGCTGTAGCAATTTGCTCTGTCGAATTTATATTGCATTCTACATATATTGCATAATTATATATCTATCTTTTCTGCTTAAATATGTATCACATTTTTACTTGTTTTACTAATTTTAATAATTAGTGAATTAGATTTTTTAGAAACGTAAACTTATAAAATATATGTAATAAAAATGTATTTAAATATTATAGATGTATTAGTTTTAATAAATTAATAAATATTTTAATAAGTTTTTTATTTTTAACATTATAAATAAATGTGTTCCACATGACAAAAAAATAAATTTTTTCCCCTAAAATGTTTGGTTTTAGCATTTGTGTTTTTTTTGTAAATCTTTTATATTAATGAAATGATTGAATTACCTGGGAAAATACCAAGATAATTTTCAACTTCTTCGAGGACGTCGCTGAAGGTTGCTCTTTCCAATGAATAGTTTTTCTTTTTCTTGAAAGGATTGAGAGAGTTTATTCCTTCCAGTAACGTTTCGGTGTATGTTAGACGAGTTTTCTCGGAACCAGGTGCACTCGGTGTGTTGCAATCTACGTCATTTCCATAAATGTTGTAATTTTGACAATCACTAAATCGAACAGCAATGCCAAGGAAGAGTATGAGCAGGCAGAGACGTGACATCGTGCTGTCTATTATACCTAAGATAAATAGCGAGAAGATATTGAGCTATATCCTCTAATGAACACAATGCACACGTTGCTACATTGCATATGAATAATAAAGAGGAAAGATAAATTTAAAAACAAAGTAAAAAATTATCAGCATTTCCTGTTATCATTAATATATCACATGTCTATAATCATAATATTATCAATAATCATAAATCAGAATTTTAATCACAAATAGAAGTATACGATATATAAAAAAATTGAGGCCAAGTTCGTTTTTACAATATAACATATGTATACTTACTTTAATGTATCTTACTTTAATTTTTAATGAGATATGTATATATATATTAAAAACATATATAAATTTACAAGAAATATATAATTAAAGAAATATAAATTGACAAAATGTTTTGACAATGTTTCGAAGCTAAATAATTATAATATTCGAATTGATTTTCGGATTTGAACCGCGTAGACTTTAGTTTGATTCCAACATTTCGTGAACATTTCAGCTCATTTTATCAGGGAGAAACAACTGATGTAATACAGTATCAAAGTATAAGGTTATTCTTCCTTGATGAAGATATTAGTTTTGAAAAAACTCTTCGAGATTCAAGTTTTGAAAAGTCTTAAAAAGTTTTTCCGATATTTATTAATCTACTATATTTCCAAAATTTATACATTGTGGCAGTGTACATGTAGCATTCTCTTACCTTCTTAATTACCGCTATGTATAATGAACTGGTTCCAGCAACTTTTGACACTTAAATATACGCATCTTCTTATCAGTCAAAGCGCAAATGACGTATATAGAATTCACTGATGATAATTGAATATTTGTCATTTAACACTTGTGCAAATGTCAAAAATAATTCCAAATGAAGAGAATTTTACTAAAATATATTTACATATATACATATTATGTCGCATTATGTAAGCATAAGTGTACAAGTAGCAAAAATTTAAACGTAGATAATTGTCAATACGTATTAATATAATCAATGACTTTAGCGTGGACTTCGCTCGTTCTTTCTTTTCCTTTGTTTATCCTTTAGTTCATTATGCGATAAAATATAGTATGCATTACACATTCGTACAATGTGCCAGGTGGTTCATTATCAGGCATTCTGCTCTACAAAAAATTGAAATGTAATATCATAATTAACCATTCATTATTCGCAGTGTTTAATGAATGATATTTTATATATTGTATTATTTATGTACACATAAAATATATTTTTCACACTTGCACATTTAAAGAATGAAAGAATAAACATATATGTATCCATTTTATCTAGCAAAATTGATGTAGTTCTCTTGTATATATTAAATAATTTGTCCAAAATCAGGAAAATATGTTTCATTGTAACAAATACCGGCAAAAACCAATATATCGATTGCATCATAAGTTTCAAATATAATAAAATGTTATAATCTATCTTTATTTTCTATTTTAATTTTTAGCTTATTTTCATTATTTTTGTAGGTATATATATTTTGTTCTTGATTTTTTCAGTATGGTTTTAAAAACGATTTCGCGTATAATTAAAAGAGGCATATCGCCGAAAAATGCAATCAAAATTTGTTAATCGATATAGTTCATCTAAAACTATTATCCAAAGATTTTTATGTTTAACATAATTTTTTTTCATACAAGCTCTTGATTATCGAATAATGTGTTATTATGCAATTATTATACTTAGTAAACTATATATATAGTCATCCTAAATTACATATATAATTAGCGTCGTTAATAAAAGATTTAATTATAGAATAGTTATAAATATAAAGAATGCAATAATTCATCATGCTGATATTTTATTCATATTACATGTGCATTTTTAAACAAATATATTGCGATAAATATATATTAATACGATGCGTACAACATAATTGAGTAAATAAGCATATTTATTATAGTATAATATATATATAGCTTCTTAAACAAATTAGATTAGTCAATTCTCTCTTGTTAATTTTAAAAAAATTGTCATTTCGTCAAATCGTCATTTAAAACTGATTCAAATTGATTTTAAAACCGGTATTCATTTAAAGAATTATAAATTTTCAAAAATATAATATACAAGTCTTTTCAGAATAGAAATTTATAATTGCTATGTTAAGAAAAACATATCAAAATAAATAACAAACTATATGTAAAAGTGCGAAGATTACACAATTTTAAAAATCTTACGTGCGATTAAAACATAATATGATTACTCGGATTACTCATCGATATAGGGAACGAGTTCTGCAATTGTTTTATCTTTTCTTCTATTTCGTTCTTCAATTGTTTCCTCTTTTCTTCTATTTCGTTCTTCAATTGTTTCCTCTTTTCTTTCATTATTTTGAATATTGGAAACTTGGAATTATCAAACCATTGATACTTTGTGCAATTACCTTCGCAACTCGTGGGATCAGTCTTGGGACTGAAAAAATTGTATTTTCATGTAAAACTTAGTTTGAATTTATATTAGAATTTAAGATATCTGATATAAAAAAGTTGAAATCTTCATAATGTTATTCTACAAAATTCTATATTATATTTCTACTATTATTTCTATTATTATTATTATTATTATTATTATTATTATTATTATTATTATTATTTATCTGCCTAATTCGTCTTACTCGCAATTGTTTTCCGGGCATATACACTCGTAGCATTGCGGTCCCAATATATTGAAATATGTGTTTCCGATAATTTCACTAGATATGCTGCCAACCTTCGCGAGACAGTCGTAGAATGCATGATCACAAATGCAAGCTGATCTGTTGTGAAAAAAATTACAAAATCTTCACGATCAAAAAAATTAATGAAAATTTATTAATAAAGCTAACGTGAACAAAACGCATTATTTCACGGGAAAAAATATAAAATATATAATTTGATAATAAGACTTATTACATTTTATAGAAGATTATATATATATATATATATATATATATATATATATATATACATATATACACATTAGACATAAATAAAACTATATATAATATTTCTTTCAAATTATAAATAAATATAAATGAATGTTCAAGAGAGATAAATATATTGAAGGTGATGGTTCAGTTATCTCATTCATTCACCTCGTAAAATGACCATTATTTATGAGATTCTCCAGTGTACAACCGGCTAAGATATCACTCTTGCAATTATCATGCGCCCTGCAACAGGCGTCCGTCTCATTTGAACGGCCGAGGTCAGATTCGTTTTTGGCAATATTTCCAGCGCCGCACCATTTTGTTCCTACAAGTATCAGTATTGCAAGATAAAGAAACACAAAATTTAAATCAATAATAGTAACATAATTAATCCTTCTTCTCCTTCTTCGGATTCATGTGTGCAGAATTATATTTGTATTGTATTTGTATTTTACATATTATATATTATATTTGTATTTTACATATTATATATTTCTTTTCTTTTTAAATATATGTATCTTATTTTTACTTACAATTAAATATGCAACTAATTTTCACTTACAATAGAAAAAAAGCTCTAATGTATTTAATAAAGGATTAAAGAATCATCGATTCTTATTATTAGCTCATTTCCTTTAATCATTTTTACTTTATCATCATTTATAATCATTTTATTTATTGTTTTACTAATCTTCATAATTATAGAATTGTATCTTTTTGAAATGTATAAACTTAAAAACCGTGTAATAAAAATGTGTATTATAGATGCGTATATTCACTTTAATAACTATATATCATTATAATCATTATAATAACTGCAACAAATAGTTGAAATTATTTTCCGTTTTATTTCTAATATTCTAATAAAAATAAAATTTGAAAATTGAAGACCACATTTTAAATAAAATTGTGAAATCATTATATATATTTTCCGATAACGTATTCTTTCATTAAAAAAAGACTCACAATCGATATAATATCATAACAATTTTCATTGCGGCAATGAGTATATATATATATATATATATATATATATATATATATATATATATATATCATTTTATTTATTGTTTTACTAATCTTCATAATTATAGAATTGTATCTTTTATATATATATATATATATATGTATATATTATAAGAATATTTTTAATACATAAAATAATTCAAAGATTAATTTATTTGTAGAAAAAGATCTTGGCAAAATATTGAAAACAAATTCAATAATCCTAAATATTAACAAAATATTTTATATATATTTATATATTTACAATTTTTAATATTTTTTTATTTTGAACATTTATAATATATATGCTATACATGTAAAAAATGTTTTTGCCCCTAAAATTTTTGCTTTTAACATTTGCAATCTTTTCTGTAATTTTTTTTGTATTATGAAATAATTGAATTACCTGGAAAAATCGCTAATCCTGTATATGCTTTTTGGATGCTTGCTTTTATTCTGTCATGGTGGACATTGCTGCTAATGCTAGTGGTAGTTTCTTCCAAGTTTTTGTTATTGTTATTCGTACAATTAGACTTGTGAGACCCTTTACCCGATCAAAAATTTTTTATATATAACAATATAAAATTATATAGAAATATATAAAATTATACATATAATCACAAAATTATATTTAAAAGATGTCCATACATATAATTATAAATAAAAGTGCTTTTTATATATAATTACATAAATACATATAAATATATATATAATTTGACATGATTATATATATATATATATATATATATATATATATATATATATATAAACCCTTATAATTTATATATACATTTATATATAATTATATATGTATAAAAATGGACATATTTCACATATAATTTTACGATTATATGCGTATAACTATATAATTATTCAATTATCAATCATTATAACTATATAATTATTTAAATTTTTTACCGGGTAAGAATAAATCGCCAACTGTCATACTAGTTTTATCGGAACCAGGTGCGCTCGGTGTACTGCAGTCTACGTCATTTCCACAATCACCAAATCGAACAATGCCAAGGAAGAGTATGAGTAGACAGAGACGTGACATCATGTTGTCTATTCACCTATAATAGAAGATAGAATGTTGAGAATATTCTGCTCTTAATAAATATATGATATGCTACATATTGCATATGAATAATAAATAAATAAATAAATAAATAAATAAATAAATAAATAAATAAATAGATATAGACAAATTTAAAAACAAAATGTAAAAAACTTTATTATTTATAACCATAAAATTATCAATAATCATAAATCGGAATTTTAATCGCAGCTGGAAGATATGATATATGTAAAAGTATATATATTTATAGGACCAAGATTTTTTACAAATATGTATATAACATATTTCTTTAATTTTTTATTAGAGACATATTTATTGAAAACAGAAATTAATAAGAAACATATAAATAAAAAATATATATTAATAAAATGTGAAGATGTTTTAACGTTTTCGAATCTAAGCAATTATAATTATATTCAACGTAGCGTTTGAGCTTATTGCGCGAGGGAAGAAAAACAAAATATTTTTTCATACACAAAATATAAATGTTTTTTTATAATTGAGATATTATTATAATTATTAATAAATTAATATAATTATTAAAAATAAATTTAATAAAGAAACTATATTATTGCGAGAAAATATAAAATATAATAAAAAATAAATATGAAACAAACAATATTAATAAAATAATATGAAATTTATCTAAATACACTGAATTCTTTAATAGATTGGTCTTAAAAACTTTTTCGAGACTCTTGCAGTCTTGAAAAATATCTTCTCGATATTTATTAATTCTATTTAATTTAATCTATTTACGAAAATTTGTAGTATTGCATTCGCTTACCTTATTGTTACTGTGTGATAATAAGATCCAGTAACTTTTCTTCATTTATATACATCTTCTACTAATGAAAATGGAGACATATAGAATTCGCTGACAATCGAATATTTGTCATTTAACACTTGCACAAATGTCAAGAATGAGAAGAATTTTATTAACATACATATACGTCATGCCACATTATGTGACCATACAATTAGCAAAAGTGTAAACGAGTACGTAATTGCTAATAGCTATTAATCGATGAATTAAACGTGGACTTAGCACATACTTTATCTTTTCTTTGTTTATCCTTTAGATCGTTGATGCGATAAAATGGTATGCATTACACATTTGTACAATGCATCAGGTAATTTATTATCAACATTCTGCTCTGCAGAAGATAGAAATGTAACATCACAATTAACCGCAGAATTTGATGAACAATTATTTATATACATAATATACATTTTATGTATTTAGCTATTGACAGATGAAATAAAAATAAATAGACATTTACTTAATAATCATAATTAGATTGTGCATTATAAATTCATTAGCGCAAATAGATTTTATACAACCCTTAATATATGCAGTGATAGACAAGTATAAAAATGATAGTCTAAAATTCTTTTAAACTGCTTTAAAAAAATAACAGGTACAACAAAGTATAAATCATTACACGATTATATACAAATAATATTTCACGATGCCAGCAGTATTTCATGACGCTCTTATTCAAGAGTCCTTCGTAGTTTCGTCTGTATCACAGTCTTCAGCAGTATCATCTTCTCCCTGTAAAACGCGACGTTTTTGCAAACGCGCACATCGTGGACAGCAGTGGTTGCGTTTGGCCCAGCAAACACGATGATGCACCGCTGAACATTGCGGACAGATAATCGAGCTCGCGTCCCACGGATAAATGATCTCATCATTGCCGCATATCTCACATAAATGTCCCCTGAGAAACATCATAGCAGCTTTTAAAAGAAATAGCTCTTACATCAATTTTAATTAAATTAAATTATACATAGTTTATATTTTTTCTGACACAAACAATAATTAAAATTACAATTTTACCAAAAAACATCAAATTTTTAAAAAATATCTACAATAAGAGAAAGAAAAAAATTCCACAAGATCTCACACATTCCATATATATTAATTTCAAAGACAATAGGAGAAGGTAAAGACTTTAACATATAAATTCGACATAAAAACACAACCGAGTTGTAGTCGATATGAAAAGAATGCATCCTTTTTTTCTTAAATGCTCACCTTGCTTTACAGAGTTCGCATTGCTGCGTAATATGCGCATGCATCGTATCATATGCGGCCCGAAGCTCGTCCAGGAGAATGCCACTCTGAAGATCGATAAGATCCTTGATGGAATAGTTACCTGAATTCTCGATCATGTGCGTGCGCAATCCGATTTTCCACGGTAATCCTTGAGTACAAGCTTCTAAGCATAGAACCAAGTATTTCTTCATCATCTGCATTTCCTCTCGCATTCGCTACAATTTAACCACAAAATTATAATTAAATTTTAATTTAAATCTTCGAAATGCGAACGTTCTGAAATTAAAGTTATCATATTTGTTGCAGAGAAATAAAATTAATATATTTAATATTATATCAGAGAGAATTATAAGTCTAAGAATAATATATCTCAATCATGAAATATGCAAGTATCACTCAAATTCTTCAAAGTTTTATTTTAATGAAAAGATATTTTATTTAGAATTGATAAAATCAATTTATGTGTGTATATATGTGTGCGTGTGTATATACATATATATTAATATAGATTTTATTAATCTAAATATATACCTATTTTAGATATCTACACATAATGATATAACTGGGCTCACCTTCACCAGCGACAGATCCGGGACCAGAGTGAAAAGTTTCGGGTTTAATTCTTCCAAAGGCAATACAGAACGATCTTCTAAGAGCATAAGAAGCTGCGCCGCGGCGCGGGACACCAGACGTGGTTCCATATCCCAGTTTCTGATTACTCTCGCAGGAATAACCATGGCTGTGTTCCAATGACATCTTTGACAGTAATATAGACCGCTGTAGTCACAAAGTCGCGGCTCTACCCATGCCGACTCTATAATCGTTATTCCTTTATTAATAGATTAATCATAAATATTGTACAGTTGAACAGAAATATGTATTTTCGAATAATGTAAATATGTATCGTTGATTTTAGAGAAAAATTGTTGTTACTATACATACATAAATTTTCCAGAAATTTTCCTAATACAGTCGTATGTGATAAGAGATTAAAGCAAAACATGAAAACAAAGTTATAAAGAACTTGCATCAAAGTGATAATGCGTATGCACATATGTGACAACACATTGTTAATATAGATATTTATATCTCAAATACCTGTATGCTTAAAGGAACTGCCGAAGCAAGATAGCGATAATCCTTTCGAGAAAGCTTGCAAGAAGACAACAATGTACTTACAATGTACTATTATTATCTCATGCGGGATACCCCCGTGCGCAATTATCAATAAACGAAATAATAAGCGGACGTATAAAACAAATCATCTGTCCATTTTATCTAGCGAAATGTTCATCCGGTTTTCTTGTAATCTAAGGCCGTTGAATACTTACTGAATGTTATTCTCACTTTGCATTCTGCGCAACGATAACTCTGTTTCGAAAGGCCTTGTTCAGGACAAATATCTTTTGTATGGGTATAACCACCAGCCTCGCTGGCAACCACGTGCACGCAAACACGGCATACATTGTTGAGACATTTCCAGTGGCAACTAAATTTGCAATCTAAAATTTAAAAAATATTGTATCTTTATAATCATGTCATATAACAAAATTCACAGCTTTGTATGAATTCTCTGACTTAATATCTATTGAGTAAATATCTATATTAAATAAATACATACATACAATATATATATATATATATATATTAGTATACATTAATCAACATGATGAAAACAGGCTAAATTGTTTACCGCTGCACATATACCACGATTGCAACATCGCCCAGATTGCTCCACTGCAATGATCGCAATAAACCGGACCAGACGTGATGATGTGATATTTCTGCGGCATAAAATGATGCCCAAGGATCACGCAAGTTTCGAAGAGATTCTCATCCGAGGTCTCACGCAATTCCTGCGCGCGTAAACGTAATTCGATCAATCGTCGAACAAGCCATTTACGCTCGTCTGAACACTCGGCACTCTCTAGCACCATCGACTTGCATTTGCGTACCATTTCTTGAAGATCCTCCTCAGAGGCATCCTAAATAAGAAGAAAATTCATATTAAATTTTTTTATTTTTTGTTTATAACAAAATAATGCTAATCAAATAAGTTTAATTAGTCTTTAGTCAAAAAACATATATATTAATAATAATAACAGATATTTATACATATATATGTAATAAATTGCATTTTGTATACATTAACTTTATCAATTATAGATTGAATATTATTTAAATATTATTTTATATACTTTGGATAATGACAGCATAGTTTCTACTGATTTTAAGCTGAACGGAATAGTTCCCTTGCTGTCAGAACTATCATCTGCTTCTCCTGTCATGTAATCAGAAGAGGATGATGGCGTAGACGTTCCTGTGCCAGAACTATTTGCTCGTATTCTTGACTCATAATGTGAGTCGCTCTCTCCAATGATGGAAGAATTACTTTTTATATCTACCATGTTTTCTGCAAAACATATCAAGAAGGAATAGATAAAGATGTGTCATATTTCATTATTCAAAAATAAGCTCTTTCCATATCACAATGTTTATTGGTGTGATAAGCGTTTTATAATTTTTTATTGCTCTTAACCCCTTAAATCAAGTTTAAACATTTTAACTTTTGAAAGAAAGGACATTATATCAAGTTATTATCGCAATTAAGTAAAGCTCATCCTAATAGTCTTTAGTTCAAAACTGAGGACCTTATATATTTAAAAGAAAGATATTATACACTATATAAATATATAGAAATATAATCTGAAGAGATAAATTATAGAAATATAATCTGAAGAAATTAAATATAATTTAAATTTAATATACTTAATAAATTAAATTAAAAAAAAAACAAAATTGGAGATAAAAATAGAATATTTGTATATAATTATACATTAAGGATATCTAATTTCCTTCTCTTTGCAGTTTTAAATTATTTTATCAATATAAACAATCCGAAGAAAAAATACGTACCACTCGTTTAATTGTTCGATAAAACCTGAAATTGCATGAGTCACCGCCTCGATAAGTATAAATATATTTAATACATTTAATTGCGACGTGCGCACAATTCAATAAATTAAAAATTTAATAACAAATTAGTGAACGAGATGCAAAATTTTAAATCTCGTCTCTCGATTAACAATTCAGGTTACGTTCGACAAGTTGTTTTTTCTTGGGATGCCGATACGTTCTGAAATCAGCTGATCTGTACAAAGTGAGTTTTCACAGCGCGAAATTGAAGTTTGACAGATCGTACGACAAATTTGATTTGATTCTCCAAATATTTTTGTCCTGAAATTGTTCAGCACTATTCCTAGAACAAAAACTAGTTAAATTAATCGATATCAATTTTAGTTGAAAAATAAATCTTTAGCACAAAACAAAAAAAAATAGACTTTATATTTTAAACAATTTATTTCTTTTCTACAAAAGATTTTCATTTGCGAAAACCTGTGAAATTAGAAAACATAACGATGAGATTTTACATAAAAATGACAATGCCTGTACAATTAATAAATATTATTCATAATTTTTCATTTTCACAATTAAATATACAAATAATTTTTAAATATATTTCCAATTTTGTAGCATGTTCTAAAAAAATATTTAAACAATAAAAGATCATTGCTGTACATAAAATGTTAATATTATGTTAGGATGCTTTAAAACTTTTCTTTTGCATAAATATTACTGAAGATAGAAGTATAATCATGTGAATTTAAAATATGTATCAGAGAAAGATTTTTATATGTATGTGTGTGTATATATATATATATATGTGTGTGTGTGTGTGTGTGTGTGTGTGTGTGTGTGTGTGTGTGTGTGTGTGTGTGTGTGTGTGCGTTTTGTGTAAATTATTAGTTTCAGTCTTAGATGTATAGGAAGCATATGTGTTTTGGAAAATTCACTTTTTTGTTAGAGGTTTACACTACACAACTATCCTACATTGAATTATATACTAATCTTATGAAAAATCTATAAAAAAATCAGTATATGCACAAAGACGTTTTACATTCACACATTTCCCGATCATCTTCTATTAAAAATATGCATCCTACATAATGATCGTCTTATTTTGATATCCTTATCCTAAATAAGGATTCACGAAAATCTGAAAACCTGGTGTGTTAAAATCTTCAAAAGTTGACTGAAATATTTTATATTATATTAAAGCGTAAATCCAAATGCAGACTTTGAATAAAAATCTTGAACGCTATACTGCTTAAAATTATAAATAACATATAATCTATTATCAGTTTATTAACAGGCGGGAGGAAGTTCGAAATATACATCCTAAAACGCATACAAGATCTAAACAATACTTCCTGCGCATATTACTAATGTTTTCTGGCACAGTCAGATTCTCGTAGCATCATCAGTCAAGCTAACTCCTGAAATCTAACTTTATATAAATATATATAAACATAATCTCAAATTTTTATCTCTTTTTTCTCTCTATTTATATATATTTATACAAATATATATTCCAAAAGTAATGCCCCCGATCGAAATAGTATGGAATGCTCCGTTCGATCTAAAGATCATGCAATATATGTTGCCTTATAATTTCTGAGATTATTTGTATATATTTATATTTTGTCAGATATATATATATATATATATATATATATATATATATATGTATATAAAGACAAGAATTTGATTGATTTCATAAATCGATGTGAAATCACATATCTTGAAAACGAAAAAAGAAGAGCAATGGCTAAAGGGGGAGAGTACTAACTATAATATATAGTAAACTTAATACTTATGCTTTGGTTTTTAAGTAAAAAAAAAAAACATTCTGCAAATCTATGTGGCATCATTATTTGTAAACAAAGCATGAAAGAGAAAAAGAGAAAGAGAATTATTCGTATATTATTCCGAGAAATCTAGAACACAAACGCCGCATTTATATTATTGTTATTATTTATAGTAGGATAAGATCATTATCTCATGAAATACAAGGATATTGCGTGTGTATGGGACTTGAATTTCACGTTTGATAGATCTTCAGATAAAGTGACAGACGGAAGCTAAGAAAAACGAGCGACATTCGCAGATTCTCTCTTGCATTTAAAATCAGATATTTATAACTTTAAAAAGATGTATCCTTGCAAGGTACATCTCTCTAAAAGGTTTAAAGAAATGATATAAAGAGATAAAGATATTCAAAAATCTTTCAAACTTGTTTCTCTTTATATTTTTACGTCATACGATCTTCATCGCCTTCAACGTATTACTTCAAAAGTTCCAAAACTTTCAAACTATATCGCAGTTTTTAACACAAAATGTATTTTTTTCAGAAAAATTGAAAATCAAGTCCCCGATATCAATAAAAATAATATAATAAGAAAAAGATTAAAAGCATCAACACCTGTAAACGATTAAATCATGTCTGTACAATATTATTAAATCGTGATTAAACGCGAGATGCAATTTTGATAGTCTATATAACAAATACAGTTTCAATTACAAAAATTACACTCATTGGACGTGTATCCAATAAGCTCATTGGATAGAAAATTATCCAATGTTTAAAACATGATTTATCAAACATTAAAAATAAATAACAAAAGATTAAAATAAGATTAAGTAGGATGGATAGAATAAAGAGTGGAAGAAAGAATGATAAAAGGGAGAAAGGAATTATCGCTACATACAGAATCATTGTATATCGATACTTAAGAAAAAAAGTGGGGAAAAAGAAACAAAGAATGAACCATTTTATAGTACGGACATGCTTCACTCCGGAATAAATCTAACAGAACGATACGATTACGATACGGGACACATAAAGTGTCTTCCCGTGGATATGTATAATTAGCATAATGAAGGGAGAACACTCTTGGCGTTTACGCTTACTCATACATCAAAGAAGAACGTATTAGAGGTGTCTATCCTCTAAAATACATCACACTTGCACTATAGTTCCAAGCGATCCATATCCCATTATGAGAACGCTGTCTTTTGTCATTTTCCTCAACGAAGATCGGAGAAGGATACACCGAGTTTTGGATTCAATATGCAGGACACAGATACCAAATTTCCTACATCAAAATGCCGAAAATAAGTGACACGTCGAATCTTAAGCTCTCACACGTCCGACGATGATATCTCGTGTTCATCTGTGATTGTCCTGATTGATTTGATCGACACGAATGTGATCAGTCGGTTTACTTTGATTACTCGCATCTAAGGAATCGCTGTCACTGTTTGGAGCAGCGCGAACCGGTGACGGACTGTCCACTGGCCGGAAGGAGAAACTAGGTGAATCCGCGCTCGATAATGATTCGGGTGTACCGACGGAACTGATAGTTCCTGGAAGTGGGCTAGACAGTGCATCTAACCTGCGAAAGATATTTAGTAAAGTTATTAATATTATAAAATTAATTAAATTAAAACCTTGCTAAATTAAATTCTTTTTTTCTTATATAACTTGTAATTCTTCAAAAGTTTAAAATATGTATAATATATAAAAATTTTTATATACATAATGTATAAAATATTTTATATATACAAATTTTTATATCTATAATGTATATAAAAATATTTTATATATATAAATTTTATATACAATATATAAAAAGTATAATTTACTAATCTTGTTATCATTTACATTAGGAAAAATATATAAAGGATTGATATAAAAGCGTACCTGGATGCAACCGATGTCAATAAACCGGAAGTACGTTTTGCAGGTGGTTGCAAATTATGATCCATCCCAGTCTCATCTAATTCAAACTTCCTTTAACTGGCCCCAAGCAGCTTGGCCTTATTGCGATAGGACTTAAGCTGCGTCTATTATTTCATAAAATATTCATCAAAAATAATTCAAACATGAATAAAATGTACAAATTATAATAACTAACTTTTGTAATCATATAATTTATAAACTATAGATGAACTGTCTATAAATGAATGTGATATATGTATATAATCCTCTAATAATTTTAAATGATAATTTACAGTATAAAAAATATGATCTACCTTGTGGCAAAAGCTTTTCTCGTAGGACTAGGAGACAAATTGCTCTTCCAAATATGAATGCCAGGGGAGTAACACTGTCTTTGATTAAATCCTGATCTTGTGGGTGAAGGTGAAGAACACAACGGTGAGCCAGTAATGGACAGATTTAAACTTAGGGGATCTAACGGCCTCTTCGGTCGTTCCATTTTGTTAAGCTGCTGTGTAGGAGACTCTGAGTCTTTGAACGACAATCCTTCCGCTTCCAAAGTGAGATCCTCCCATGATTGCGATATTTGCATGGCACTATGAATTTCTTTCTCGTGTGCAGCTTCCCGGCCAGCAACGTCCACGCATTCTTCCTGTCTTAATTGACTCACACGTGGTGTCAATCTAGGAACATTACCAGGACTCTAAAAATAGAAAACAAAAGGATATAGAGATAAAAAGCCATATCAATTATTTATTGGAAAACTGAGGATTAACATTGTGAAATAAAGATTGTATATTTTATTATGGAACAGATTTTTCTCATTAATTAAAATGTCCATTTAATTAATTTTGTTTTATAAAATAGGACAAATAATTATACATTTATTGCAGTAACAAGAGAAATATAGATAATATCAGATAATTTTATTATTAAGATTATGTTAGAGACTAATAAAAAATAAGGGAGTATACAAGTAACATAATCTTACACTGGTGCTGAAGCGTCGTGAACGAGTAGAATTAGAAAATATATTGTAGCCCGACACAGCATCCCTGTAAATAGTAATATAAGAAATATTTAAAGATTATTTAGAGAATGCATATTTGCACAGAATTGTTGACATGATATATTATAAAAGATCTCACAGAATTATATGCAGACAAATGTTTGCAAATAAATAGAATTGAAATGTATTAATTTATCTCTCAAACATTGTATAAATTGTATATTTTAGTATAGAATATTTTTAATATTTAAAATAATTACAAAATATTACCATTATAATAAAAAATATGTATATGATCAATCAAAATTAATATTGGACGCTAGTGATGAAAATAAACTTGGCAAAATTGATTTCGACGTAACTAGCAATTTTATTCAATACTTTCACGACGTTTCGACCATTTGGTTGTGGTCCTTATCAAGTGAGAATTCCATCAATTAAAATGAGATTAACACAACATAAAACCGATCTTATTTAAAATTAATAGTTAAAAGAGGAACACGTCCCATCGCTATGATGTTTCGTCAACGACTGAAACTCTTTTAACTATTAATTTTAAATAAGATCGGTTTTATGTTGCGTTAATCTCATTTTAATTGATGGAATTTTAACTTGATAAGGACCACAATCAAATGGTCGAAACGTCATGAAAGTATTAAATAAAATTGCTAGTTACATCAAAATCAATTTTGCCAAATATGCATATATTTTTCATTTTATAATTTCTCACATTTCTATTTCTAAAAACAGCTTTTAATATATTTAATTTTTAATAAAAGTGAATATAATGCGTGCTTATATATATTCTTATATCTTTATACAGTTCATATTTCTGTCTTTCAACTTTCCAATGGGTGGTATAATCTAATATTTTATATATATATATATATATGTATTAATATACATACATACACATATATATATATATATGTGTGTGTGTGTGTGTGTGTATGTATGTATATTAATACATATATGACACTACCTTATTACATGAACATGTATACAAAAAATGCTCTCTCCTTTAACATTTTATGCAATGCTGTTACTTTTATAGATCGTTAAGCAGTTTGAGCGAGCAATATTTCAATTATTCACTCATAAAACCACAAGTAACTATCTCTACAGTAAAAATCATTATTGCAACTACAATTACACAGCACGTACTAGACTTTAAGACTGAATCTTAAAGAGTCAGCTGATTCTTGCTCGTTTATCATCCTGAATCAGGAGCAGCAATAAACTATGCTACGCTCAGGAGTGCAATCAGAATTTCTCCTCTTGGAAAACGAACAAGAGAGAACATTCGCAGGAGTACATACCTCGACGATGATGTAGACGGCGTGGTGACGGACATGGTCGCGCTGCTGATCTCGTTAATCATCGGCGCACTGCTAGATCGCTTCAGACTTATGATCGGACAGTCAACATCCATGATTGATGGGGCGGCGCGTCCCAAAAAACCTTTCGAAACGACGTGGTGCAACGTCCACGTGATGGAGGCACATAGAAGTGATCCCACGACGATATTCCGAGAGTATCCGACAGCTTCGTCTTCCTCTTCGTGGTCTTCGACTCCCGAAAGTCTTCGGGGATCACTCGTGGCTTCCTCGATTGCGGAAATACGCGATCCCCCGTTGAACACCGTACGTCGTCTTCGTCGGCTATCGTCGCTGGCATCGAAGTGTATCTTGTCTACTGGATCGAGGAATGCTGCCGAGTCTTCTTCAGGGTTTCTCTGCCACTCATTTTCCAGAAGACGATATGCGACAGTCGCGTATCCTGGGTAAGTTTGACGAGTGGGCTGAAAAAGTTGAAGGTTGAAGGAACTCGGAATCGGTTTGGGGGCGAGTCTCAAGTCTCGTCGCTGCTGTTGCTGCTGTCGATACTGTTGTAGGCTGGATGCTGGTGTATTTGTGCGAGGCACGTTCGGTGATCAGACATATTTTATCGATCACTCCTTCCCTTGTGGTTCCTACGCAAATATGCAAGGCAAGAGATCAAAAAGTACGAGGAATAATTAGAAGAGAGAATTAGCAGAATCAAATTTTTTCTCGAGGAAGAAGCCGAGAATGAAAATGAAGAAACGAGTGAATTTAGCGCGACTATACAATGTGCAGCTGTTTGTGATTGGTCTGTACTTTTACGTGTACAACTATAAAGTCTGAGAGGATATCCTAATCACGAACAACCGCTCGCTGAGCAATTTTTTGGATGTATCTATACATATATTGAAATTGAAAGGACGTGTTATTTATATGTGGTTTTTTCAAATGTATATTATATATATATATGTATGTTTGTCATTTTTCTTCTATTATTGGTTTCCTTTTGTTAGCTTTTATTCCGTGGACAAAACGCGAATATAGTATCGATACAGCCATATCTGATGTGAATACAGCACGAAAAGTTTCTAGAGAAATTTGCAAAATTGCATATAATAATATTTGAAAATATACGAGAGATGCAACGATTTTATATTTATTTTATATAAATATAATTGGTATATATATATATATATATATATATATTAATTAAAAGTTTCTTTATCCTCATTGATCTTATATTAAAATCTTTAATGAATAATTATAATAAATATTTTACAAATTCCCATGTTTGATTCCATATTTTTTATTCTTCTTATTTTGTCTGAACTTTTTTTTATATAATTATCAACTCTGCTACGACGCATTACAATGTATAAATTGCAATAATTTAATACATGTTTATTAATGCGTTACTAACTTTACATATACTTACGAACAATGACAAACCAAATATTAGGCACATAATTATATTTTTATATCACTCTGTAGTAGTGTTCCAAAATAATCTTCCGGTGATTCTCATTAATTCAAAACCGAAGGAGTTCCGAAGAAAGTAAACAAACAAAATTCCTCCCCGTTCCGTTTCGAGAGCGCGATGATTTTTCTTTTCGAAAAATTGCCGTCCCGCGAGCGGAAGCCGTGCGGGAAAATCCGGATGTCGTCACACACTCGGCCTCACGAGCGTCAGAATGTCCCAACGTGATTGCGGTACGTAGCTTTCATTTTTTTTCGCTGCAATCTATCGCGTGATCGAGCGCGCCACAATAGATTCAATCTCGGAATCATTTCCGGGGCCGCCGAGGAAAGGAGAGACCTCCCGGTCGCCTGCTCGCCCGGGGCTCTCCTGTCGAGACTCGGTCTGTCTGTGTTCACGACGCGGCTTCTGTCACGCCAAACGTCAAAGAGACAGCGCGCGACCTAACCTTGTCTCCTCGTCTCGGACTCCCGGTGTACGATGCTATCGCTATTCGCGTCCGATTCGAATCCCGATCGAACGATGACAGATGTTGACAAGAACGACGATGACGTCGAGGATGTTACTTCTGCGATTCGCGCGTCAAATATCATGTTCACTCGTGTTAACCTCCTTTCTGGTTATGTGAATTTGAGCTTCAAATTTCACTCGTTAAAGAAATCCGCGATTTGAGTTGCAGTTTCTCTGGAAGAAACTGCGCGATGATGATGGTAAAGGTTGACGGAAGAGAGTCGTGAATTTTGTTTCTTTAAAGGTCGACGTTTAGCTAATTTTCTTCTTTCATTTTTTTGTTACGCAGATTGATTGCTGGCCGTACAATGGATGTGAGTACTGGCAATAATGACGATGTGTCCTTCCGTTTGGGGAGAAATGTTTGACAGTTACGAGGAGCTGGAACAAAAGCTGGATAGATTCTCAAAGCACAGTCTGGTACATTATTGGAGACGTGATAGTAGAACTGTGAGCGGAGCTCATATGAAGACTGCACGACCCATCAGCGAGAGATTAAAGTATTATTCTGTTAAATATGCTTGCATTTATGGTGGCCAGAAATTCCTTCCACGTGGTGCTGGCAGAAGACAATCTCAGTTAGTCTACAATCTCTTGAACACTATATATACAAGTATTAATATTTATCTATATAGTTTCAATATTTTGTTCTTATTGATACCTTATTTTACAGGTCTATACGAACAAATTGTCCTGCTCATATTATGCTCAGGGCATCTAAAGATGGCACAAAGTTAGAAGTAACCAGTGTCAATAATGAACATAATCATGAAATCTCAGAGGTACATAGATTTTAACAATTTATTTCATTATCCTATGTGTATGGGAAACTTTGTAATATTTAAAGTAAAGTCGTTTTATGCAAAAATAAACCAAAAATCTAAATTATATTTTTATACAAGATTTTATTTTTGATAAAAAATATTTAGGGAGACATGTGATTTTTGATGCTATTCAATGTTATATATATGTGTGTTAAATTTTTACATAAGAGTATTTTATTCAATATAGGAACTGTTTAAGAATCTTCCACAAGAAAGAAAGCTCTGTGGTGAAATCAGACAAGAAGTTCAAGACCTTCTACAATTGCATATTGATCGTAAGAGATTAAGGGAATATGTGCGATTGCGTACTAATAAGGTATTGCGATCCAAAGATCTATTCAACATAGCAGCAGCTAATAAACAGAAGAGAGACATCACACCAGAGCGAGCATATCAATTATATAAGAAGATTCATGACATTGAAAAGATGCAGAACAGAAATAGAAAGATATATCCTGAATCTGAGGATGAGATAGCACAAACTATAAAAAGAATGAAAAATGAACAGGAATCTGCCTGGGGTCAAGATGTAAGACATAACTATATTCACTTTACATTCATCTTTTTTGTATAAATAAAAATGTATAACTAAAAAAATGTGTTACTTCAGGGATTATCAACAGAGTTAGAAGTGAGTGAAGGCAATGACGGTGAAGACTCTTATAGTGGTCAGTTGACGCAAGAAGAGGTAGTCGATGAAATCGATACAAAGAGCGAACTAATGAGAGTCGACAATGAAGGTGATATAATAGCGACTGACGGAGAAATAGTAGGCGAGTTGGTGATGGAGAATAGTGACCCATCAGTGATAGTCGAGTCTATCGTTAACGCGGATGGTTCCGTTTTCGTTGACGAAAGAGAATTCAATAGCTATTGCAACAATAATTTGTCGCACACGGTGGACGATAGCCAATCGCCGGAACCGCGTGGTAAATTGATATTTCCTTTATAATAATTCATTACACACGTAGAATGAAAATATGTATAAATCGTTAAACCTCGCATATTAGTTTTAGATATAGAAACCATTGCTTCGACTACCACTATCGAAAAAATCACAAAGGAAACGTCTGCTTCGCCTAATCACAAGTCGCAAGCTAGTTCTTTGACTCTGCAACAGTCGCCGAAGTCACCCAGCAGCTTCCATGAAGCTGACTCGAGAATTTGGATTATGAAGGAAGACGACCCTCCCATAGAAACGGAGCCAGAAAGCGGACCTGAGAGCGAGACGAATACAATGATCAAACCGATCTCTATGATGAAACCGGATATGGAGACACCTGAAGTAGGATTGTCCGATGAAGCGAGTCACCAGTTGCTTCAGGAACAACTGGCAGTATTGCGTGCTGAAAAGGGAAAGCTGTATCTTGAAACTGAAGTGTTGAAACTGAAGAAGGACAAGCTCAAGTTGCAAATCAATTGTTACTCAAACGAAATAAGGAAACAAGAAATGGAGAAGGAGAAGCTTAGACTTGAAATCAAGCTACTTCAGTCTAAAGTTATGGAAGACACTAACGATGTATCGCATTACATCTTTGTGCCTTAACTTCTCTGATTTTATCATAAAGTGATTGTAAATAATATTTTGCATTGCTTAAGAAGATATATACTTGCATGTGGGTATTACAGATCGCATGCTAATATATCTAGATATATGTTTATTGCTATAACAGAGTTTTATCTGTGAAATTATCAAAATGAATATTGCCATATTGGAAGCAATAAACGGATTTTGCTACTAAGTCTGATAATATTCTTCTTTATTGGATGTGTGATAATAATAGATATAACTACATACAAAATATATTACGAATTTTTATATGATATTTATGAATTAATTATCACTAAACATATATTGATTTCTCACACATATAATTTTATTGTCTTGTAAATAAATGTTGATATTTTTATTTATCTTAATTTAATGTGTGTACTATTCTTTAGAAATTTTGTTCATTATTGACATTGTGAATGATATGTGCAAAATATTATGCATATATTAAAGAATTGTCTTTAATTATTTTTGTAAAAATCTAGATATATGTATGATCTTATTTTACGCATTTATATATGTCACAAAATAGTTTAATTTTAAATAATCAATTCTTTTAAAATGAGATAAAAAATAACTAATTATAGAAATAAATTATAAACGAACTATACACATTTCATAAAAAATTTCATCACAGTGAATCAGAAATTGTCGCATTGTCATTTACCTAACTATATTATAGCACAGAAATTTCAATCCATCTCATAAAGCTTATAGCTTACTACAAAATTATATTAAGGTAAGTTGAAGTTGACCGGCGTCTATATTTCAATGTGTATTTAAATCACGCGCGCATTTAAATTTTGATAAAAGCTTCTTTCTGTTTTGGCTGCGTGGGTTTCCTCAGAAAATAGTCCCATACACCATTAATTTAATTCGATAAAGGCGAATTGGAAACAGAAACTCGCAGAAAGAGATGTGTGTGTGCAAAGTGTTCGTATACATATTTATAAATTGAAGGAAAACTCATGCGAGACTGAGCAGTGATTTTATCGATAGTCGAAAAATCAGAGGGCTCTCATCTTCGAATTGAAAAACCGCCATTATCCCCACTCACCGTATCAAGAGCTACAGCCGGGGCAGATGGCAGCAAGAACGTTTTCTCGAGATCCTTGCGGCTCTCCTAGATGGACTTTTCATTTTCCTGGACCGCGCCGATTGTGTCTAACGTAAACGTGTCGTGGTAGTTTCTGACTCTGACTTCTCCGAACGTTTGACAATGATGCTGAGACAGTCCCTGCTGCTTTTGTTCTGGGCCGCGACGATTGTGTCAGGTAAACGAATCCGCGGTTTGCGACTTCAACGACGACGATCAATGACAGCTGGTGCTCGCAGAAAACGTTTACTACGTATACTTATTTATCAGCGAGTTATCATTAACGTTGTCATTGTCATCGTCGTCGTCATCGATCTTCCCAGGAGTCTTGATAATAAAAAAAGAGAAAGAGAAATGTCACTCTGCTCCAAAAATATTATTTCTATGTCGCAATAGCTGTATGACGGAGCGCGAAATTAATAATTACGCCTCCAAGTCCCGAGACGCCATGATGAGGCAGACGTATGTGTGTATTTATTCGGCTTTCTTGAACAAGGATATATATTTATATATTGTTACGAGGAATTTTTCTCGAGTGCAGCAGCACTCATTGTCGCGTCGCTGATTCAACACACGATGATTAATGCCTGAAACAAAAAGATCACTCGGCGTACGCGTGAGATGACATTGGAACTGCTTTTTCCGGGGGGGGGGGGGGGGGGGAGGGGGAATTCTGGGGAGGAGGAAGCCAGATCGCGCCTGTATTATGTTACGAGATAAGGACTATCGCGTTTTTTACTATGAACAGAATTTATACTGCAGATTTAATCGACTACGGATGACGCCTCTCTTCTCATTAAAACTATCGTCGTGAATTCGAAATTATTTTAATTTGATAAATGTATACAATGATGTTTCCTGGACCGTAATATCCAAGTTTATCTTTCTTTTTTTTTTTTTTTTTTTTTTAAGTTGAACTTTGCTCATCTTTATTTAGCACAGTTTTTTTTGTGTAGTTCATTTTCTTTTTATTCATCAACGAATATGCAATATGAATAACTTAAATGTAAAAAAGAAATTATGAAATATTTAAAATAACATAATATATATTTTGTGTATACACAGAATTTTAAATATTATCTACATTGTATTTTAATTTTGTATTGCCTTTGAAATTAAAAATAGAAAAAATTGAGAAATATCTTAATCTGAAAAATAGATTATTAATTATAAAACTGTTTTTAAGAATTACTTTCCTTATATTATTTTCTATTTTGAAAATTTTTACTTATATATGACCTTTAAAGCAGAGAATAGCTTGACGATACAGAAATGTAATTGTTATGTATGATTTTACAGCTGGCGATTTGAAGAATGTCAATAATATAAATGTTTTTATCAACTCAGCAGGCGACAATGTAGCTACAAATCTTTCATTGCCATTGGAAAGTCCTATACCTGCGACCAACAAAGATGCACTTGTGCCATTTGTTCCCTCTGAGTCAACAGCTAGCAATTCGACAACTATACCACCTACAAAAAAGGAATTTACACCACCTACAACACCTACATCTAAACCAACCACATCTAAACCAACTACATCTAAACCAACTACATCTAAACCAACAACACCTAGTACAACTGCTGTTCCCACAACTCCAGTTGTGCCGACAACACCACTTCCACCCCCAAGTACTGGAAAATGGATAGTTCAGGAGAACAATACATATTGCATTATAGTCCAAATGGTTGCACAACTCAGTGTTTCTTATGTCGATGCCAAGAATAAGGTAAGCATAATAAATTTATACAATACATATGTATATAAAATAATTTTTATCAAAATTTGATGTAGATATGAGTGAAATTTTAATATCAATACTTATTAATCTCTTTAATAATGTATATTTAATGATAATGTAATCTATAAATATAATCAATATTATTTCTATATTATTTTTGCAGACAATCCACGAAATAGTGGATATACCCAATAACAGTAATTCGACAGGAAAATGTGGTAAATCTGAACAAACTCTGACATTATTATGGGGAACAAATAATTCTACACAAACTGCTTCAAATAATTTCACATTACATTTCGTGAAGAACGAGACAGAAAAACATTATTCTCTTCATCACTTGGAAATCTCTTTGATGGAAAAATCCTCTACTGATAAGTCAAGTACGTGCTCATCTAATGTAAATAATGTTGCACTTTGATCTCCTTTTCTAAGATTTTTTACGCTACTTCAGATAAAACAGTGATGACACTGATACACATGGCACCACAATTCGACACCGGATTGAGCAATTCTTACAGATGTGTAAAGGAACAGTCACTGAACTTAACTTTACAAGGTAAAAACGAAACTGTAGGGCAACTGAAAGTATCCAAATTGCAGTTCCAAGCTTTTAGAAATGACAACACCACTGTTTTTGGTTTAGGTGGGTATTATGGTTTTTTATCTCAATTTTCTGTTATATTTTCATAGTACTGGTCTACTAATTTGTGTATTTATTTATTTATTTTTTTTTGTTTTGTTTTTCAGCCAAGGACTGTTCGTTCGACACACCTGACATCGTTCCTATAACAGTGGGTTGTGCATTAGCGGGTTTAGTAGTAGTCGTATTAATCGCATACCTTGTCGGCCGCAGACGAAGTCAATCTCGCGGTTATCTTAGTATGTAAGCCGAGTTCGTCAAATTTCTTTTTTTTTTCTTTTTCTTTTTTAAATGGTTAAACTCATTTTTATGCGATTTTCCGTTAATGGAATTGATTGTCTTATTGAGAATTTATGTAGTTGTACTTTTGTGTTCTATAGCCAAGAGGGCTGTGACACAATTAAGAAAAGAAAAATTATAGTTTATACGTTTATAAAGTTATCTCGTCCACGTGCAGGGTTAAGGAGGCAATATAAAAAAAGTAAATAAAAATACGTTATCGATACGTATCGCAAAGCGATATTCGAGGATGGGTGATAATTTTGAAGTAACGTGCTCCGTTCCGATAAAAGGACGATATACTTCTATGATAAGAATGAATTATAATATAGATAAATCGTATGAGATCTGCATTATTATGCGCTGCTATTATACTTTTCACTAGCTGCGACAATTGTTTGATTTTCCATAAACATTTTATAACATGGAATGAGAATAAGAAGGAAGATTCGTTTTGATCGACACATATGACATTAAAACGTTCTGAATATTTGTGGATCTATAGCATCGCATAAAATTGTAACACTAAGTTTTTGTTTTTTTTTTTCTTTAGGAATAATTATTTTCCTGATTCTTAATTTTATCATGATACGATATGCCTTTATACGTCGCCCTTTATACATCGATATTTCCGTGTTCCCGTTACGTTCGTACCCGAATTCTTTTTATTAAATGTATTGTAAAGTAATAGCAGTTGTTTATATAGCCCTAAGTATGTGTGTGTGAACGTATCAAGAATAGAATATGAAGGAGCACGAGCTTCACCAGTCGATGTTCAATGTTAAAGTTTGTGCTTCACTTAATTTGAAATAAACATAAATTGGACACTACAATTAATACAATCTTTTAAATGTAAAAAAGTCAGTAAGAATTTAAGGCTCTCACTGTGTCAAATACAAATTCAAATTAGAAAGAACCAGACGAATAGTAATGTGTCAATTTGGAAAAAAATAATTAGCTAACAGTTTAAATAGTATAAACTGTAATGTCAAAACGATAATTGAACTCATATATATATATATACATATTAAAATTTGTCTATACATATATATATATATATGTATAGACAAATTTTACAGAATTTTGATTTCTCAAATGAATATATATTCTATTTAACATAAATGATAGCCTTGAAAAGAAAATAATGTGCTACACTGCTTTATATCATACAGAAGCACTGATTTTAATGACAGATTTGATAGAAAATACTGTATTTTTACAGCTGTTGTTGCTTTTGAAAATTTTTAGCTAAAAAGATAATGGATATAAAGTCCAAAGGGAAGAGAAATTTGAGATGTATAAAAAGAAAAAAAAATATAATTTCAGAAATTTGGCGTGTGAAATGCACCGTGCTGCTTCATAAATGCTATATTATGACAAGACTGAATGATGATACTAAAGTGAAAGTAGAAAAAGAGGGCAAAAAGAGTTAAGTAAAATAAATAAACATGAAGCACTGTACATATAAAACAAAGTAGTAGTACTACTTTTGAATTATATAAGTACATATATTATATTGCGACTAGGCAAGATCGAAATTATCAATAAAATAAAATAGAATATTTCAAAAATACATTCTTATATATATTTTTGTGCATCCTCGAAATTCTTTTTTAATCGTCTCCATATTTTTCTTTTATCGAAATTGCATCTGAATAAACACAAGGGATTGACAATTTATTTGAAACAATTTTAGCAATATATGTATAAACTAATTGATTTATCCTATATATATATATATATATATATATATATATATATATATATATATATATATATATATATATATATACGACTCTAATGACAAGAGTAAATGTATGTATATGTTATTTTCGAATAGAATTCCTCAAATGAAACATGATTGATGATTGCCTTAATCTGTCATATATAATAGAGCACTTGTTCAAAAATTTAATTTAATTGCAGTAAAATAACGTTTGCTAGATCAATAAAAAAACAAATTTTCTCTCGATTGGTCAATCAAAAACATTATTTTACTAAAATGAATAAAAAATAAATAAATAAAATTTTAGATAATATAAATAATAAATAAATATAAATTATAGATATACACATATAATAATAACTAATAATAAACTAATATCAATGATACATATTCATATGCATGTAATTGTGCACCATATATATATATATATATATATATATATATATATATATATGTATGTTATATATGTATATATAAAACACGTGCTTTAATGATGGCGGCTACTGACCTAACTTTGCAGGCACTCTATTCTCTGGATATGCCGTTCTTTATCAATACAGCGACTCTAGGTTGGACAACATGGCATGAGCATGACAAGTGTAGATACAAAATGTAAACAATACGACATGTAAATCGTATCAACAAGAATATCGACGGGTAATTGAGATGTACACGTTGCTGCACGGTTTGTACAAGTATCTGGTGCAAAAAGACGAGTACTTCATATTAATTTTGGGCCTCGATAATGCAGGAAAGACGGTACTTGCTCTAGGATACCGCGACTTTAAAGGTTATGACGCGAGAAATTGCCTTTGCATACGTTTCTTTTAGACTTACCTGGAAGCGGCGAAGACGAAATTCACGAAGAATTACAAGGGGATGAATCCGAGCAAGATCACCACCACCGTAGGCCTGAATATCGGCAAGATCGACATCGCCGGCGTTTCCTTCAACTTCTGGGATCTTGGTGGCCAAGAGGAGCTGCAATCTTTATGGGATAAAGTGATTAATATTGTGAAATTAGTATAGTTTATATTGCATATTTTTTATCTTTCTATTTTCTCTTTGCGTGCATTATTATTTATATAGCTTATTTTTATTTACGTAATCATAAGAATAATATTTTACACTGTATCGATAATATTTGAGAATAAAATATTGTTTTGTTTGCAGTATTACGCAGAATCTCATGCTGTGATTTATATTGTCGACTCGTCCGATCGTGACAGAATACCAGATTCCAAAGAAACTTTTGGTAAAGCACATTCTTTAATAATGTTTCACAAATTAAACCAGTTTTGTACAAAGCAATAGTAAAAAGATAGTTCTTAACAGTAATATATTTCTTAGCAAGATTCTTAAAAATTTTAAATATTTTAATTTAAAATGAGATTTAAAATTTCTTATAATTTTTTATATACTTTAATAAAACTTTAATGTGATGAAAAATTAATAGTGATAAAATTATTGTATATTAATTTATAATGATAAATTAATAGTGTTTGAATGAAAACTTGATTTTAGATAAAGTGATATCGTCCGAGCATCTAACAGGTGTACCATTACTGGTGCTAGCAAATAAACAGGACGTACCTGATTGTATGGGTGTCAGAGAAGTAAAACCAATATTCAATCAAAGCGCGCATTTAATTGGTAGAAGAGATTGCATGGTAATGCCTGTATCGGCACTTAATGGGTAAGTGGCTTTTAGTTTTATTGTTAGTAAATAACTACCGTTTTATATATATATCTAATACATGTCGATTTGCGTATAGAATTTTGAGAAATAAATATCTTTATTTTTGTATTGTATAAAATTTCACAAATCATACCTTCTGCATATATTATGTGAGATAATGGCTCTTATTTTGGAAAAAGGGATGGTGTAGACGAAGGTATACACTGGCTAGTGGATTGTGTCAAGAGAAACAGTGATGTACGACCGCCTCGTAATCAAGATGACAATTCCTTGTCGTAGTTGTGTAACATTCCTGTTCTATAATTTATATAATATTATTGATGCACATCGTACATATTCATGCCACGTGTGTACAGTGTTTCTACAAGTAAAAAATTTTTTTTAACATCTTTCATCTCTCTCTTTATTTAAACAAATAAATATTAAATTTGCTTATCAGGACCACATGTGTATATAGAAAATTATATTTTATAATATTATCTACATAAATATAATAGCTAGATGATTCTGAACTTATTAAGTCTTACTAAATCGCCAATAGTGTGAATAAGAATGATAATATAAGATGAATGATAATATGCGTGATATCGAGGTAATCGAAAGATAAGAGATAATGCCCACACCTTGTGCCGTTGCTCTATTATGTTAGTGATAAAGAGCGTACAAGACTGATCGTACAGCTGTAAGCTGTGTGATATATAGATTGTGATTTTTGTGCTACATACGTTCTCTTTGGATTGTAAGCTCTTTATTTGTTTAACATTATCATACACCATGTGGCCTTATTACGATACCGAGGATTGGAGCGTTTTACCACCGGAACTCAATCGAAGGTGATTTAATCAACTTATAATTTAACAGATGGAAGGCTTTCATCGCTTCAAAATATATTGTATTATTATTCTTCGACCTCTCTCTTCTCCAAGATTAATTAATAATTTGTGCAGAGCAATATTTCATAAGAGGCATTGAGGGGATAGAAGGAAAAATCAAGCTAATTAGATAATTTCAGTACATGTTCATATATATCACACATGAGAAGTATCAAAGATGGCTGCTGAAAATTTAGTTGTCATATAAAGATCACCTTTTTTATTCTTCATATAATATATGAAAATAGATATGCAAATTCTAATATAAACATCTCTCGTGCTTTATTAAGAACAATACCTTGCATATTATTCTAATCACATATTTTACGCGCTTTATACCTGTACAAAAACAAATGTTGGCATCTTATCAATGCATATGTATGTGTGTGTTATATCTGTGTGCAATGACATTCGTTGAAAAAGATTTTTATGGCTTACGATGTCGTCCCGACGAATACAACAACACTCTTATCACGCTATCTTATCACGAGACGGAGAAAGGAAAAGTTGTTCCTATTTTTTTTTCCATGAATTTCTAATCAAAAACAATTCTAGCAAGTTTTCAAGATTTTCATATGCGTGAAACTCTGTAGCAAAGATTGCGATGTATTCTTTTTATCTACTTGTTTATTATTTATAAATTATTTGTAAATCCAATTATTTATTATTTACCTTGCCTACTTTGCGGCATTCAAATTTCGCGCCCGCAATAAGACCCTAGTCCACCGCTCACCGCAAAATTCCCTATACGTCAAAGTGGAGTTTGTATGACGCGCGCTTCCCGCGCGTTTCTCTCCTCGACGTCATCGTCGTCGTCGCCTCCTCGCGCGAGTCGGAGACGAGCGGAGTGACGCGAGGTTATAATAATCTGTACGCGACGAGAGATCCACGCATATCGTTCTTCCCTCGCGTCGCGCTTCCCCATGAAAAGTCCCTGACGACGTCAAATGACAACGTCGACGACAGGAGACGGCCATCTTTGAGTCCTCCCGTCTTCGCCTCACGCACGGACACGCGAAATTCCGACCTGTCGTCGACAGGACAGGGTAGAGAAAGAGAAAGAGAGAGAGAGAGTGCGCGAAGAAAGAGCGAGAAAGGAGAAGAAACGTCAGGGTGTGCAACGTCATTCGTAGACAGCTCGCCAGTGCGTGCGTTCGCGCGTGTATGCGTGTGTGTATATATATATGATCCGTGTGGTCGACAACCGTGCTAGGTAGGGACTTCGGAGCTCAGCTATGCTCACGGGGCTTTGCTGACTAAGGGACTAGCCTCCGCCTTCACTCAGACTCGACGGCGCAGCACGGTACGTATCCACGTTGTCATCGTGCTCCCCGAAGACTCTCTTCCTCGGGGTAGAGGGGATGGGACGGGACACCGGTGGTGTACACGCACATCGGGTACCTCGAGAGTACATCGCGAAGGCAGGAGCGTGAGGGCGCCCCGGCTCGCGTCTATCCGGAGGTTTTCACGGTGGAGATTCATCGACGATCTCGTTTATTCGGATTCGGTTCTCCCTGGAACTTTTATTTTCGTCATGTAAACACCTGGAGATGGTGTTCTGATCCTGTGACAGGTACTCCGTTTCCGTGTATTCCCGCGCGTGATGACACATCACGCGTCAGGGAGTCACAGAAGCTGGTTTCTTCTCTTCGAGAAGATGCTCTCGTCAGCTGCTTCCCTTTTATGTCAAGTTCCCCTATCGTGTATGCTGTCGTGGCCGAGTCGAGCGCCGCGGGATTCTGGCACGTGAAATCGCACGAGCCAGTGACATCATTCGTAGCTGATTGATATTATTATTATTATTGTGCCAACTTTTTTCTATCCGTCTGTCGCGATACATTCCGAGTATGTCCTTCACGCTCCTACCGCGACAGACGTATCGTATATCGACGTATGCAACATATCTGTATGTCCACTGCCCTATTTCAGAAAGCACTTCGAGGCTTCTCTTTCTTGCTATTTTGTCTTCTGTGTCAAGTTGTACTCGATGAAGCGTATAATAACCACTATCGGTCTCTTGAATTTATGAGCTTCCAATTAAGGTAATCTCTCAAGGTGCTTGTGTCACTTTTCCTCTCTCTTTCTCTCTCTCAACGTGACAGATTAGTTTAGATTTTTAACAGTGGCCAATAACTGTATATTTAGATTATTTTTAATATTTAAAAGTTAGATTCTTTTTTATGTAACTATTTTTCTCTCATGACAAAGAAACCTATAACAAAATATAATTACAATTATACACTTGTACGTTAATTTTGACAGTGTACTTGATAATTGTTCTGCAGTGAAGAGAAATCTTTTAAATGGCCGATATAACATTATTCTGTAAGCAAAATGTGCAACAGTTGAAAACTGCATAGTCACTTTGTGGACAAGGACATAGTATTGGATACATTTATGGAAAATTTATATATAAAATCTAAGCTAATTTTGTCACATTATTGACACAGAAGACTGAATTGTTTTTCTCTTGAGTATTTTGATTAGAGTTTTCATTAATATAATTTATATGGTATAATATAATTGATATAATACTAACATGCTTTATAATGTTGTCGTCCTGTGTCCACTAGGAGGATAGCAGAGTTCGTGTTTTGTACTCGTCTGCGCTTGGTTTTTTTTGTGAAGCTTGTGGCATAGATTCAAAACTCAAGTTGAGAAACAATGAATGCCTCAGAACATGGGTAATACATACTTTTACAATCTTACACACTCTATTTAAACTTGAATTGTGACAATGAAATATAAGAAGCGATGAATGACAGAGAAATGACAAGTGAAAAAAAGTAAATTGTAGTATTTTTGTTTACATTGTTATATGTATTATATACTAAAATCGAATGGTTTATTACTTTTAATTGTAATGTGTGAAATATTTTTAATATGAATGAAAGAAATTTGTTGCAAAGATACAGTTGTCGTATCTTATTTTTATATTTTGCAAGAATATGAAATGTCAGCAGTTGCAATAAAATTAGATTGTTACTTTAATAAACAGGTGTCATTGCACGATAAATAGATCTGACAAGTAGGAGTGTTGATGTTCATAAAACAGCATGGGTGTGTATTTTTTCAGGTTTAACCCAGCCTTTAACATGGCCTCCATAAAGCAGGCTTTCAATGAGGCTGTGGAGAGAGGTAGGTGTATTGTTGATGTAATTGACTTACAATGACTGTAATAGCTAATCATTGGAACATCTGATTCTGCCTGTGCCTTGCTACTTGTAATTTCTCTGTAATATTCTTTTATTTTAAAAGTTAATTAGATTACATTGCTTTAAAAGTTGTAAATTTTTTTATCTATTATAATGTATTTAAGTGATGACATTAATTTCAATAGAAAATTCCTCTTTGCCCAAATTCCTCTCATAAATTTTTCTCATAATTTTTGTTGCACTTTTATTTTACTTGATTAATTTACAAAATTATTTGCAAGCGGAATCGGCGGTTGCCAAAGCTAGTGATAATTTATACTGATGACTTTTTCACACTTTGAAAGTCTCAACAGTTAGAATGCCTGCGCCGACACGGTTGAGGGATCTGATTAGACAAATTCGAGCCGCACGAACGGCAGCGGAAGAGAGGACAGTCGTGAACAAGGAGTGCGCGTATATCCGTTCGACATTTAGAGAAGAGGACAGCGTCTGGAGATGTCGTAACATCGCAAAGTTGCTGTACATTCACATGCTGGGGTTAATATCGAGATATAAATTTATAATACAAAATATTGTCACCTGTTATATTATCACAAAATCATTATTTTTTAAATATTTATATAATATTTTAGATACCCGGCGCATTTCGGTCAATTGGAATGTCTAAAGCTTATCGCTTCTCCGAGATTCACAGATAAACGAATCGGTTATCTGGGGGCCATGCTGTTGCTGGACGAACGACAGGACGTTCATCTCTTGATCACAAATTGCTTGAAAAAGTAACGAAAAGTTTTTTTTTCATCAAACGATAACATTTACAACATGTGTTTTTGAAAGAAGATTAATCTTTGTTCTTCTTTTCAGTGACTTGAACAGTTCCACACAATTCGTCATCGGTCTGGCGTTGTGCACCCTCGGTGCGATTGCGTCGCCGGAAATGGCGAGGGATCTGGCGTCCGAGGTCGAGAGACTGATGAAGTCACCGAACGCGTACATCCGGAAGAAAGCGGCGCTCTGCGCCTTTCGGATCATCAGACGTGTTCCGGAGCTGATGGAGATGTTTTTGCCGGCCACCCGTAGCTTGATTACCGAGAAGAATCACGGGGTGCTCATCACTGGCGTCACCCTTATTACGGAGATGTGCGAGAACAGCGTCGACACGTTGAATCACTTCAAAAAGGTATATCCAAAAGAATATTCGCCTTCAGACACGCAACGTTCATTAGTCTTAGGACAGGTTTTCGTAGACAGACGCAGTTCGATATCGTAAATGCGATCTCGCTCGTCGAGTCATAGTTTTATTGCATCATCTAATTGATCAACTCGTATGCGACCACATAATTTCCTTATAATCCAGCGTGGTCGATATCGAAGATTAATAGTAGTAGAGACCTGCTGAAAGTGTGTCTAGTATTGCATATATAGTAGTCTATTATTTATTAGACAATTTAGGAAGTGGAATATTGTTTGTTAAATAATTATAGTTCGCGCGACAGTGATGGAAAAGAATGCAGTCTTAATTTTTATGGGAGCACAGATACGTCGCGAAATAATTGTCCGGAAGAATATTTTATTGGCGCTGGTCATAAATATTAATGTACCACAAATTATATTCTCTTGGCGAGTTTACAAGCAGCAGGAAGAAAAAGAAATTGTTATCACTTTATGCTAAGATAACATCAAAAGTTTGAACACGTTTTCTTTTATTTTGCATTCATAATACATGGCTCCTTGTGCTCTGATAGATTTTATTGTAGCTTTATTAATATGCGCAAAGATCTGCGAGTTTTCTTTTTATTCTTTTTTGACCGAGAGAAAGAAATGTCATCTAATTATAGGATAATTATACAGTAATATTCTTTATGAAAATTAATGCAAAATTTGATTTTTTAAATTTATCATTTGAGTATACGTAATATAAGCATTGGTTTTGTCTTTCTTAGGAATGCGGCCACCGTGAGGTAATATGCATATAAAGGTTCTCTGTATTTTTGCATGTATGCTTCTTACTCAGACTTCATTCTTTTCTTTTACTTCATCTGACATAAATATTGTAAATGTGAACTATACCAAAAATCGCGAAATCAATATTTTGTCTCTGCTTTTTTTACTATATTATTTTTTAAATTATTAAATACATATTAAACTACATCTCTCTCTCTCTCTCTCTCTCTCTCTATATATATATATATATATATATATATATATATATATATATATATATATCTACTCTCGTATATAGGACTAATTATATAAAATTTGTTATATCTTATTATCTTATTGTATGAATTTTTTATTTGGGAAAGTAGTTATACATTCAAAGATATTATAGTCATAATTTTAATACTTGTAATTGGCATGATGATATTTCGTATAATTGCATGTTTTTATTAGCTTATTTATGAGTCAAATTCTCTATTTCTCTTATGGTATTTTTGACTATACAGCTTATAACAATATGACATGGATTTAATGAATTTAATGTATATATTGTGTATAAATTTGTATCCATAAGACAAATTAATCTTAAGTAGTACTTTAAAATCAAATGTTTCGAATATTATTTAAGTTGATTGTGCTTACATTATTTGTATTTTCGTATTATACGTTACATGACAGTATATATATGTATGTATATTATTCCACAATGGTTTGTTCTGTCGATCTTATTTCTCATGTTTGATATTTGATGTAATCGCGTCAAGTGAAAATTTGTAGTATTTTTGGAAATGAACAGAGATTAAATAGAAGTTTTATTGCAGATTGTGCCAAATCTGGTAAGAATCCTGAAGAATTTGATCTTAGCCGGATACTCGCCGGAGCATGATGTGTCCGGAGTGTCAGATCCCTTCTTGCAAGTGAAAATACTGCGTCTCCTTCGTATTCTGGGACGCAACGATGTCGATGCGTCTGAAGCCATGAACGACATCCTTGCTCAAGTTGCCACCAATACGGAAACTAGCAAAAACGTTGGTAACACTATACTGTATGAGACGGTTCTGTCCATCATGGATATCAAATCGGAGAGCGGACTTCGAGTTTTAGCAGTTAATATACTGGGCAGATTTTTATTGAATAACGACAAGAATATCAGATACGTGGCCTTGAACACGTTGCTGAAGACTGTTTACGTGGACACGAGCGCAGTGCAGAGGCATCGATCGACAATTCTAGTAAAATATTTATAAATCTTTTTAATCTTTCTTTTTATAATCGAAATAAAATAACATATCGTAATTCATATCCTTGATATTTATTTCAGGAATGTCTAAAAGATCCGGATGTGTCAATTAGAAGGCGCGCAATGGAATTGAGTTTTGCACTCGTAAATTCCAATAATATCAGAAACATGATGAAGGAATTGCTCTTGTTCTTGGAACGAGCCGATCCGGAATTCAAAGCTCAATGTAGCAGCAATATCGTGATGTCCGCGGAGAGATTCGCTCCGAACAAACGTTGGCATCTAGAAACTCTGTTTAAAGTGCTTGTCGCGGTATGTATTTTTTTACGATATCGTAAAGTGGAATTCTCGGAACGTGTAAAACAGTGTCATGGTTATTGAATCTTCTTCTAATCTATAGGCCGGTAATTATGTGCGTGATGATGTAGTGGCATGTACGATACAATTAATATCGGAAACGCAGCCTCAACAGAATTACGCTGTTAGCGCGCTGTGGCATGCGCTAGAAAAAGATACGTCCGACAAGCAGCCTTTGGCGCAAGTTGCCACATGGTGTATCGGCGAATATGGTGATCTATTGTTGTACAGTCCGCCGTCAGAGGATGTCGAAACCCCAATCAATGTAAGCCTAATAACAATGTTGCATATAAAAATATTTGGTTAATTATTGCTTACGAAATTTTAACCATTTTTTTCTTGCTACATTGAACAAATTTTTCTTAGAAATTTTATTTATGTGTTTATGTATGATTGTGTCATTCTTCATAATAATTTCTCTAATTTTTTAATTAGTTGACAGAGGATGAAGTTATCGATGTGTATCAGAGGTTACTCTGGAATCCTCAGAACACTGTGGTTACGAAACAATACACCTTATTGTCTCTTACTAAATTGAGCACGAGGTTCCAGAAAGGTCACGAGTGAGTATCGAGCTATCGAAGGTCTGCGCTATATAAAGATTCATTTTCAAAATGTATAATATTTATATAACATATTTTATTATTTATAGGAAAATTCGTCAGATCATAGATACGTTTGGTAGCAATTTGCATATCGAATTACAGCAGAGAGGTATCGAATTCTCGCAATTGTTTCGAAAATACGATCATCTACGGCCTGCATTGCTCGAAAGAATGCCGCCGATGGAGACTGCTCGACCACAGGCTAATGGTATCATAGGCATGGTGAACGGTGAGCCGGAACCGGAAGACGAGAAGTCTACTGTAGAACCAACCACAACTACATCCGATTCAGTAAGCATTGATATCTTATGTAATTAATATCTTAATATTTTATGTAATTTTTGTTTTTGATTGATTATTCATTTTTAGTATCAAGAAAAAGATCTTACATAAATTATAAATTTCATAAAAAATTGTTCAAATTTTTAATAGATAATATTTAAATAAATTATAGTATCCTGAGACGTTTATAATAAATTATTTATTGTTTTATATTTTATCAGGAAATTCTCAGGGAATTTTTTACAAAATTTGAGTAAACGCTTTAATAATAAAAAAATTTCTAATAATATTAAAAATAAATCTATTTGATAAACCTTTAAAAAATAAAAATAAATCGAGATTTATATTATCGATATTTTTTTCTTTTCTACAATATGTATATTAAATTGTGTCATTAATTTTTTTGACGATTTTGCAGAGTGCACTTCTAGATTTACTTGGAACTGCAGATGTAGGAGTGACGATGCCGGCGACAACGACCACCAATAAAAATGTTTTACCGAGTTCGACTCCACCAGCGCATAATAACGATCTGTTAGACTTACTCGGAAGTTTGGATTTGAATACGCCTACGTCTCCCGTCACCCCTACACTACCGTTACAACCGCAAGCATCATCCGCACCGATGTTCAGTCCCACCAATACCAGTAATTTCTTAGTAGATGGATTGCTCAGTACTTCCTCAGTTCAAAATGGTTTGTCGTGGAATTTTTAAAAATATTGTAATTTTTTTTGCATTGTAAATCATTATAATCGTGATTCTTATTGCAGAACTACCTAATATGACTGTTTTGGACAAATCGGGACTCAAGATAACGTTCAAATTAGAGAGACCGCCCGATATTCCTGATCTGTTAATTATAAATATGTTGGCACAGAACTCCGGAAGCACCGTTTTAACCGATTTTCTGTTTCAAGCAGCAGTTCCTAGGGTTAGATATGATACATATGAATTTATATATATTGTATACGATTGTATATATTTAAAAAAAATTTAATGTGGTCTTGACAATTTTAGACATTCCAACTACAAATGCTATCGCCATCGGGTACTGTTATTCCACCATGTGGTCAAGTAACTCAAGTGTTGAGAGTCACAAATATGAATAGGGTCAGTTACCAATACTTTGGTAAAAAAATTGTTTTCAACTTTTAATCTTTAATTGATAATTCTTCTGTTTTAGGCAACACTTAGAATGAGACTACGTATATCATATACAGGTCCAGCTGGGCCAGTTTTGGAACAGACAGAAGTCAATAACTTTCCCGCCGCGGCATTACAGTGACAAGATATAATACAAACAACATTTGTACATATGCCTGCCTAAAAGTAATTAATCGATTCTTGAAGACAAACTGGAAAGAAAAAAAAGGAACAAATTTCATCCTTATCAGAGACAATGAAACATACAAGTTTGCAAATAGGTGTCAAATGGATGAACAACTAATTCAGTAACAAAATTTTCGCTATGCGGCACGAAGATATGACCTAAACTTTGTAAGGAGATCTTAAATTTGTTAAAATCACATTTTTTAACTCCGTATACAATTTTACAATGTGTTCTAAAAGCTTTTTCGCAACGAAGAATTTTTCAAAAAAGTATTAATCGTCTTGCCGCATATATATATATATATTTTAAAGTTGTCACGAATTTGTGTGTGGGCAAGTTCCGATAAATTTCCAGTCGCAAACAATGTGATGTTAACATTTAAAGTCTTTCAAAATTACGTTATATATCATTATCGTTTCCGCTTCGTTACAACGAGCGAACGTAAAAGTATACTTTGCTCTCGCAACCTGTCGCAAAAGTATATGAAAAAAAAGATGTAAATATTTTTTCTAACCGAAGAACAGATGCGGAGAGAGTTGAGGAAACTATTGTGCTTGTGGTTGGTTGCATTCCCGCTGTTTTACGGCTACTAATTTAGCGCGTAATTTCATACGTAGGCTAAACGAGTTAGAAAACAGATACCTATACAGAAAGTGAGTCAGAAAAAACATACAATCTCGACACATACATCAAATGCATCACACGCCAGAAAACAAAATGTAAAACGGAGAATGGGAAGGGAGGAAGTTCCGTCACCGAAAGTGCTGTCGTTGTTCCAAAAAGAAACAAGGAGAAACTAAACTCTCACTGTAACAAATCAATCTTTTCTACTGCTACATTTGTAAGTAAGACATCGCGAATAAAACTCGCGCAATCGTCTTGTAAATATATAATCGCGGTGACATATAGAGAAGCAAAGAAATTCTTTTATGTGATGGGGGAAAAATAGCGCGAAACGGGATTCTTTCTAATCTGTGTACATGATAGAGCTGTTAATTCAGTAACGAATACGATAATATTAACGTTTTCGTTTTCGAGAGATATCATTTGGGGAGAGGGTGCATATAAAACACATACATGTACACAACATGCTACTGAACACACACATACATATGACGCACGAGTGTGTTACGTGTGTAGCGCGATTATACAATTTCAAATTCATATTCAGAATACAGAGTACACATTGGAGGGCTGAATTCTGACTGTCATATTATCTGTCTCGCGTATGTATGTATGTTGAACGTTGTATCCAATTATGGAAGATTGAGGATTCATTATCGACCAATTAATCCTCTTTATCATGTTCGAATGATATTAATTCTCGCCAAGTATCTCTATCAGTGTTTCATTGCATTATATGTACAATTCTACTAAGTTAATTCTAATGAAAATTTTGATATAAATACGAGAAAAGTCATAAAATGTTGGGAAGCATAATATCTTAACTAAACAATTATTACAAAATAGAAAATAAAAGCTGATACTACGAGATTAATTTCGTTCATCCAGTTCTATGCGTTTTTAAAAAAGGTAGAATGTAAAGTCGATAAATAATTATACATGTATATCTTGACAATAGTCTATTTTTTAAGTTGCAGTATAAACACTAACATAAAATTAATAACCAAGTATAAGAATGTATATGTCTCTATTGGTTTTTAATATTTTAATTTTGCGAATTCTAATTTTACTCAACTGGAATTATTTACAGCATCGCAGATATCGCTTGTACATATAATATATATGTCGAAGAGGAAAGAGAGAAGTGTAAGGATAAAACTCGCTCATTTAATATAACGTTCATACGATTTTATACTTACTTTATCAAATTTTGACGTGTATGATGAGCGACAAATATATATGTGAGTTCTCTATTATAGGTAATACAATTTAAAAAGAATATATAGCACGCCGGGAGCAATAGAGTTGGCAGGCCAGATTTCCAGATATCTATTTTCTCTAGACTTTCCTACAAATTAGGTTAAAACATGCTGTTGTACTTAATTATTTAATTCGCTCTGAGATGTGACATAACATTATAGCGCGTAATACTATGTAAATGTAGATGTGTATGTGTATATATCACAAAGAATTCATCTCTCATTAAGAGCGTCGTATTGGCATTTTTTTGATCGCGTATATCTTTTGGTTTTTGATCAGGATCTTTTTATACAACTTCTCGATTAAGTTTACGATTGATTGATTGACACAACTACGCATTTTAGCTCCGTCCCTTATATGTTATGTGAGTGCGCGAAAGGTATAGGACTATATAAAATAGAACAGGTGGGTGTGTTTTTTGAGTGGCCTTGTCCTTAAAGTCTGTGACACAGTGCGTCAGCCCTCCAGTGGGGGTTTTGCTCTGCCTACTTGTTCTGAATATATTATATATTAGTTTTATATATGTATAATATAAAAATATATATAATATATATATTTATATTACATATATATAATATATATACATACACGAGGATATTGATTAATGATAAAAATGCTGTATATATACTTTTTAGCGAATCAAGGTGTGAAAATAAAATGTATTTTTATTCCATTATGTTTTTCAACTCTAATTCATTACTCTAATTCGTACTTTAAGCATATTTCTGTAAAGAGAAATATTCAGTGCTAATATCGTAATCGTTTGACTTTGTAATAATTGTGATATATTAATATATTTTAAATAGCTTAATTTTTTAATTTCTCAAGAAGAGATGATCTAATAAGTTTCTCATTTAAATATCTTATTAAATAATTACTCCAAGATCTTGATTTTAAAGGAGATTATATACTTTATTACAAATACATATCCTGTAGCAGATTATCATTATCACACACAGAATACACATTATTTCTGCTGAGTATCACAAGTTGCATTACTGCCAACGTGATTAAATAGTCGGTCCTTAATTATTTGTGCCATTAAACCGTGAATAACTTCAATGGTAGTTTTACAACTGTCTCTGGTTGCCTTTATGAGTTTTTCTACCGTACTGCGATCATGGGGATCCGTACCACCCAGTACAAAGCCTCTACCTAAGGCAGATTCCGACTGTTCCAATTTATCGGACAAGTCGAATATCTGTCCAGTGGTGTAATCCGCGTTCGTCAATAGACTGGAAGAACTCAGAGTGTTGACCCAGTATTTATTCCATAACGAATCGAGCAATCGTCTATCCAACGAGGACTTGAAATAGGATACTTCCAAAGAATAGTATTGCTTGCAATGAACACCAAAATCCTCAATCTTATTCAATGGTATTGTCTGATATTCTGATGGCTCTTCATTAGCTGGTTTATATCCCTGCAAAAATACATGCAAAATATAATTTATACTACTTTTTCACAACAAAGAATAAACTCAAATAATTCTAGAAATAAGATAGAATCTTTAATCTTCTCCTTTTAGGAAGAATTGCTTATTCTAATGTTGAAATATTATAGTTCAAGCAGTATGTACCTTTGGGTAAGTTCTGAATGCACCCAAGCAAACTTTGCCAGCGGAGATGGTTCTCACGGGATCAATGACAATGGCAACGAATGGTTCTTGAAAATTTTGATTGAGCATCTGAGTGGATACATCAATACCAGACAACCAACATCCATATCCAGGATGACTGTGATACCAACCAATCGCATTTTCTTGTCTACCGACCTGAATGATAAATTATAGGCTATAAATTTATTTTTTAAAAGTAGTTTTACTATAAAAATAGTTTTATATATACTTGTTTAGCTGCTTCTATGTAAGCTGTCATGTACTCATAAGCTTGAGCTTGAGCATTCACTCTAGTTTCTGTACCCTCCACTGGCAATGCAAAGGAATCCATCACAATCATCGTGTTGGCTGCTACTTTACCAAGTAAAAGACCCATTACCTCCAGTGTTCCGCCAGATCGTGCATGCATAACCATTTTTAATAGAGCTAATGCAGATATTTTGATGTCTTTGAAAAAATGGGGACTGTAAACAAGAAAATGGGGCACAAATAGTCGATGCTTTTCCACAGTTAAATCATCAATATGCTTACTCTTTCTCCCATGGTTTGGCAGTTAATATATCATGTTGCTCTTTCCTGTCGTATCTATAAATCTCGTCCATGGTACTGATGGTCTCGACATTATTCGATAATTCCCATGTCTTCTGAGCAATACCACTCTGTTCGGAAGAGCTAGCCATTTCTCCAAAGATATCTGATAACGATAATGACAATATTAATGAAAATTATAATAAGGAAAATGTCAAACAACATTTTATATTTCTTAATTATAATAAAATATTATTATGCTCTTAACACAATAAATGTGAGCAATATTATTTATATGTGAAATACAACAAAAGATTTGACCTTAAAGATGTAACTTTATAAAAGATCGGTAAATATTATATTTTAGTTTATAAGAGACGTGTTATATGACAAATGTTTTACACAAACAAATAAGATTTTTTGTTTAGATTATTTTAAGCTCTGTGAAATATTATCCAGTATATTTACGTCTAAATTTTCAAAACGTTGGTGAGGTTAAAGATGGTAAAGAGTTTTGAATTTTTACCTATCAATATTATTGCAAATTATGTATATAGGACTAATTGGACGTCGATTAATTATTTTTTTTTTTCTAAAGTACGATCGCTCTAATTGACCCAAGATCACTTGGCATAGCTAAAATAATAGTGATTATTATTATATTCGCTATACTTTATGTCAGATGTCGGTTTACTATATTGTCGATTGTATCGATAAACACTTATCGATATATCGATACTGCGAGATAGTATGATGATATCGATAGTTTTTCTGCGACAACTTCTTTCCATATGTGATACCCAAGTATGTGCCTGCTTTTTAAACAGAATCTTCGTAATAAGATACAAAGGTAAGAGTATCAAATGCAATCACGAGAAATTAAAAGTTAAATTTTACTTGAGAATGCATAATATATATAGCATAATATATATCATAGTGTGACTATAATATATATCACTCTTTTTTTGCATTTTTATACTTAGCCATTAACATAACCATCTTTTTACACATTCATATACTTGATATATCGTCAAAAAATTATTTTAATTACAACATAAAAAAGGCGTCTTGATGGAAACTTCGATGAAATCATTATACTTTTATATTCTCTTTCTCCCTCCTATCTTTATTCACAGAAATATGTAATCGTACATGCGTGTATATATATATATATATATATATATATACACACACAAAAATAGTAGATTTTAATTTGAGAATAATTCTGGGAAATAAAATAGGAGAAAAAAATGAAAAAGCAGAGAACAATAATACAATATTTCAAGAGTGAAAGAGAAAGTGAATGATTTCTTTTGATGGGGGAAACCGAGTTCCCTTAAGGTACCGTTAAAACATCTTGCAATCAATTTTCCCGCTTTTCCGGAAGCGGTGGTACACCTGCTTCCGGAAAAGCGGGCGGTCGATTGGTCGAGGCGCGTCGCTCGTTAGCGCGCGTTCGTTACCGCCGTGCGAACGAGGGCCATTTAGCGTCCGATCACCGTGGCGACGACGAACACGCAACAACGTCGAGAGGTGCTTGCCTCGCGTGCAGGGATTGTGTAGCAGCAGCCGTATCGCACTATTTATAAACACGCGATGGGTGAACGGGCGTTCGTTTGTTTCCGCTACTGCCTCATCGCCGGTGCGATCCTCCTCGGCGTAAGTTGCTGTCATCTTTATTCATCCTTATTGCTTTTTGTGTGCGTAGTTATTATTTCGCGTCCTCTCACGCGATCTCATTGTCAGAGTGACGAGGATCGCGAGGAGGAATTATCATCTCGAGCCCCAGGAATCTCGGAGCCCACGAAACGGTCTCGTAGTTTGTGTTTCATCGTGTGTTTATTGCGATCAGCTGATCGGGATCTATTATTACGATCGATCGCGCAGCTGCAGCTTCTTCCGAGGTCGCGTAATTGGTGACTTTTTGTGCTCGGCGCCAATCTGGCTCGCAATTTGCTTACTGTGTTGATATTGGTGTATGCATGTGTATGTATATCTGTATATATGAATGCGTATGTGTTGGAAGGTAAACGAGTATAAGCATGTATTATTTGTTGGGATGAATTAAAAGAGAGGATTGTGATAGAAATTGTATTGTATAAAAGCGAGTATTTTATTTGCAAATAATGCAAGCTCTCTGTTGAAACGAAGAGAATCATGTTTTATATTTTTATTAAATAAAATTTTATTTTTTGAACACTCTCCTAATCGTCGTTTTCGAAATACAGAATGATAATTATAATGATTACAAAGAAAAATACATATATTTTTTCGGATGATGTCACCCGAAATTATAATTTTTATATATTTGAGATTCTCGAATGATTAATTTTCAAGTCAATTTCGTCTTTTAAAATTTATTGTTTGATATTTTTCAATTATAAAAATGAATATATAAAATCGTGCATGATTATATAGTTAATTCTACATATACACGTATGTGCTGATTAATGAAAGACAATAAGAGTTGAAGGAGACACTGTAACAATTGCGGACCGACCTTAATTAACACTTTATTTCGTTGTGATTATAAAAATATCGCTGAAACAAAGCAACAATTTTTGTGGTAATAATAATAATATAATCTTGAATAAAAATGTAATAGTAATAATATAACAATAATGTAATTTATTTTCTTTACATTTTAATTTACATTACATATAGTTTTATTTTAATTCTAATGTATGCATTTAATGAAAGTCGTTTAGATTAAATACCTGTTCTTCGAATTAAAATTTATTTCATCGTAAATTTCCCGTTTAATCGGCACATATTAATTGTAATTGTATTTATTTTTCAAGACATTCAAGACACGCGGCGTGATATTTAACACGACAATGTCGCATATATATGTAGTATATAACGCAGTTTGCTTTGATTAAACACTATACCTCGCCTTCCTAGATAAGACATTGTCTTTTCTCTTTATCAGAGATAACTCCTATCATAGAGTTTATATCATCCACGTAAATTTTTTTTAAACACGATTTCGGGGAAACGACGCATTTCTACTTTTGATCTTGATATGGCTATTTTTGTACAGGCACGCGAGATAAATAACATCTATTAATGATTAAAGCATATTATTTTGAGAAATATTTTTCCGAGTTTTTATTATTTTAATAAAAGACGCGGTCTAAAATAATGAATATCCAAAATCCATTTTATCTTTTATTTTATTTATTATATTTATTTAATTTATTTATATAATAATAGATATTATTATATATTAAATAAAATATATAAATTATATATAATATTATTTTTATAATAATTATATAAATATCAATTTATATACTAATATATTTAGATTAGTATATAATTATAAAATTGTGCGAAATATTCAACGAAATAGAGCACGAAAAAGAGGTCTTATACGTTTTTTTTGCAGATTTCCGGCGTGATCGTCAGCATATTCGCCAGTTACTTCATTTATCAGCTGCACGAATATGGGTCACTCACCCCTAATAACGTGTGTGGTTCACCTGCTACCTTGTTGGCAATGGGCATTGTTACTTGCGGGATCGGCTGGATTATCTGGCAATTCCTCAATTTTTCCAACAGAAGTCAAGTTATCATTGTAAGTTAATTTCTGCTTCTCTCCTCTCTTTAAAATTCATTCAAAAACAGAGAAAATTAAATTCTAGATGAAGATATGAATATACTAATTTTTTCCATGTTTAGTTTGCCATAGTATTATCGATTATCGCTCTGGTCGAAATCGTTGTTGGAATTTGGGCCTTGGTACGACATGAACAAGTGGAGATTTTACCATCTTCACGACATGATGAGATCTTTGCCCTCGCAATCACGGATGAGAAGTCTACCTGGGATCATATGCAGTCCACAGTAAAAACATTTTTTCATATATTTGACTTAGTTCATATAGATTTGATTAAATAGATAGATTTGATTAGAGTTTTATTATAAGTATATTTTATATATTATAAGTAATATTTAATTTATCAAAACACATATACAAAATCTTATAACATTTTGTGGCTAATCGAAGTTTCTGCGTTTCTATTTAAATACTTGTTTTTAGACTTGATATTATGCTCACTATATGTTACTAAAGGAATTTGATATTTCCTAAAGAAAATCATCCAATATTCGCAATAGAGAAACATTGATAAATAAAATAAAAATTAAAAAAGTCGATATAATTAAAATATAATGCCATTAAACTATAGCAGCAAATGATAGTAGTAAGCAATAACTTGATAAATATATAATAAAGTTAAGATAAGTTTGATAAATATATAATAAAGTAATTATATATAATATAAAATATACATATATAAAAGTTATATATATATATATATATATATATATATATATATAATAAAATAATTATATAATTTTAATGATATTAAAATGTATAATAGTAAAATGATAATAAAATACAAATGAGAACAATTTAAAAAAGATGTAACAAATTTAATTTTATTAAATTGAATTTTTCAGTTACAATGCTGCGGAATAGACGGACCTTCCGATTATCGTGGCACAGAGGCGATTCCTTGGTCGTGTTGCAACACGACCAACCTGGCGAACGATAATAGTATCGAGGGTGGTGTTTGTACTACTATCTATAAACGAGGGTGTCAGCATGTGGTGTTAAATCGGACAAAATCGATCCTCCTTCACATTTTTTTACTCGCTTTGTGTTCTATGCTGTTACAAGTACGTAATCTTGTTCTCTGGGATTCGTTTCATGAATCGATATATCATGCAATTAATGTGTCTATTCCAGGTTTCTTTCATAGCGTGCGCGACTTGCTACGTCAGGATTTACAAAGATAAAATGGATAGAAGAAGGGCATCGGAAGTACCCAGGAATATGTCTCCGCAAGAAAATAAGGACGTTCTTTTAACACATCGATCAAGGTATTTGCATAATTCTGACAATTCCTAGCCAACGCCGCGAACCGCGAAGGACGAAGCAGGTGTGTGTCATTTACGGATGTTACGTCACTGTGATATGCGAAATATATTTTGCGTGGTGACAATATCTACAGTGTATAAATACACAAATGATATTGATATTCCTATCATACAGAGTGTTCCAGATTTGTCAAGAAATATTTTAGCGTTTTTTATTCTTTGAAGAATTTAGAGTTGATTTTTCTTCAGATATAATGTTGCAACTTTTTATTCGTTGCAACTTTTGGCATTCATTTTCTTAACAAGTAAATCTCAATTGAAATTTTTGTTAAGATTAAATAGAAAAAGAAATTTTTTAATTTACTTAGAAAGATTCATCTTTAAAGTATCTTTCACATTTTGACTCCTTGTATGAAGGAAAAAATAATATTTCGAGAGAGAGAGAGAAAGAGAGAGAGAGAGAGAGAGATGGTGCTAAACCTTTTCCATTTATTCTTACTGCCGTTTCTTGAGTAAATACCTCATTGAGATTTATAAGATATAGAACGCTGAAATATTTGCAGAAAAAAACTGCGTCAAGTTATTGCTTACTACTATCATTTGCTGCTATAGTTTAATGACATTATATTTTAATTATATCGACTTTTTTAATTTTTTATTTTATTTATCAATGTCTCTCTATTGCGAATATTGGATGATTTTCTTTAGGAAATATAAAATTCCTTTAGTAACATATAGTGAGCATAATATCAAAGTCTATATAATCTTGACATTAGTTGTACTTAAGATATCTTTCAATGCAGTAGTCATTACATAGGTAATCAAGTGTATAGTGCAATGTTTTGTATAATCAACGACAAGTAAAAATATAGTAAAAATATAGATATATCCGATATATATATCCGATATCATTGTATATTTTGCACTATCTGTTTGCATTATGTTTTGTAATCAACGACAAGTAAAAACATAGATATATACGATATATATATCCGATATTATTGTTATATATTTTCTACTATCCGAGAATACTTGATATTTTCAATCATCGCAATCAGAAGAGACAAGTTTTTTTTTCGGAATAACCGGAAAATTAGTTCTATATTGTATGAGTGTGCAACTTTTATTTATATTTATATATTATAGCTTTTTATTTATGTGTTTTTTTGCTGATTTTTTTCTTTATTTATTCTCAATACTAAATGCAAATATTTTATCATTTGTATGAAATGTATGCGCGTATGAAAATGGAAACTTTTTTATATAAATTACGCGTGATTGTACAATTTTTTTTAAGAAACACGTGTTTGAGTAAGATTTTTTAATATCATTAGGCAATTTTGTATCCATTGATACTTATCTTTCCTTATCCTTACAGCCAAAGTATATGATTTTTTAACTAAACATAATTAAAAAAAATTAAAACACGATAAAATAATTTCACTAACAATAAGATAATTTTTCAGTGTTGCATTTAAAAAAATTTCTTATATATTTCACTTAAAGAAATATCTCGAACGAGGAAAATAAAGTTTAGTAGCATATTTTTAAAGCTACGTCATATAGTACGTCATTTTGATGACTAAATTCCTATTAATCGCGTCATATCTGTATCTTTTGATTCATATGTCTTTAAAAAGATATTATTTCTTCTATGCATTTTACTTAAAACTTTCACAAGACCTGTAAATAATGCTAGTTTATTTAGCGCTAGTTATTTTTGTATTTAATTGCAAACATAATTGAATTTACGTGTTTTATATTAAATTAATTCGAACTTTCGATAATCAATAAACTCTTGATTATATAAAATTTAGATTGGCATCTACATATCTTTGATATAAATAAGATTGACAGATTAGATTGAGACAGTATTGTGCTATCCAAAATTAATTTGAGAAAATTTCTAATATCAAGCGATATTTCTTTGACTCTTAATTTTTCAAAATACAATTACAATAATGAAAAATAATATTTCGCATTTCGTCAAATATACTTCTATTAAATTTCTTCCGCGTATTTCATATATTTGCGCTAATAAAATATTTCCTAATTATTTAAAATAACACATTAACTTACAATTTTATTTATACTACTAAATTCTAATCATTCTTGTGTACATACGTGCGATATTATTTAATTCATATTTTATGTCAACGTTCTTCAATTTTATTTTTAGTCTCGTTAATGAAGAGATATGGAGATGTATTATATAGAAATATATATAAATAGAAATAATAATCGCCATTTCGCAAGAAGAAGATAATAAGAATCGCACGCATCATTGCAATATCTGGCGTAATCTGTTGAATCTGACGCGCCCGTCCTTTTCCTTCGAACCGCTTTCGGGCAACTTCGGCCGGACTCGTGCGCCATCGCGGCAGTGTCGCGCCAAGCGCCGCTTGAGTAAAGTTCAGTTAAATTCGAACCGCCGATCGCGGTGCGTTGCGAACGAGTCCGTCCTGCCGATCGGAATCCCGGATTCATCCATCGTCCTCGCACGGAACGGTTTCTCTTCTACGTGGCTACAGAATTGGAAGGTCAAGATGGGGTGCGGAATGGGAGTGATCAAGTACCTGCTCTTCATATTTAACTTTATTTTTGTGGTAAGTTATACCAGGAGAGAGAGAGAAAGAGAGATTATTTATGCGTGCGATAACGGTGCCGTATCTATGTTACATGTCCCGTTTTTAGCGATAAAACTGTCGACGTAAAAACGTCCAGCTCGAGGATTATCGCGCGGAAGTGAAGCGGTTGTTTTTTTTTTCCTTTCTCCTCGACGACTTCAAAGTCGCCATTCAAGTTTGCGAGAGTCCGGCCGAAGAATCCGTCGTGTTTCGCGAGTCGCCGGGTACTACTTTTAGCCCTGTAAACACAGGCACACACAAATAGGCGTGTCTGCGGCTCGGCTATTGCGCGCATATGTTCGCTTATTCGCACCGCTTTTCATCTCTCCGTTTTCTCGGGGATGAGGATCACGCTCAAATACGACGATCGAAGCTCGGACGACGACGTATATATCGCCGACTATAAATGCGCACGTGAAAATGTAGCACGCGGCACTCCTATATATTTATGTATATGTGTACACGCATACGGAGACGCGAATTCCTCATAGAATTTGTTTACCGGTGCAGTTCCGCGAATTCTCGCGACGATGTTGCTGTTGCTCAATTGCGCGTGTCTACGTCCTTGAAATGCGTGAATCGCGTGACCGCTGTAATTGTACGTCCGGCATATTAGGATCATTCTAAGGTTTTATATACGTTTCCTCCCGCGTGTTGTGAAATAGATAAGATCGCAGGATTGCTCGGTGGAGTATTAACGAGATTATTATTACGTTGGCCATTTGAGAATTTTTGCAGGAAGCAAAAAGGTAGACAAATCTGTGAAATAATCCCGCAAAAAAGTGTTGATTGTTATTTAGATATTTGATATCAAATTAAATATCTCACAAGCGTACAAAAGCAATCTGTATATAGCCAAAAATAGATTTATAATTTATCTAACCTCATTTTATCGATAAAAAAAAAAAAAAGACTTCTCAAAGCATCTGTCAAAGTTCGGCCAAACATTTAGGATCCCCTTAAATAAAGAATACGTGTGAACACGTATAAGCACTTGGTCCTTTTATCTCTTGTGCTTATTGACGATATAGAAGCGAGACTTGTTAGCATAAGTATATGAGATCATATGGTTCTGCATTCTCGCACGTATTATTTTTAGCTTCCTTTTAAATATGAATAATGTATCTAATGATTTAAAGGTTTTTCTAATGAAAACAAACATTTTATTTTACATATAAATATTTAGAACAAAATGCGTTGTTCAAATTTATTTAGCAAAAAAAGCCAAAAAAGAGATAAAGAGATAGAGATAGATATATGAGTCAGCTTTTAATATATATATATATATATATATATATATACTGTCTTCGCGTAAATGCGACTGACTCATGTATAGAGATAAGAAAAACCCAAGGTTGACAACAGCATGTAAACGCAATTTAACGTGTTAACGTCTTTCCGTATGCATCTGTCATATCAATTCTCGATCGCGAATATCGAACTTTGCACGTCAATAATATTTATCCGGTTGATCATTACTATCACAAAAAATTCACGCAGAGAAGTTATTTTATATTTTTTTTGCTATAAAATCGTCAAATTTTTGTTGTTCGCTTATCGATCGATAAACTCATCCAATCATTATCGCAATTAATCCTTGTTATCGTTAGCAGTAGCTTTGTGTTTCTGATTTTTTAAATTCGAAACAACTACTAAAATTATATCTATAACAAAACGCGAATGAAAATGGACTTTCATTATATGTTCAGAAGAAAAAAAATATAATATGTCTATGTATCTATTAATTTATCTTGAAAATCATGGTAATCGTGGAACAATTGTATAGTATATTGGAAGAATTTTATAAGAGTTTCTATGATTAATATTTACCACAATAAAAATATTAATATCTACCACAATAAGATATAAAATATATTCAATTAATTTTACTATGTATATAATAAAATTTACTATGTATTTAATTAATCTTTTTAGAGCCTTTAAATTATTCTTATTGTTAATCTTTTTTGTTGCGATAAATCTTAATCAGAGAAACTGTTATAGAAATTCTTTCAATATCATATATTATCCCACGATTGCCTTTTGATTTTCAAGCTATTATAAATATTCTAAGAGAAAATTCTCTCCGCAGTTAATAAAACAATAAGATAGTTGCTTGGAAAAACTCATACAGTTGCGCAACATTTCCTCCGAAACGCGAGAAACTGATCTCCAGGAAAAGAAGAGCTATATATATGGATGTGTATTATTTTTTCTTTGTGGACATAGTATTCGATTAACTGATGATGTAATTTCTAGAAGACGGAGAGAATTTTCATTCGATACATTTCCGAGGACGACCCGACAGTCAGGCGCTATCCCTTTACGATCTCCTTTTCTTCCTCTTCGGTTTTCTTATCCATGCCCTGGTTACAATGGTCGTTTCTTACTCCGTTCCCAAGGTCTCTCCCCTCTCGTTTTCCCTTCTCTCACAGTCGTAATCTCTTCGTGTCGTACATGGAATTTCGTCAATGTCCGCGAAACTCGTCCTTGTCGCCACAGAACACAAAGGATCATGTAACAAGGATTGCGTAACAACTGTCACGTCTCTCTCGTCTCACTTTTTTTTTCATACGAAAGTCAATACATAGAGCGAGCTTTTTAATTATCAATTAAAATTAATTCTACGATGCGCAAATATGGCAAATTGCTGCATTTCCATTGATCAATTCACTGAAAAAAATTACTAAGATAATAAATATTTATTTGAATACTCCTAAATGAATGATTTATTTGAAATAAATATTTTGATTGTTTTGAAAAAATTTTCTTATATAAATAAATATTTTTCATATTAAATCGATATTATTAGGATCAATTAAAATATTAATCAAAATTAATATTGGTCGCTAGTGGTGAAAATAAGCTTAAAAACTTGACTTTGACGTAACTAGCAAATTTAATTATTTAATTATTTAATTATTTCACGACGTTTCGACCATTTGGTTGTGGTCCTTTTCAAGTGAAATTTCCATCAATTAAACCTCGGTTTAATTGATGGAAATTTCACTTGAAAAGGACCACAACCAAATGGTCGAAACGTCGTGAAATAATTAAATAAAATTTGCTAGTTACGTCGAAATTATTAGTTTCAAATAAATAATTTATTTTGCAATATTGAAATAAATATTTATTTGAAAAATTTTTTTCAGTGATAAATTAAAACCTCGCCCATAATAGCAAAAGTCAGCATTTTTTTCTAAAAGTGCTCAAATTTTACCATAATGCATTATCGTGAAAGTGCGATTCTCGACGGAAGGAGAATATGCATCCTCATCCCGAGAGAAATAATCTAGGAATGGCTGTACGATTTTAGAACGTCGTAAAAATCCTGCATTTTATATATTCTCGACAGTGCTACTTTTTCCTTTTCAATCTGTTATCTGTGTCGTAAATGTAACATACACATCGAAGAAGAAAATACCACTATCTTAAAAGCTGACATTTATAACTCGTTCAATTAAGATATACACTTAATGTAAATATAATTTCATGTTTTATTGTAATATTGGCATGGCATAATTATTTGCATCTTACACTTAAAGCAAATTCTTATAATTCTAATAGATATATATAATATAATATATATATATATATATACATACACATAAAATAAGAAAACATCTATTAGATTAATTGATTTCACTAATTGATTTGCGATATCTTATGACACTTTATTTGCTTATCATCGATATTTTTGCTCGAAGTTTATAGACAATTTTTATTTGCTTATTGTCGCAATATTTTTTTGCTGATGTTTATAGGCAATTCAATTTCGCTTTGTTTGCATCATTTATCTATCTGCGTATTAACGATATTTGTTTCGTAGACGTAAATCAGACACCTATAAACAGTGTGTACTAAAATTAGCAAACACGATCTTGTTGCTCGGCTATGCATGACACTCGAACTTTAACAGCAGCGATAGACCGAAGAAAAACATCTTTTTTTTTGCCACGAGATATTCTTTTATCGCGATTAAAAAAAAGAGTATATCGATCGCGTAAGAAATTTTCCACGGATTAACGAGGAGTGAAACTGATCAAGAAGCATGTCAAGGGTAATCTATCGTCATTAATTGCCGGTAATATTCGATGATATTATCTATATATTGTGGAAATAACTTTGAAATTTTAATCGATTTTTAATTTCCTTATAATAAAATTCAATTTAAAAAATATCGAATTTTGTATATTCGTTTAGAAATCAGACATTTTTCAATTTTTGTTTTTCTGTAATTTTATCTTTGGACTCAAAATTTTGAAAATATTTTACATGTTTTTATTTTCCTACATTTATTATTGTTCATATTTGAAGAACTGATCCTTCGATTATTTCGGGAAGATCTGAAACTCTAGTATTGTGTTTTCATTTTCTCTTTTTGAACAAATCACAATTAATTATGTTTCATATACAGTAACACGATGTTTATGTGACATTCATGAACTCGCTTGTGAGAGAATCTGTCACGAAAAGGTCAGATAATTGTAAGGGGAAGATAATTGCTTTCTTCCGAACGATTTCGCTCCTCTCTTATAATATACTGATTCGTCCTCGCAAATTAATTTTCTGAAGTGCACGATTTATTTCCTTTACAAAACATAATCGTTTAGTCTCGTTAATTATAGTTACTCACGGAGAGATAAACGACCATATATTATTGCAAAGAAAATGTTGAAAAATACTGCATATATTTTTATAATAATTTAATGATACATTTTCTGTTAATAGCTCGAGACACGATTATCTTAAAATACGCTCAGTCTCGATAAAGCAAAGATAATATTCTGATGCTTGCAGATTAATTGAGTATCTTACTCATCACTTATTCACTGCATTTATTATTATAAATGGAATCATACGATAAATATTTATGGATTCAATCGTAAGTGTAAATTATGGAGCTCCGTTAGAGTCTTGTTATCATTTAATGAGCGTATAAATGTTATTTTTATCTTATATTTCCTTTACTTATTGCTTTATTATTAGAATTTTTTCCACACAATTTTTTGTTTCTTATTTTATATTTTAGATTTTTAATAAATAGTGGTGCTTTAAAAATTGTTCAAATGATAAAACAACTAGGAGATATTTTTTATTTATGCGCAAAAAAGCGCATAAAAATCACATTGTGCTAAATCATTATTATTAATTTTATTAAGTAACTATTAATTTAGATAAGTAGTTGTCACATTTAGATAAAATTTTATTACTTATACATGTAAAAACATAATGTGTTCGCTGTTTTACAGTTAGCATAAAACAAACGTATTCATGTTAATGAATTAGTTTTGCTATATATAAGAATGTTCTCATTTCTCCTCTCTTTTTACTTGATAAAAGTTACATGCACAAATACATAATAAATAACAATACTCGATTGTACGAGCTTCTTGATGTTCTCTCTATATAAACTTATCCATAAAAAAATATTCGATATTACTCATTCGTTGGAGTGCTGTTATGTATTTCTTGTCATGCGCATAATTACGACGTTACTTTTTCTTGTATTCCTTTATCAAAAGCTGTGACAACCAAGATATTTTGTTATCATTATTATTTATATTTTGTTATCATTGTTATTTATCTTGCGATTTTCTTATTCTGATTGGTTATGTAATTTCGTGACCGTGACCGCATATTAGGTGTATCCAGGAAAACTAATGCGTTTGATAATCTTGTTTTCCAAAAAAATTCGTGAAGATAGTACTTATTAGGGAATAGATAAAACTGAAAAACTATTTAACATGGAAGACAGATTACATAATAGTCTGATATAAAATCAACCTCTTTCCGCTCAGAAAATTTATGAAATTGTCCGAATGAGTAAGATTTTATTTTTTAATTATTTGCAACACAGAATTGCTTCGAATAATAAATAATTTTTATATGTGAAGATATTATACACTGTAAATTAAATATGATTATTAAACGATGCGAATATATAACTTGCATTAAAAAAATAATTCTAAATTTGATGCAAAATAATTTCTGGCATTCTAATCATCAATTTTTTTAAATATTTTTTAACAGATATAAATGTCACATGACGTTTTATCGATTATTTTTGTGACAGGTGGATTTCTGATTATTAACGATATTTGCAGTGAAATGTTATCTAAGCGATATGTCATGAACGTAATTATATCGTTCTAAGAAAAGTTTATAAGAAAAGTTCTAAGAAAATATAGGATTAAGATTTTCCAGGGTTTGATCAATATCTTATTTATAAATTAATCTAATTTTTCGATTTCTTTATTTCTCGACAATTAATATAGGTTACTTATTAAATTTTAAATAATCAATATTGGGCCTGAATAAAAATAATTAGAAGAATTACTATATTCTTCTTATTATCATATTAGAAAGAATATATTTAATTTTCTCTATTATTAAAAAGGAAATTTTTTCAAAAATATTTCTAATATTGAAAAACTATTCAAGCTCGTCGCCCCCGCTCAATAATTAATTATGTCGAGTATTTTTATTATAATAAAAGATATTTTTTTTCACATGTCATCTTTCTTTTTGATATCGGCGAAGACAGGCCACTTATCACTAATCATCGTTTATCTTTTTACCATTTTGACGATAAAAATGAAATAATTTCGATAATGATTGAATGATTGAAATGACAATGGGAAGCTACCATTTTTTTGCTACTTTGTGTCCGAAACATGTTATGCATATATGTATATGGTGACCAAATTTTCTGAAAGAAAATAAAAGATAATACCTGAAAATTTTAGGTCTTTGTTTCAACATATTTTCGAATCGGTTTACGATCAAAGTAGAGATCGACAAAAAATAATTCTACGACTATCAGAAGTCTACGTTCTTATAGCTTGAAACTGATTTGACTGTTGAAATAAATTCTTGATTTTAAATAGCTTCCGGATAAGGTTTATAAATATAAATTCTCATGTTAATACTACATTAGACATTAAAACGCTAAATAAAAAATAAAAATATATATAGTATATATAATAAAAAATAAAGGACAAAATTGAGTTTTGGCAAAATGAATAAATCTAAAGGAAAGCTACTTGAAATAAAGAACTGTTCTCTAATATAAAGGATGATCACCGTAATTATGCATCATTTCCGTACAGCTCAAGTTTCCTCCACATCGCGTCTATTTCATAACATTGTAATTTGTAATTTTCGTTCTTCATTAGGTTTCCTGATACTAATGCTGACGGGCATTCCCGGTGTCTCATTTTCCGTAATTATCGCGTCACGTGCCTTGCACGTTGCACGTGTCTATATACTATATACGCTATACGATTACATCTCGACACGCAAATTTTCTACATTGTTTTGATAGTTAATCTAAATTTAGTACTAAATTTGTTATGAAATTCCGCTCTCTGTTCTTGTAATGAAATTTTACAAAAGAAAAAATGGATACAGTATGAATACAAAAAGAAATAAAACAACTGTATAGATGCGCATAATTACTGTCATATATGTATACCTACTTTTTGAAAGAATTGTATTGTAAAGTCATGAAACGCCTTTGTCTCTCGATTTTGTCAAAGATTTAATGCAAAAATTTATTCTGCATACGAAGTATAATCCAGAAAATAAATTTACCGATTTGTTATCGGCGATGATTAATTGTTATTCATGTTCGTTATCCGAAATTATCTGCGGCGCTACAGAGAATTTGATGATTACGTGTATTTTAGATATTATTAATCATTCTTCTTAATTTTAAAATGACATAAGGTCTATATTTAATGGATTACTTATCATATTATCTATTATGATACTTCAATATATTATCGATATTAATTTTATCAAAGAAGAGTATGAAATTTTTGTATTATATATTGATACTAATATATCTTTTGAGTATTAGAAATATTTCTATCATTGTTGTATCAAATTTATCTATGCATTGCACTCGCGCATATTGTGCAAAGAAGTGAATCACTTTTTCTGAACGCGAGTAAATATTTAATTTGGACTTTGGATAGTTATTCCGACCGTTCGATCGATACTTATCTTATCGATCTTCATATAGTAACCATGAGGAAAAATCCGTCTCTTCTCGAAACTCTGATATTCTCGCGTACATGCAATGTTAAAAGCGGTGAACAAGAGAATTTAGTTGAAAATATTATTTTTAATCAAATATTTTACGTTTATGTCGAACGATTGCGTCGAAATTGGGGCAGTTGTAATGAAAATGCGACGTGTTTCGAGTCGTAGAAGCCCTTTCTGGAAACTTAAGTATGCGTAATCTTGCAATTAGAGGAAGTTGATTCCTCAAGAACGACTACGCGATGATGTCATCTAGGCGTATATACACACATTGCCATATATGTATACACACACACACACACACTGATTCGATGTACATAATTTCGGTACCCTGCGGCAATAAAGACTGTGTTCTTCGCAGTTTCTTAACCAGGTATACAATCTTCGTGTTCAGCCAAGTCTTGGAATGAAATCGAGAAATGTAATGAAAAATTGACTAATTATCGATCTTTATTACTCGTTTTATTGTTGCTTTCTTATAAAACTAGCTGACATCATCTCTATTTTGAGAATTGTTCTCTTTCCTCTGTGCTTTTTCATGCGTCATTTTTATACACGATGTACTTTACAGTACGTAGTTCTGCTCATTCTTAAACTAGGGCGGAAACTTTAAAGAGGTTGAATCGATCGATCGAACGAACGCACTTATGCATTTGCGTTTCACTTACAATGAATAAGTGTATCAATCCTGCGATGATTTCAAGATCAACCATGTATCATATATAACATAGTAACAAAGGAAAAATAATGTGTAGGCGTGCAATATTTCAAGGATGATTTCCAAGTATCTCGGAATGTTTAATATATAAATATTAGTAAATATATGTTGATTTATGCATTTGATCTATTTATATCCTATACCTATTATTAGGTTAACAATGTGACCGCGTACTTGGCAACAGCAGTTTATGCAATGAGCCAAACTCGCTCTAAAATATATATTGCACTATTTTGACTGATTTATTGATTTTCTACCGATTATTTAAATAGCAATATGAAAAATACTACACAAATGCATGCAAATATATATTAAAAATTGCTTAGAAAAAAATTTATATTTGCGAATATACATATATATTTAATCTCTAGTTTTGTATTTATAATATATTGCAATTTATAATCCTTCTGATATATATCATTGTAATTATGTCATGTTATATATTTTTAACACAATATCATCTGCCATCTTTTATCGTAATTATACGCTGCGATTATTATCATTCATTTAAAATAAAATTCTCGTCTAGCATGGCGAGTTATATTATAAATTTTATTAACAAAATATAGATATATGATAGTAATATTGGTAATAATAAAATAGAGTTAAATTGTGAAAAATAGAAAATGATTAGAGATATATGACAATGATATGTGAATACGAAACTTCTTATTGCAGTTATGCGGTCTGGCCATCTTAGTCCTGGGCGTTTTAGTGCATTTAGGAGACAAGAACTATTACAATGCAAATTTTCAAGAAATCACTGGTAATGTTACGTTCCCAGCGATAACACTGATCGTCCTCGGCACCATCATCTTTATTATCGCCTTCTTCGGATGCTGTGGAGCGATTCGCGAGAGTCACTGCATGGTCATCACGGTAAGCAAAATTCCGACCTTGACTTGTATATATTTGCGTACGTCTCGAGTATTTTAAATCAAATCTTAAAAATAGTAGAGATCAAAGACAGAAAATTTATTTATAAATTTGAAATATTGTATATATTGACTGAAACAAACTTATTTATATGAAATTAAAGAAGAATTGAAATTACATGTACATTCTAGTTTTGAGACTTTCGCGGCTATTAAAATCATCAATACAAAGGGCTTCCGGATGGATGCCCCGTGGTTGAACAGCATTCCGATACTAGAGTATCGGAACTTTCCTGAAGATGCAAACTGCAACGTTTGCGAAACGTCGGCATTATGCTGTTTAACCAGGCAGCATCTATCCAGAAGCCCTTTGCATTGATAATTACATGTACATGTTTGAAGACATTTATTACATTTGATTTGTGTCTTATATTTACATTAGTTTCTGTTATCCAAGATGTTCGAACTTGTTTGCATTGTCAACAATATATATTTCTTAAACAATTGCAATACACATTTAAAATTATTATGCTTGAATCAAACAGCACAGTCATTTAACAATACACGTAACAATTTTATCTTATGATATACTTATATGTTTCTTTCGTACAGTTTGCGTCTTTACTTTTGACGATCCTGATCATACAAGTAGCTGTCGCAATCTACGCGTTTGTTGTACTGAAGGATACCGAGGACATCAAGTTTAAGGAAGTATATGGAAAAATCTTCAACAAATACAGCGACAGTACTGAGGACAAACACTTTGTGGATTTCATACAGCAGGAAGTAAGATGATTGCCTTTTGAAATAATCTTGCGCATGTAAAACAATATATCGCGTTATTTGAATCTTGGCTCTAAACCGCCAGGTTCAGTAAAATACCATTAGATCTTGAATATAATAACACATAATATTAAAAATAGTTTAAATCGATGATATCTTTGGATTTATTAATTTGTCAATATTTCTATGTATAATAAAATTAATTTTTGCAGTTTGAATGTTGTGGTATTAATGAGCCCGGAGATTACAGCAGAATTCTTAAAATACCTATTCCGGGAAGTTGCTGCCATAAAAATGCAGACAACGAGACATGTGGACAATCTGAGGCTTACAAGAAAGGTTGCGCAGGGGAATTACAAGATCTCTTTAAATATGTATGCGCGGGATTAGGAGGCGCCGCTCTGGGTATCGCTGCAATTGAGGTAAATAATAAACGAGCTTATAAAGAGATTAAATAAAACTGAAAAATTACCTTACACATATGTATATATCGAGACAACTGGTAGAACAAAACATAATTTTATCTTATTTAAGTTGGAATATTCTAATCTCTCTCATTAAATTTTTTAAACATATGTGTAAATTTTTTGCTCTTTAGTTTTCAATTTGCTCTCGTGTGTGAATCTTTTGCAGTAATTACATTATTCAATTTTTTCTCAGTTGGTCGGCATCATCTTTGCGCTATGTCTGGCAAATTCCATAAAGAACGCCGAACGCAGAGGCTACAGCGTGTAAAAGTGGAACATCGCGAAGGATACAGCTTTAAGCGGGAAGCTTCTTAATACGCAACAACGTTCTTACCCATCTACTATCGTCAACGTATATTCGCCTATAAGATGTGATAAAGTATTTACGTTTTACATTCAGAACAGGTAAAATTAAATTACTTTTTTTTTCCAAACGGAAAGGAAGTGAGGAGCAAAGTGCCTCTTTATGTTTCCTTTTCGAGTCTCTTCGCGTGTCGCCAGTCGTGACTAAAGCATAAAGATAATATATTTTCAATAAATATATTTTTATTTTTAACTTTAGGAATTCTATATTAGGAATCTAATGTGGAATTCGACACACGATTTGGCAAATGTTACCGTAAAGGCTCTGAAATCAGTTTTTTTTGCGAAAACAGTTTTTTTTATACTATTATATATATTTTGATACGATATCGCTTTGACTCACATTTATACTTGTTCTCGATAAAAATTTAAAAAATACAAAAAAAGTCTGATGAGTAATTGTGTGGAGATCGTTCTGCATAATGATTAGTTTGAGTTGAAATAATAATACTTTGTATATCCAGTACTGAGGAGCGATACTATTTTACAAAGTTAACATTACAGAGAGATTTTCTTATATGGTAAAAATTTATTAATAAACTACAAGATCGTACCTGCAGAAAAGATCATTTAAATATCGTTAAAAAACACGAAGTTGTCGTCTTTACATAAAATCCACTTTGTTTGTACAGCACACAGTATATACGGATATTGTCTATATACATCTATATGTACTTTTTTCTTATAATAAAAGCTACTTTATCTATAAGAGATCCCATCGCCGTGTCTGTGCGCGACAAACAAACGAAAAAGGACGTTTATACAACAGTATTTTAGCGATAGACGCGGCGATAAAGTGTATATAAAAGCTGGGCATACTATATACAAAAATTATTCTCAAATAAAGTTGTTAAATTCTCATAGATTACATAGTCAAACTTATTACATTATGCGTGTCATATATTTAATTATATATTTCACGTTTTCGATATAATGTATAAACGTATCCGCGATTAGCGGATTACTTTCGTTGTAAGACAAAACTACGTGCCCAGTTTTGTACATCAGTTAAATAAACATCACAACAAAAGATAAAGATTCACACGATCGATTTTTCTTTTCTTTTTACACCGATTCAAACCGACGAGAAGTTCGATTTAACATTCTTTCACGTATTCAAGATTTTTAATCTTGTTTTATCGCTTTCTCCTTCTCTCACGTTCTTTATACATTACTCACTTTTCTTCGTAAATTTTTAATTTTTAATTTTATTTATAACTTAAGCATGTAAAAGTAATGAGAAAATAAATTCGTGCGAATTTTTAATAACTGTAAGAATAATACATCTTATTATGGATATTTATTTGCATTGTTTGTATTTTACAAAAGCATACATTTAAAAGCAGCATAATATATATAAAATGTATATAATATATACAATTTACATATACGTAATATAAATAATATATATATAATTTATATAATATGTACAATTTACATATACGTAATATAAATAATATATATATATATATATATATATATATATATATATATATATATTATATATGTATATAAAATTTATGTAATTTATGTAATATGTACAATTTACATATATGTACAATAATATATTAACACATATATTAAAATGTGTATTTTATAAAAATGCTTAATACGCTGCTTTTGGATGTAATGCTTTTGTAAAATACAAACATTACAAGGAAAAAATCCGTGGGAAAATATATATACACAAATATATATATATATATATATAAAATAAATTAAAATGTTTTATAAAATATTTAATATGCTGTTTATATATTTTGCTTGCGTGACTTCAAATTGAAATATCATACTTTGGCTGTATTCCGAAATTATTCATAAACATTTTATAAACAAGAATGAAAACGTGTAGATTGGGCGATAATTTCGAAACACCGCCTTTATTCGAAAAAATAGTAACAACATGGCGCAGCCAATCATGCTATCTCATCTTTTTGATTTAGGAACATTTTCCTCACTTAACATGGCATCCTTCCATCATTTTCCTCACTTCTATGTTGCCTGCCTGCTCCTACGACTACCTTCAACGACGCGCGCAAACCGCCATTTGAATTTCGCCATTCCAAGTGGAACCGCGCCGTGTAACGTTGTGAACAAAGTGGGTGAGTGAATTTTTAAATTCAATTGTTTATTGTTTATATCTTCGCGCAGCAGTTTCTTCTCGTGGCCGCTGAACTACGGGATCAGGATGAGAAATGGTAATAGTATACTCTCCTCATTTATATTTATCCAAGTAAGTACCACTTTTTATGCGGCTGCGATAACGGTGCCATATTTATTTTCTGTGCTTTCTGCGATAAATGCTGCAATATATATCGCTACAAAATTAACATATCGAACGTAATTTCTTATATTTATGATTTATGAAATCAATATATCTGATATTTTTTCTGATTTATATATACATATATTTCAAGATAAATTTCCTTAAAAAATCGGCACTTGCAAAAATGCCCAAAATTATACTATATCTAATTTAATTCGTAATCAAATACAAGATTTTTCGAATTTTCTTATACTATTTTATGATGCTTTATAAAAATTTGCCACGTCAAAATTTATGACAAAAATTACATCGCGAATTCAATGTTTCGAGATTAAATTTTACAATCAATATTATATAGAAAAAATGATTGTGTTGCATTTAATCGCACACTCATTTGTCAATTCAACTTTTTGAATTTTAAACAATTATCTCAATTCCAAGATGTTGAAAAAAATTTGACTGATTATTATTTTTATTCATATTCATTATCTTTAACATTATCGTATAGGAAGAAGAGAATATTTATTTTCTCGAAGCTTAAATCTATTAAATCTAAAAATTCTTAAGAAATATCAAGTAATTATTTATTATCTCATTTCCTTGATGATTTATTATCTTATTGCATTGGTGATTTATTCTTTTCCCTTGCATTATCTTATTCAATTTTGATGATAATTAAAATAAATAAATTTGCTATATTGAAATGAAATTAAAATATACAATAAATTAAACTGTTATATATTGCGCTTCGCGCAATTCATGTTTTTTAATGTCGTTTTCGACATATAATATGTATATGCGATTACTATTTCTGCGTTGTTTTTTTGCTGTAAAATAAAGCTGCAAACTCCAGCTCTGCAAATCAACAAATAAACAGGAATACAAGCACAACAATTCAGGTGAGAAATGCTTTTTTCTTTTTACGTTCATATATTGTCGTTATTTATTACGTTCAAGAGAGGATAGCTTACATCTGCATTTTTGAACTATAATACATACTATGTACACCTTGTAGTTCAGCAAAAGTCTCTCTCCATTTTCGCGATTATCGTTTGACTTTGCTGCTACTTTGATCGGGAATAAAGGTGGGGTCGTATTGTCCCCGGGTAAAACTTACAAACATCTTAAAGCTATGTCATTAGTCTATTACTTTTAGGCTGCACGACGAAAGTTGGTTCCTTGGAAAAAGAATTTTTTCTTGACTTACTACGATTTAATTTTTCTCCTCTACCGGTTTTGCATTTTATTAGTATTAAAATATAATGAGACTAAAATAAATTATATTTTTTTTCGATTTAAACTAACATAGCAACAACATACTCTATTGGAAGTATCAACGTATTCTATCTAATCATGCGCATTAAGATAGCTGCTAATTATAGCACTCATTTAATCGATATAAATTAAAAAATACATACTTTTTCACATAATTGTTAATGAGATTTTCTCACCATTTACTAAAACTACATTTTATTTAATAAATAATAACAGTAATGAAAAATGTATATATATGATCATGATCGTAAAAAGTATTATTAAATACATATCACAAGGATAATTTAAATATAGTAATTTCTAAAGAGAATTATTTTTTTATTCAAAGATTTACAAAATATTATCTGAAAGAAGATGAAATGTATGTAAAAAAATTCACGAGATTCTCTGTAAGCTAAATTTTGCAAATTATTCAAATATCTTTTTAATATTTCAATGATTGATGAAAACGAGGAGATACGTACTTTTATCAATACATTTGATCAATATACAATGTAGTGTATTGATAAAAGTGACAAGATTGTAAAGATTAGTGGTGGTCTCACTTGCTTGACTAGAATAGCAGCAACGCGAGGACAAATGCAGAACAACTTTTAACGTCCGTGCAGCCTTTCCACCTTGAATATTGATCCTCGTACTCTTTTATAGGTATACAGCTACGTGTAAAATAATCTTGATCTCTATATCGACTCGTTATCTTAAACTTACGTATACACTAATGATATTATGCCTATAATACGACCAAACTCAGAAGTCGTCTCGGAGCGACGAATTTCGTACAAATTATACCAAAGTGCCTCCCTCTTTGTCTTCGTTCACCCGACAAAGTAATTGTTATTTTATCAATTTTGTTCTCTACGCAAGATTATCTTTTCTCTTCTTTCTCGCTCATTCTCGTTCTCTCTCGCTCTTTCTCACACAATACATCTACTATATTACAAAGTTCGGAAGCGAAATTTACAGGCTCGTTTACGTTCTTATCTCTAAGGACAGAAGAAAATAGTTCGTCGCGCGTAGACCGAGTTATCAATTAACGATCTTCGCGATTTTGTTGACACTCGTTGACGATTGACGACGAGATCGGAGGGTAGGAGTAAAGGAGTATAAAATATCTAGCGGTTCATAGAAAATCGACAAGTACCTCTTAATCTATGCTTTCTAAGCTCACTTTGGAAGGTGACCGCACTGTGACATATATTTCTCCGGAAGTCATCACAATGATTCAATGAAAGTCACTGTCGTTTAAAAAATGCACCATCCTCGATGGAAAGGACATTTTTCTTAACTATATTCAAGATCTCTGACAATTTAGCGTCAATTAAATAATTTTCAGTTTTTTAAATAAATATTAAATTCGCGAATTTCTCAATTCTTAGTTTAACAAAACATCTTGATTATCAGACATTGGATTTATAATTTCTTAAACATTGAATCTTTGTTTTATTACGATCTTATACAGGTCTCTTGTTTTATTACGATATTATATGCAAAAAGAAATTAAAAGAAATTTTGTTACACATATTTCTGACAAGTTCAATATTTATAAAAGAATGTTGTTACTAAATCTTTTTTTTCAAGAAAGATCCTATCCTTTGTAACAACCGTGATATACAATATTCGTAAAAAGATTACAGCTATATCTATGATGCTAGATGTGCGTTCATTTCTTTGAGGACCTTCCAATCGTGGCAATTCGTGCCCGCTATTTTAATGTCACAGGTCGACTACAACTTACATATTCTTATCCCTAATTCTTTGACTAATATTTATCCGCACATACTCATTAATAGATCCTTTTTGTTTAACACACCAAAGCACAGTGCGAATGTAACACAAAATTTATGCATTTGGACTTAATCCTGAAAACGGATATTGGAAATAGATATTGTATCTTATTTAACTCGATCCGCTGAATTCTAATTGATCATTCCTTTTTGTTTTACATTCGACTGTACCATAGTGAGTTATTTGTATCTCGAGTAAGAGGAAGCTCGCAGAAAAAAAGACAAGATAAACGCTTGTCTTAAACCATAAATTTCTCTCGACACGCAACGCTTTGAGTTTTTCGATTATTTTTCGATTATGCGATGTGAAAGAAATACACAACTATACGAAATATTTCAAGACTCGAAAGGCGGCGTCGGGAAACATTGTATTGATTGTAATGTACAAATTGTTCTTGTCATTCGTCGTAAACGAATGATATTCACGTGGTGAACGATATTGGCTTTATGTAAAATAATCGATCTTCATCGATGACGAAACAATTGTGGGTAATATCGGTGGCAAATAGTTACTTATCGCTTTAGCTTTTACTGCATTAAATAGGATCAGACCACCAGGTGGTTTGTCATTTTGATTCACTTTAATTGGCGTGATCAGGAAGCAAATTTACGTTTTGATGTCGCGTTCAGTGGACTCGCGAGCCTCTACCCAGCGATCACATACATTAGAACTCTCGTTAGGCGTGTAACGTGAAACTATGCAACTTGAGAACTTGATGCTAAGCGCATAACAACTACTAGGAAATCAAGTTGCACGTATACGTATGTAACCTCAATACACAAGAAAGAGACGCGAAAATATAATTATTGCAACATTTTCGAACAGCATAAATTAATTGCTTATGAGTTGTAAAATGTCATATCTTTGTATATACATATATTTAGTATTCAAATTAAGAAAAGCTTAATCCTTTAGTCACCAAAAATCGTTAAAATTAATTTAGAAGCATAAAACAATAAATAAATATTTATGTATATTAAAATATATATTTATAAAAAAAACATTCAGAAATAATTGTTCTTTGTCAAACTTTGAAAAAATATAATTTAAAATTACAATTATCTTGTGCTTCTATATATACATTAAAAATAGAAATAGAAAATTCAACATATTTAAAATAAGAAATATTTTCTCTCGTCAAGGAAAAGAATTGAAACAAAGTTAGATTTACTAAAGATATCCAAAGGATTAAGAGACAATCGGCTCGATTTATTTAGCGGGAAAGGCTCGCGCGCGCGCATCTAGAAAATCGGGCCGCTATTTAATTCCTAAAGTGGCGAAAGCTTCATGATGTTTTCGAGATCGGCAGACGGCGCCAGGTCGTCATCCAGGTCGAGGGGGCTGCCGTCCGAGCCGAGCGAGGAGGGGGCCGTTAGCGTTGTCGCAACGAACTCGTCAAGGAAGTCGAAGGAGGCCACCGCCTCACGCTCCTTGTCCCCGTAGCGTACAAAGAAGTCGTCACCGCGGCCGATGATCGATGGCCGGGACGAGCCCCAGGTGGACGGCAGCCGGAGGACGCGATGGGCCTGGGCCGCCGAGGCTGAAGAAACCAAGGGCACACAGCAGCGGGTCAACAGATGCTGCTCTCAGACTTCACTCGATCGACTCGATTTTGCGCTCTTTCTCTTTCTCTCTTCTCTCTATACCGGCTCTAGCAGACACAGAGTAGCTCGGCTTAGCACTCTCTTTCACGTATTCACGTCTCCCTCTCTCTCTTTCTCTCTCTCACCCTCTCTCCCTTCCTTTCTTTTTTTTTTCTTTTCCTCCTTTCTCTTTTTCACGTCTCCTCTATCCGTTTGTATATATATCGCCTATCATCTCTCCGCTTTCCACCGTCGTTTCACCGCACCGGTTACACCTCTTTCTTTCGTGGACTTTTTTAAATTCGGAATTTAGGCATTTGGCGGGTGCACGACCGAATGGATGATGCATATAATGTAAATCGGACAAATTGTGCGTGCAAAAAATTTCTTTTTTATTTTAATTTAAAATTGTCACAAATTTTCTAAAATAAGTTGAAACATGGTAATTTAAGTAGTTTTGCTAAATAATCAAACTAAAGCTAAAATATAATTATATATATTTTTTATATCTATATGTAATATTAATTTGGAGGATTAACAAATTCTAAAATTTGTTGCATATAATTAATTTCTGACAAAATTATTTGTTAAATATAATCGCACGCTATTTATCTGATTTACTTTATAATATGATTCGCTCGAAAATAATAATAAATTAATTAGACTCGCACATATGTAATTAAACATGATCGACAGTGCGGCGAGATTAATGATGAAATATAGGCAGATGTATGATGAAATGATAAAGCAGTCAGAAAGGAAGATGAAAAATGTTGAAACGGTCTTGCACATGCCAATAAGATTTAGAAATTGTCGATTCGCTCGCAGTACAATGAGAGAGAAAGTAATTATTCTCGATCTACCCTGACGCAATTCCATGCGCGATAATTTATTCCATTTTATAGTACACATGACGTTTGTATTTGTTTTATATATTGTACCGTTACTATACGCACTTTTTTCATTTTGGAAAGACATTAAATACATTTGCACACCAACTTGCATTCTCGTCTAAAAGTCTTTGGATATTTTAAATTGTATATATGTATGTTTACACTTCTCTAGAAAGATAATTATACATCTTTGATTATCATCCATAAAACTAGATAATATATTTAAATAATTGCATTATATTTGATTATACACAATCTTCTTTTTTGCCATTTGATTTATACATCTTTCTATTTGATTTTCTCTCTCTCTCTCTCTCTCTCTCTCTCTCTATATATATATATATATATATATATATATATATGATCAAGCTTTTATACTTAATACACTCTTGTAACTTGTCCAAGACTTTCGGACGGTAATGTATGTGCCAAATAGGTTACGCAAATATACGTAAGCGAGACGAAGAGAGATGGAATTGCGTGAAGGCACTACGCCAGGAACGTTTTCTTTAATAATTCTTTAGTTAGTATAAACCAATAGTATAAGTCCGTTGTGGGCGTACACTGGTTCAGTTCAGGCCGAAATAGGCTCCCCGGCGCGGCAATGTATTCCTCCCAATTGGTCATGTCGCTTTTATAGAAATTGATCGTCACTAAGCCGAACTACGTAGCTTTTCTTGTGACAATCAAAGCACACCGCGTAGGAGCTACCATCTGAACAGAAAATATGGAAAAGGCTATGTACAGCGAGAGGGCTACTAGGCGCGAGCGTGAATTGTACTGTGAATTGTACCGTGTTGAGTATCGAGTAGACAAGAATAAAGCAGCTCGAATGAGTGCATAACGCGTTGTGCGACGTTGGTTTCGAATGTGTGTCAGTTGTGACGAGAAATGGTGTAACAGTGTAGACGTGTTGCCATCTTAAAGCTTAGGAGAGCAAGCGTTGTTCACACACCACCCATAAAATTATCTAAACAGATTCTCGTATAGCATTCTCTGAGCTTGTTTAATTCAGCAATATTTGACTATACATGTCAGAATATCTAATTATTATCTCATGGCTTATCATCTCATGAGTGAAGCATTTAACGTGTATTATTAAGAATTAAAATATAAGTGATTCTAGTATAAAGTAAAATCTGTCTGATATAAAATCAGAATAATAATTTTTATTCTATCTATCAAATTGTCAAATTAAATTGCAGGTAAAATGACGGTTTAGATATTCTGTATATAGGCAATATATACATTAGATCTTTGTTAATCGAGTACTTTAGCTTCAAGCTTTCACACTTAGTAAATTTCATGAAAATTTCAAGAGAAAAGCATAATGAGAAATGGTTATCGATAAAAAAGTGATAGATATTGAGAATGATAGAGATCGTAAAATGAAAAATTATGAGTTTTGCGAAAAGATGGTGAATGGTGATGCGCGAAAACGGCACGATAAACGTATTTACGGAATAGATACCACCCGAGGACAAATACCTTTCTTTTGTCGACGGTATCGATGTAATCTATGCAAGTGGCGGTAGTCAGGTGGTTCATCCCCCGAGTCGCTGCCCGCCGAACCGCTGCTCGATGTCGCCGAGGAACTTTCGCTGCTTGCTAACATCACATCTAAGAGATTGGCTCTGGCCTAAATGGGAATATAATGTTTATATAATTGCGTTTTCGTGCGAATATAAAAATATAGCCACAATGAAGTGAAGCAATTTTATCAAATTAAAATTAATATATCATTGTGTTTCGACGAGTAACTTACTTTAGGGTCGGTGAAGTCAATGTCGCGTTCAACGTGAACCCATCCTGTCGGACAGCAGCAAGCGAGATCCAGTTTCTCCAGTACTACCTGCGAGTCATTAGTGATAGCGTGATCCTCGCCTTTCCGAATCATACGATTCAGTTCGTCTATAACATCTTTGGACGTGGCGCGTTCGTGAAAACTTAATGTTCGATCCCTACCCTCCACGAGAAGAGTCGCTCGCGCCGGGCTGACCTGTCCGAATATCACATAATCGTTGTTAGCAAGGCATTTTTTAACGTAACTCAAATTACAAATTTAATTAAAAAATAAATTATCAATCAAGCAAGATGAAATAGTAGCAAAGATTTAAGCAAACAATTCTATACTATTAAAAATTGCTTACTGATTTTACATCAGACAGATTTTACTTTATACTAGAGTTAGTATTTTAATTCTTAATAAATCTCGAATTATCTTTATAATATTTATATGTTAGATGCTTCATTTGTAAAACTATTTTATCATTATTAGGAGAGAAAGATAGAAAAAATAAAAATAATAAAAAAGATTCCTTGAAAAAAACTTACAACCGTACTGGGCGTAGAGGAAGTCGCAACTTCTTCATCTTCCTCGGGAACAGCTCCCAATTCCGATGGTGCTACCGTCGTATAAGAGATACCGCCATTACACGAGACGGCACTTACGATCCTCTCCTCAGGTGCCAACGGTGGTACCTGTATCTGATCAAGTAGCTCGTCGTTGCTGCTCGTTTCGATCGCGTTTCCGGAATTGCTGCTGCTCTCTTGAGCGCACAATCCTTCCACTTCCGTGACCATGGCTTCTCCCGCAGAATCACTTTTACTAGTGCCCACTTCTATAACTGTATCATTTAGAATATTTTTAAATATTGTTTATTCCATTTTGCAATTTTATATATCGCTATGTAAAAATATATTTTCATTGTTTTTATTTTTTCTCATAATTACGTCAACCATAATTTGGGTGGGAAATAAATAGTGCAAGGTTTTTAAAATTAAAAATAATATATAATATACATTATATATATATATATATAATAATATATTAAAATATATATATTAAATTACATATTATAAACTTGATAAGACGATTGATATATGTATATACGACTGATATATACCTTCGGCCGAATGAGACACGTTGTGCGGTTCCACGGGATTGTTCGGTAATTCCGCGAGGTACATTTGTTGTTCGGCGATAAAGGACAGGACGCTTTGAAGCGCTTGTTCTCTATCCGGCGGCGGTCTGCCGCTCCTGGACGACGTGCTAGCCAAGCTTTTGGTGCTCTCGAACTTTACTAGCCGATAAAAGTCCCTGGTAAAGTCGGTGCCGATTGACGGAGTATCAGGATCGTCGCTGCAGCCGGACAGCGCCGCCGATGAACGCTTGCTCGAATTTTCCAAGGCTCCCTCCTCGCTGCTCCAGGACGCACCAGGACTCGAGGCGTATGGCCAGGGTCCGGTCGCTCTCGCGTCCATTAAAAGCGCGACCTAGGGTGGGAAAAAATTATAATTATTTGAAAGTTTGTGCAGAGCATATTTTAAGAATGCATAAATAAATTTGGTTTAAGTAGTTTATTATTTATTCTCATATTTTCAAATTTTTTTATATTCTATCCGATAAATATAAAAATTTGAAAATTTGAACAAGTAATAAACTAACAAATCAATTTTTATTATTTGAACAATTATTCGATTGAAAATTGAAGAAATATCTTCACAAATGAAATATTAAATACTTATAAAAACTACAATAATATAAATATTTAATTCGAAGCAATAGCGCGCATTTACATTCATTGGAATTAATCAAACTTCGATTAGAGAATTCGAATTTCTTCGCGTAAGTGACATTATCATTTCGATATATAATTAAGCGTACACATCACATAGCTCTCGATCAGATGCAATCGATAAACGTACCAGCTCTCCCCCGGTTCTATCGGCGAGATAGCTCGCGCCGTTCCACAGACACTCGTTCGCGTCCTCCTCCAATTCCAGGAGATTATGCTCCTTGATTGCCGGCAGAGCGGGCGTGTTTGTAGCGGTCGGTTGCTCCTTCCACATTGCGGATTCATTTTGTACGAGGTCCTCCGTGGACAGGGAGAAGCTCCAATCCTCCAGCTCCGCTCTGTCGTACTCCAATTCAAGCAGGTCCCGATGCTGTTGCGCGCTTCTACTGTCATCGAGCCTGAAATCCGCGCAGGGATCTAATCAGTTTTATTACGTTCAATCGCCGGGAGTCTGTAATCCACCGGCTCCAGAGGAGAGAATACGATTTCTTCCTCAGTTTCGCAAGATAGGTAGCTATATATTCGCGAATTGTGAATAAATAAAATACGCGTATCGTCTTCGAAATATTTTTGCATCCCAATATAATTGAATTTTTCATTAATATACGCTAAACTGATTAATGACACACGAAGCACAATAATTGCACAACTGTAAAAGGAATCCAAGATTCCTATTAAAAAGGACTTGTATTCTCTCCATTTATTCCGCTCTTGTTTCCTTAATCAAGCCTGCCCCTCATAATCCAGCAATTATACGCGAATACAAACCTGAGCCATTGTTGAACGTACTCGGCGTCCCAGCCCTCCTCCTCGACCAGCAGAAGGGAGGACGAGCCCATGGGACTGGGCAGCTTATACGGCGTGAAATTGGCGGTGGTGGTGAGTTTGAGGCAGAGGTGACTGTCGGAGAAGCTGCGCATCACGTGCTGATACGGCAGCAGATCCTTGGTAGGCGGGTAGCTGTGGCGCGGATTGATGCCCACCGTGAGATTCAGAGGTAGGAAGAGAACGTCCGGATCACCGGCGTCGAGAGCGACGAGACGCGCGTCCGGCGAGACGTCGGCCTCGGTCTCGTCGGTCGCCTCCTTCAGGTCCTCAAGGCCGCGCGCGGACGGCTCCTGACGGGTTCCCTCGCCCTGAACGTCGCTCGACATCGTCGAGTAGCCCTCGTCGCGATTACCGCTCTCCGGGCTCTCGCTGCCCTCCTCCTCCGAGGGTTTTTGCGCTGCGAACGTGTTTTTCGGTCAAGTAGTCCGAAATCAAGCGGCAGTCCCGAAAATATTTTGGGACTCCCGAATAGGCATGTCGCGGTTTTATCTTATCGCGTGTTGCATTGCATTTCATTATTGATGTTCAATATCATCTAGAGCATAGTAGAATAGCGATATTTCAGGAGCGAGAAACTTATTGAGAAGAGATTGGTGAAAACATCCATGAGATCAAGAATCTTTGTTCCGTGGATAGCTCGTATTTTGATTTTAATCACACCGCAAATTATATTTATTTCATTACGAATTTGAAAATATTCAATTTTAGTCTTTGATACATTTGTAATTATCAAATTGAATACTTAAAACGTCGCTAGTGGTATTTAAAATAGGAACGATATATTTAATTCTCGACCCAAACTAGCCAAGAAATTTTTATTTTATTTCCACAACGTTTCGACCATCTGTTTTTGGTCCTTTTCAAGTGAAAAACTAGAATGGTACAATTAATTAAAATTAATAAACATTTTTGATGTACCATTCTAGTTTTTCTTCACTTGAAAAGGATTAAAAACAGATGGTCGAAACGTTGTGGAAATAAAATAAAAATTTCTTGGCTAGTTTGGGTCGAATTAAATATATCGTTCCTATTTGTAATTATATTCAATCTCTTGGGCACTCCATTTAATCATTTCATATTCCAAACAATCTAAAATTTCATTTAATTGATTTTAAGCACACTTAACGAGACAAAATCTAAATAATAACGAAAGATTAATACCAAGAGGTCTGTTGCGTCGGCACTTGGTGGCCGCCATTACGGGTATCTGCAAGTTAAGGGAACGGGGCCTCGACAGAGGAACCCAAGAGGGGTCCAAGCCCAAAGCGGCGACCAGGGCGGCTGGACCGGCTTCAAGAATTCCTTGAATGAGTTCGGTGGGACTTCCGGGACTGGCAGCCTGCGCCAAGAGTCCCGATAACGCTCGGTTTTGAGCCTCGAGCTCTCGTATACGTCTTTGCAATGCGCCTATTTCTTCTCTGAGCCCCTGAAAACATAATCAGCCGATCGTTAGCATTCTTACTTAATGCATTTCTCGGTGATATCGTTCACGAAGCACATTAGCGGCCAGGGAGAAGCGTTAGCGGCGGATTAATCCTTTTAAGATGGTATTTTTGTTTCAAGTAAAACTGATATGAAAATAATTATATTTGCGTGTTCAACTCTAATAAAACGAAATAGCATAGTAAACTCTGCAGAGTTAATCTCTGTACATATATGTATATCACAGCAAAATTTAAATATTTTATTTTATTTATATATTTTTCTAATTTAATAAATTATTTTCGTGTCAAAAATATTGAGTATATTTCTAAAGATTGTATATATCAATTATTATGTATATTTCTCTCCTAATTTTTTCTTAATTATGTATGTTTTTTCCTATTTATTTCTTGAAAAACAACAAAAACATATTTTTTGGCACCCCCGTTTTCAAAGTCTTCAAAGGATTAATATTCCCGCACGAACAACTAGCGCGTTTTTCTAAATAAATAAGAGATTAAATATTACATTATAGGATAGCTAAAAAATTACACGTATGAAGCTGCAATTTTCAATTTTATGTCAATTTATTCAAAAAATTAATTAGATGTCATGATTCGTTTAAATAAAGTATGAAATTAAAGTATAGAATTTAGAATTTATCCTGAAAATCATAGTAATCGTGAAACAATATGGTGTGGAAAGAATTTTATAAGAATTTCTCTGATTAATATTTACCACAATAAAAAATATTAAAATATCTGATAAAAAATGTTAATATCTCATGATAGACATTAGTATTTTTTATTGTGGTAAATATTAATAAGAGAATCTTGAAAAATGCTCCCAATATATAGTTTCCCGATTACCATGATTTTCAGGATAAATTCTAACAGGAAATTCTCTGTACGAACAAAAGAAAAGAATCTTTTCTCTCTTTAATGAAAATTCAGAAAAACTATTTTTGAAATAATTTATTACTCAAAAGAAATATTCAAATCCATGTTTACAAGAATTTTTTCCAATTTTCCTAAATTTAGTGCAATTTTTTCTTCAGCATCCTATACAACAATGCGTTCATGAAGCGCGTCTCATTCGTCGTAGCGGATGCGGATTGTTCGGGGAGGACAAAAGATACCGAAAAAGAGAGAGAGAGACAGAGAAAGGATGTGTGGTAACGAGAGCTATAGCGATGAACCTTTTGGGATAGGAGAGCGCGGACCACCTGGTTGGCGACGTCGTCCAGGCACCGCTCGTATTGCCGACGCTGGGCGTCGGCGTCTCGCGCCAGGGCCGCGTGCTCCGTCTCCAGGGTCGCGAGACGTGCCACGAGCGCGGCATGCACTTCACCGGCGCACGCTGCCTCGAGACCGCGTAGCTGACCTCGCATCGACTCGTTCTCCAGCTGCAGCTTCGATATCTGCGCCTGGTACTGGTGCACGCGTGCCTGTAAAACGCGAGCGTGCAACACGCGAAAATTATATCGTGCTCGTATTCGATCCGTGTCTCCACTTACACGAAATGTCACATATAACGAAGTAGGATAATTATACCTAATAATATTTTACTAACGCAACGTAATAACGTTGTACAATGATTTGTATAACGTGGAATTCATTATAACGACGAGGGAATTATATGAGTTCTCGTCTGAAAGCTATATATAACGGTGATATTCCCCAGTTAACATTTTATGGACGCAATGTAACGGTATTAGTGTATAATCCGGATTTTATTATAAATATTGTTATTATCTATTTCATCAGTTCATTAATGGGATTCATTTAATTATTATTGTCTAATTAATTAATATGGAATATATAATAATTATTATTCTTGTTGGTAGTTTTGGGATATGAAATATACATAAGGTTTCAGGTTTGAAATATTAATTATTTTAACAATGAAGCTGAATATTTTGTTAAAGTAAAATTCAGTTAAAAGTCCAGAAAAAATATAAAGTTACATTCTCGAGATTAGCTTATAACAATATAATTATCGTATTTCGTTATAAATATCAAAATTACATAATATAAGGTGATTTTCATCCGGATGTTTTAATTTCTGAAACACGCAATTATAGATTTCCTGATCTATAAACGTAAAATATTACATTACTCGGCGAACACTTTCAGAGTACATTCGACAAATCTAATCCTATTTAAAGAACATTCGCGATCATAATCTCGGCGTGAAAGTAAAAAATTGCGAGCGACGAAGGCCAGAAGTGCTCCATAAATATCCCATACGCGTTATAGCACGCGTTTAGAGCTCAATTCTCGGCGATCGTTAAAATTAAGCGCTAATGGATTGTTTCGATCCTATCAAGCCGGAGTGACTCACTTGTCGCGATAGCTCCTTGGTTTCTGGGTGTTAAAAATCATGTTGCGTTTTTAACTCGGTCACACCGTAAGCAAGAAAAATCGATCGGTCGGATTGCGGACATTTAAAACGAGTGCTTCCGCAATTATGTCGACAAATAGTCTTACTACAGAACGCGGAATCCGTTCTTAAATTATCCATTCTTAAAATATCGTGAACATATCGTGAGTGTATCTTCTTACTTCTATTCTTAAATAAGAATAATTACGTCGTGGCATTTGTGACGATTGCCACTTGGTTCTTAAATTATCCGTTCGCGAAAGTACACGTGTAAAATAACTTTAGATGCATCAGGCGCGTTTAGAAATTCATAAAACTCAATTCTTTATTTTTTTCTCTTTAATTTAATAACAAATTAAATTGATTAAAAATTGTATTTTAAAAGATTTCTTTATATTCTTATATTTATAATTTTTTTCCTACAAAAGGAGAAGTAGAAGAAATATATCAAAAATATATTATAATTATATGAATATATTTTCTATTTATTCAGCTTTATATTCTTAAAATATTTAAATATTTTGGAATACTTTTTAAGAACTTTTTTTTGAAACGCCACTTGTTCATGTACTCTTTTTAAGATGAAGATGTCTTTAATATTTAACAATTTTTAGTATCATTGGGCATACAAAGGGAGTTTCAGTTTACACCTGGGACTTGTAAAAACTTTAACTCGTCACTACTTCTACGCACAAGGTCTCCTTATTTCCATTTTTGAACAGTAATTATTACTGTAGGTGCGGCTCGTGCTTGTTCGCTTCTCTTATTCTGTTTGCCACGAATCAGGACTCGAGTTTTTAAATGGCGCAAAACGGAATCACGGAGGAGAGAAATCAGGAAAGTCTCGACGAACGATGGAGTATATACATACACACACATATATATATATATATATATATATATATATATATATATATTGTTTACCGATGATGACAACGACGACCTGTTCGCGATTCGCGGTCTCGCGGTAATAATAACCGGCCGTTATTAGCAGAAAGGCGTTTAACGTTGAATTAGGGCTGCGGAGACCTCTGTCGGAGACAGGGGTGCTAATAGAGGGTGCGTGTGTCTGATTTATAACAGTCGGCCCTCGCGAACACACCCCGTGCGTCGCACCAAGCGAGGAAACCAACGATTTTCTGTCGTTCTCCGGTCTAAGGGAGGGTAAAAATGCGTCTACTACCTTCTGCGAATTCTCGACGTGCGTTACTTCTCGATACAGAGTGTCTTGAAATTCATATACACGCTCTATACTTGGTGAAATAACCGAAAATCTGGAGGACGTATTAATTTTGCATCTGTTTCCTCTTGCAATGAAAAATCGGCTGATTTTAGAGTTCATTATTAATATCGAGATCGAATGTCAATTTTTATCAGCAATAGATTTTTATAAATTTATATAGAGATAAGAAAATCTGTTTCTTATTGTAATATTTTATATTTGTTTGATACTACAAGTTCAATATTGTTTGCCTAATTTCTCTCGCAATGAAAAATCAGCTGATTTTAGAGTTCATTAATATGGAGATCGAATGTCAATTTTCCTCATCAATAAATTTAAAAAAAAATTTGTTTCTTATTGTAATATTTTATATTTGTTTGATGCTACTAGTTCAATATTGTTTGCCCAATTTATCTTGCAATGAAAAATCAGCTGATTTCAGAGTTCATTAATATGAAGATAGAATGTCAAATTTCCTCATCAATAAATTAAAAAAAAATCTGTTTCTTATTGTAATATTTTATATTTGTATAATGCTACTAGTTCAATATTGTTTGCCCAATTTCTCTTGCAATGAAAAATCAGCTGATTTTAGAATTCATTAATATGGAGGTCGAATATCAATTTTCCTCATCAATAGATTTTTATAAATTTATAGAGATAAGAAAATCTGTTTCTTATTGTAATATTCTACATTTGTTTGTGTGATAGTTCAATATTGTTTGCCCAATTTCTCTCTTCATTCAAAAATTAGTTCCACAATTCCAGCGTCTCTCTTATTGGATCTCACCACCTGTCATTCGATTCGACTCGGCTATTTTTTTTGCAGATTGTCACCGATCCGCGTGCAACGATAGAAGTACACTTGTGCATTCAGACATAACGTTATACACCGTTTCCCGTAGGGATTGCGCGGCTTGTCATTGACAGGCGACGGCGGGTCGACATTGAACCCGGGGATCGAGTGACGATCGATATTAAACGTTATTTCGTAGGGAACGGCGATATAGTCTCTCTCTCTCTCTCTCTGGCTCGCTCCCTCTGCTGCTACTGCTGTTATCAGGGAGAAAGGGAGAGAGAGAGGCGTTGAGAGAGAATACCCCCGGTACGGTACGACTCTTTTAGGGGCAAACCGCCCGTGAACGAGATAGCGCGCGTGCCGTAAGGATCGGCAGTATAAACGTCCGCGTTTACTGTTCCCTCCCTTTATTGCCCGAGCCCTCGCATACGCGTTTTACGCCGAAAATCATTGTCCGCGAGAGCTTTACGAGACTCGCGAATTGCGGGAACGAGAAGCGAGAGCGCGCGGAAAGTTCGCATTCGTTTTATCGATGCTATTTTTTTTTATTTTTTAGATAAAGTATAGTGGCAACGATGCTAGAATATTTTACGAATTTCGCTTCGCGAATCGTGGAGCGATTACCATATTAATTCGAAACTTTAGTGAGTCTAGGAAGGTTGATAAAAAAAGATACCTATTGGAAAAAAATTGTATGTGTCCCTTTTTTTTGCGGAAGATACACATTCTTTATAAAATAGAAGAGATATATGGTATATATATAATTTAAGTAAAATTTATGCGCAAATTTTAAATATATATTTTAATTTTAATATATCACTATATAAATCTGCACGGAGAGAATTCTCTTAGAATTTATCCTCAAAATCGCGATAGTCGAATAAATATTTACCACAATAAAAAATATTAACATGCACATAGTAAAATTAATCAAACATATTTTATATCTTATTGCGTGTAGATATTAATATTTTTATTGTGGTAAATATAATCAGAAAAAAATGCTCTATGCGTAGATCCTGAAGAGGCGCATATTCATAATAATTTACTTTACAATTATTTTTTATTTTGCTTGAATTGTTCTTCAAGGTTCCGCACATTTTTGAAATATAATTCTTATGGAAAAGAAAAAAAACATAATGAAATAAATTTATTCGATAAAAGAAAAAAAACATTATATAAATCTTGAACAAAAGCGGCTGAAATTAGACCATTCGACCCTGATAATATGAATTGCGATGTGCGCGAAATGAGACAAAAGCTGCCGCGCGACAGCGGTATACTACTTGACGTTTAATAATGAGAACCGAGCTAAATTCGCGTTTGTAACAATGCTCCGGACAATCCAGACCGAGTGCTCACGCGGTGAAATACAATAAGGGCACATTGCCGTGAAGGAGGAACGGTATTATTGGATAAGGGGAAACCTTTTACGGAACTGTCATCGCGCGCGACGTACCCGGCTTCCACCAAACTCCCACGACGAGACACACGCGCACGGTTCCCTAAATACACGATTGTCGTCTGATCGAGTATCAACATCGATTATCTCATTCGTGTAATGTCATGCTGTATTAAATTTGATTGACAAAGACGAAACGAAGCCTGGAAATAAATTCATTGCAATATTTTATATTTTATATCATCGTTAAAAAAAGTCTGAATCATATGTTTCGTATAGATTGTGTCCATTTAAATCAATATTCATCAATTAAAAGTGTTACACAATTTTTGTATTGAAAATTTTTCTTATAATTTCGATACTGAAATATTATATATGATAGATATTGCAAAAATAGTGCGACAATTTAAGAGATAGCAAGTACGTGTTTAACTTCCACGCGAGAGAGAACCAGACAATTTTACTTACCTCGTAGGAAAGCGTGAGTGCCGTTTTCTCTTGCTTCAGCTGTTCGGCCCGGTGCTTTTGTTGCAGCAGACTCCGCGCCGACTCCTCCATCCTGCAACAACAAATCAGAAGCGTCTACATGAGGAAGTTCCCGGATTTTAATCCCTGTTGAAAAGATCCTAATTGAATGAGCCATTGAGACCATTCTGGTAGCTTCCTCGGTAGCTTTCTATTGTGTTGCTGGAAAATTTATTTGCTCTCTCTCTCTCTCTCTCGTCTCGACCTCGCCTTGGTCCTAAAGAGCCTCACTTTCGACGAAAAGGATTTTTCTCTCGCGAGATAAACTTGCGCGAAAGAAGTATCTCTTCTTTTTCTTCCGGACTCCATCTATTTTTATCTTGTTCTTGCTACATATCAATTAAATTAGAACTATAAACGCTAAACCGCACATTTTTCGAACAAATAAGATATTTAACAAATTTTAGAGATTCAATATTCTTTCATCTCTTTTTCTCTTTTTCTAAACAAGATTTTTCTCACAATTGTATACGTGAAGTAAACGTTCGAAACTTCAAGTTTACTCTCCTCATTTCCGAATACATTTGTATATATATTTTTTATTCAATATTATCGCTTTCTTAGTGTCGAATCCCCTTTTCTGGCATTATTCACGAAGAAGCAAGTCGGAAGATCAAAATTTTTGTGTGGCAAAGCTTGCGTACGCACCGCGAGGTTAATGATCTGATTAGGGATGCGAGGGCGCGGCTGAGATATGAAGCCGATTTAAGCTTTTCGGGGAGGCCGAGCGAGAGGTTGACGCAGCGCCTGGCAACACCCTCCGTCTTCCCATCGGGGACCCTCGCAGGACAGATATCCTTGCTTATGTCCTTGGCGAAGTAACTTTCGAGCCAGTTATGCAAGAGAGTTTCAATTCGATTGTACTCCGCGTTGACGTTTAATAAGGATAAATTCACAAGTAGCGTAGGAGAATTGTCTTTCGCTCGCTAATTGGATGGCTAGATGTAACAAATTTGTTAGGATTGCTCTATCATTTTTTTATACTTATTTAAAATCTTCGATATATATTCTAACGTGAATATTGTCTTCGCACTAGAATTTAGATACTTGTGTTTGCTATATATAATTTTGACTTGTTTAAAATCTTCAATATATGTTCCAACGCGAATATTATCTTGACAGCTTAGATATCTTTTTAAATTTTGACGGTGATAGAAAATATTTAATAATCATTTTCATTTCATAAGTATTTATATGTGTGAATGTGTATGAGCACATTTAAGTTTATTATTAATTTAGTTAGTTCAATTAACTATTAGACACAAACTTTTATAAAGTAAAAATTATCGTATTTTTCTATCATCATCAGAATTGAAAAAAGAATTAGAAAACTAAGTATAAAACAAATCTCTAATTATTATAAAAATTACCCATTCTTCTTACCTAAAAATTTCTTTCTGATCACCGCAGTCATTTTAATCCTCATTAATAATATTGTTACCATTATATTATACATTATTACGCATGAAATTTTTAAAACACACTCGGAAAGTTTTACAAAACACCGTCGAATTTATTTCGTCATTTTGTCTTTTTACATTTTTAGTTGGGCGAAGTAGAAGAGAGAGCGCGATCGATCGTCGAAGTAGCGCTCGCAATTGCTGCACCCTTAAAGCAGAGGGTGTAGCCTCCCCTCGAAGCAGCGCTGCTCCCTCGATCTCCCACCCTTGTCCGCATTTCTACTTCTCTCTGTTTTCACTCGGAACACATGGCACGAGCAAGCCGGTCCTCATGATTTACAACTGTTGCTCGGCAAATTCGATTACGATGATTCCGCGCGGCATCGAATTGCATATACGGAAAGACGCCGGTTAATTTCGCAGATACAACCATTCAAGATCTAAGCGGATCAATTTGTCCAAAGACACTTTGCTACAAAATCTGTTAAATTTTTCATTTTGTTATAATTTTATTTAATTATATATATGTATTTTTTGTTACTCTCTTTCTATATACATTTTCACAATTCCAGGGTGTCTAGCGGTCAGGAAAATCTGGAATTGTCAGGGAGAAGTCAGGAAACTTAACTATTTATCTGGATTTTTTCTATATTTGTCTCAATAATTTGAAATTTTTTATCAAATAAATATAAACTTTTCCTTGACTCCCAGCACGCTAATTTTCTATGTTGTTAAAAATCGATTCATCTACAGCGTGTTCGTTCATTTATATTTTCATCGTCGTGTTGTTTTATTTAAATATGTTTAATAGAGATAAAACTAAAAAATTTGATATAATATAAATAAAACAAGTGATTATTTAAACAGTTTATAGTGACATGTTTGTTTGAATTATCGTACATAATGCAGACTGTATAATTGATTTAAATTTTGTTTCAACTTTCGAACTTTTTATTGTTCAGAAAAATATCTCAAGGATTTCATAATTTAACATTTAATCGATTTATCATATAAATATATGCAAATTATATATTTGGAAAAAATAATACTAAAAAGTCAGAGAATTGTTTTCATTGAGTCTGCTGGACACCCTGACTTCTCAATTGATTACAAAGTTAGAATACATATCTCCGTTGAAAAGAGCCAAGGTCTCGCATAAAGCTTATTCACCGTTTCCGAGAACGAATCTGTGTTGGGGTGACGGTTTCCGGTCGCGCTCATTGTAATTACTGTTTACACATGTCGATAGTCGCGCGTGAGTGATAGGCACGCACGTCTCGACGTACGCACACGCACGCGCGAGCTTTAGCAAGCTCCGACTCGCCAGAACAAATAGACGTATTGGCGCGAATCGCGCGCGGCGTGTTAAACGCGTCGTCATTATCATATGGAAATTGTTACGCCCGCTGGCTTTACACACGCCGCGGATCCTGCTAGGATCCCGATTTCGCGTCGATTCCGCGTCGACACGCGAGGGACCCGTCCGTCCGTTCGTCTCTGTTTATAATGGGTACACGTCGCCGTCACACGTCGAGACTTCATCGGTCACGAATTAACGTTCGTTTCTATCGCGCGTTCTCTCTGTGTGTATTCGCGCCCCCAAATTACCCTCCAACGATCTCATCGACGCGACGAGTGAGAATGGCTTTCGGCGACCCGATTTGCGCGAGATTAATTTCCGGTAGGACGTTTCGAATTAAAATATTCGCATATTCGCGAAATAATTAACGCGCATATAGCTAGTCGCAGCTTTGAATTTCGCTTGCTTTAATTTTTATATTTAACCCTTTTATTATCATGTTTTTTTTTATTTTGTTCTATTCTTCTACTGCATATATATTTGATGATTATTACGCATCAACATAAAATTTATTTCTGAGTTCAATTAATATTTTCAGTAAATATTGCTTTAGAATTCTTGACGTACAATCAAGATAGATTTGACATAAAATTTTTGCTGAATATTTATCATTTATTTAATAACAAAATTATTTTATTGCATACATGAATATGAGACATTTTATCGAAAAGAATGAATGGCGACTACGAATGAATGTATTTTTGAAACGTCTCTATATGCGAGAGGAATTCCGAGAAGCGAAGGTCCCCTCGAACCTTTCCACATTCTCTTTTCTCCACGTATGCATGCTCGTACAGCTATTTAGGTTGCATTGTTTCTACGTGTGGTTAATAGTGGCCACTCTCTACGGTGGCGCGCCGACGAAAGGGCTCGGAAAATTCAATTTCGTGTCCGGCCGGGTAAAAATAATGCCGCGGCACTTTCTCTCTCACGCGGGAACCCTGGGGCGCGTAAAAAGCCGTCTTCAGGACGAGGGCCGCATTTTTAATTCGTCCCGCGATCGCGCTACTAGATTCCACCGTGTGCGTGTGTGTTCGTGCGACCGCCGTGGGAACAAAAGATCACGTTTAATTGAGCGGTCCTTGCGCAGTCCGAGATCTCGAAGCTTGGAATTTTAAGTATCGTCCGAAGGGCCGGCCCTTTGTAAAACCGCGCTGTTATCGTGAAATACTTTCGGCGAACTACTTTAGAATTTAGAGCGACACACTTGAGTCCCGATTTATGTCGATGATGGAAAGAAAGGGTAAAGGACAGTAAAGGTAGTACGTACAGATTTATCGCTTCGCGAGGTTCGCGTTTGTTATTCGTCACTAGCGATCATTCTTAATGAAATCTCTTGTTAACGTTATGAGGCGAATTTAGGATAATTTTAACAGTCATATTTATTTAAAATGAATAGCTGCGCCAATTGCACGATACGTGCTCAGAGTTTATATGCAATTATACTAGATTATATTAGACTGAATGTATGTTAATTCTGTTCCCCAAAATAGTTCATAACGACTATTAACAAACATCCTAAAATTATTTTGAAGAGAATGGATGAATAATAATTATTTTTTCACAACTTACAAATTATTTATGAACGGGTTCTCTCTGTAAATTTTTGAAGTACTTACATTCATTTTTTATAATACGGAACATTTCATACATTTACAGCAAGAATCACATATTGGTACACAAAGAGAATTTTCTCTTAGAATTTATCCTGAAAATCACGATGTAATGGTGAGACAATATGGTATTGGAAATATTTTAGAAAAGTTTCTCTCTAATTAATATTCATTACAATAAGAAATAAAATATGTTCGATTAATTTAGGTACATATTAATATTTGTGGTAAATATTAATTAGAGAAACTTTCATAAAATTTTTCCAATACATATATTGTCTTATACAATTACCATGATTGTCATAAATTATGGGTAAATTCTAAGAGAAAATTCTCCGTGTATCGTGAGTTTAAATCCGCGGGATAACGCGGTTTGACATCTTCGAAAGATGAAGTTTGACGGCGTCGTAAGTTTTAATTTGTCGTCGAGATTAAAAATCGCGAACAGATATAAGAGGACATGAGGATTGATGTAAGGGACACAAGGGATAAGGGCGAGATGAGCACACGCGTCATTATTCATTCACAGCGGCGGAAAGAACCGTCACGACGACGTATCCGGCTGGTTGTAATGCATCATGTCACGTTGCACGTTGTAAAACAGAGATATCAATTTGCCGTACACGCATCGTTCATACGTGTTACGTGGTGCATGACGTTGGACGAACCATTCTTTCTGGGAACCACGTTTACAAAACGAATAAAAATCCGTACAGATCACGCGAAGACCTCTGAAAATTCCATTGTCGCAATAATTCTATATTTACTCCATTTATTTACTCCATTTAACCCTGAGTGTCTGAGAGAAAGAAATAGACAACTAATAGAAATTTTCGAAATTTCATACAAAAATCTGTCGAAGTTGAAGCTTTTTGAATGTTTTTTTTTAACGAAAGTTTTGTACGAAAAAGCACTATCGATATTTTCGTTCAATCGTTTCGTATATGACTTCAAACTATCGCGTATGTTATTTTACTATATCCTACATTGGAATAGTGCATTGTCTGCGATCTCTATTGCCAGTCGAGAGCCGATAAGTCCGGTCGTTGGTCCGCCAGTTTAATTTCTACGGCATGTTATTGATCCCTGGGAAAAATTGTCGAAAGATTTTTCCTTTTTTTCTGTCTACTCGATGGTGCCGAATCAAAGGACCGCGTTTGAAAAGCTCTCCGCATCGTGGACTTGGCAAAACGTATCGTTGGTTTTGACAGAAATATATACGAGGGCTCTCCTTCGTGATCAACTGCGCTAATCTATCGAATAATTCGACGAATAAGCCGCGTATACAGTCTCGATAAAGAAATCCATTTATGTTCGCGAATAACATTTCTCCGGAAGGATACCGCGGAATCGATTCAGATATCACAGGGATATAATAAAAGTATATATTTGGAAAAAAATTGAACACACATACACAAAAACGATTAAATAAAACGATACCAGAGAGAAGATTTTAATATAAATTACTTTTATATTATAAATATGAATAAAACATTTCATATAGGTCCATGTATGTACAAATTTTAATATAATTACCTTTAAAAAATTTGTAATATTTATTATTATTTTATATTTAAACTTATCAACTTCTAGCATTTACACATTTCTTAAACAATCAATAAAATGACGCTGACTAACAGGAATGTTTCTCTGAAAATCTAAAATTATCTCCAAAATAGGGTATGACATGATAGAAATATATTTTCATATCATTAACGCAACTTTGAGTATTGAAAAAAAAATTTTTTTTCTCTTAGGATATATACGAAGGGAATTTAATTAACCAATTTTATCGAATTTTTCATCGCGAACGTGTGGTATCTCGCGACGGTGTTTCGATATGCGTACTAATAAATCGGGGGAAAAAGGGACGGAAAGGGAGGTTTTATCATTTAGGGTGGGTTACAGTATGTTGTTGGACCAGAGCCAATATCGAAGATTTAGCATCGGATCTGGCTGGTTATTGCGTGGGAAACGCGCGCGGTCTCATTATTTATACGTTACACTGATACTTTTATATTTATGTATCTCGCGCGTGGTCTGCACACAGGAAATAAAGTGCCGTTTCTGCGACATCCGATGAAATAAGCGATTTTCGCGATACTACGATTATGGAGAGGTCGCGAAGGAACGGGAAGAAATCGATTTCATGTGTTACACGATGGTCTCGTATTGTTGGTCGAGGCTTCGTAATCGTCGTCGATTTGTAATGCAGTTCCTTTACGCTTCCTGCTTGCTTTTACTCACATAAAAGACTTGAAAATGACCAAATAAAACTCCAAATAAAATTTCCGTGAAAACTATAGGTATCGCTTTAAGAGTGATTAATATTGAAAAATTTAAGAAATTACAAAAATATTTAAATTTCTCATTTAATTTAATATATTATTATTTATCATATATATTATTCTTTTAGATTTGAAATTGATATTAAGGAACGCGAGACAGAGAGAGAGAGAGAGAGATATACAATGTAAAATATTATCGAATGAACGCAAGACTTAAAAAAATATAGAAATATAAAAATTATTAGTCTAGATTAGATAATTTGTTAGATAGAATAATTTTCTAAAATCGCAGTGAAATATATTAGATGAAAAACTTACAAAAACCATAAATCTTATTGTTAATAGATGAAAGTGAAATTTGTTGCCTTAACTACATATGTTCGCACTTCTGTCGGTTTTTTTCGGGTGGAAAGGCGCTAAACTTTGCAATTTCTCACCTGGCCAGCTCTCTCTGAAGATGATGGACCCTCGAGCGTGCTCTTTCAGCTTCAGCCGTAGCTTCGCGTACCCGAGCTTCGGCCTCCATTCGTTGCCGGCGTTCTCGTTCCACATCTCGTTGCGTAGCCTCCCTCTGCGACAATCCAAACGTTTGACATTTATTAATGGCGGCTAGGTAGACGAGAAAAATAAAATAAAGGGAAAAGGGCAAAATGGTAAAAGGGAGGGGGAGATTGGTAATTAACGCGACGGTGGAACGCGACGGGGATGCAAAATTCAGCGTCGTGCGTCGGGCACGAGAAAAAAAACGGCGTCGTTTGCGACAGTCGTGAATAATGAATCGGCAATAATGACGTCGATATACGAGCAATCGCGCATCGCGAAAAGGTATCGTCGGTATATATGAGTGTGATTAATTAATGGCGGATTTAATAAAGTGTTCGTAGTGTCGCGCGGTGGACATGTCGTGTTATTCGTTTCGCCGATGCGGCGGAAGAGGGATGGACGTTAATTGACTTGTAATTAATCAGCGCGCACTCGTCATAATTTATTCGCGGTAACGTGCGACGAGCGGTGAGATTAATAAATCACTGTCGGATCGCCGGTATGCTTTTCATTCTCCCCTCGATCGTATAGAGGGAAAAACGATCGAAATTGTTCGGCTGACAATCGACGGAATTTTTCGCGGCAGATTGAAATCGCGGTGTAATTTTGGCGAGCGAAATTTTGTCCCAGTGAGGGAGATATATTCCAACAAATAGAAAAAAATAATCATTTATATATATATATATATATAAATGATTATTTTTTCGATTTGTTGGAGTATATCTCCCTCACTCGGACAAAATTTCGCTCGCCAAAAAAAAAAATATATATATATGGTATCGTTTCGTATAGAGATGACAAGCGTATGAAATATTTTGCTCGGAAATATTGAAATGAATAATTGACGCCGAATTATTCGAATGCTTTAGCGTCCGTTTATTCTATATACATAATGAATTAGAGCGATATCAACTTGCGTACATAATTCTACATCACACATTATCTATTTATAAATAATTAATCGAATGGATTGCGGTAAATAACGAGTGACGGTGGGAATAAATTATTCAAATGGGAAACAGCGCGAGAGAGTTCGCGCAATTCTTTCTAAGATAACGCCCGAATCTGGTCGCCCGTAATCTGAACTCGGCGAAATTTACCGACCCGAGGCTGATCCTCGCGAAATCCGATGGATCGATGGCCGCGAGTGGACCGAGAGAAAACGCGCGAGACGACGACGGCGAGGTAGGCGGTTTGCAGGAATTATTCATGAATTTAAATCGAAGCATCGCACGCTACATTGATTGCGCCCTTCCGGATCGCATGGCGGAGTCTGTGCGAGGTCGTCCGAATCGTTCTCTCTCTCTGTCTTTCTCTTTCGCCAAGTGCCATCAATAATTGTGCCGGACCAATGTGCCGAAAGCGGTATTTCACGCGATTTAACCCGCCGGTAACCGCGGCTATCTCGGGTCCGGCCGTAAATTGTCGTTTGTCCCTGAACGGAGGAGGAAGCTAGGAAGGAGGACCAAGTTTCGGATGCGGCGCGAGATAATAATGCTCTCAGATTTGCAACGGCAGCGAACGGCTTTGGGAAAAAGACGAATGGGCAGATTTATGTGGATTCGGTGGGGCACGAGTCTCCTAAGACTTATTAAAGGGTAAACGTATTGACGAGTTCGGGATAATTGTATGCGTAAGTTAAGAAGAGCAAGTAGAATCAAACAAAGTAATGATTTTGACGAGATCAGTAATATGTTGTGATTTCTTAAATTATATCCTTCAACAAAATAAACAGCATTATTTTTAGTCTAATATTTTTTTGAATAAAAAAAGCTCTCAGAGAAGAAAAAATCGATAGATTATCACGTATTGGATACTGCGTACTAAAAAATTCGTGGAGCACCATTTTGTTCAATATATTCGTAATCAATGTTGGATAGTCTCTAGATACATTTTGTGTATCTAAGACATAATATTCGAATTGAAGTATCTATATATCTATATCTGTATCTAAATACAAAACATGGTATCTGAATTGCTTTTTTCAGATTATTAAGCATTGGTCAAATTTTAGTACCATGGCGAAATATTTTGAATGACGATATCTTTGAGGCATTTTTCACGTGTTAAGACTAACGAATAAAGTCGTATAATATAAAGAAAAATATGAATAAAGATAAAAGAATTTATTCAGCACGTTTTAATTTATGTCTCTGTATCTAGATATATTTTTTTACACGTATCTGTATCTGTATCTTACCCATCACTGTTCGTAATTATATGATCTTGGCGTAGGAAACCTCTTCGTATTTACGCGATGCGCCGAAAGTCGATTCGTCACGGCTCGCCGTTTGCAATCGGATTCGTAAAAATTCTGCCGACGTTGGCGGATACCGTCGCAATCGGGCAAAAGTCCGTCCGAGGAAGGAGGGGGTTAAATTCGAGGACCAAAGGGGAGATATCGAGGAATACAATCTGGTAAAAGCCAGGCTGACCGCCGTTCGCGCGCGAAGGGTTTAAGAAATGGCCAGAGTGGATTTATGGCAACCTTAAATCCTAACGAACGCTCTCTCTTCCTCCGTCCAACTCACCCCCGGGGGTTTTCCCCGACGAATTTCTCTCCCTCTCCTCGCGACTGGGCCTTCTATCGAGAGAATGTCGTATTTGTGAGAGGTTACTTCCACTCGGAGCGCGATTTCGCTCGTCTCGGAGAGAGATCGCGAAAGATTTTACGGCACGAATCGCGAAGACTTGGCGACTTTTTTTGTCGAATTCTATGAGAAAAGAGAATCGTGATTTTATGAGAAATGTTCCTTCCTTCCGCTATCCGAAATCGTGACAAGGGGAACAACTTTTTTACGTGAAAATGTTGGAAAAGAATCGAAATGCGATTTCGTCGAATAAATATAACGATCGTAAAAATAAGAATTAAAAGATTTATTTTTTTATAAGAGTACGTAAAATATTATATATTTTATCATCGTTCCATGATAATAACGATTTAATAAATTTCACTAATTAAAATGTAAATGAAATTAAAGAAAATAAAGTAATAGCACCCCATTGTACTTTCCGCGCATAACATCACTAGATAACAAGCTCTCGGTTTCATCGGATATACCGAATCGAGTTTCGCGGGAGAAAACTGATCTAATCCTCAAAGACACCCCACGGAGAAGTCTACACGCGTCCGAATAATCCCCCTCACACCCACTCTTCCTTCCTCTCCATCACGAACGATGCGCACGTGTGCTCGCAGTTTCATTCGAGGCACGTGCGGAAGGTTGCAGAAAGATGCGCGAGGAAGTCGCCTAATCAACGCGCCGGAGAAGGGAGACTGCATCATCGAAGACCGGGAAATTATTAATGAGCGGCAAAATTCTCCATGGGAGAGATCGACCGATCGCGGAAAGCGCTCGTTAATAATTCATCGCGAAATCATTCTCCCGGCTCGATCTTCGTCGCTTCTCGACGACCACGCGATGAGTAAAAGAGAGAGAGTGACAACTTGGAATAAAGACGGAAGGACGAGGGTGGTTTTCTGGAGAGGAGAGCACCACCTTTCGCTTCTCCGGCGGATTGATAGCTAGGTCACGTGTCTGCGATCCTCGATGCTCTCCGCGAGTAGGGCGATAAATCTTTCAGGCCGGTTCGCTTTCGCACCTTCCCGTAGCTTCGTCGAGAATCGCACGGCTTTTCTTCGTTCGCGAGAAGTTTACGAGGGAATAACGCAGAAGGATTGTGAGAAAAAAAAGGAGAGAGGGAAAGGCACAACACAATAAGACGCGAGAGAGCAGGCAATCTTATTATTCACCCGGTTTTACCGCAGCGAGTCCGTTTACGAGTGCGTTAGAAATTTTCCTTCCAATAAGATCCCGGGCGTTTTACTATTGATTTTCCCGTCGGCCCGAAAGCAACAACGTATTAAGACTAAACAATAGAGTAATTTCTTTCGAGATTAAAAATAGACGTCAAGTGTCTCGCGTGCGCCTTATAAATTCTGCTTTATAGTTCAAAGATTGCGGTTTCTACGATAATAACGCGGATTATTTTATCGCGCGAGAAATAAAAATAAAAATGATAAAAATAACCGTTCATTCGCGAAACAATTCTCCTCTTCGCGTTAGAATTTTCCCCGCGCGATGTATAATTTGAATCATTCGAAAAAAAAAATTCTCGCGTTTCAGCATCAAGAGTCCGGAGCTTTTGACGTATAATAAAAAATTGAGTTAACGCGATATTTTTTAGCGCCGCTATCGTTGTGATTTAATGCTCGCAATTTCGTTGATAACGAGCACGTTTCGGGAGCAACGACATCAAATACCGACCCCTCACGTGGAGAGAACCTGGTCGTTATCAATGCTCACAGTCGATGTATTATATCGCCCGATATGTAATGTTCGCTGCACATTCGTTACGTATCAATAAAGCGCTCGAATAAAAGTCTCACGTTCGAATATATATTGGACTCTGGCTGTACGGGTATATGAGTATTTGTTGTCCGACATGTGCTGGGGAATTTCGACATTCACCTGATATGCTAAATAACCTGATGTGCACGTGTATGTACATCGCATTTGCAATAATGTGCCCAGCCATAGATATATCGTGGAGCGCATTCGCGCAGATAATTGCGTTTCTATCCTCTTTTCTTGCATTTAACCGAAATCCACTTTACATTCGTATGGCGCATTTGCAAATACTATTGTAGTCAATTTGCTGCGTATAACGTTCGTTTTATCTCGTATAGCGAAATTGCTACGCGATATTATGCAAACCAATTTAAAGAGTAGCCAGGTTTATCGGTGATAGATCATAATTAGATTTTGTAACAATTACATTGTCATCCATGGAAATTATTAAATTTCTAAAACGATAAGATTTTTAGATTCTTTCATTTTTCTCTAAACATTTTGCATCTGTTTATTATGTTTGTGAAAAACATAGAACAAATGCACCCATATGAATATTTTTATTCTATATCGAATAATTGCCACGAAAAAAATTAGCTATTATAGCAAAATTCAGCTATAATAATTAATATTTTTTAGCTATAGCATTCTCCGTTAAATTACAGCTAAAAAATAT